TTAAATCGCATGACAAATTTCCTCAGCATGATAAGTGGAATTTGTAATGCGGATTTAACCTGAGAAAGAAATTTGTAATGCATGGCTGCCATTAGTACGAGTGCGATGCTTTTGCAGTTCATATGAACGGGAGATCAACAAACAAATGCTGGTGAAGGACCAGATTATGGCTCGTGAAGTCGGGCCCATGTATCAAAGTGAAAAATCTCTCCTCCCCATAGTACTCGAATAAAGATTTGTGTAGCATGATTTGTGATCACAAATCCCGTTGTCATTCTAGAAGGGAAGAGTAACATATGTTGCAGACTGTAGTGCTGGCGGGCGTGGGTAAGCCTAAGCCTACTTGCGTCTTCAGCATGACAGGAAGCAGCTGGAAGCGGGAAACAGCATGACGAAGTAGCTGCAAACGAGGCCGCGTCAGTGGCTCTTGGCGTTCCAGCAATACAAGTAGATAAATTTGTGTTGTACCCAGATCCAGCATCACATTTCATTATGGGAAGGGGGGATTTTTCCTTACAATACCATGGCGAAGAAGCTTGTCGCCCTATTCGACACCTTATGAACTGCAAAAGCATCGTACTAGTATGAACCAGCCATGCTCCGGCTGCCGCCGGAGCGCAAGGCTGTTGGGCCGGGGCAAGACTGTTTGCCGATCGGACCACAACCCCGCGGGCCTATGCACAACGAAACATATTGCGCCGCGCCAACCCGCAGGACCACTTGCGCGCTCCCCGCGCCTGTGGGCGCTCTGCGCAGGGAGCAGCTGCAAAGAACACCGGGGGCGAACAGAAGCCGCCCGGCGGGAGAGGGTAGCGCGAGAGGGTGGCGCGAGAGGGTGGCGCGAGAGGGTGCGCGAGAGGGTGGCGCGGGAGGGTGGCGCGAGAGGGTGGCGCAAGAGGGTGCGCGAGAGGGTGGCGCGAGAGGGTGCGCGAGAGGGTGGCGCGGAAAGGGGCCGAACAAAACAGCTCCGCGAATGGCCTGCAGTGCCAAACATGGGTAGTGCCATGCGGATTCGCGCCCGCTTCTTTGTGTTTTACCCTCTCGCAGACCTCTCGCAGACCCTCTTTATTTTTGACCTCTTTTGGGGGTCCCCGCTAATAATCCGGCTATACTCGCGGGTAGAGGTCGACAGAGGTGGCCGAGAGGTGGCCAAGAGGGTCCGCGAGAGGTCGCCCCTTATTCGCGCCACCTCTCGCCACCTCTGTCGACCTCTCGCGCCCCCTCTTTTTGACCTCTCTGCACCCTCTGCGCCACTTAGGCGGCGCCTAAGGGTGGGCCCCTACTGCGGGCCTTATTCGCGCACCCTCTCGCGGACCCTCTCGAACGGGGTCCCGCGCCACCTCTCCACCTCTGTCGACCTCTTTTCTACCTCTGTCGACCTCTTTTTTACCTCTCGGCCACCTCTCTGGGACCCTCTGTCTACCTCTTTTTTCGCATTAATATATTGTATAAGTAATTGCATTACAAATTAGCCCAGCATTACAAATTCGATTTGTAATGCTCATTTACCTGCTTGGAAAAGAGATTTGTAATGCAGAAATGCAATTACTACGAGTGCGATACTTTTGCACAGGATACACCTGCGTTCTGTCGACGGCGATGCCGCACGGGAATAAGCTGACGGAAGCGCTGGGAAGCCGCGACATTGTGGACTTTCAGATTTTCCCGATGCAGGCGGACGGCCGGCTGTTCCTTCCCTCGATGGAGGAGGTTCAGGCAACGCTGTCCAGTGAGCAAGAGGGCCAGCCCAAGGTCCCAATGATGTCCAGTTGGCAGGTGGCTGCTATTATCAAATGCAAAAATGTAGTCTGGGTCCGGAAGAATGCAAGATTTGTCATGCATATTTCTCATGACCCATGATGCCTGTAATGCATGCATGCATGACCTAGCATCGCAGACTTTTAGAGGGCTATTTCCTGCTGATGCACCTCCCGCATGAGATGAAATGCCCTATCCGTGTAGCAGAAATTGCACCCCTCTTGCTGGTCATGCAATACAAACTTTTTTGGAGTCCAAAAACAGCATGACAAGTCTTGCACTCTTCCAGCCCCAGACACTTTTGCAGTTTATAGTTATGGTGTTGAAGCAACACATGCCGTGGCTCCCTCTGCCGGGTGGACATATCCTGTGCAAAAGCATCGTACTCGTATTGCAGTCATGCATTACAAATTTTCTTGTCAAGTCAAATCCGCATTACAAATTTTATTTCTCATGCTAAGGAGATTTGTAATGCATTTATGCGAGTGCGATACTTTTGCAATGCATAGGACATCAAGGGAAGGGGCAACGCGAGGCCTCCCTGGCGATGGTGCGCAAAGTGATGGCCCTGCCGGTCGCGCAGTGGCAACTGCGTGCGAAGAAGACGCCCACCCAGGAGCCGCAGGAACAAGGAGCACCGGCTCCAGACGAGGCTGAGGCCGCAAGCAGGAGCTATCAAGTGCAAAAATGTCTGGGTCTGGAAGATTCTGAGCCTTGTCATGCACGTTTTGCATGGGTCATGATGTCTGTGATGTATGCCCTAGCATCACAGACTTTTTGAGGGCTTCGTGATGCCTATTCCGCATGACAAATGCCCTCTCCGCGTAGCCAAAATTGCATTCCCTTTGCTGCTCATGCAATACAGATTTTTTTGGAATCCAAATTCAGCATCACAAGTTCGGATTCTTCCAGATCCAGACATTTTTACATTTGATAGGAACGCGGCAAACGCAAAAGATCCGGCGGAGGAGGTGGACAGCACCAACGCGGTGCTGGTAAAAGTCGGTCTGTTATGCATTGCAAAAGTATCGTACTAGTAGAAATTGCATTACAAATTGACTTAGCATTACAAAAAACTAAATCTGTAATGCAGATTTGCCTTCCCAAAGACGAGATTGGTAATGCATAAGCGCAATTACTACGAGTGCGATGCTTTTGCACTGGATATCTGTCGCTGCTGTTCGAACCGATGGTGGACATTTTGGATGGAACGGCGGCGCGCAAGTGCGATATTCAGAAGGAAAAGGCGAAAGGTATCCTGTGTAAAAACGTCCCCACACCAGAGTCAACATGGGAAATCTGCTAAACAAATCCCACAGCTTTGGTTGTTTGGCATGACAAATTTGGACGCGTAGTGTAGTGCTGTTTGAGCTAGTTCAACAGCATTGCAGACCTAGTAGCTCATGCTGATTGGAGCATGACAAATTTCAAAGCCGCATTAGAAAATGCTTCCCATGGGGCTCCGCATGAGAAACATTTTAAGCATGCAGAGTTGCATGACAACTATGGCGTGGGGACGTTTTTACACAGGATAAAAGGCCTCGCGTCGAAGGTTGGGAGGGCTTTTATCAAAATGAAAAATCCGCCCTCCCCATATCGAAAAGGAAATCTGTGATGCTGGATTTGCGTACACAAATCAGATTTGTCTTCGCACTGGAGGACTCCAGGCATAAGCCAATCCTGAGTTGAGAGGTTTTGACGTAGGCGCCTAGCATGACAGATGTCTACGCTGTAGGCCCGACAGCATCTTCGCAAACCGTCCACACAAAAATGCGGCGGAATCCCTGGACTTGTCTTCTTGCAAGACAGACGGGATTTGTGGCCACAAATCTGCATCACAAATTTTCAGACGGATGCGTTTTCAATATGGGGAGGGGGGATTTTTCCTCCCAATAGCTTTGCGGCTCGTGGCGGACGGCAAACCCGAGTACTCGCTGTTCGACCTGATTGCGGAATTTCCGAACCCGAGTAGCGAGCAACCTGCATCTTCTGGGAAGTGGTTCAAGAAATCCTTCTTGCAGGTGCAGCAGCATGCCGATGGGGGGGTCATCGTAGGGGCAGTTTTCATCGCGTTGCTTTGGACGTTCCTAGTCGTCCTAATTATTGTAATCCATTACGTAATCGCGAATATCATCTTCATGGCTCTCGCCGGGTCTGAGCCCGCGATGTACTTGGGTGTGGGAATCCTCCTGACAGTATTTGGGATAACGAGTTCCATCGCATTGTTTTATTGGATCATCTTGGCATCCACCGTTTGTTGCGGCGCGGGCCTGCCCGGCGTCGGGAAAGTCGTCGTAGTGTCCCCCCCCGCCGGATTCTTCGTCCCCCCGCCCCCCGCCGGACTCTACGTCGGAGGACCCGTGCGCTATGGAAGTCCGCAGGTCTGTTCTTGAAATCGACATGGTTGAAATATGCATGCATATGTACAATTAAATAATAGTAAAAATCTGGTAACATAAACGATTCATCATGCTTAAAATAAAGTAAAGCACAATAAATACAGGCCTCCTGTTGTAAATCTATCGGAGACCGAACATTTTAATTTTTAACAGAGGCTGACTGTTGTGAGCCAGCTTGGGATCATTTTGGGAGATAAAAAGTACTAGAGCTGCTCAAGTAGTTTTTACTATTACCTAAGTAGCAAGACCAAACCCAGTCCGCTTGATCAACCCAAGACTCATGATATGACAATTTGCATTCCAGTGGTGCTGGTGCTCACGATCCCGATGGAAGAACTTGTCGCGCGTGGTGTGCCACTTGGAGGAACATGAAATGGAGCGCCGCCCAGGAACAAGTAGAGCTGCTCGCCGCGTGTTGACTCGTTTAGAAACAAATAAGTATTTAGGGTTCGGACGATATTATTACGGTACAGACGATGTTCTTGCGATCGGGGGATATTAATATTTAGCTACATCACAATTTATCGTTTCAACTCTGTCGGTTTCATCAAACTGAGTGCTTTCATACTGTTGCCATGCCGCCCGCCGCCGGGGTGTATCGTCGGGTTTGAAATCGTATGAACTGCAAAACTATCGTACTCGTGTAAATGCATTACAAATTTCGATTTCCTCAGAATGAGAAATGAAATGCGTCATGCGGATTTACCTCAAGAACAAGATTTGTAATGCATGATTGCAATACGAGTGCGATGCTTTTGCACAGGATAAGTCGACACGTTTGAAAACGACCCAGACCCAGACTATCCTGAGGAAAAACGTTCCCACGAGGACCCCAGAGTTGCCATGCAAATCTGCAAGCCGGAAATGTCTCCGATGCGCAGGAGTCCAATGAGAATCATAATTCTCGAATCGTGTTTATTCGGAATTTGTAATGCTCCAATCTATCAGCATGATGTGCTAGATCTGTGGACGTAAGCCGGATCATCCCCCTCAAGATAAGATCACCCCCCTCAAGTTTCCAAGATCACCCCCCTCAAGGGCGTCGGGTTTAGGTTTTAGGGCTTAGGGCTTAGGGTTTCGGCGGTGTCGTCTGGGCCAGCCGTCGCGACGGCGCCGTCGCGACGGCTGGCCCAGACGATTCCCTTTTGCCCCTTCCTGTTGCGGGTCGGAGGCACGCGCCGCCTCGTCGCCCTCGCCCCCCGCCCTGTGTTTCCCTCCCCGTTCCCCCCTTCGTTGGTTTGCCGTGCTCCCGCTCGGGGGGGCGCGCTCTTTGTGCCGCCTTTGCTGCCTCGGCGGGCGAGGCGCTAGGCGCTTCCGGGCCTCCTCGGGTGGCTGCCCGCCTGTCGCACATCTTGAGCCAGGAATCCTCTTGGAAGGCCTTCCAGCATGCAGATACCAACGCCGCCCCGCCCTGCCCCCGGTCTGCCTGCCGCCGGCCCGCCTGCCCTTGTCCCCCCCCCCGTAGCCTGGCTGCCTGCCCCCGGCCTCGCTCGTTGCCCCCTTGCTTCCTGCCCCCGGTCCACCCCCTGGCCCCCCTCACCCCCCCCCTGCATCTTGAGGGGGGTGATCCTTGGGGGGATGATCCTGCCGATGTCCTAGATCTGTGAAGAGGCTGATGATGGACTAGCTCAATAGGATTACACTACGGGGCCACCAAACTTGTCATGATGCGCGACAGCGAAAGCTGGCTGATCTGTCTAGCAGATTTACCATCTTCATTCCGGGGTCGTGGGGACGTTTTCACCCACGATATTACAGACCACACGTAGTGCTCTTTATACAAATTTAAATCGTTCTTTTCTCTGTGCACTGCTGATTGACCATGGTCCTGTTGTTTGCCTTTGTTCCAAATCAAGTGCAAATATCCCAGGATGTCTGGAAGAATTATGCAGCTTGTGGTGTTGCATTTGGACGATTCCAAAAGAGTCTGTATCGCATGAGCCGGCGCAAAGGGAATCGGAATCATGTATTTTTTGCTACGCGGCAGTAGGAGTATTTTTCATGCGGAATATTAGGCATCAAGAAGCCGTCGAACAAAAATCTGTGATGCATGCATCACAGACATGATGGCTGCTCATGGACAACGTGTATGACAAGTCTCAGAATTATCTTCCAGACCCAGACATGTTTGCAATTGATGTTAATTCCAGATAAAAAATAATTAAAAGTAAAAGAACAAAACATGAGACTTCTGCGCATTTGCGTTTGATAAGTGCCCTCTTCTATCACTATCTACTTCGCGATTTTTACAAAACAGGAGCTGATGATCGGAGGAGGTGGTTTAAGTACTATTATTTCCAAAAGCAGAGGTATGGGAGTGTCAGGATCGAAATCAACAAAATCGAAATGCTTTGTGATGCATAAAATCAATACCACTTGGGGCCGCAGTTTCCAAGTGGCGCATGACAAATTTCGGGAGTACAAAAATCCAGTCTGTCATGCTGTTTGGGCAAAGAAGGCGGCTCCTCTCATGCTACTCTGGCAGCACATTCCATACCCCTAAACAGGCTTGCAATCGGCCTCATTTGCCTGCTCCCCAACACAGGCCTTACGTGCTCTACATTTTATGCATTACAAATTTTTTGATTTTGTCGATTTCGATCCTGACACTCTCATAAGAGGAGCTGATAGCACCGGAGCTACTCTGCGGAGGTGGCGTTCTTTTCCCTTGACCATGGTATTGATATTGTTGTTTGTTCCATGCGGAATAGGCATCAGGAAGCCCTCTTCTAAAAATCTGCAATGCAGCAGCGAGGGCATGCATTATTACAGCCGTCTTCATGTTGGGTCATGCAAAGTACTTATGTCGATGACAAACCTGGCATTAATCTCGATCTCCAGACCCAGATCGATATTTGCATTTGATATCTACATATCAACTGTAAAAATGTCTGGATCTGGAAAAGTGCAACTTGTGATGCTGCATTTGGATTCCAAAAAAATCTGTATTGCATGAGTACCAAAGGGAATGTAAGTTTTCCTACGCGGAGAGGGCATTTGTCATGCGGAATAGGCATCAGGAAGCTCTCAAAAAATCTGTGATGCTAGGGCATGCATCACAGACATCAAGGCTCATGCAAAACGTGCGTGACAAGTGTCAGAATCTTCCAGACCCAGACATTTTTACATTTGATACTACACACAACTTCGCGATTTTTACAAAACAGGAGCTGATCGAGATCGGAGGAGGGGGTTTATTTCGATTTCCAACAGTTAGTATGAAATGTAAAAACTACGTCTGGGTCTGGAAACTTGTAATGCTAAAAATGAATGATAGACGGGACGCACTGCAGTACGCAGCTACGCATGACAAATTTTTCGGCTGCCATGTCTTACCTATTTCGCATGGCAAACTGCGTTTTTGCATGACAGGTAAAAGGGCTTATTTTTCGTGCCTATGCAACACAGATTCTCGAGTCATGCCAGACAAGCATGACAAACTTGCATTCTTCCAGACCCAGACACTTTTACAGTTGATAGTTAGTGCTGGCGCAGCTGCGGGAGGTTGTAGGAAGAGGAACATCATCAAAGCAACAACTCTATGAATTGCAAAAATGTCTGGGTCTGGAAGATTGCTATGTTTGTCATGCACATTTTGCATGACCCGTGATGTCTGTGATGTATGCCCCAGCATCACAAATGTTCTGCGGGCATCTTGATGCCTATGCCGCATGAGAAATCCCCTCTCCGCGGAGCAAAAACTGGACGCCTCTTGCTGCTCATGCAATACAGGTTTTTTTGGATTCCAAAAATAGCATCACAAGTTGCATCCTTCCAGACCCAGACATTTTTACATTTGATAAACTCCCCGCAGTTCCTTTATTTATACCACGAGCATTACGGAAACGTGGTGGCGCACGATCCTACTTCAATACGTTTTTTTATGGAGTTCCACTCAAACGCTTTCGGTACAACATTTTGTTTGTTTGTTCGTGCTCATGCGGGAAGGTGGGAACGCGTTTACACACCTTTTTTCTCTAGCGCTATTTCAAGAAAAATCCCTGTTTCGAAAGCCTGTGAAAAAAGACAACAACTAAAACCACTTTTCCTACCTCTGCTTGCTACCGAAAAAGCCAACTCTTACGCTAAAATAAAAGTTATTCCCACACTGAAACTTGAACTACGATGCTTTGATCGTTTCCGCTTACTACTCTTTACCTCGTCCTTTCTCGTGCTGATGTTGTTGCTCAACCAAAAAATTTCACTACTGTTGTCGAAGTTAAAGTTTCAAATTTAAGGTCTACAAGTCGCAAAGTCTATAGTTGAATTTCGATCCTTAAGCTTGCTTTCGTTGTGGAAAGTTTTCGAATGAGGTGCAAGTTTTCTGGACTTACACTGTTTTCCAAAGTCGTTCTGATTACGAGTTTTTCTGAAAGTTAAGTGCAGGAAGTTGCAGCACTATTGGTTTTGGTTCGAGTAAAAACAAAGTAGCCCTTTCTGTAATTTTTCAACTTTTCAAAGTCACGGCACTACAACGGGGCTACGGCACACACTGCACTGGGCTGCTCAGTGGACATTTCCTCTCTCGCAGGCTGCCGGATTTTTCCCCCACCGACGGCCCCGCTGCAGCGCGCCTTGCTTCGCCGCCGCTCCGGCCCATGGATGTGCCACCGTTCGTCCCTAGTTATCGCTATCGGCCAGCATGCGCAGGTTCGTAACTGGGGTAGCGGGGGGCGCAACAGCTCTGGGCCCACATACCTGTGGGTTGTGTGTGGGCGGAAGCAGGACAGGCCGCGACAGAATTCCATGCAAGCAGAAGCACACTACCACCAGTACTATCATCTGCATCATCGTCAGCATGTAGTCGCCGGAACGTTCAACAGTACAGAGTACCTGGTGGGTGCACCTCTCCCCGCCTCGAGGGGAAAGATGCAGCCCGTTCCCGCGTTCGTTGCCTGCGCGGGTGTTCTGCATTGCTGGTAGGTTGCGCTCCTCCGGCGGCCGTTACACGAGGAGGGATGTGTGCAGCTGGCAAGGGTGCTAGTGTCATGTCTCGGTCTTGGGCATGCTGAGCAGGGCGAACACGAGGTAGCGGTCGTGGGACAGGGAACCTGCGATGTGACAGCAGGGACGAGACAGGTGCGGCGCACACAGTAGCTCTTCCAAATCAAAACAATCTGCTTCACGAATTTTCGATGGCCAGGAAGACGGGCGGAACGCATAACAGAGTACCTGAAGGGTGCGCCCCCTTCGATGTCTCCCTGAAGGAGGGCGCAGCCCAGTCTCGACGTTTCGCGTTGTGTGCAGGCGGTGGCTACATCTTCTACCCCGGCCTTGAGATAGGTAAACATCACCGCACTGGCAGTCGGCTTCCGCTCCTGCTAGTCGGATCACAGAGTTTGTCTGGATGGGTATTGTCGGCTCGGGTTCAGCGTGTGCTCGTGGTCGATTTGGTTTCCTTTCTCCCCTCCCGCTTGGAGGGTTGTCTGTGTTTTGGCTTTGTGTGTTACGCTCCTGCGCCGTCTGTCCGGCACCGGCTTCCGGTCCAGCATAGGTGGCGCACCGCCGGGAACGGCCCCACCAGGGGGGTGAGGAGTTCGTTGGCTTGGGCCAGCGCGCTGGCTACTTCGCGTGGCTTCTTTTTGCACTCCTCTAGGCCCCCGACTCCCGACGCTTCGAAGAATGGACGGGTCTCCGGGCAGGATTGGACCAAATGCGCGGTCGTTGCGCATTGTACCCCACACAGGGCACATGGCATGTCCTCCCCCGACGGTTCCGCGGCCAACAAGCCGAAGCGGAGGGCGTAGTACAGTGCTTGGCTGGTTTTGTCGGTGCTGTCTGCTACCAAGTCTCGTCCCCACCCTCCCGTGGTTGCGAGGGTGGTCGCGGTCTTGCTGTGGGTTTCTGCTTGGTGCTGCCTGTCCTCCAGGTCCTGTCGCAGTGCGTTCCTCACTACTCTCTTGGCCTCGGTTTTGAATTGGCGGCGCGTGACTGGCTCGCCTTCTTCTTGCAGGTCCGGCTCGTTGGCGAACCCTGCGAGGTGGTCGGCCACCACGTTTCCCGCAATTCCTGCGTGGCCTGGCACGTATCGGACTACCAACTTCCTGCAGGACGCGGGCGCATCGCGTGCCGCGGTGTAGAGTTCCGTGTCCAGGTCATCCCGCAGCCGCGGATTGAGCAGTGCGCGCGCGTTGGATTGGCTGTCGGTGCAGATGGTGGCGCACTCTGTTCGCAGTGCTTTGGTTGCCACCCCCCGGAGGGCTGCGATCAACGCCATTCGCTCGGTCTCAAGCGAGTCCGTGCGCACTCCTACTGGCCAGGCCGCCCCGCCCTGGATGCCAAAGCCATGGACGAAGACTCCTGCCGCCCCTTGGAACTCTCGCACTGAGCCGTCGCAGTAGAACACCAGGCCCGAGGACTGTAGCGTGTCCACCAGCGATGGCACTCCCTCGCTCTGCCAGACGGCGCGAAACCGACCTTGTTCCTCCGCCTCGTGGAGGAGGCTGGCCCCCACGCCCGGCAGGGCTCCGGTTTCGGGTAGGACTGTGGCCTTCGCTGCGTTTGACGCCTCCACGACCCCTAGGGCTGCCGTTAGCCAGTCCGCCTCGGTGTTTTCCGCGGTTTGTCTGAGCCCGTCCGCCTTGGGTCGGGCGAACGCTCTCGCCGTTAGTGCTACGGCCTCGACTTTGTACAGTGCTTCTAGCGGCAAAAGCCCGGCGGTCATCAGCGCGCAGCTGCGGTTGACCCGCCGGAACTTGGGAAGCCCGAGGATCGCCGTCGCCCCCTCTAGTTGATTGCACGCTGTTGAGCGCTGCCTTCTCCTTCGCGCCGAGGCCATGCCAATACGTCGGCAAGCCATAGGCCAGCACACTTTCCACGAAAAGCTGGCAGAACATCCTCACGGACTTGGTTCCTGCGTGCATGGATCTGCTGAGGATCCGCACGGCAGCCATTCGCTTGGTGGTTGTTTCGCTGATCACCTGGTAGTGCTTGCTGAAGGTAAGCCGCCGGCCGAACCACACTCCCAGGAACCTGGGGCAGGCCTCGTAGGCCAGTGGTTCGCCGGAGCCTGTGAGGCGCAACTCGTCGAGTTCGCGCGCAAACTCCGTCTGGAAGACCGTATGCGCGCACTTCCCGGGGGAGAGCTCCACATTGCTCGCCTTGCAGAAGTCTGAGACGATGTCCAGCGCGTACTGGAGCTGTGCCTGTGCTTCGCTCTTCGTGTTCTCTTCGTACTCGCAGGTCAGCGCGAGGTCGTCCACGTACGCCAGCGCCTGCACCTTCGGGCACCGCTCTGCCAGTTCCTGGAGTAGCATGTCTACAAAACTACACCAGACGAACGGCCCCAGGCACGTGCCCTGGGGCTCCCCTTGCCGGAGTGGCACCGCTTGCGACACTTCTTCGTTGAACCGCACGACCCTCGAACGCCCGGTGACAAAGGAGCGGACCCACCGCGTGAGCAGCAGAGACTCCTGTTTTCTCGCTGCGTTTTTGAACTCGGCGCTCCTGCGTAGCAGCCCATTGAGGAGCAGCGGGATCGGCACCCTTTCGAGTGCAGAGCTCAGGTCCAGGAAGCACGCTGCGCGCCTCTTGCCCTTCCGCAGCGAGTCCGCGGCCGCCGCCGCTGGCGTCGCCGTGTGGTCGGTCGCGCTCCTCCCCGGGGTGTCCCCATACTGGTTTCGTGCGTACAGGGATAGGCCCTCGGCCTGGGACACTGCTCGCAGCCTCCGGAGCGCCGCGCGCTCCCACACTTTTGCTAGGCAGGGCGTTAGTGCTACCGGCCTTAGCGACTTGGGTAAGTCCCCGGGGCGGCCGGGTTTTGGCACCGGCACGCAAACTTCCAGGCGCAACGCTTCGGGCGTGACGCCTTCCGTGATGCCCTGTGAAAACGTGTCCCGTAAGAGCTTCTTCCCGTCCTGTGTGAAGTTCTTCAACATCGCGCCCAGGATGTCGTCCGGCCCCGCCCCCCCCCTTTGGTTTTTGTCCCCGTAGAGCGAACTCTACGTCGTCTAGGTCCAGCCGCATCGCCTTGCCCGGTGAGAGCTCTGCCGCGAGGGTGCTGCTGTACGTTGCCCACGCCCCTTGCTCTGATGCTGGGTCGAGAGCTGGGTGAGAGCCGTAGAAGTGCGCGAGTACACACGCGAGCTTCTTAAACGCGTAGCCCCCCGCGTAGCGCAGCGCGCCGGTGTGCTGTTTCGGTGGGGGCCGCCCCTCCAGCTCGCGCAAGAGCTTGAAGGCGCCGCCTGTACTCTGTTCCTTCTGCTTCCGCGAGTTTGTCCGCGGAGCGCTCGTCCTGCCGGCTGTACTCCGCCTGCGCGACCCTCTTTGTGGCTTGCCGTAGCGCGGTGCGCCACAGCAGCTTCTGTCCCGGCGGGCAGAGTGCTAGCCTGCGCATGCACTCACCTCGCTCTCTCAAGGCGAGGTCTAGCTCCGTGCCGACGCCGGGCGCCGACCCCCTTGGGCGCTTGTGTCTTTTCCGCGCGATGTTTGTGCGCGGAATGCTTCTGCGTGTTGCTTCGAAGATCGCGGTCCTCAAGTACTCCGCCTTCCCCTCGACGGTTGCTTGCTGGGGGTGCGTTTTGTGCTAGGAAGCGCCCGAGGTCTTCCCGGTATAACGTGCAGTCCGCCCGCTTCAGGTTCAGTCGTGTGTGCCTTTGCGTGACCGGTGCGGGGTCGCGCCACAGCGCGGGGTCCCAGGGTAGTCGCGTCGGGTCTTCCGGTAGGGGCGCCCCCTCTTGTGCGGCGCCGGTGCTGTTCGCCTCTCGCGCGACCTCCGCCTTCGTCCCCTTCTCTGTGCTGGTGCTCTCCACGGCCCCCGGAAGGCCTGTGTCCTGTGTTGCTGTTGCGCACAGTGCCGCTACTGCGCCGGACGCTAGACACAGCACCGCCCCTAGGCCGGGTAGCGAGCGGAGTCGGTCTTGCTTTGCTGGCGGCGTCGTTGTCCCCTCGGCGGCGGCGCGTGCTTGCCTGTGTTTGGCCGCGCGCAGCTCCCGGATCCGCTGGAGCTTTTCTTTTCGCAGCGCCCTTTTCTGACTGCCTGTCAGCTTCACCCCGCCTTCGGGGGTCTCTTTCGGTGCTTTTGGGTCGTCCTTTGTCCCCGCTGCTTTTGTCGCGTTTCCGTCCTTTTTTGCCGCCCTTTCTTCGTGCTCCTTTACCGCCGCTACGGAGGTCTTGCCCTTTGCTTGGTGCTCTTTTGTCGCCGGGCGGATCAGGTCGAACACCAGTGCTGCGTGGTCCCCCCCTATGAGGACAACACTGGGTCCGGTCGGGTCGACCTCGGACGCCGCGGTGTGCAGGCCTGCTGAGAGCAGGACTACATCTGGCGACGTTTGGGAACACGGCCGCGTTGCCGCCGCCGCGGTGTAGAACTCCAACGCCTCCGCCCTTGCCCAGTGCTGCACTGCACTGGTTCTTGGCTCCTGGGTGTGGTTCGCATCCCAGGAGATTGTTACTTCTACGTTCGCCGGGGCCTCTATTTGTCTTTTACTTCATCTACTAAGTCGCGAAGAGTGCTGACGACTTTGAGTTCTGTTTCTTGTCGTCGCATTTTGCAACTTACATTTTTGCTCCTGCCAATAGCTGTAGTACGAGGGTTGCGCACCAGGCACAGAGACGTGCAGCAGAGTGGCAACAAAACTTGGCGCCTTTGTCTTAGCCATCTACTGTCTTCAGTTGAAGTCAGTTCTCAGTATTTACAAGTACAAACTTGCAAGCAAATTTCCGCATTAGCACCTATCTTCACACATCATTTTCACAATATTCCTCGTATGTTCTCAACCAAAATCTTCACAGCTTTTTAAAAGCTGTGAAGATTTTTTAAAAGCTGTAAAATGTGCATGGAAGTTGTAAAATTGTACCCTTAAAGGGTACAATTTTACAATTTCCATGCACATTTACCATCCTTTTACGCATTACAAATTCAAAATTTCAATGTAAAACCATCTCTCAATTTTGTCAAAATCTGAAATCTGTCTTCAGTTGAAGTCAGTTCTCAGTATTATTGCCTCTGAAACAGGTTCTTTTTCTTTATAGCTGCATTTGATAGAGCAGGCCATTTCGTTTGGAGGAGGTTCGCACTTCTATAGATTCCTGGTACGGGGAGAGGTATAATGTGCGCACCAGAATAATAATGAATATGCTTGCTACTATCCAAGATAAACATAAAGCTCAACTGTATCACTCTACTCAAACATGTGCAGACTCACCAACGCAGCAAATTATTCGGTCAGCATAACAAACAAGAAGTACTTAAGTATGGGAGTGTCAGGATTGATGAAATCGACAAATTTGAGATAAACTTGTAATGCATAAAATCGATACTAGTTGGGAGCCCAGTTGTTTTCAAGCGGCGCATGACAAAGCCTGGCACCGACTAAATCCAGTCTGTCGTGCTGTTTAGGGACAGAAGGCGTGGTCTTTTGTCATGCTACTCTAGCAGCTCTATCGCAGACCCCAAACAGGCTGACAGTCGGCCTCACTTGCCGTCCCTGCCAGAGGCTTCATGCCTTGCAATTTATGCATGACAAATTATTTCAACTTTGTCGATTTCGGTCCTAACGCTTCCATAGTAAACTTGTGACGCGTGGCCACACGCAGCGGATGTTGTCAAGTGGACGCCGTCTATGCATTGCAAAAATATCGTGCTCGTATAAATGCATTACAAATCCCCTTAGCATGAGAAAAAAATTTTGTAATGCGGATTTGACTTGACAAGAAAATTTGTAATGCATGACTGCAATACGAGTGCGATGCTTTTGCACAGGATTCCGGCGCTTCCTCCTGGATGTCGTTTTCAAGCACGATTAAAAAACACAAAGTAGCCACTCAAGGAATGTCCGCATTACAAGTTGAGGAGTCCGGGACAATTTTTTGTCGCGAAGATGATATGCATGGCACACCTTGCTAAGCGTAGTCAACAGGCCCCATCGATAGCGATACGTCGTTGCGCTAATGATAGTGTTTCTGATCATAGTGCTGCTGGATGCTAGTTTTCTGTTCTGGCACTATTTTTAGTTACCAAATCTGAGACGGAGCCGTACTAATATCTTCTGCGTTTGATATGTAACAAGAACTGCAGCTGCGTTTTGGTTTTATTGGCCACGAGAAGGTAGAAGACGGGGCGGTGGAGTTGTGAAATGAAAAAAATAGGGCCAAATATTGCTGAGGCCGCGAACTACTGGCCAAATTTTGCTCCTGAGGCCGCGAACTACTGGCCAAATTTTGCTGAGGCTGCGAAAAATATCATATACCTACGTGAGGACGGCCTACCAGAAAAGCAAGGGCTTTATTCCCTTTCTTTTCCACAGGCAAGGACGCAACAAGAAGTCCGTTTGCTGTCGCGGCGCGAGGTTTTAAGTGTCAACATGCACTTCATCTATCAGCATCGTTTAAAGATCTTTCGACTACGGCAAAAAGCGTCACCAAATGATCATTGCGGAAGTTTAAGTAATCCATTATCTCGGACTAGCAGTCGGTCGTTGTCGTTGGTGCAAGCGAGCGTGTACATCATCGGTTCTTTTATATGCAGATTCAGCACACTGCTTTTCGTTGTTTCCAGATCGGTTTTGTAGTTGCCCATAGTACTGACACTGAGTATAATTGTCGGTCGAGTTTGTATTTCTTCGATCACGTGGAAGTTTCTGTCGGTGGACCACAGCAGTACTTCTACGCACACCTTTATTGTGCGAAGATTCGGTCTCTGGAGCAAGAAGAACTGGTTATTTTACGATTCGATCGGACATGAAGATTCATCATAGAAGATTCGGTTTGTGGAAGATATCGTGTGGAAGATGGTACTAGCTTCTCTCCGACATGTAGTTGCGTGAAGATGTTGAGCCGTTCTGAAGATAACGAAAAGTACACCAAGAACAACGAAAAATGATCCCAATTACAGGCACGTCATTATGTATCCACCATGATATTTTTACCAATTTCCACCGCGCTCTATTCATCGTATATTAAATTCAACATCTTCTTCTTCTACATGTAGTTCTTGACCAACTACTACTAATATGCTTTCATTCAGTTGTGCAACCAAAAATCAAAGTTTCTTTCTCGAATAACAAAGTAGAAACAGCATCCGTCGTGAGCTGCAGCAACAACCAAAATGAGGCTCCTGTCCTCGAGAACTTGTACATCAAAAAGCCGCTCAACAACCAGTACATGTACAAGTACAACCCGTTCCATTCTCATACGGCGTTCTCAACTGTTACATTCTCAACTGTTACACGAATTTGCGATGCAAGAATGGCAACAGGGAAAGGCCGGATCTTGCAACTCTTGCATTACAAATTCGGCACAGATTCCCATGCTGTTTAGCCCTTCCAAAATTTGTCATGTGAGGCAGCTTCACTGTGTGGACGTTGATGCTCATTTTGCATGACAAATCCATGGAACAGTTGAGAGTGTAACAGTTGAGAGCGCCATATCTCACTGCGGCGGCGGCCGCTGCAGGAGTCGCTTTGTTTCTCCAACAGGAACATCAATCAGCTCCAGCTGCTGGCTATCGAGTGCAAAAATGTCTGGGTCTGGAAGAATGCGCGATCTGTCATGCTGCTTTTCCATGACAGACCCATGAGGTCTGGAATGCAGGGCCTAGCATGACAGATTCTGCGGGACCTGTCTCATGCCTATCCTGCATGAGAAACTCCCTCCCGACTTGGTCAAAACTGGACGACTTTTGGTAATCATGCAACACAGATTTTTGCATGCTGCAGATTTAGCATGACAAGTTCCAATCTTCCAGGCCCAGACATTTTTACATTTGATACTGGCCGTCGACCATGGTTCCTCCTCGTCGCTCACGGACTTGTCCAAGAAAGAGAAATCGCTGCAGTTCTTGTTGAGCATCAAGAAGAAGACAGTGATGATTTGGATCCAGACGAGAGCGCACTGCAAATCTATCCTACGGAAAAACGGTCCCACACCCTAGTCAAGATGGGAAATCTGCAACACAATTCTCCACGTTTTGGGAGTTCTGCATGACAAGTTTCCATCTGCAGTATAAAACTGGTTAGCAAGGAAAGCCGCATGAGAAAGCCATTTACTCATGCTGTTTACAGCATAATACAAATTCCAAAACACGACTGGAAATGCCTCTCAAGGAGATGCGCATCACAAATGTTCCTGTGATTGCGCATTTGCATGACAACTCTGGGGTGTCGTGGGCCCTGTTTTTACCAAGGATGAAATCCAGACTTGGATCAACCATCTGGTGGAAGAACAGGAAAAACAGGGAAGATCATGGGAAGGAAATATCAACTGCAAAAGTCTCTGGGTCTGAGAGAATGCAAGGTTTGTCATGCAGGTTTTCCAGGACCCATGAGGTCTGGCATGTAGGACAGAGCATGACAGAATCTGTGAGAGTTCTATCATGCCTATCCTGCATGAGAAACTGCCTCTCGATTAGGTCAAAAGTGGACAGCTTTTGGCAATCATGCAACACAGATTTATTTCATATGATTCTGATTCAGATTTAGCATGACAATTTGCTTTGGTCCAGACCGCCCAGACATTTTTGTATTTGATAGGACAACGACCACAGCAAACCTTTCTTCCAGCGGACCACGAGAGCAGCCACTACACCAGTGCTGAAAGTGCCGACATCAAGAACGAGGGCGAAGCCCTATCAACAAGAAGAATCGAGGAAGAACAAGACGAAACTTCGGACCTCCACGCGCTCGATCAGGAGCAGATCTTGAGCCCCAATTTTTACCATTATGCCAAGCTACACCAAAATGATCATGATGATGATGTTGGTGAACAAACTGGTGCAGCGGCGATGGATCTGGATCTGGATGCCACCAGCAGCCATGAAAATGCAATAAAGTTCCTCCAGGTCTCAACAAAAACTGCGACGCAGCAGCATCAGCGAGAACAAGAGCTACTACAGCAGCGGAAGCTGTTCGTGGCGAGGACGAAGAACTCTTTGAGCCACTATCAAATGCGAAAGTGTCTGGGTCTGGAAGAGTGGAAGTTTGTCATGCTTGTCTGGCATGACTCGATAATCTGCGTTGCCTAGGCACGAAAAGGCCCTCTTCCCTGTCATGCAAAATCAAAAACGCAGTTTGCCATGCGGAATACGTAAGACATGGCAGCCAAAAAATTTGTCATGCGTAAGCTGCTTATTGCAGTCCGCCTATCATTCACTTTTTAGCATTACAAGTTTCCAGACATCCAGGGATATTTGCAAAGCATAGCCACCAGGAGGGAACAACAACCGGAATACATCATCATCAAGAACACGACAAGACCTCCAGTCGTGCTGCTGGTACTAGTTCAACATTTGCGTGGACCCGGTGGGTGTTTTCCTACCGCAACCAGCTCGCCGGGCTCGTGACCGGGAAAGACAGCTTATGAACTGCAAAAGTATCGTACTCGTATAAATGCATTACAAATTTCCTCAGCATGAGAAAGAAAATTTGTAATGCGGATTGACCTTGAGAAAAGGATTTGTAATTCATGACTGCAAGAAAGTGAGTGCGATACTTTTGCACAGGATGCAGCTACGCGAAAGAGGCGTTTCAAAACTATGGAACTCTCAAATCGGTTTACCTTCTCAACTGTTACATGATTATGATTCGTCCTGCACAATGCACATCACACATCAGCATCCATACGATGAAGCTACTTCGCATGACAATTTTTTGAAGGGGTAAAGAACAGCACTAAAATCTGTGCCAAATTTGTAATGCGATAGGTGCAACAAGCTCCCTTCTTTTGCTTTTCCTATTCTTGCATCACAAATTCATTGATAACAGTTGAGGAGGGACTAACCGATTTGAGAACGCCATAAAAACTTTGCGCGGTTCAAGCAGCGGGATGTGAGAATATCAAGTGCAAAAATGTCTGGGTCTGAAAGGTTGGCACTTGTGATGCTGTCTCTGGATTCTAAAAAAATTTGGATTGCATGACCAGCAACAGAACTCCCGTTTGTGCTACCCGGAGAGGGCATTTTTCATGCGGTAGAGGCATCACAAAGGCCTCTAAAAATCTGTCATGCTAGAGCATGCATCACAGACATCACGAGTCTTTCAAAATATGCATGACAAACCTGGCAAGCTTCCAGACATTTTTACACTTGATAGAGAAAAGTGGAAAACAAACACAACGACGAGCTACTTACTATTTTGAAGACAACCTCTATGGAGAGAAAAAAGTTTGTCACAGTCACTAAGTTGCAGGTTTTGCATTACAAATTTTCTTAGCATCACAAATTTTCCTTGTATTGCAGAAACACTAGGGAAATCCCTAACAATAACAAAGTTGGTTGTGATGCATTTTTACGCATGACAAACAGTTTTGTATTGCAAAAATGCGCATGAGTGATCGTGACGAACTTTTTTTGTTTGATAACCTCCACAGCACCCTCGCCCAAGGAGGACGACGAGGATCTGCATTTGACGTTTCGGCAAGATTATCAACTGCAAGTATGTCTGGGTCCTCTGGAAGGATGCGAACTTGTGATGCGCATTTCACAACACAGACAAATCTCTCATGCATAGGCAGCAAAAGGTACCCATTTATTCCTGTCACCTCCAAAATGAGAGATTTGTCATGCGGATTAAGCAAAAATGCGGAAGCTTCTAAAAATCTCTGATGCTAGGGCAGCTTCCATGACAGACACTTTGTGTCATGCAAAAACAGCATGAAAAAATCTGCATTCTTCAAGACCCAGAGGACATTTTTGCATTTGATAAAGATGAAACGACGCGCGCGGCGGAGCAGGAGCAGCGGTTTTCATCATCATCGGTGTTTCAAGATGTAAAGCCCGGGCAGTTGGTTCTCGTGAAGCATGCTCACGCGGCGGGACTCAACACGTCGGGAGGAGCAGGAGCTCCTGGGGCTGCGGCGGGGACAACGACAACAAGCAAGAAGATGAGCAACAGCATGCTGATGTCGTCCACAATATTGATGCCCGGCGTCTCATTGTACGAAGCAGGGGCGTCCCGCGGCACCACGGGGCCGAAAGAATTCTCGCACATGCCGACTCTTCGGAAACTCGTCGGCCCAGGGGAAGTAACTGCTGCTCCAAGAACAATTCAACACATGTACCGCACTGCAGCTGATGAAGGACAAACTTCTCACATCAATTGGGGCGAGGAGGTGGACCAGATTTTTGTGCTCCCGGAGAATGTCCAACAAGTGCGCATTTTTTTGCCCAAGCCAGACGCAAACTTGCTGCAGAAAATGGAGCAAGCCGAAAGCCGGCTGGCCAAAAATCCCTACTACCGGGGCGACAAGTTCCAGGGCATGATGCTGCTTCTTGACCTATCCTGAGGAAAAATGCCCCCGCACCAGAGTCGAGTTGGGCATCTAGCAACACAAATCTCCAAGTTTTGGGAGTTGTGCATGACAAGTTTCCCTCTGCAGTGTAGTACTGGTTGACAACGGAAGCCGCATTAGAAAGCCACTTTCTCATCCTGTTTTTAGCATCACAAATTCCTAAACGCGATTGGTAATGCCTCTCATGGAGCTGCGCATTACAAATGTTCCTGTCATTGCGCATTTCCATGACAACTCTGGTGTGGGGGCGTTTTTACTCAGGATACGACCCGAAAGCGAGGACCTTCGCTCCGGACGTTGCACTCACGCGGGACTTGCCGAGCAAGGTTCTCGAGGGGGTGGAAACGAAGACGCTGGCCGCTATGGAAGTGTCAGGATTGAAGTCGACAAAGTTGAAGTGATTTGTCATGCATAAAATGGATGCCAGGCGGAACCCAGTTTCCAAGCGGCGCATGACAAATTTGGGCGGTGCCTAAACCCAGTTTGTAATGCTGTTTGGGTAAGGAGGACGCCTTTTGTCGTGCTACTTTAGCAGCTCTAATATTTCTACTCCCCAACAGGCTTACAATCTGCCTCCCTTGCCTACTCTGCAAGACAGGCACTTTGTGAGTTGCATTTTATGCATCACAAACTTTTTCAACTTTGACGATTTCAGTCCTGACGCTTCCATAGCCGCTTTGGAGCAGGAGAAATCGGAAAAGCTGGCCGCATTGGAAACCGAAATCGGCACGCTGCAAGCAGAACTGGATGCCGTGGTTCTTTCGCAGCCACAGGGTCGTGAAGAAGAAAAAATGGGAAATATCCTGAGTAAAAATGTCCCCACACCAGAGTTCTTGTCATGCAAATCTGCATGCCAAAAAAGTTTCTCATGCGGAGCGCCATAAGAACCATTTTCTCATCCTGTTTTGGAATTTGTAATGCTAGAATCAGCATGATATGCTAGATCTGTGATGCTTCGGAACTAGCTAAACAGGATTACACTACGAGGATAAATTTGTCATGCGAAACCACCAGAGGTGGCGGATTTGTCTAGCGGATTCCCCATCTTGACTCTGGGGTGGGGGCGTTTCCGCTCAGGATAGGAAAAATGACGTCCATGTCCGCGCTGCTCAGGCTCGTGAAGCAACCAAAAAGCGTCGTGCTCCAAAAGTTATGAACTGCAAAAGTATCGTACTCGTATAAATGCATTACACATTTCCTCAGCATGAGAAATGAAGTTTGTAATGCTGATTTGCCTTCAGAAAAAAATCGTTTAGACGCAATCGTTTAGATTCTGGCATGTTAACCAAAAAATTTGTAATGCAAGACTTGCATTTATACGAATGCGATGCTTTTGCACAGGATAAAAGTGGAAGGAACGGCAGATCCGGCGTAGGAAGTTTGAGAAGAAGCAGGTCGATATGAAATGTAAAAATGTCTGGGGCTGGAACAAGGTTGGAACTTGTGATGCTAACTTTGGACTCTAGAAAAATCTGTATTGCATGACCAGCAAGAGGAGTCTAGTTCGTGTTACGCGGCGAGGGCATTTGTCATGCGGAGTAGGCATCAGGAAGCTGCCCTCTAAAAATCTGTGATGCTAAGTCGCGCATCTTTACAGACATCCTGGGTCATGCAAAATATGCATGACAAACCCGGCATCAATATTCCAGACCCAGACACTTTTGCACTTGATAGTCGAAGCTGTTCACAGCGAAAAGGCCATGGCCGCCGCGGCGAGAAAAGTGCGGCACATGTTGGCGCAGCACTTTTGCACCACGTGGGCGTGCAAAACAAAATCAAAAGCTGGCGCATCCAGAACTACTCTGTCGTGGTTTGCTCGCGGGGAAAATATATGGATTGCAAAAATGTCTGGGTCTGGAAAGATGCGAACTTGTGATGCGCACTTTACATCACACAAAAACCTGTCGTGCATGGAAGCCAAAAGTTGCACACTTCTCGCCACCGAATAAAGAAGGTCTTTGTCATGCGGATTACGCATTAAGAGACCTTATCAAAACCTGTGATGCTAGGGCGTGCATGGTAGATCTTCTGGGTCATGCCGAAGCTGCATCACAAACCTCTGCATCCTCCCAGACCCAGACATTTTTGCAATGCATAAAATAAAGAAGATGACCACAAGAACGAGAACCCCTTGCAGATGACCACTGCAGAAGACGACTCGGTTCTACAGGACCTCGGAGCGGATCTGGAGGCTTACACAGCCGACTTGGAAGCTGCACGCGCGTACGGCGAGGAACAAGAAGGCCGGGGCCGGCAACGGCAAGAACTCCTAACTATTCCCTTCCAGTTCGCGCCCCTTCAGGGCGACAACGTCCTGTTTCTGCCGCAGGGAAGCCACATGCGTGAGCTGCTTGGCGCGGAGGTGCGAAAGGATGGAGATGAAGAAGAGCAGGGGGATATCACAAGAAAAAGTGTTAACGTTAACGGAATTTGTGATGCAGAAATGCATCACAAGACGTGTCAGAATTTGTCATGCATAGCATGCATATTGGGCTACATTTGTGATGCATGACTGCAATCTGTGAAAACCGTTTGTACGTTAACACTTTTTCCTGTGATAGGGGAAAACGCGAAAAATGCGTACGAGACGTCGAGGACCTTATCCTGAGTAAAAACGTACCCACACCAGAGTCAGGATGGGGATTTTGCAACACAAACCTAGGAGTTTTGTGAGTCACGCATCACAAGTTGCAGTCCGTAGTGTAGTGCAGGTTCGCAAGGCCAGCTGCATCAGAAATCCATCTGCTCATCCTGTTTACAGCATTACAAATTCCAAAACACGATTGAAAATGGTTCTCATGCGGATGCGCATTACAGGTCTTCCTGTCTTTGCAAATCTGCATTACAACTCTGGTGTGGGTACGTTTTTCCTCAGGATAGACCTCCACAGAGAAGCAAGGGCAAGCAGCTGCTGGTGCTCTACTTCCTACTATCCTATGTAAAAACGTACCCACCCCATAGTCAAGATGGGTAGTCGGCTAGACAAATCGACAAGCTTTGGCTATTTCGCATGACAAATTTGGACGCGTAGTGTAGTGCTGTTTGAGCTAGTTCAGCAGCATTACAGATCTAGTCTCTCATGCTGATTGGAGCATGACAAATGTCAAAACAGCATTAGAAAATGCTTCTCATGGGGCTCCGCATGAGAAACATTCTAAGCATGCAGATTTGCATGACAACTATGGTGTGGGGACGTTTTTACACAGGATACCTACTACTTCGGCTTCTGCTTCGAAACATGCTGCAACTTATGGATTGCAAATATGTCTGGGTCTGGGTCTGGAAGATTGCAACTTGTCATGCCAAATCCGAAGCATGGGAGCATCTGTGTTGCATGAGTGCCAAATAAAGCTGTCCACTTTCGACCAAGTTGGGAGGGAGTGATTTCTCATGCAGGACTGGCATGACAGAGACCACCTCACAGAGTCTGTCACGCAAGGTCCCGTCTTCCAGACCTCATGGGTCATGCAAAACCTGCATGACAAGTTTACACTCTACTTCCAGACCTTCCAGACATACTTGCAGTTGATACAACTTCGAAAAAAGCAACTGCTTCTGCCGCCGGTCTCGCGGTGAGAGAGCTCCAAACGGACCAGGGACTCTCAAAAATGACGCTCGCCCGGGTACTGAAAATGTTCGCGATGCGAAACACGCGGAAAAACCAGGCAAAAACCCAGAAGATTATCAAATGCAAAAATGTCTGGGTCTGGATGAAGGTTGGAACTTGTGATGCTACAAAATCTGAATCATGCAAAAAGACAAATCTGTGTTGCAAGATTAGCAAATGCTGCCCAATTTTGATCAAGTTGCGAGGCAGTTTCTACTCATGCAGGATAGGCACGATAGTGATCTCACAGATGAATCTGTCACGCTAGGTCCTCCATGACAGATCGTATGGGTCATGGAAAATAACCTAGATGACAAGTCTAGCAACCTCTTTTGCTGTTCGTGCAATACAGCTTTTTGTACCATCCAGATGCAGCATCACAAGTTGCATCCTTCCAGACCCAGACATTTTTGCAATGCATAAAGATGGCACAGGACCTATTTGGCGGTCCGTTGGAGGAGTGGCGCCTGCGCGACGACACATCTTTCGTAGACCTGATTCCGGTATGCATTGCAAATAGGTCTGGGTCCTCTGGAAGGATGCAACTTGTGATGCTGCATCTGGATGCTACAAAAATCTGTATTGCACGAACAGGAAAAGAGGTCCAGTTTTTGCCACGGCGGGCGGGCAACGTTTCTCATGCGGTTTAGGCATCAGGAAGCCGTCACAAAATCTGCGACGCTAGGGCATGCATCACAGATCGATCAGGAGTCATGCAAAATGTGCATGGCAAACCTTGCATTCTTCCAGACCCACATCGATATTTGCATTGGATATCCGGAGTTTTTGCTGCAAAAGATGTGGGCCCCCTTTTTGAAACATCTGCGGTTGCAGTGCGACAAAGCCGCGGTGCGGGGACGAGGCAGCAAGAACACTAGCCTGCTCGTAGTGAGAGGAAAAATCCCCCTGCTCCCCATATCAAAAAGGCATCACTCTGAAAATTTGTGACGCAGATTTGTGGTCACAAATCCGCTCTGTCTTGCAAGAAGGCAAGCGCCGTTGTGTGCGCTGCATTTTGGATGTGGTTTCTCATGCTGATGTACGTAGGGCCTACAGGGCAGGCGTCTCTCATGCGAAGCAGCTAGATGCTTCCACTCCTAAGCAAGCTGAGGATCTGGCTGCAGTCCTGCTATATTGCAAGACAGACGTCATTTGTGTACGCAAATCCAGCGTCAGAAACTTCGTTTCGATATGGGGAGGGGGGATTTTTCCTTTTGATAGCTCGCCATGCTCACGGACATGCCGGGCGGAGGCGAGTATGAACTGCAAAAGTATCGTATTCGTATAAATGCATGACAAATTTCCTCAGCATGAGAAATAAAATTTGTCATGCGAACTTGACTTGAGAAAGAAATTTGGAATGCATGATTGCAATACGAGTACGATACTTTTGCACAGGATAGCGAGGCGGAAGTTGTCAATCACGCAGCTAGTTATCAAATGCAAAAGTGTCTGGGTCTGGAAGGTTGTAACTTGTGATGCTGTCTGTGGAAGGTAAAAAAAATCTGTATTGCATGACCAGCATATTAGAGGAGTCCAGTTTGTGCTACGCGGCGCGGGCGTTTCTCATGCGGAATACAACGCATCAGAAGGCACTTGAAAATAAATCTGTGATCATGCTAGGTCATGCGTAATTACAGGCATGATCTTTACGGGTCGGTATGCAATAAAATATGCATGACCACATCAAACCTGGCATCAATCTCCCAGATGACCCCGACACTTTTGCACTTGATACTAGCGGCGCAATAGCACCAACTTCCTCGGCCTCTGCCAGTAGTACAACAAGTGACGATGCAGGCGCGGGGATGCAAACGTTTTTGCAGCAGCGCCCCGGGCTATCAAACAAAAAAAGTTCGTCACGATCACTTATGCGCATTTTTGCAATACAAAATTGGCTGTCATGCGTAAAAATGCATGACAGCCAAGCTCCTTCATAGGGGATTTCCCTAGTGTTTCTGCAATACAAGGAAAACTTGTGATGCTAAAAAAATTTGTAATGCAAAACCTGCAAGTTAGTGACTGTGACAAACTTTTTTCTTTCCATACGGGCCGCCATCTTCTGCTATCTTCGGGCCGCCCGCCCCCCGGCCTAAAAAGTCGAGCGCAGCTTATCCTGAGTAAAAACGTACCCACACCAGAGTCAAGATGAGGACTTTGCAACACAAACCTTGAAGTTTTGGGAACCACGCATGACAAATTGCAGGCTGTAGTGTAGTGCAGTTTAGCAAGGGAAGCCGCATCACAAATCCATCTCCTTATCCTGTTTATAGCATTACAAGTTCCAAAACACGATTGGAAATTCTTCTCATAGGGATGCGCATTACAAGCGCCTTTGCGCTTGCAGATCTGCATTACAACTCTGGGGTGGGTACGTTTTTACATAGGATACAGCTTCTGCTATCGGTCCTATGAAGATCTCGGCTGCTCCTCCGACGTCGCCTCTCCCCCGGGGTCATGGGCGCGCAGCTTCTGCTGTCTCGGCTCCACCGCCCCCCCGGGGTACTAAGGGTTCTTCAGCTAATATCCTACTTTCTCCAGTACCGCCTATGCCACAGTTTTCCCCTATTTTTACCCGGAAGCCGGGAAGAACAAGAACTCCATCTGCTTCGGGAGCTGGTCGCTCTTCGAGCTCCACTACTTCTTCCCGGGGACGTCGAGCATCTCCAGGGTCGACTCCAGCCGGACGAAATTCCGCCTTCCAGAGTCCGACCTGGTCGCCGTTGGCACGCAAAAATGGGAAAATTTCGACGATGTCGCTGGCGCAGCACCACGCTGCAGCGCCCGTTGTCGATAACAACATCCGGGATAGTACCGTTGACGACGGATTTCGTTCCGGGTGGTCGGCGACGAGGAGTACTATCAGCGACGAGGACGACTATCGACTGCAATTGTTTCGATCCGGTTCTGGAAGGACGATAAGTATTAAGAGCATTTATTGGATTCCATTTCTATAGTACTTAAGTCTAAGTATCAACAAAAATGAAGCCTGAATCTGTATTACAGATTCAGGCTTTATTTTTGATACTTATTTATATTTTACTTATTTTGGATGAAAATGAAAAAGAACAGCAAAAGTGGTCCAGTCAGTATTTGCTACGGCGAAATTATAAAGGCTTTTTTGTCCTCGTTCTCCTCGTCGCATCAGAAAGAAGTTGTACTAGTAGCCCTGGATTGGAAAATGATAAGTCATCTGTGATGCTAGTCGGGCACCATGCATCACATCAGATCGATGCGTGGCAAAGGCAAATGTCGCCTCGTCTTCTTTCCAGACACCCAGATCGAAATTTGCATTTGATATGTTCCCGGTCCGCGATGCGGAACCCGGCAGGCCGGGCTCGTCCTCGTCGTCCCAAGTGAATTTATCAACTGTAAAAATGTCTGGGTCTGGAAGAATGCAACTTGTGATGCTAAATCTGAAGCGTGCAAAAATCTGTGTTGCATGATTACCAAAAGTCGTCCAGTTTTGGCCAAGTCGGGAGGGAGTTTCTGATGCAGGATAGGCATGAGAGAGAGTGCACAGAATCTGTCATGTTAGGTCCTGCATTACAGACCTCATGGGTCATGAAAAAGCTGCATGACAAATCGCGCATTCTTCCAGACCCAGACACTTTTACATTTGATAGAATTTTGGGGGTACCCAAGTCCGACGCTTCGTGATTGGATCGTCACCGGAGTCGTACCTTGCCTCCGAAGACTCCGCCTCAGCAGCCTCTTCTCCCGGGCCGATAAGTTTAGCTAATCAAGAACTACATCGAGCTGCGGCTGCGCCCACCTCCGCCCTGCGCGCGGGCACACCCGGTACTACTTCGGCTGGCACGGGTATGGCGTTCTCAAATGTTACATTCTCAACACGAATTTGATGTATATGCAAGAATGGCAAAAGTGAAAGGAAGGGCCTTGCGCGTCCTCTTGCATGACAGATTTGGCACAGAAGATGTTCAGCCTGTTTGGCCGTCCGAGAATTTATTGCCATGCGAAGCAGCTTGAAGGCGTCGATAGTCAAGGTATTTTTGCATGACAAATCATGCAACAGTTGAAAATGTAACAGTTGAGAGCGCCATAACGGGGACGAGTCCCCCGGAAATCTCCGCGCCGGCACCAGGAACCGCGGGCCAGCCGGTTGTCGTGCCGCCGAAAGCGAAGGCCTCCGGCCCGGCGCCAGCCGTACCCAACATCTCGGCCCCGCCACCAGGAGAAGCGGGCCAGCCGGTCGTGCCGAAGGCGGAGCCGAAGGCGAAGCCCAAGGCGAAGCCCAAGGCGAAGCCCAAGGCGAAGCCCAAGGCGAAGGCGAAGGCAGCGGCCGGAGGTATGGCGTTCTCAAACGTTACGTTCTCAACTGTTACATGGATTTGTCATGCAAAATGACCATGAGCCGCCACACGATCAAGGTGCTCCGCATGATAAATTCTCGAAGCAGGGCTAAACACCACCTCCTGAATCTGCTCCACATTTGTAATGCAAAGCGCGCAATCTACTTCCCGCGTTCACTTTTGCTGTTCTTGCATGACGAATTCATGTAACAGTTGAGAGTGTAACATTTGAGAATCCCATAGGAGGAGCGGAAGGAGTATCCAGGAAAAAAAGTGTGTAAGTGTAACTTTCTTTGAGGAACAGCATCACAAATTTGCTCTCCATGACAGAGAAAACCTGTCATGCATGGTTTGTAAGGGAAAACACACATGAAAATAGGACTTCATGGCTGTCTGGCATGACAGGTGTAACTCTGTTGCATCCTCTGCAACACAAATTTACACTTACACAGTTTTTTTCTTGCATAAGGAGGTGGCGAACCGGACTACATCCGGGAAGGACTATACCGCAAGAAAAAACTGGTTCACTGTGAACTTGTGATGCATAGAATGAAACACAGATCTATTTGTCTTGCCACACCGACCTGCAAGAGCAAGACCTCGACTCTTTAGCGGTGTTTTCCGTTTGGAAGCGCGCATGGCAAATTTTCTGTGTCATGTGTAACAAACTTGCGATGCAGATCTTGCAAGATCATCACAGTGAAACAGTTTTTTCGTGGGATAGACTACAGGTTGCGGCAGGGGCCTATGGCGGGGCCGTGCTTTGGGCTCTGGTATCAACTGCAAAAATGTCTGGGTCTGGAAACTTGTGATGCAAAAAGTGACTGTTGATAGCCGGACTGCAATATGCAGCTACGCATCACAAATTTTCTGGCTGCCATGTCTTACGTATTTTTCCGCATGGCAAACTGCGTTTTTGCATAACAGGTAAAGAGGATCTTCTTTTCGTGCCTAGGCAACACAGATTCTCGGATCATGCCAGACAAGCATGACAAACTTGCATTCATCTTCCAGACCCAGACATTTTTACATTTGATTGGCGGCTCCGCTTGCGGGCGCGGGCGGCACGCTTTCTGTGGGTGCGGGTGCCGTGTTAGGGGTCATCGGGGTGGTAGAGCCTATCCAGTGCAAAAGTATCGTCCTCGTATGGAAATCATGCATTACAAATCCTTTTCTTGAGGTAAATCAGCATTACAAATTTCATTTCTCATGCTGGGGAAACTTGTAATGCATTTATACGAGTACGATACTTTTGCAATTCATAGAGACTATCCAGTGCCAATATCGATCTGGGTCTGGAAGAGGAAGGTTGCAACTTGTGACACTGTCTTTGGATCTTAAAAAAATTCGGAAAATGCATGACCAGGTAAAAAAGAGGACTGTAGTAGCTCCAGTTTGTGCTACGCGTCGCAAAGGGCATTTGTCATGCGGAATAGGCATCATCAGGAAGCGGCCCTCTAAAAATCGGTGATGCTAGTGCATTCTTCACAATCGACGTCATGGGTCATGCAAAATATACAGGACAATATTCCAGACCCACACATTATCCAAGAAAAAAAGATTGTAGGTGTAACTTTCTTGGAGGATTAGCATGACAGATATGTCTCGCATGACAGCAAAAACCTGTCATGCGCAGATAGTACGTGAAACGCCCTTGAATGGACCCTACTATGTAGGCTCAGCATGACAGGCGCAATCAATTTGCATGCTGCGCATCACAAATTTACACTAACAACGTTTTTTTCTTGGATACACATGTTTGCGGTGGATAGGGGTCGCCATACTCGGAGTCGTGAAGATCGCGCTCTATCCTGAGTAAAAACGGGGCCCACACCCCATAGTCAAGTTGGGAATGTAGCAACACAAGTTCACAAGTTTTGGAAGCTGTGCATGACAAGTTTATTCCCTCTGCAGGAGTGTAGTGCTGGTTGGCAACGGAATTATCCGTATGAGAAAGCCATTTTCTCATCCTGTTAATACAGCATATACAGATTCCAAAACACGACTGGAAATAGCTCCCATCTTCATGGAGCTGCGCATTACAAATGTTCCTGTCATTCTTGCGCATTTGCATGACACCAGCTCTGGGGTGTGGGCCCCGTTTTTACTCAGGATACGCCCCTGGTGTTGCTTATGCCTTGGACGGACGACGTTAGCCTAGAAGCTGGTGAATTTGCAATGAATTTGTGTAGTTGTATGAAGTGCGTGAGCTTGGTCGTGCCGCTTTCATGCCTCTAGCTGCACATCACAGCTGCGCTGCAGCCTGCGTCCTGTCTCCATGTAATTGTAGGGGCGCTCGCGTTGTTCCGGTTTTGTTTTGAATTTTTGGCCCCGCCGGCATCGGGGGCGCCAAAGGGCGGCGTCGTGCGCTTTGCGTCCCGTGCCCTTTCCCTGTGGAAGCCTAGTACCAAGAGCCTCGCGAAGGTTCGGCATTGTTGGTTTTCACGGTCGACATGGCGGCGCGCCGGCTCTCTTCGCCCTGCGCGCCTTTTCGGTTTGACAGCGCCGTGCCCACATTCTGGCGCCCACGGGGCAATGTATTTGTATTTCAGGTCGGATCTCGTTCTCAGTGTCTCGGACGAACAACAACCGGGCGCCCTTTGGCGCATCGGTTTTTTAGGGTCATTCTTGGCTAAGGCCATTGGCAGTGCTTGCTATAGCCATTCGTCGGGGGGGTTAGTTTTTGCCAAATGTACTGCCTTCATGGGTAGAAATGCGCTTATTTTTTGGGGTCAATGGTAGGAGACCCCCAACCGGTCATCTGTGCTTAGCACTGCGGTGAACGGCTAAGCGTGCTTATTTCCGCAATTCCCTAACGAGTGGTCACCGCGACCCCCCGCAACAATTTTTTACCAGGCCCGCAGCTCAACACCACGCGGGCGCGCCTTCGTGCTGCACGCGGGGACGAGCAGGCACGCAGAGGAGCCTGCTCTCGCCGGGCGGGCCAAGCGTAGCCATTATTTGCTGTAGAAGGCCAGGGGGCCTGCAAGATAGAGGCGCCGAATCGCCCACCCGCAACATCGGGCTACGGGCCGGGGCGGGAGGCTATCGCTGATGTCAGCACACACGTTGTTGTATAATAAATAGACAGGCACAACTCGTCCTGACGCGTGCGGCGGGTTTGTAGGTGTGGCGATTTCTTGTCTTCTGGAAAGAAGGAGGAGCGGGGCCAAGGCTCCATGCGCCTGTCCCTGATCCGGCATTTTATTTTTCCCTCCGTGGTTCTTTAATATTCCTATTCGCCTCCCGTCTGGGTTTTCGAATTTAGAGCCTGCCATGCGGATCTACCGATGAGGCTATTGGTTTGAACGCATTTTGAACGGATTTTCAACCGAGTTTTGAATTTCGTTTTGAAATTGAGGAAAGATTTGAATGACGTTTTGAAATTGCCGGGAAAGTTGAAATACGTTTTGAAATTGCCGAGAAAGTTGAAATACGTTTTGAAATTGCCGAGAAAGTTGAAATACGTTTTGAAATTGTGCTACATTTTGAATCATGTTTTGAAATGCGCCTCGTGTGTTGAGCTTGCTTGCGAATGTGGCCGCCAAGCTTGGCGGTTTTGGCGACATAAGGCTCACGCCATGACCCCACTCCCTATCTGGTAGCGGCATCGAGAGAGCTCGCGCGTTTGGTTTCAGATAGGCAGGGCCGTGTGGGACCCACGCCTGCCGGCCATGCTTGCGCTTCCAACCGGGAAGAAGGTCGCCCGCAACGCGAGGCGAATCCGCACTCTTTGCAGCGACTGTGTAGACGCAGCCACGCGCCACTTTGCCGCGGGCCATGCATTTTTCCCGGTGTTTCAACGTAAGCAGGGCCTCTGGCTGCACTCCCTGGGGCTTCAGGAATTGGGCTTCAAAGGCGTGCGCGCCGAGGCACCTGCAGACATCTCGCTGTTGCCCTCGCTCTGAGCCCCAAGAGCATTGGACGACCGCCCACAGGTGTTTGCTTCTGTGGTGTTGAATGGGCTGGAAATGTTTTTTGTCAGGGATGTGGTGTTGTGCATCTGGGTGTGTACACACTACGAAACGTTGACATTTTGAATTCGTTTTGAATTTGTTTTGCAATGAAATCAGCGTCCGTATACTTTGGATTTAAGGTTTTCGAAAAATTTAGAGCCTGCCATGCGGATCTACCGGACCGACGCGAGCAGCAGCTTGCGCCGGCCGCAGGATTACAAACGGCCACCCCTGTTAACACATTCGCGGGGAAATGCTTCCAATAATCTTCCGAAATCCTTCCAGCACCCGGCAAAGCTCGCGGCGCCCCAGCCCTGAGTGCAGCCGGGCGGCCTTCTTGTTTTTCTGCCCTGGGTGGACAGGCAGCCCACCGCGGCAGGGTGGCGTAGACAGTAGCCCGAGGCGTGGCGCGCAGCCGCTCGCTGTAGGGCTTGCGCGGCCCCTTTGCCACCTTAAACCAAGGCCGGAAATCGGGCGAGCTGCGCCCCCTTGCCCCCTGTGTTGTCCACTACAGCGGAACTACGAACTTAACGAAAGGCCGAGGCAGGCTTCCCAGCAAGCCTGCCGCGCCCGGAGGGGGCCGGCCCGCGGCCTTAGAAGATGCAGCCGCCGGGCCGTAGTGGGTTGCTTGTGGAAGGACCCGCGGCTCGCGGAGTGCGCCGCCAGCCGACAGCTGTCCCGGAAGAGGGCCAACAGAAAATCCTTCCGAAGGGACCGCCGGAAGGGCTTCCGGAATGCCCTCGAAAATCCTTCCCGAGGCTCCCGGAAATCCTTCCGGAACCCTTCCGAAATGCTTCCGAAATCCTTCCGAAATCCTTCCGCCGACGGTATGGTCGACCCTCCTGGGCGGAAGGGAAGTCGAAAGTTTTTTTTTTCTGAAAAAAGCAATTTGTAATGCGCCAAATGCTTCCGAAATCCTTCCCAAATCCTTCCGAAATCCTTCCCCTTATCCTGTTTCGCGGTCACAACTTTTTTGCTTCTCTTTTGCTTTTTTTTTTCGCCAAAAAAGCTGCTTCGCCTAAAAAACAGGATTTTTCAGCCAAGGCGCCACTTTTTCGCCCGGCAGCGCGCGGCCTACCTCGCACACCTGCACCCGACCGCCCGTCCGGCACCTGGCTACTGGCCTGGCCCGGAGTTCATTCTGGTTGCGCCCTTCCCCTCTGGTGTCCCAGCCTGCCATGCGGATCTACCGGACCGACGCGAGCAGCAGCTTGCGCCACGGTTGTATAATAGACAGGCATATCAACTGTAAAAATCCCTGGAGGTCTGGAAGAATTCATGTCTGTCATGCTTGTCTGGCATGACTCTTAAATCTGTCATGCACGCTACCCAAGAGCTCCGTTTTTCTGTGATGCAGAGCCGCAGTTTGTCATGCTGAATTATAGGCAACACCTAGGAGCTCAGTAGAAACTTGTCATGCTGAGCCAGTATTCGTAGCCTCATCATGAGACGCCACCCAGCATCACAAGTGCCCAGACCCAGACACTTTTGATGAGCAGCAGCTTGCGTCCGCAGAAGCGGCCTCTCCACGACTCGGGTAGTTTGTCAACATGCAAAATGGACGATAAAAATGCATTCAGATAAAAAAAATTCACCAGCTTTAATATTTATGCTAGCGAGTCGTGCTTTGTCGCGGGCATAGTTCTGGCGTTGTTTCTTCTTTTGGGCCCGATTTATTTTATTGGCGCGGACCCGTGGAATCCAAGTTTGTGGGGAGTCTATACACTTATTGGGTTGCTTATCCTCTTGGTAAAGTTTGCGGGATATCAAATGTAAAAGTGTCTGGGTCCTCTGGAAGAATGCAACGTGTGACGCTGCGTTTGGACTCCAAAAAAATTTGTATTACCAAAGGAAATGCTACGCTGAGAAGGCATTTGTCATGCGGAACACGCAAAAAGAATCTGTATTGCTACCGTATGCATCTTCACAGACGTCATGGCTCATGCAAAACGTGCGTGACAAGTGTCAGAATCTTCCAGACCCAGACACTTTTACAGTTGATACGGGAGCTTCGTTGCTCCTCTTTTTTTTCGGGACGTTTGTATTCGCTTTCTTTGGTACCGTGTACCTCATATCCTCTGCAAAAGTATCGTAGTCGTACTATAATTGCTAATATGCATAACAAATCTTCTTCCTAAAGGTAAAACAAAAACAGCATTACAAATTCCATTTCTGCTCTTCTTGCCAAAATTTCTTGTAACGCAATTATTATACTAGTAGGTACGATACTTTTGCAAAAATGCATACCTCAGTGTCGCCTGAAACAGTCAACGTGTGGAGCACGGTCATCCCTGATGGATTTGATACGAGGTCAACACGGACGGTTCACGAGAAAAAGGAAAATATCCTGAGTAAAAACGTACCCACACCAGAGTTGTAATGCAGATTTGCAAAGACAGGAAGACTTGTAATGCGCATCCGCATGAGAGCCATTTCCAGTCGTGTTTTGGAATTTGTGATGCTGTGAACAGGATGAGCAGATGAATCTGTGATGCGGCTGCACTTGCTAACCTGCACTACACTGCAGAGCGCAACTTGTCATGCGTGACGCACAAAACTCCGAGGCTTGTGTTGCAAAATCCCCATCCTGACTCTGGTGTGGGTACGTTTTTACTTAGGATAGAAAACTATACGTCGTAATCGAACAAGAGCTCAAGAACCGCCAGTCAGATGCAGCGTCGAAAGAGCGCAATATTAAGAGGAAAAGTCCCTCTCTCCCCATGTCAAACTGGAAATTTGTGATGCTGATTTGTGGCCGCAGACCACCTTTGTCTTGCCTATATGGTTAACTTTGTGAGGAGCCACGCGGCGCACCACTCCGCAGCCAGTCTGTCCTGCGCTTATTTCGCCTACTGCGTAGTACCTGTTTGCTGTGCCCAGTTGCTCGCCTTGTTCTGCATTATACCCAAACATGATGGCCAGAAAATTTAATACTGCAAGAGAAACAAATCGATGTTTTGTGTAGGTGTACTTACGAAAATTTCCAGCGTCACAAACTTCAGTTTGATCAGTGATCACATTCGTAACAACAGGAGGGGGGGTTTTCCTTTTCATCGAGGAAGCGACGTGAGCAAAAGTTTTGAACTTGCTCGACCACCAATGCTGTGAAATTGTGATTTTTCTTTTTGTTTTTCATTCATTTTACTTCTCCATTTTTCGTGATCGTGTCTTACATTCTTTCATTTCAACCTGTTCTTGCACTTGCAACAACTCACCATTTTTGTCACTAAATTTTGTAATATTAGTACCGTCACCTTGTAGTCGATGGATCGGCGATTGGTCCACTTATGAATCGGCGATCGATCCACTTATACAAGGAAGTTTTTTCCGACGCGTATATAGGTTCTTAAGGTTGTCTTAAAATGAAAATCGCTACCCTGTTGTATATTGTCAGACATCAGGACCAACAGCTGCTCTTCACGTTGAAAACTTTTCGTGATGATTTTCTTATTCTTTCTGACTTTATTTGCACTCATAAACGAATTCGCGGAATTCACTGCTTCCGTTTATTCCCCACAATAAACTTTGTGGAATTTCATACATTTTTGACTTTGACACATAGCGCCTGCTGCATTCTTTTCTTTTCATATATTACATCAAAAGTACAACAAACACGACATGTTGGCACTAATGAATTTATACAAAAATTTATCCTGAGTAAAAACGCCCCCACACCATAGTCAAGATGGGGAATCGGCTAGACAAATCCACAAGTTTTGGCTGTTTTGCATGACAAATTTGGATTCGTAGTGTAGTGCTGTTTGAGCTAGCTCAGCAGCATCACAGATCTAGCAGACCATGCTGATTGGAGCATGACAAATTGCAAAACACGACTAGAAAATGCTTCTCATGGGGCTCCGCATGAGAAACATTTTCAGCATGCAGATTTGCATTACAACTATGGGGTGGGTACGTTTTTAAATAGGATAAAATTATGCCAAAAGCAAAACTTATGGTACAAGATCAAAAGTTATTTTTTTGGTTCTGCAAGTCAGTATGAAAATGAATCTACTCAGACGATGAAGTGATCTACCACGACCACATCAGGCACACACGAGGACCGACAGGTCGTGATCTACTACGTACTCTGTGCCCTCGAGGATAGGCGGAGATGACATCACTACAGATGCCGATGTGCTAGAAGCATATGCAATACGTATATAAGTAGTGGCTATAGTGCCTGTACTAGTTGTGGTCAGTCACGACCCATGTCGGATGTAAAAAAAAACAATTTCCAGGAAGTAGGTCGGCGTCTGTTGCGACGTGTTGCTTAAAGTACTATCATGCGCCAGCGACGGTGAAATAAATGGCGAAATCAGGAAGAGCAGGAACAACACCAAGTCGCACAGGTTTTGATACGCTTCATCGTAGATTAAAAATACTGCCTAAAAATTGTGTAGACCACGTACTTAATGTTCTGGAATAGAGACCACGTCGTAAGAAATAAATGCCAGTCGTGGATGATTTTCTTGTGTGGCCATAAATGAACTGTATAGCTAGGGACTCACGTAGTCGCTTCCTTCTTCATTTTCAAAAAACCCTTCACAGGATGTGCTTACACATTTATGTTCAGTTCGCTATGCTACAGTGCTTATTTTCAAACTTCCCTTTGGGATTTTAGTTTTCAACATAAATGAACTGTATTGATAGATTTATTACGCGGCTGGCGCTGATTCCCATTCGCCGCAGCCTGAAAAAATTCTACGGTACCTGTTCCTCGTCCCGTTGTCCTGTAGTTGTTTCTTTTCCGATAGTGCAGCCGATTCATCAGTAGTAACAATTCGCTGTCTTAGGTAAGTAATTTCATCGCGGGATGAAAAAGAAAAAAGGTTCAGCTTCAGAAGCAACTACAATTATGCGATCATGATGCAACACATTTTTGACCAAGAAGATCCGTTTTCTTTTGTTGTAGTTGTGCCACCAAACGACGTTCCTGGTGAGAGCAGACCGAAGTGTCTAGATCCACTTACTAGCTTTACCTGGTAGAAGACGAGGTAAAGCACTCCTGCATCTTCCGGTCGTGCAGCTGGTCCTCGGGTGGATGTTGACCAGGTGTTGACCATTCGATCTGCCTGGAGAAGGAGCTGATAATGTAGTTGACCCGGTATTACTAACGATTCGACTTTGAAGAAGATGTTGATGTTGTGTGACTCACTTTATTTGAACAGGAGCGACTCTTTTACCATCATAATAAATTCGATGGCTAATTTTTATAAAAGACGATTGTCGGCCGCGACTACAACACAACTATTCCTCCCCCGTAGAAGTCGGTCCTGCAAAGTTTAAGTGTAAGTATATAGCTCAAACCCACTAGTAGTATATTCGTGTAGTCTATCCCGAAGAAGAAGAAGAAAAACAAAAAAGGCAATATAGAAAATGGCGACTTCCTCTTTATTCCGACAGAACCAGGACCAGAACGGCTACGGCATGAATCCGTCTGGCTTCCAAGCCGCGCCGTACCAACTGCACCAAGCAGTGGCCGTGCCACCCCCTCCCGCGCCACGGGATGTTGAACAACATCTTGTTCCAGGCGGAAGATCACCATCTACTGCCAGGGCGCATGATATTAAGCAAAACAAACATTCGAGAAGTAGAACAAGTAGTACCAGTCCAACTAGAACGAGTAGAGCAGGCCACCACGACAGAAGTACAGGAACAACATCAAGTTCTACTGCCCAACAAGGTCAAAGACTCCTGAAGAACCTCCCGAGAGAGGCGGTGAATTGGGTATTTGCAGAGCCGGACACCTTGCCAGAAAACGTCTCCCTCTTTGCGATTACAAAACAGGAGCTGATCGCAGGAGGTTATGCACTGCAAAAGTCATCTAGCACTCGTACTAATTCTTGCAGCACTGCTCCTGGTGCATGTATTTTGCAACTCCCTTCCTTATGATTAACATCCTCGTTGACCGCATATGCAAATTCCATTTCTACAGTATTCATCTGGGCAATAAATGTGTGATGCGCGGCTTCCTACTTTAAGGTACGAAGATACTTTTGCAATGCATAGGGATCCACCACAAGCGACTACGACTATCAACAACACCAAAGACTCCCCACAGTTTCTCTACCACGAGCATTACGGAAACCTGGCCGCGCACGATCCTGCTTTATTTTCAAATCAGCCACAGGCCGTGAGATTCGAGGCGAGGATACGGGCAGTAGTTCCTGTGGTTGATCATGATCAACACGACGGCGGTGCTGGGCGAGCGGCACCACCGGGGGCCCCCGGCGCGGCACAGGCGAGGAACTACACTTCCGAACAAGAAGTCGAAAAATTGCTGTCGATTGCGGTGCCACTCCCAGTACTACCAGAACCACCACATATTTACGGCCCGTCAACATCACAGGGGAACCTTTTTGACCAAGAATTCGACCGCTTTCTCTTCAACAGCGTGAACAGTATCGTACGAAAAAAGTGTTTCACTGTAGAGGACTTTGCAAGTTTTGCATCACACGTTTGTTTTACATGACAGAGGGGTTCCTAAGGGCAAACACAGCTAGAATAAATCCACTGTCTTGCATGTGTAGCATGACACAAACTTCTGCGATTCATTTTCTGCGTCACAAGTTTACAGCGAAACAGTTTTTTGTTGCGATAAACAGTTGCGGCTTGTTAATCTCGGAGCAAATGGTCATCGGCTTCCAACTGCCGACGCTCTTCAATACGTCGAATGTGAATCATCTCCCAGCAGGAGCTCAACAACAACTTCAGCAAGATCCTCAAATCGTGGAACTGGACGGCCGCGTTGTGGCAGACTACCGACCCGCAGCGTTAGCTCTGGCTGAAAACAATCAAAAAGCAAGACCAGGATCAACACCTCCTTCCGGCAAGAAAGCCCCCGCGTCCTGTTTCACTTCCATCCGGCGCGCTTTGTGGCACCCCTGCTCTTATCAAATGCAAAAGTGTCTGGGTCTGGAAGATTTTGAGACTTGTCATGCTTGTCTGGCATGACCAAAGAGTTTGTGATGCGTGTCCAAGAAGAGACCCTTTTGCCTGTCATGCAAAAACGCAGTTTGGCATGCGAAAAACGCAACACAAAGGAGCGCAGATATTGCTCATGCTTGCCTGTGCATTACAGAGCATAATTCACTATTCCCAACGCAGCATTACAAGTTTCCAGACATCCAGGGACTTTTGCAGTTGATAGCTCCGACACCCATGTGGTGGTGTTGTACCGGAAAACCGAGGAGGTCGCAGTTGTAGAGGACTCAACGGCCGCGGCACGAGGACCTCCAGAACTGGAGGCAAAAACGCTGTTCCATCTGATTGACCTCAGTGTGATGGACGAAGCTCCCGGAGTACAACTTCTAGAGCAGCAGTTTGTCGCTGATGGCAACTTACTAGTCGGAGGACGACCTGTAATACCGGCCGCGCAATTCACGCCGTCCAACGCAGTAGAAGTTGACGATTTTGATGGGGAAGGTGAGAGCGATGCGGTGGATTTGTGTGTGGACTTCGCGTTTTGCACCGGAGCCAGTTCAACAGCTGCACAGGAACTACCAGGAAAAATCGGCGCAACTGGGGCTCTACAACACCTTCAAAGTCATCCTCGTTGCAGCTCTTCCGCAACAGGAGCTCAAGAGCATACAGTATTACCCACGTTCAGCAAACCGCTGTGGACATGCGTCTCCGTGTTGTTTCTGCACGAGTCGGGGAAAATTTTTGTGCGGCAGGATTTAGGGACTATCGTGCCGAAACAGATCTTGCTGCCCATAGCTGCGCATGACAAACAACAAATGGACGACCAAAAGCTACTGCGCCTCCGGGAAGAGGGGTTGCTGAAGGTGAAAACGGTCACGAAGGAGGTGGTGGAGCGGAGTCGCTTGGTGGTGCAACAAGATAATTTGTATAGCGAAGACAACACGACAGCTGCTTTTTCTCATGCGCAAACCGCACAAGAACAACCAGTCCTCGAAGAGGTCTCTGCCGTCACGTTTGAGGAGCACGCTACCGTCGTGACTGCCTCCTCATTATCCTGTGCGAAAGTATCGTACTCGTATTGCAATCATGCATTACAAATCCTTTTCTTAAGGTCAATCCGCATTACATTTCTCATGCTGAGGAAATTTGTAATGCATTTATACGAATGCTATACTTTTGCACAGGATACTCCTCGTGGGTGATCCGAGAAGGCGACGCCCAAGTAGAAGTAGATGGGACCACGAGTAGAAAAAATAACCACACAACTACAAGAAGTGAGCTGCAAAAGAAATACTCGCAGTTGGTGTTAATCTGCAGCAACCCCCTGCCGGTCATCGCGCTCATACACCAGCAGCAACAGCAGAGGGGACAACGAACAAAAGGCGACTTTAGTTCGACGAGAAACAAAATCGGGCTGTCTATCTGCACGGTGACCGAGACCGAGTGTGGGAGTGCCATTGACGATATGAAAGTGCACAACTCCCCCTCCCCCTCATTTGTGTAGCACGAACGGCAATACAAGAGTCAGCAAGAGTGCCGGTTTTGCATGACAAATTTCCACAAGAGTGTAGTGCTGTTCAGGCTTCCAGAGTTTGTCATGCAAACAGTGCCAAGAAACACAGTTTGGATTTGGTGTTTTGCATGACAAATGAGGGGGAGGGGGAGTTGTGCACTGTCATAGACGAGTTCGAACTGTGCGAAGAGGAGGAGAAGGAGCCGCAAAATTACGCCCGCGGAGACGAGAACATCGTTGACATTGTGGAAATCAAAAAAATGTATAAATAAAGCATAGCGAGGACTTCTTGTTGCACACTCTAGACGCACACAACTGTGATGCGCTTGTTCTCGTCGCATGTTGACTTCCACACGATATTTTGATTATCAATTTTCACGGTGTTGCTGTAGGAGAAATAAAATTGCTCACAACAGGTAGTAGAAGAACTACACCAGCTTCATCATTGTAGTTTGTCGCTTTGAGTAGAGATCTTCAAAACCTCTCTTTCCGTATAAATCAAAACAGCTCACCATCTACCAGCGACATCACGGCTTCCACGACACTCGCGGACAAGTTTGTGATTCTCGGGAGAAAGCTGGCGTTTTTTGTGCAAATCAACTGGCTCGAGCAGCTCACGAAGTCCAAATGGAGCGGGGAACTGCAGCCGTCGGTCTGCAAGGTGCTGAATACGAAAACGAAGAAGCAGATTGCGAACTTCTACTTCGCAGGAGCAGGCAGGAGGGAAGGTATAGGTGGCACATCAGGGCAGATCTAGATGCTTACTTGCAGACATTATGACAGCACTGCTCTGTCTTGCACGACTCTACTATAGTCGATGACAAACGCGAGCTAGCTTTAGCATTGCAGAATTCAGCGAAAAAAAAATCAGGTGTACTGTTTTTCGAGGATGACGAAGAGATGAGTCTGCTGCAGACCCCAGACCAGACCCCCGAGAAACAGACCCCCGGACAGGACAAATCAGGCCTATTAAATAACCAGGCTAAGGCCGCAAATAAGCGTGGCGAACACGAGCTACTCATGGTACAGCAGCAGCTTGATAAAAACTACAATCTCGTCCACAATACCCTGTACCTCCCGTCCCAAGCCTTTAACTACCAACCACCTTTGCTGCAGCACTACGACGGAAGTAGAACAGGAATGAACATGGACGTGCCAGGAGGCGCGGCAGGCACCAGCTCCGGAACAGGATCAGGCCCGACACGACCTTCGTACCAAGCGGACCTGCTGCAAAACCAGAACCAGAACACGTTTAACTACCAGCAGCTGAAGCAGCAGGAGCGGAAACAGCGGGAGAAATTAGAAACTTTATTGTTTAAAAACCCGGAATTGCTGCTACCCTCCGGGAATTTGTTCGGAATATCCTGTGCAAAAGTATCGCACTCGTATTGCAGTCATGCATTACAAATCTTGTCCTTAAGGCAAATCCGCATTACAAATAATTTTATTTCTCATGCTGAGGAAATTTGTAATGCATTTATACGAGTGCGATACTTTTGCAATGCATACGGAACGACAAGCAGCAAGAGTCTCGATATCGACGTGAAGGCGGTGGTCTCGCAGGTGCACAACGTGCAGAATGCGTTTGTGAATGAATTGCTGAAGAAAGCGGCGATCTTGAAGAAATACCGCGAGATGAAATCGGCGGGTGGTGAGCAGGGGCAGACCCTGAAACTGTCCACGCAGCAGTTGCAGGAACTGAGTGCCAAAGCCGACGAAGCAGACAAAACGCAGAAGGAGCTCGAGGAACTGTTGATGAGTTTGACGAAGAAGCAGAAGGAGTTGAAACGACAGTTTTTGGATTTGGAACAAGCCTGCGTGCGGCAAGCGAGCGGGGAAAAAGCGGTGGAAATCTCGATTGGGTTGGAGGAACTGGGACGGAGGATCGGGGGCGGAGATGTTGGGGGTGCTGGGGGCGGTGTAGTTGGAGTTCCGGGGTTGGTCCGATGAAGCGAAGATCATGGGGGCGCGATTTGCGGCATCTTCATGCGGAAATGTTTTTAGTTGCGGCTTGATTGCCATTTGTTTTCTTACTTATGATTATCGGAAGATATTTTTATCGGCGCGGGCTTGTCCTAGTTGTAGTTTGAAAAACAGAAATCGTGAAGCAGCCACAAGGCATTACTGGTACCAGAGAACCTGGAAGAGTCAGTGTTCAGTTCCCTTCAATGTAATTGCGTGCTGGCCTACAGGGAGCGGACGTATGCATCAGGAGCGCAGCGAAGCGTCACGAATATAGGCACAAGAGGACACGCCGCGCGGACTGGTTTACTCCGCCCGACGAGCCCGCCGGGCGCGAAGACCGCGCCGCCCGGCGGGACCCCTAAGGAGGGAGGCCGCGGCGTGCCTCGTTTCCGCGGCAGTCGAGTCCAATGCTGCTGAGCCGCCTGCCGTGCTCACAGCGCCCCGGCTGCGGCCAAGCGTGGCCCAGCAATTGCGCCGGACGAAGGTACGAAGCGGCCGGCCCGGCAGTCCGCATGGGGGCGCGCGAGGTCCAGCGGGGCCCACGCATCTACTTCGGTGGAGACGAAGCAGGGCCCTCGGGTACCCGGTGGGCAAGAGGCGGGGCAGTTTTGCTTTCGGATGGCCCCCGGCCGGGCGCGCGCTTTGTGGCCGGTCTGTGGCACGTCCGTGCAAGATTCGGCGCGCGCCCGCGGTTCGGGAACCTGCCGCGCCCCCGGCCCCAGACCGCGTAAACCGGGCGACTGGCGGACCGGCGGGGGAAGCCTCTCGCCCCGGCAGGTTAGTTTTTCCGTCTGTTGGGCAGCGCGCCAGCTTCCGTCGATAGAAATAACGGCGCGTGTGCTCCTACTTGGTGGCGTTGCCCTTCCGGCCCGCGCCGGTCCCTTGGGTGCGCCGGGCCCGCTTGCGGGGCGGGGGCGGCGGCTCGGTTTTGGGGGCCGCCGGCCGGGGCGTGCGCCCGCCGGCCCGCTCGCTTGCTTCCTTGGGCCCGGCGGGCCAGGCGCCCGGGGGCCTCACGGAGCTGGACAGGAAAGTAACCAACCGAGTTTGGCCTCCCTCCGGTATCGATCCGGGCTCTTTCTCCTCGCACAGACGGGCGCCAAACCGAGGACACACACCCGGCCGGAGGGGGGCAGCGATTGGCCCCCTCTGCAATCGAAAAGGCCGCCGGGGGCGCGCGGCCGGCGGGCGGGGGACGCGGCCAGCTTGGGTGACCTGGCGCGCGCCCTGGGGTTTGGGCGACCGAGCGCCTAGCCCGGCCGGCGGCCTGCTGCGTCCCTCCGTTTCTTTGGTGGGGCGGGCTTGGCGCGCGGCCCACCGGCAAGCGACCGGCGCCTCCCTTGCCGCTGCCCAGGGGTAGCGTTTTGGCCCCGGGGAGTGTGCGTGTGTGTGCGCCCTCTTACTTTCCTGCGATCAGTCTTGCCAACTCGTGTTGCGCAGAGCGGTTTCGCTTGCCCGGGCCAGCCCGCGTTTGTGAGGAAGTGGGGCATGCATGGGGCAGGGGTCCGCGCCGGCTTTTGGTGGGCTCTTTCTGGCCGGCGCGGCGGCTTTTTAGGCCGGCAGCCGTTTGGAGGTCAAGCTTGAACAATTGGCACGCGCGGCTGTGTGTGTGCGTTATGTTTGTATGGCAGCCCCAACCCGCTGGCGCGGTTGTTATTGCTTGAAGGTATCTATGTGTAAGTATAGCTGGTCCGTCCGGCGTATGTCTGAGTTTGTTCTTCTACTCCGGCCTTCTTGTCCTTCGGTCAAGTACAACTCTGAAAAATGGACTCGGTCATAAGTTTTGTAATTCACGCGTTGGCAGCACTCAGTCTCATTTTCCCCAGAAGCAGCACCGTCGTAATTTCGGTCTTTTGGATGTGCCTTGGATGTTCTGTTCGTCGGTCGCGGGCTCATCTTACGCTTTTTCCAAGTGAAATAAATCGCTGCTCAGGCTATAGTTTGATTTTCTGCTTCGGTTCTTCACAAAATGAAGCGTTGCGTCGCGGTCGGTTAAGAGAGTATAGTCTTTGACACAGATTGACGCGCGTGGTCTTACAACTTCGGTCTCATCTACATCTTGCGCAACCTTTTTCATCTTCGGTTGCAACGCACACCCTCCAGAAATCGGAGCCTGTCCTGGTACTTGCCGTATTTTCGTGGACGGATATGTGTCTCGGTCTCGGTCTCCTAAGTATTCGGTTTCTTCAGCTGAAGATTTTTTGCCTTGCTCTGCCTACGTATAAAACAAAAATCAGATTAAGCTTTTTCATCTGCCAAAACAATCCGGCAGCACTTTACGACTTCTTCTGACATGACTTTGACTACGTCTACGACACTCATCAGATTCAGATCACAGCCAGGAATTATCTTAAATATCATGACTTTAGTTGTTGATCTTGATGTTGGTGGCGGCCCCGGGTGGGCCTCCACCTCGAAAGCCAAAACTGCGTGCCCCACCCGTCCGTAAAAGTTATACCACTAGCCGCTTAACAATAATTCTCTGAGCAAACGGTATTTGTATTTCAAGAGGCAACTACCTCACATACCGGTCATTATCTTCACGAATACGACCACGACAAGTTGTGCCTCAAATAAATGGTTAAAGTTGATTTCAACGTAACGACTTCCAACAGGATGGTGGAAAACGAAAAATCCGGGAAGATCAGCCAGAACTACGACTACACGCACACGACGAGGAGGTCCACCCGCCTGAGCACCGACAGCGCCAATGAGGACAGCAAGAACCTTATCCTGTGCAAAAGTATCGTACTCGTACAAATGCAAGTCTTGCATTACAAATCTTGTTTCCAAGGCAAATCTGCACTACAAATTTTATGTCTCATGCTGAGGAAATTTGTAATGCATTCATACGAGTGCGATACTTTTGGTTTTGGAGTTCATAAACCTCCTCGGCAGCGAGCTCTCCGCCCGGCTGGTCTATCATGTGCGAAAACGTCCCCACATAAGAGTTGTTGTCATGCAGATTCGCAACACCAGGAACTACACTTGTATTGTGCATCCCCTGCATGAGAGGCATTTATTTTCATTCGTGTTGAAAAAATATTTGTAGTGCTGTAAACAGTTGAACAAGTGGCCTTCTGAAGATGCGACTGTCCTACTTGGCAGCCTGTATGTTCCCAACTTGACTCTGGGAAGTAGATGCGGACGTTTTTACCAACGATACGGTCCAGAAGATCTTCATCGGATTTTTCTCTGCCGTCCCCGTTTTGTACATGTTTACGCTGCCCTGGGTCGGGTTGCACACGCTGTATGCCAAGGCGCCCCCCCAGTACAATCGGAGCAATGAGTGGTTTGACGGCGTGGAGATTGATGCCGGCGCGCCCGGTATCACGCATGTGGAGTTTGTGCCTGGCGTGACGAGCGCGGCGCAGTTGCCAACGGCGCACGGCCCCTCGACGCTGGTCTTGCCGGAACAACTGCGGGTGGAAGACTGGTATGCAATGCAAAAGTATCGTACTGCTCGTATAAAAAATGCATTACAAACTCCCCCAGCATTACAAATCCAATTTGTAATGCTGATTTACCTTGAGAAACAGGTTTGTAATGCGTAAATGCAATCACTACGAGTACGATACTTTTGCACAGGATAACTGGACGAATTTGCAGATGCTGACGTTGTCGGAGATGATTGCGGACGCACCGGCCACCGGGCTCATGTCCCTGCTTTTCTTCTTCCCGTGTCTCTTCCTGTGGTTCGATTTTCTCGCGGTTTCGGCAAGGGTGCGAAGATATCGAACGCAAATCAATATGTAATGTCTGGGTCTGAAATTGAAAGTAGTAAACTTGTGATGCGCTGGGCGGTTGCGGTTCTTAGACAGGTACGACGAGGACGTGCCTCAATTCACATACAAGGAAGCGTGACAACTTTTTGTGTCCTCGCTAGGTGCTGTTTATCTTGCCGATAATTCTGAATGGTACTTAAATTGCGTTTGTGCATGACAGAAAGCTGTCCTGCGGCGTGACGTGCATAAGAGACATTTGAGACTTCTTGTGTCAGCTGAGCATGACATTCTCCCAGACCCCGACATCATCATGTTTGCAATGCATAGGAGCGGCAAGATGGAGCACATTACATACACGAAAGTGTATCGCTTGCTGCTTTTCTCGCTGGTGCTGATTTTCCAGATCTTGTATCAAAAGGAAAAATCCCCCCTCCCCATATCGCAAACGAAATTTGTGATGCTGGATTTGAGTACACATATCAGATTTGTCTTGCTGAAGAGGACTGCAGGCCCACATCAAGCCTGAGTAGAGAGGTTTTTGCCTAGGCGCTTAGCATGAGAAACGTCTGCGCTGTAGGCCAAACAGCATCACAAACCGCCTGCATAAATGCGGCGGAGCCTGTGGAATTGCCTTCCTGCAAGACAGAGATCATTTGTGGTCGCAAGTCAGCATTGCAAATTTTCTGAAACGTACCTTTTCGATATGGGGAGGGGGGATTTTTCCCCGGGATATCTTGTTCGGTTTGTTTCTCGCGCACCCGGTTGGCATAGACATATGCTCTGCAAAAGTATCGTACTCGTATAATGAATTGCACTCATGCATGACAAATACCTGTCCCAACCTGAATCAGCATGATGAATTCCAACTTATTTGTTCTTGGTAAATAAATTTGTGATGCAATTTATACCTAGATACTTTTGCAATGCATAAGAGAAGGCCTTCGACATGGTGCACTACTGCGTCGTGATGGGCTTCTGCTTCTTCAGCAGCTTCTATTTTGTGTGCCGACTTTACGTATCAAATGTAAAAATGTCTGGGTCTGGAAGATTCTGACACTTGTCATGCACGTTCTGCATGAGCCATGATGTCTGTGATGCATACCCTAGCAATGCAGATTTTTTGAGGGCTTCTTGATGCGTATTCCGCATGACAAATGCCTTCTCAGCGTAGCAAAAATTGTATTTTCTTTGGTACTCATGCAATACAGATTTTTTTGGAATCCAAATGCAGCAATTCTTCCAGACCCAGACATTTTTACATTTGATATTACGGAGAGTGGAATTGGGCGGTGGCAATTTTTGCGATGTTCGGCTTCTTCGCCTTTGCGGTACTGGGCTACATATCCTGTGTGCAAAAGTATCGCTACTCGTATTGCAATCATGCATTACAAATCCTCTCTTTAAGGTAAATACACATTACAAATTTCATTTCTCATGCTGAGGAAATTTGTAATGCATTTATATATACGAGTGCGATACTTTTGCAGTGCATACTACAGCCTGTTCAGCAAAACAAAAATTAAGTACTGGTTTTGGGTTGCGGAATCCCTTTTGCATTGCAAAAGCATCGTACTAGTATAAATTGCATAACAAATTTTGGCAAGAAGAAAAATGGAATTTGTAATGCTGTTTTACCTTAGGAAGGAGATTTGTCATGCATACTTGCAATTAGTACGAGTGCGATACTTTTGCACAGGATATCCCTGGGACTCACCGCCATGATTTGGATCGCACCCATGTATTTTTTGGCCGGACAGTGTACGGACCGGAGCGGCAAGGAGTTTTGCATGTTTCGGTGTTGCGCCTGTTGTATCAAATGTGAAAATGTCTGGGTCTGGAAGATTTCTAGATTTGTCATGCATATTTTCCATGACCCATCATGTCTGTGATGCATGCCGTAGCATCACAGATTTTTAAAGCGCTTTGTGATGCCTCTACAGCATGAGAAATGACCTCTCCGCGTAGCACAAACTGGAGTCCTCTTGCTGGTCATGCAATACAAATTTTTTCAGAATCCAGAGACAGCAGCACAAGTTTAGAATGTTCCAGACCCAGACATTTTTACATTTGATATGTTGCTGTCCCCGGGCGCGGGAAAGAGTGGAGTTTGCACGGTCGCAGTACTACAATGTCTACGGCGCAGCTAGTACAAAGGTCGTGGATGAAAACACCAATTCTGATCAAGACGAGGATGTGATGCTGGAGGGCGAAGATGGAGCAAGCGAGGGGGACGATATTTTTTCGGTGTCGGACAAAATTTGAGGCGCTTTTTTTCCAGAAGATACGCATGGCAATAGTAGTACCACTCTGAAAGTCTACTTTCCACTTAGTACATTTACTATACTCATTTATTACATTTTCTTGATGCTTCTCTGAAAGAAGTAAGTTAGCTTGTTGTACTAGTGATTACGGATCATTTACAAAGCAAGAACTACCAGGAGCGGTTTGTTGATGCCCACTGCCGTGTAAGTAAGTAGCTGCGAACTACTGGGTGTTATCGCAGTGGCAGTGGTGGAAAAGTATTCACAAAGACAAAAACACCCTCCTGTTACGAATTATCAATAAGTTTTTTTACTATGATCCGCATGAATATTGTTGGATTTGGAACAGCAACAATCAATCTATCACAATCAGCGCTGAAACAAAATTAGCAGTTATGCAGCAACGCCTCGATTTATAGTTGAGGGTATCAACTGTTTCTTGTGAAGCAGAAGTACATCGTGGCTCGCAGTGCTTGTGTTCGTCGAACGTAGAACTGTTGTTCAAGATCATTGCCTCCTCCGCACGCTTCAAAAGAGAATGAACTCCTCGCGCCGTTTGGCAGATCGTTGCTGCTATGGTGTATCAATTTTTACTTACTTAAGAGGAAGAAAGTAATGAAATACCTCTAGCCCGGGGAGCCGTCGCTTCTTCCCGCGGCCAACAAAAATCCAAAGTGTCCTCAACCTTTGTGCCGTCCCTCGTACCGTGGGCATTCTCGTTCTTTTCCGAAGCGGCAAAAGGTTTATGTGCAGCAGCCAGCGAAGAATCTTCAATTGTAGCCAATAAAAGGGGCAAGAACGCGAACAAGATGAGCAGGCGACCGGCAGGAACCCGAACCTTTGTTTCGTGCACCTACATGATGCAGGTGGGTCTTCTGTTGCTCGCCTTCACGACAAGCATAACGAAAATTCAAGCTCAAGAACAACTACAAGAAGGAGCCGCAGAAAAAAATAAAAACTTACTCTCCCCACAAGACAAGCCCAGATTCGCGCACGCCTATCTTTCGCACACGGCGGACAAGCTCAACTGCATTTTTTCGCGCCTGCTGGGAAAATCGTACAAGGGCCACGGGAAAACCGGCCGGAGGGGGTGCTTGGAGTTGCTGCTGACGCCCTCGACGCCGGACTTTGCGGGACACGGCGTGTTGGATAAAAACCTGCTGGAGGACAGCAAAAAGCAAAAATTCGAATTTGACCAACGCACGGCGACGCATCTGTTATTCGAGGAGGCGTATGCATTGCAAGAGTTGTATCGTGTTCGCGCTATGTTGCATGTAGTGCATTACAAGGAGTAGAAAGGTGGAATTTGTAATGCTGATTGCGGTCGGGTGGAAGAGGAAGCGTGCTTGTCATGCGTGACTACAATACGATTACGAATGCATACGAGTGCGAAACAGCTTTTGCAGTGCATAAGGCGGAACGAATTTCCGAGAAGAAACCCTGGAGCCCGCGAATGTACAATTTCAGATCGGAACACGACCGGAAGCCGCACTCCACGAAGTGGAAGGAAGTTCGGGATTTCAACAAGATGTCCTGGGCGATTCTGAAGTCTCTCGAGCAGGAATTGCTGAATTTGCCGGAAGAGATCTTCGGGGGTGGGGCGGAGAAGCGGAAGAAGAAGAAATACAAGCAACCACATGACGTACTCACCGCTGCGTCAGAAGATGTTGTTGAAGAAGCCGACGTGCACTACCGGTTTTCCTGGCAACTGCAGACGGTGAAAGGGTTGATCACAGCGGTTGAGAACGAAAATCGGGTTTGGGAGGCGGGCACCGCATTCGGCATAGTCGGTCCGGAAAAGGCGCCGGACGGCGAAGTAGAGAGGAAAAAAGGAAGAAAATCCGTCGGGGCTACACTGGATCAGTTCCTGAAGAGTTCGTTAGGCGTGGCACCGACGAGCACGATGAAAATTGGTAGTCCACCTTCGCAAGAAAACCGAACCATTTCTGGCGCAACTGCTGCTACAAGAACCGCAGGATCTTCATCTTCCGTTCTCTCCGCCTGCCCGCTCGTCAGTAATGATCTGAGTTCCGAGAAATTCTTTCACAACAGCGGGAGCACGCAGACCAGCACAACTTCTGGCGGAGGAAGTAATGATTCGTTTTTCTCCGGCGAGGCAGCGTTTGCGGTGTTCAAAATGCACTTGAAGTTAGGGGCGGAGAAGCTAAGACAGTGGTTGTTTGTGAACAAATTGGCGCAGAAATGGACAAAAAATTACGAAGTGACAGTTACGGATACGCATTCGACGGCGTCCACGACTTCTGAGGGAGAAACAACCTCCGGATCTGCTCCTGCGCAAATGACATCAAGCAACTTCTTGAGTCTCAACCTCGCCCTGAAGCTGATCGCACCGACATTAGACGAGGGAAGCATCCTTGCCGCCAAAAATATCTCAAATAGTACAGGCAAAGACGGTGGCGAAACCGAAACCTCCACTCCGGAAATAGCCTCTAACCTCATCCTGGTCAACGACATTGTGAACAGCGTGGCGCACTTGCCGTCCTACTCATCGAACTCAGGCGCGGATGACGCCTTCGGCTCCTCCACCTGGGAAGCGGTAGAGCAAGCGGGGCCGACTGGTCGTGTGGCTTCGTATGGAGTGGACGAGGAGGGTTCGAAAGCGAAGTCTTCTTGGACGACGAAAAAGAAGGTGAATCGAAATCCCAAACCTAGGGCATTGTTGCTTGCGGAGGAGGAGGAGGAACTTCTGAGAACAAAATCGGGCAGTGAAGATTTTTCCCCGTTTACTGCAAGTACACTCTCCACAACCACCCGAGATCTCGCCGGCTTCTTCTACTCGGCAATCCCCGCGAGGAAGAAGGTGACGAGTAAAGGAACGAAAACCAAACCGTCCACGCTAGTCCAACCAAGTGACCTGGTCTACGTGGTGAACGCAACGTCTGTGTTGCTGTTGAATGAGGAGGACGAGGGTAATAAAGCGACTAAAGCAGGCTCAGCTTCATCAGCCCCCTCTTCTCCCTGGACCCCCCTCCGGCTGCAGAAAACCGCCTTTCGGATCATCGCGTCTTATTTCATCAAAACTTACTGGCTCTGGAAGTTCGTGATGGAGAAAAACTGGTTCGAATTCCACCCGGAAAACAGCCATTTCGGGTCGTCTTTAGAAAATGCTAGCCTTTCGCAGTTGGGGATCGTGCAGAAGGGTTTGACGGAATTGCTAGCGGAGGAGTTAGTGCACTTTTCCACGAACAATGAACAAAACGTCGACGACGGGTCGTCCTCTACTTCGGGAAAAGCTGTCCATTCCGGAGCGAAGACGAAAGCGCAGGACCAGTTTTCGGATGAAAAAATTCTGCCGAAGAATTGCTTGAAGCCGATGGAGAGTGAGGAGCTGTTTTTGAAACGAGTTTTACCGACGGCGAAGATGGTTTTTGCGGACGACACGGATCCGGGGTATTTGGACGCGCGGAATTTTTTGAAGCACTGGGGCGTGAGCTTGGTGGCAAGGTATTTGGCGGAGGGGAAGGGGATGGGGTGGGAGGAGTTGCTAGAAAGACCGATGTTGCCGCGGGATTTGGTTGTGGTGGATGAGAGCAGTGAGGAAGCGGTGAATGAAGCTCAAGAACCAATTTTTCTTGGAGGAGCGCATGCTGCCGATGAATTGTGAAGTAGCCAAATCGCAATCAGGCCCTAGATTTTCATTTTGGTAGCGTTCTCGAAATAATGAAAGGACGGGGCGCCGCGGCGGCGAGTCTTCCGCCTTGGAGCATACACACAAAATGTGGATCTAGGTGGTTGTTGTCTTTTCCGAGGGTGTTTGCATTTGTTCGTTTTGCTGGTGAATCCTCGTCCTCTCGTTCGATAAGATCGTACGAGAAGGTGCTGGAAGAGATGCGGAGTCTGGCAGGCGCCGAAATCAGAGAGCGCGTCAGATGACACGAATTTGAGTTGCAGCTCCTGCGCAATCGAGCGTCAGTGATGGTTTCGAGTAGCAATCCTCTCATGTGAGCGGTCTAGACGAGTGCAGTGGAAGATGTTGCATTTCAACATGTCGAAGCCTCTGCGGATGCGCGCACGTGTGGGCCGTCCTCCGAAGGACTTTCTTTCTCTGGACGAAGCGCGCGTAATCGTGCAAGAAGCGAAACTGAGGAACAAGCCCTCTTTTACGCGTTGGCTCAAGCAGAATCCAACGCACGCGATCCCCACCAATCCGGACAGAGTGTATTTGAATCACGGGTGGACCGGCTACCGCGACTTTCTGGGTTACGGGAGTCGGCGGGCATCCCGTCTCAAAGAAGCAACAGCCGATCCATTCAGAAGCCGAGTTTCCAGTAAGTGCCATTCGCAGCGGATCCAAGCGATAAATCTTGTGTGCGACGCAATTCGCCGAGGCGCTGAAGAAAAGCAGGTACAAATCGAAGTCCGCATGCTACCACTCTACGCGTCAGCCGCCTTTCTTTTCCGTGTGCGCCCTGCAGGAGGAAAGAATGTAGAAGCGTTGCACGAGCAGGAAGAGCAAGAAGATGCGTGGCTGCCGGTGGTAGTGCGGTCCGCGGGGGCACAACTTCGACGAGAACATGCGATAAGTCAGGGACACAGCGATGACGAGGCGCAGTTTGGAAGCAATACTGCAAGTTTAACCATCCCCGTCCCATACTCAACAGACCAGTCGGCTACAACGGAGGACTCGTCTACATCGTCAGTCTCGTCTCTTTCCGGGTCCACGTTTTGGAGGTGTAAATTTAACAAAGCGTCCGCACTGTTTGGAATGCCACTTCTTTGCATCGTGCCGGATTCTCAAGAGATGATGCTCACGACTTGCGCGTCGAATGTAAGGTGCGCACTTACTCCGCAGGAGATCAAGCGCTCCTGCATCAACTTTCAAGCGACATCGGACAGCTCCGCACTAGTAAACTTCCTCATGGAGCATTGGAACCTTCGGGAACAAGACGAGAAAAAGTCCTTTCACATTTGGACGGACTGCCTGACTCACGGACCACTTGATGCCGTTCACAATCGCGGAATTTTTTTTCTGAACCAGTTTTTGTACAAGCCGCTCGGGCTGCCGCTCAACTTCTGCACGACGGAGCACTACCGCAACACCCTCTACAACGCGAAGGTCGGAGAGAACCGCGTCCTTCATCGAAAGGCAATGAAGATACGAGCAGCAGAAAAGTACGAGAGTTCCGGATACCGAGTCAAAGTCGAATCGCACCGGTGTCCTGATGGGCTTGTATTTTCCGGGCCAATGAGCAATTTCGATACTTTCGACTTTTTGATAGCGTTCTATAGCGGGCCGATTGGAGGGTCTGATACTTCAATCCATGGCGTTTTCATTATTCCCCAGCGTATACTTTTAGAGAATTTGAAGATTGAAGACTCAGCTGCATTCTATGCCTGGTTGACACTGTATAATCCCTGGGCAAAACCGCGGCTGATAAATTCGAGGAGAAACCGTGCCTGGCAAGCACCCTTTTTCATCGATTTTTTCGACATAGAAAACGACCCGGACAAAGCCGGCGCAGCCCTGGAGAAAGCGAAAGCGATATTCGCGGAGTATGGAAAGTGATGAAATCAAAATCTTAACTCGGTGGCCACGCTCTCTAGCATGCCAGGCTGACAGCGCATCAGAATTCGGGCTCTGGTGTTTGTGTTTCAAGATACATAGTGCTGTTACTCCACCCAACCACCCGCATCGTCAAAAAAATTGCTTATTGATAAATTCACAGTTTTCTTGCGATCCTCCCAGTTCCGCTTCGGCTGCTCCATGTCGGTTTTGGACCGGTGACAAATAAACGTGATCTTCACGAAGTTTCCGTGCCAGATTGCATCTGCGGTGCGAAGCTTGCTGAGCAACAACTGATCATCCCTTGTAGTTGTAAAAAGTTGCAACTTTAAGTCTGCGTGTCAGACAGGAATAAATTTGAACATATCTTTGGGTGGCAATTTTTATCTTCCGCTGTTGCTCCGACTGCAGCTGCCACCTTTGCTGCTCGTTGTTAGCTCACGAATGAGAAGCTACTTGCGTAAAGATGACTTCCTTCATCTCCACCCGCGACACCTCCACCCCACCAACCCCGTTCACCTTCCAGCAAGCCATCGAACTGGGCTACGCACCGGATGGAGGGCTTTTCGTGCCAGAGACGTTCCATGCCTTCACCGCAACAGAAATTTTTGCCTACGTCGAGCGGGTAAACAACCAAGAAGGTTGTAATTCAGCTACAGGAGAAATAACAGCCGCGACACTCCCGCCACTGACCTACGCGGAGCTTGCCTTCGACATCCTGAAAAGGTTTATCAAAGAGGAGGAAATCCCGAGAGATGATTTACGGGAAATCTGCGAATATCCTGTGCAAAAGTATCGTACTCGTATAAATGCATTACAAACTTCCTCAGCATGAGAAATGAAATTTGTAATGCAGATTTGCCTTGGAAACAAGATCTGTAATGCTAAACTTGCATTTGTACGAGTACGATACTTTTGCACAACAGATGAGACGTCCCCAGTGATATAGCCGAACAGATGATAAACCCGTAACGCTTGTGGCTCGCTTGCGCGTCTTGTTCTACCGAACTATGCACGGAGACGCAAATAAGATGTGAAGAACCCACTGAGTGGCGAGGGGAGAGATGCAATAGAGATTACAACCACAGTCAGGAGAGTGTCTAGCTGCGGGTTGCGAGTTGCGCCTTGTTTGTGCGAAAGTATTGAGACACGAACAAGTTTTGGCGTTTCGGTTTCGTATCGTTGATGTTTTTAGACGTAGAGTAGACCACGATGACAATTCGACGATGACCGCCATCGCTTCAAAGCGTGTGCTTTCTGCTGGCGGTCGGCCTGCGAAGATTTGGCTCGGATTCACTGAAGCACGAAGTATCGTGCGCGAGGCAAAGCTGAAAAACAAGCCGGCTTTTTCGAACTGGTTGAAGCTGAATCGTGGCTACGCAATACCGTCGCATCCGGATGCTGCGTATGCCACCAAGGGGTGGGCGGGCTACCGTGACTTTCTTGGCTACGGAAGTCGCAGGGCGTCGCGAATCAGATATGGCTCGGGCGACGGAACCGCAGATCCGTACCGGAGCTCGCTGTCAAGCAAGTACTATGAGCAGCGAATGGACGCAATAAATTTTGTGTGCGATAGCATTACAACTTCGACGGAGCTGCATGAGCATCATATTGATGTCCGCGTCCTCCCCATGTATACTGCGGCATCTCTTCTTTACAGGGTGCGGCCATCGGCAGTCGACACTACTACCGATGTTTCAAACCAAACGCCAGGCCTTGACCGCTGGCTGCCAGTCGTCATACGCTCGTCGGGCGCTTCGCGGAAGGGAAACTGCCGTGCTAGTGACGGCGGTGAAAGGTGGTTGCAGCTCGGGGGTCGCGGAACAAACGCTGCGACGTCAACATCCACAGTACATGGCGAACAGGAAGCCGCGTCTCGAGCAGCGAAACTACCAGGGCAATTACCGAGCGAAGTAGAGCGTTCATACGCGAAGTTTTGGCGGTGCCGATTCGACAGTTCTTCACCGTTGCTCGGTATGCCAATGGTTTGTGTAGTGCCAGATTCACGGGAGCTGGTGCTGACAGGGTGTTCCGCAAGAGCAAAGAGTCAATACACTCCGCAACTTCTCAATTACTCCCTCGACTCTCAAACCACGAGCAGCGCTGCAGTTGTGAAGTTTCTACTGGAGCACTGGGAGACCCCCGGATCGGGGCGCAAAAGGTCTTTCCACGACTGGATGGAGTGTTTGACCACAAGCTCCAAGGATTCCGCGCACCAATGCGGTATCGCTCGGATCAACAAAATGCTGTACGAACCGCTTGGACTCTCGTTCACCTTTGCACCTCACGAACAGGAGCGAAATACGATGTACAACACGCGGGTGGGCTCATACCGCGTCATTCATCGGAAGGCGGTGAAGATCAAGGCGGTGAAAGAGTACAAGCATGCAGGGTATCGCGTTCGACTGGAATCTTCCAGGTGCCCTGACGGGCTTGTCTTCTCTGGAGAAAAGGCGAATTTCGAAACATTCGACTTTCTGATCGCGTTTCACGGCGGGTCGGTCAGTGACGACACCAACGGGATTTTCATCATTCCGCAAGAGGTGCTTGTGCGAAATTTGAAAATTGAGGACAATGCTTTCTTCGCATGGATAACATTGTACTCGCCGGATACTAGTCCCATCTTGTTGGACGCCAAGAGAAATAAAGACTGGCAGGAACCATTCTACATCAATTTCTCGGATGTCGAGAACGATACGGAAAAAGCACGCGCCGCTTTGGCAAAAGCGCGGCGTATCTTCGAGGGGTATGGCAAGACCGCATGGAAGAAAAAGTAGAAAGCTCTCCGGCCACGACCGTTCTGGCAACGACGTGCAATTCATGTCACCGAGCGACTTGCCTTGGCCTTATGAATGGTGACGCGATGGCAATTGCGCCAGGAAAATGGATTTGCCGCCGGCATAACCTGTTCACAACTGGTACTGGTTTCTCTGCAAAGTTGTTCCTGCTTTGTGTCAGCCTGTAAATTACTTGGATGATCATGAGGCCGTCAAACAGCTTTAGCTTCTCTTGTTGACCATGAAAGTCAAAGTGCATCCTTGATGGCATTTAGATTTACATTTTCATAGACGTTTCTTCCGGCATTGGTGAAGATCCGTTGAAGCAGCTGATTGTGAGCTACCCTGATCGTGAAGTGCCCTGATTCTGAAGCACGCACGATTGTGAGATGCACTAATAGTACGTCAAAACTTAGAATTAGATGGAAAACGAAGGAGGGACCGTCACCGTGCCTCGTAGGTAGATGAAAAGAAATAGTCATAGTGTCAGCACAAGATGACTGCAGTCGCGCCAGTCGCAGTCATGGAGAAGGGCACAGCAACCTTGTCTGCAACATCACGAATTGCGCCGCAGGGAGGTTTGCGCAAGCGGCTTGGCGGCCGGCCTCCCGGCACATACCTACCTTTCTCGGAAGCACGGCGAAAAGTGCGTGAGGCCAAGTTGAGGAGCGAACAGGAGTTTTTTCGATGGATGAAGGAAAATCGATCGACGTGCAAAACCCGTGGTGTGCCGTACCATCCAGACCGAATCTATGTCGACCAGGGGTGGAGGGGGTTCCGGGACTGGGTCGGGTACACGTCTCGCAGACCGCTTAAACCGCGTACGCAAGACGGAAAACCAATACGGTACTGCCGCGATCCATCAAAAGTGCATAAGTACGCACAGCGCCTACGTGCTATCAACTTTGTTTGCGATGGGTTGATGTCAGCAGAACCAGCAGAAAAACCGGCTGAACAGCAAATAATCGACGTTTGCGTCTTACCTCTGTGCAGTTCCGCAACGATGCTGTTTCGCGTACGTGACAACGACGGCGACAGTGGCGACAAATGTCCCAAATGGCTCCCAATCGCGGTGCGCTCAGCCGGCGGCCGATTTTCCAGCGATAACGCAGACCACGAGGCAGCAGAAAATAAAATTAAGGAAGACTCATCAACCAGCTCCAGCACAGCCGCAGCCCGGGACCACACGATGTTACAAGTAACAGGTGGCTCATCTTCTGTCGTGACATTTTGGCGGTGTGATTTTTGCGAATCTTCGCCGCTGTTCGGCATGCCACTGATCGGTGTCGTTTCCGAGCCGCGCCGACGTGATGTGGTGCTTGCGAGGTGTCTTGACGGGAAAAGGCGAATCATGCCAGAAGAGTTTCGACCAGTCGGGGCTGTTGAAGAGTTGACCACACAAGATACGCGATACACCGGCAACGTGAAGGACTTTCTCTTGGCGTACTGGCTCACAGTTTCGAGCGAGAGAAGGAAAAGCTTCGCAGAATGGATAGCGTGTCTGACAAGTCAGTGGACGAGGGATGCCAGCCTGTACCGGGGAATCGCGCACATCGTCCAGCACCTGTTTGAGCCTCTGGGTTTGTTGTTCAGCTTCTGTCCGCATCGACAAAGAGACGACTCCTTTTTCAACGCAGAGCTTGGTCCTCATCGAGTGTTTGTCCGAAAAGCCGGCGAAATCTACCGCGTTCCGGAAGCTAAGCGGGGATTCCGGGTGAAGATGGAGTCGGGTAGATGTCCCGACGGATTGGTGTTCTCGGGACCAACGGCGAACGCGCATACGTTTGACTTCTTGATCACTTTTTCAGGGAGCGAGCGGACGGACGACAGGAGCAATGGTCTTTTCATAGTCCCGAACGAAGTCCTGCTGCAGAATATTCAAATCGAGCAAGATTCCTTTTACCCTTGGTTGACTTTCTATCCGCCGAATATTGAGACCCGGTTCGTCCATGCAAGCGTAAGCCAAAAGTGGCAGGAACCTTTCTACATCGACCTCTCTGACGTTGAAAAAGATCCGCTGAAGGCTCGTGAGGCGATTGAAAAAGCACGTATTATCCTTGCACAGTACGGAAAAGCAAAAGCGAAAGCACCTCCATAACGATCGCGGAATTAATACGGCTCATGCCGATGCAGATGCTGGAGTTTATTTCCTCATCTTCTGGTTTGGGGGTTCTTGTTTCCTGCACAGCTGTGTTCCTGGCATCTTTCCGTGCAGGTAGGAGGCGCGCGATCCGACAGATCATCAGCAGTTGTTCGCCGGAAACTACGAATGAATTCTGACTGTTGATTAAGCTGAAGTGTTTTTACCCAGGACATGCCTCCCAAGAACTTTGACTATTTCGTTTCGTGTCTGCACCTGCAGTTGTCATCTTTGACTTCGTCATCGATCATCGAGTCCGGACAGTTGTTTCATTTTTGCTTTATGTGTCTGGCCGGCAAGAATGACCTCCTTCATCTCCACCCGCGACACCTCCACCCCGCCGACCCCCTTCACCTTCCAGCAAGCCATCGAACTGGGCTACGCACCGGACGGAGGGCTTTTCGTGCCAGAAACGTTCCATGCCTTTACCGCAACAGAAATCCGAGCCTATATTGAACGGATAAAACTAAAAGAGAAAGACAAAGACCAATGTGCTCCTCCAGCTACAACAGGAGAAATAACAGCCGCCACACCCCCGCCCCTGACCTACGCGGAACTCGCTTTCGACATCCTGAAAAAGTTCATCAGAGAGGAGGAAATCCCGAGAGATGATTTACGCGAAATTTGCGAAGCCGCGATGGCAACGTTTGCTGGAAAAAATACAACAGCTACAAGTTCAACATCACATGATGGCAGAATAAACGCAGTCCCAGTAAAGCTGTTGAAAACCGCCAAACACCCGCAAACCAACATCCACGTCGCGGAATTGTTTCACGGGCCGACTTTTTGCTTCAAGGATTTTGGTCAGCAATTCACCATCCGGTTGTTGGAATATTTCGCGTTTAAGGAACAGAAATCTAAACTCGTCATCGTCTCCACCACGGGTGACACCGGGCCGGCGGCACTACGAGCGGTGGCAGATGCGGCGGAAAGTAGGAAGGAAAAATTACAAGCGAGAAGGAGTTGTTCTGGTGCAGGAACTACTACATCAGGATCAGTAGAAAATGAAAAAGACAACCTCCTTTCCATCATCGTTTCCCATCCAGAGGGGCAGATTTCGAATTTGCAGAGACGGCAAATGACAACTGTTTTCTCCTCGGCGGTGAAAACGTGCGTTTTTCAGGGCGGGGGGGATGACTTGGATGACATTATCAAGAAAATCTCCTTGGAAAATTCCGACAAAGTCACGGGTGTGAACAGCTACAACATTGGGCGGCCAATCGCACAGATCGTCCACTACTTCTGGAGCTACTTGCAGGTTACAGCTGGACAAGGAACAAGAAGCGCCGCCGGGGCCGCCGCTGGAGATGAAAAAGGGGGCAAAGATCCTCCTGTCACGCGAGAATCGAAGCTGCTCCCACCCGTCGACTTCGCCGTCCCGAGTGGCGCATTAGGCAATCTTACGGCGGGGTGGTTTGCAAAGAAGCTTGGATTGCCGGTAAAACGTTTTATCACTGGCACGAACGTGAACGATATCACGTTTCGCACGTTCACGACGGGGAAATTTCAGAAAGCGGAGAATATGGTGAAAAACTTGGCGGAGGCGATGAACATTCAAGTACCGTACAACTTCGAAAGGCTGCTGTACTACGCAGCGACAGCATCCTCCTGTGGAGAAACAGCTGCGCATACCGTCCAGCGCAAAATGGAGGAACTGGAGCGGACGAACAAATATGAGTTGGTGGAAGAGGTTTTCGCTTGGTTCCGAGAAAACGGGTTTTCCCCGAACTCCTACCGGATCAGCGACGAGGAGATTGTGCAGGTGATCCGGGAAGCGGCTTCGGAAGAAATTCAGCTCGAGGGTGGAAATCTTCAAGCTACTGGTTGTGAAGAAACAAACAATACCTCTATGGTCCTTTGCCCCCATTCTGCCTGTGGCGTGAGGGCGGCGTGGAATTTCTGCGATAAAGAGAAGATGAGGACAGAACAAGTTGTTCAGGAGGATGAGCGGCATTATGGTGACAAAGTGATCGAGATGAAGAACACCGGTGCTGATACTGCAAGTACAAAAACCACGACGACCCCAGATGAAGGCGTGCCGATCATCGTCCTGGCGACTGCGAGCTGGTGTAAGTTTGAAGAGGTAGTGGAGCAGGCGTTCGGTACTAGTTGTGATAGGAGAGAGACTTCTCACGACAGAACGTCTACTGCTGCATCTGGTTCTACTTCTAGTAGTGGTGCGTCAACATCTGGTGCAGCTGTGGCGCAAGAGCAACGTCGTGCAGAAGCAGCAGCCGCTTGTTCCACTTCTGCATCGTCAATATCGACGGCCGCCAGCAGTGCTGAAGAGTGTAAAGAGGCAACTACAGCAGGAGCCTCTTTCAAACGAACAGGAAAATCGCTCATAGTTCCACCGCTCCCGCAAGCAGCGGCCTTGCTGATGACGCTACCCGAGAGGCCTTACGATCTAAAACTCTGGAAAGAGGACGTTGGAGATTGGGAAACACAGTTCAAAAAGTTAGTGCTGCAGTCCATTTGTAGTTGATACGATAAGTACGGCTACTTGCGAGTCAGGAACCTGTGTGTGTGTCGTGAATGATAATCGTCAAGATAAAGCGGAAGACTCAAGAACATTATGGCCACGCAAGGCGACCTACGTGCAACACATGACGACGAAATTCCATGATTTATACTGTGACGTCTTGCGAAAACGACTTCGAACAAGAGCTGTGTTAGCTGCTGCTGCGAACAGCAACAATGAAGTGTAAGTGAGCCTTGGCAGTTAAGACTTGCCCGACCCGTGGACCGGTGCGTGGTTGATGTTGTAATCGTGCTGTTTGTTTCTGCATGCATCAAACGAAGTACACTAATGTGCGAGGAAAATAAATTTCGTTTTCGGTTCTTTAATCGTTCTTCTGGCGCTACCGCCTGCAGCAGTCGTCCTATACGTCCACCACCAGTCGTCCGTCTTTGTCGCTGCACTCACCTGACGTTCTCTCCGCCTTCGTGCCGTGTCGTGCTGTCAAAGTACATCGTGAATAAGGGAGTACGTAGTACACAAAACTTCATATCATGAAAGCGGTTCTCGTCGTCCTTTCATCGTCTTCGTCATGATCGTACGTAGTCGTGAGCAAACGCACGACGCTACTTAAAAAACAACTCCACGCTCACTTCGGTGCGATGCTTGTCCGCGCCAAAGCTGTGGCTCATATTTGTCCACCATTTACACCATGAACAGACGCAGGTGCTTTCTCTCACGCGGATTAGTATTGCCTGAAAAATTTTTTTTTTTGTCTTCACGTCGATTATATATGCGACGCGTAGCGATTATATCAGTTCACATGATCATCAAGCAAGAGGGTTGCACACTCCGACACCAGGCTGGCTGCCCGGTGTCGACCAGCTTCGGCTGGGTCTCTGTCCTTTGTCCAGAAATACCGCATTGTCTTGGCTCGCCTAGATTTTGCGTTTTTTCCCACCCTCCCACCCGACTTGAGGTTGCGAGACCCCTTGCGGCACCCCTCGCAAGCCCGCCCTAGATATTCGGCGGCCCCAGTCGCGCCTCGCGGCTTGGGCCACCTCTATGTCCGGGGCATGGCTCTGTGGGGGTCGAGAGCCTGGCTTGCATGGCCTGCTACCCGTAGCTCGTTGTGCCGGCCGGGTTCTCTCTTGGCTGCCATTGTGACTGTCGCTCGAGGTCTTGCGACTATCACTGCGACGCGCTTCTGCACGTCATTCGCTTCCGTTGGTTGCGCGCGCGTTCACTCTATGGGTGAATTGCGCAGAGAAGGTGAAATTATATACGAATTTATCTTTTCAACAAGAAAAAAATACTCTTTTCTCTTGCGATGAGGTTCTTTAACTAATCGCCTGAACCTTCAGAAACGCCAAGCTAGTACATCAATCAAACCACAACGAACTCGAACCAAATGGCAGATACACCGGCAGCAGATGGGGCCACGGCCTCCACGCAGCAGCAGCAACAGGAGAACACCAGCCGGGGGTTGCTGCAAGCGGATTCTAGCGGTGGCGCGCCGCAAACGGAGGGCGTGGATCCACGAGGGTTCCTGATGAAGTGCTGTTTTCCCGTCTGCACCATCTGGGCGTGGCAGGGTTGCGATGACTGCTTTCCCATCCTCTGCACCTGCGTCCTCGACTGTTTTTTTCTCGGGTGCCTGTTCCCGCTGTTTTGCTGGAAGCCCGGCCCGCAGAAGATTTGGAAGGCCGACCCGGAACAAGAGCGCAAGGTCTGTTTATCCTGACGAGTAAAAACGTCCCCACACCAGAGTCAAGATGGGAAATCTGCTAGACAAATTAGCCAGCTTTGGTCGTTTCGCATGACAACTCTGTCCTCGTAGTGTGATCCTGTTGAGGTAGTTCAGAAGCATCACAGATCTAGCATATCACGCCGATTATAGCATCACAAATTTGAAAACGCCGCTCGAAAATGCTTCTCATGGTGCTCCGCATGAGAAGCTTTTGTGGCATGCAGATTTGCATGACAACTCTGGGCCTGGGGTGGGAACGTTTTTACACAGGATACTGTTTCTGGGCCTGTCACCCGCTGAGTTGGCCCTGCAAGCTTTTGTGCTGCTTCGTCTCCGTCTACGCCTGGCAGGGCTTTGACGTGTGGTACGACTTGTTTTTTGCTTTGGACCTCGAGTTATGCATTGCAAAAGCATCGTACTAGTAGAAGTCGCATTACAAATTCGGCCAGCATGACAAATGGAATTTGTCATGCTGTTTTGCCTTGAAAAAGAGTAATGCATAAATGCAATTACTACGAGTACGATAGTTTTGCACAGGATACGAGTGCTTCTACACGCTTTGTTGCTGGGTCCCGCGGAAGCAGCAGAAAATATGGGGCGCAGGGTCGACCGTGGTGGGCGCGCCCATTATGGGCAACTACGGGACGGTTTGAAGTCCAACAGGAGGGTGAAGTTTTCATCTTGTAAACCTCATCTTTTACTAGAGAAACAGCAAGTGCAGCATGCATTTTTCCTGTATATTAGTACAAGCCTTGAAGATTATAAATATCTGTACGCCAGGTGCTGGCGCGCATGATGAATCGGAGCCGGAGGTACGTCTAAATGCGTAGCGTTCGTTTCAAATGTATTTTTTTACAGCGGCATACTTTGCCTATTGCTATTCATTGTTGAGAGTTTATTTTACTGCACGTTTATCATAAATTTTATTTTGTTTACATTTTGCATTTTTTGCATATAGATATACTTACATTATTTTTTGGACGTACAACAAGCCTTTGGGCAAATTTTAATTTTTATTTTACACACGCAGAAGTCGAACACGTCAGTGTTGTAGTGCTAAGAAACAAGAACTGACGCCTGGTGAGTCATAGGCTTTCTCCTTGAACTTGATAAGACTCGCTTACATTTTTAATATCTTCGTTTTCATATAATATCACTGCGACTGCCCCCCTCCAGCTCCACAGCGAAAGAAGAAGAAAACTCGAACTACCCAGACGAGCAAAATGAAACAAGACTGTGAGCAAAACCAATCCCCAAGATACTTCTAGGAAGGTTTTTTCATACTTTGACCATAATATGACTTAGTATTGCGCCGCACCTAGTAGAGTTCTTGCTCGCATCATGCGGTACTAGGGGCGGAACCACTTTGATGGAGGAGGTTGTTCACAAAGACTAAGACATGAAAAGGTGGGACCGAGAAGATTGGTAGACTACATCGGTTTTAGATACCTTACCAGTTTGCGTTTATTCCAAGAACACCAGAATGTTGAGCGACTTTATGCTAGTACGAGGAAGAGGGACACAACCTACCACAAAGAAAGCACTCGAGCGACGAAGTTGCCCACTGATGATCTTCGGTGAGTTTGGTGTTGCTTGTAATTCCTAGTAATGCTATTCGGGCGAACCCGAGCTCGAGCCTTGACAGTGACACCGTACAAGCTGATTGCGCATTCTGTCGACAATTTTGTCATCCAGGAAACAAGCTGCTAGAAGAAGGCCTCCCTATTAGAGTAGTTGGAGATCGGGAAGAGCAAGGCTATGGGCAAAGAGCAATATTTTCAAAGATCGGGAAGAGCAATATTTTCAAACTTCCCTTTGGGATTTTAGTTTTCAATATACATAGAGAAGCTTCCTCTCTTCCCACTAGACGTGAGGCAGTTCTTGGTTTGGTGAGAACGTAAGATTTATACCTACCCTCGACTGTTCATCTGGTAGCCAAAATTTTAGAAAGGCAACCTCACTACAACTAGGACTAGTGTTATTGATTCTTTAGGCGTTTACGTCGATATGTTCTTGTCTGTACAATATTCGTGTTGACGGAACAAAAGTAAAAATAGCATTTTGATTGCAATATTTTCTGCCTCAACACTAATGAGACAGTGACAGACGCACGAGCAAGGTTTGTGTCGTCTGTTGTGTAGCTTGCATTGTTTTTTTATACATTTTTTTCCAAGTAGGACCATCTACATTTGGTCAGACACCGGCGCTATTTGGTCTACATCGTGGAACTATGCCTTACTCCTAAGTCTACACCTACCCGATCTTAAGTATTTACTTGTGCGTAATTTGCATCAGAAGTTCTTGAAGTTGTCCATTTCATTCTAATCCCTTTCAGGCTCCATTCATTCCTCAACATGGCCTGCGTCCTCCCTCTCTTTACATGGCCTGCGTTTACTACTGCGCCGCACCTAGTAGAGTTCTTGCTCGCAAGCGGTAGGAGCGAAGCCACTTTGATGGAGGAGCTTGTTCGCAAAGATATGAAACGGTGGGACCGAGACCACAATTGCTAGACTACATCGGTTTCAGATACCTACTAGTCCAAGAACAGCAGAACGAGCGACTTTATAATGCTACGAGGAAATAAACGAGGGACACAACCACAAACGAAGCACTCGAGCGACAAAGTTGCCCACAACTGATGATCGGTGAGTTTAGTGTTGCAGTTGCTTGTAATTCCTAATAATGGATGCTATTAGGGCGAACTCGAGCCTTGACAGTGACAGCGTAGTACAAGCTGATTGTGCATTCTGTCGACAATTTTGTCATGCAGGAAACAAGGTGCTAGAAAAGCAAAAGAAGAAGGTCTCCCTATTAGAGTAGTTGGAGATCGGAAACTACAAAACTATACATAGAGAAGATTCCTCTCTTCACACTAGACGTGAGGCAGTTCTTGGTTTGGTGAAAACGTAAGATTTATACCTACCCTCGATTCTCTGTAGCCAAAATTTTAGAAAGGCAACCCCACTAGCATTAAGTATTGAAATTGATTTTTTAGGCGTTTACGTCGATGTCTGTTCTTGTCTGTACAGTATTCGTGTTGGCGGAGCATCAAAATAGCATCTTGGTTCTGCCTCAAAGGTAATGAGACAGACGCACGAGCAAGGTTAGCGTCGTCTGTTGTGTAGCTTCCATTGTTTTTTTTTCATTTTTTTCCAAGTAGGACCATCTACATTTGGTCAGACATCGGCGCTTTTTGGTCTACAACCTAGAAGTTCTTGAAGGTGTCCACTTCTATCCTTTTTGGCTCTGACATTCATTCCTCATCAACATGGCCTGCGTCCTCCCTCTCTTCCTGATCGGGGAAGAGGACGGCGTTTTGCCCAAGATGCAGATCCCGAAGGAAGACAGCCGTGCGTTGGGCGCCATCCTGGTCGTCCTGGCGCAAGCGATCGTCAATCTCTGGATTTTCTCGGTGTGGACCTGGCGGTTTAACAAGCAAACGCCCTTCCGCGCCCGGAATTCGCAGTCCCTGCTGCAAGAATTTCAATTATGCATTGCAAAAGTATCGTACTCGTATAAATACATTACAAATTTCCTCAGCATGAGAAATAAAATTTGTAATGCTGATGCACCTTAAGAAAAACGTTTGTAATGCATGATCGCAATACGAGTGCGATAGTACTTTTGCCCAGGATATCAATCCTACGGCTACGATTTGGAGGTCATGAAATGGACGGGCTTCGTGAAACTCTTCTGCGCGATATGACGGTGCACAAGAACTACTCCCCCTCCGCCTCATTTGTATAATTACGTAAACAGCAATACTGATGCAAACACCCGCACATCATGTGGAGCCTGCGCATGACAAGTTCATCTTCTTCTGCCTCGTGTAGAAGTACTACTGGGCTACTTCCGGAATCTGTCATGCAAACAGTGCCTTGCATATTGGTGTTTTATTGCAGGACAAATGAGGCAAAGGGGGGGCTGTGCGCTTTCATACGCGACGCTCCTCCCCATCGCGATCATGAACCCGGAGTACCCCTTATGCAATGTAAATTTCCTGTACATGTACAAAATGCATGACAAATTTCGCTAACTTGCAGTGTCCAACTTGTCATGCTAGACTAGGACTGAAGGCAACTTTTGTCATGCAGAGACTGCATTTGTACGTGTACGGGAAATTTACTGTGGATACCCCTGGCTCCTGATTTTCTCGTCCGGGGTCCTGTTTCTCCTGATGGTGATCGCGATCGTGTCGCACGTGCGTGTGAAAGATCCCTGGGTCAAAAACGTACCGGCGTTGGTCATGGCCGTGCTGTCCCTGGCCAGCCTGTTGGGTTTAAAGGAAAACTGCGTCTACATGCCGGACTACGCGGAAGATTTCTCATCTTCGTCCGCAGTTTCGTCTACAACTTCATCTGCAGGGACAGCAACAACGACTTTCAATTTGGCTAGTACTTCGAGCGGGACCACGATATTAACATCTTCAGCCCCAACATTGATGAAGCATATGCAACTGACGCAAGGACGAGGAGGACCAAGTGCTGGTGCTGCAACTACTAGCCAGGCGTTGGCCGCTTCTTTACCTGCTCCAGGGGGTGTATTATTCACAACGAGCGACGTGGTGGTACCTCCAGCTCCAGGTGACAATGTAGCAGTTGTACAGCAACATGTTTTTCAACACAACGAGGACTTTCTGAACCGGCTGGTGTCCCAGGACGGCAGACTGGTAATCGGCTTAACACTGTTGCTACTGGACTTCGCGATGCTGTTCTATGCGAAGTTTGTGGGACGGAAGTACGCACAGGTACCGAAGTATGGAAGCGTCAGGATTGAAATTGTCAAAGTTGAGATAACTTGTAATGCATAAAATCGATACCAGTTGGAAGCCCAATTTTCAAGCGGTGCATGACAAATTTTCCGAGCACCGGAATCCAATTTGTCATGCTGTTTGGGCACAGACGCCTGCTTTTGTCATGCTACTTTAGCAGCTCTAATATTTCAAACACTAAGCAGGCTGCCAGTCGGCCTCACTTGCCATTCCAGCAAGACAGGCATTTTATGCCTTGCATTTTATGCATGGCAAATCATTTCAACTTTGCCGATTTCAAACCTGACGCTTCCATACGAACTCGCCGGACAACCCGTTCTTTGCCCTCGTGGAAAGTAACAGCAGAGTCTGAGGCGATTTTATGGACGACGGCGAAGCAGGCAGGCGAGAGGTCGTGGACGAAGACGAGCAAAAAGGGGTCCAGTTTATTTTTATGACGAGGACGCAAATGTTGCTCTTGACGAAGCTTGAGTTACCATACCGAGGCGAAAAGTTTTCCTTTCGCACTTCATTTTGGAAAGTGAATCAGTGTGGTTGTGTAGGAGAAGGGACCTGTATAGTACTTACTAACGCGAGCAAATCATGCAGGTCAACAACAACATGGTCAACAATGAAAAAAATAGAAATTTTTGTGTGCAGATGAAGAAGAAGAATACAGTTTCACAGGAAATAAATAAGGCCCGAGAGAACTGAATCAGATCAGTGCAGTGACTTCAATTCTCCGCCGGAAAAGTGTATTTCTATTTTCCGGATTGAAACAAGAATAATAAAGAATAAGAACATATAGAAGATGAAGTCAGTTAGAGTATAATGTCTGTCACGAGTGCAATCTTTATTATTATTTCGGCATCCAGAGGGCCATGCCTAAGTGTAGTACGGGTTTGTTCTGTAGTTGCGCTGCCATTTTTTCAGGATGAAGAGCGAAGGAGCTTTCATCTATCTGCAAGCCCGAGGAGAGACGACTTTGGCCAACTTTGATTTCTGAGCAGAGCATCTACACGACAAATGTTGGGTGTCTTCGTTCTCTTTGTGATTTGTTCAACACAGCAAGCAGCTCGTTAAGTAGCTGCTGCCATCTTTTTTCGGAGGTATATATTTCATCGAAAATTATCATGTCGGCGTCCTCGTCATCTCGAAGTTTCTTGCCAGCCGCGTCGAAACTGCTGCAGGCGACGCAATCTTCTTGCTACAACAACCCTAGAATTTTTCTCGCTACGGCGACGCGTACGAGTGCCAGGACAACAAGTGTGAAGAACTGCAGGAGGCAAGATCAACAGGGCCGCGGTTCTTGTGGGAGCAGCACATCCAGCAGCTCCTCAAGTGCCTCTACTTCTACTCTCGTAAAGGTAAAAAACTGCCCAGCGGGTGAACTACACGTAGGTCAACATCAAACATCAGGTCGCACACAACTACTTCGACCGCAGGGGTGGCCGCGGCCCACCGATTCTGATCCGCAGTCGACGCCACTTTTTGATGTTTTTCCCGGAACAGGTAGGTCTAGGTGGCCAGAAGAACCGGTTGCAATGGCTTACGGACATCAAAATCTCTTCCGACCCGCGACCACGCACCAGAGGACCGGCTCTCTCGTAGTTTTCAGCCACGGTCGCGGGGACAGCACCAGGAGCAGTTCACTTGTTCATCATCCCAGATTTTTCCATCATCGTCCTGCTCCCATCAGTGCTGGGAGAAGCAGAGCACAACAACTTTCACTGTCACAGATGCGAGCTTTTTCATCATCTTCTTCCCCTGCGAAGGTGAAAGTGATGTGGATTTACGAAAAGGACGGCCAGAAGATAGGGCCCTGTGAGGTGAAACCGCACCAGACCATGTTGGACTGCGCACACGACCACGACATCGAAATAGAAGGTATACGATAGGAACTGAAAGGGTCATGCTAAAAAAGCTTGTCATGCGAAACGAGGACATGATACTTATCGATATCCACACAAAAAAAAATGCTGAGTGTTCTGATGCGCACCATGATCTTCATGCGTGGTCTCACATCAATATCATACATCATTCATCATTTGATCAGGTGCCTGTGGAGGCAATGCTGCCTGTTCGACGTGTCACGTGTACCTAAGCGAAACGGATTACAACAAATTTCCGGAGCCTGATATGATCCGCTCACACGCGACAATCTCAAGCGTTACAATAGAATAGTGAAAATCTGTGATGCAAGAGGTGCGTGATATCTAGCCAACTCTCATAGAATTGCGCATGACAAGTTCGTCCGGAGGCCGCAACCGCACTACAACCTGGCGAGATCTGTGTTGCAGCAAGTGGAATGCTTTCCGAGTCTGTCATGCTCGTCACGCAGTACAAAGTCCAGACTCTATTGTAACAGTTGAGATTGTAACGTCTGAGCAGGTCACACCTGACGAAGACGAGCTGGACATGCTGGACCTGGCCGCGTATGAATTGCAAAAGCATCGCACTCGTATATGTAATCATGCATTACAAATCCTGTTCTTGAGGCAAATTAGCATTACAGATTGGGGAGGGGCAAATTAGCATTACAGATTTCCCGGCGGGATATAAGTTGGGGAGCACTGATAGATAAAAAGGCAGCATGCACAGGGGAGAGTGGCCCCTGTTGCAATGCTGACCTATAAAGAAAGACAAAGATCACGCAGATCCGTTTTTTACAAGCAAACGACCCACGCATTGCGGGGCGGGATCCGTATCGTGAAAGATCCAGTAGCTTTTCTAGTCTATGTTGTGCCCCTTACTAGTTTGCCGTCGAGTAGAAGTAGAGCTGATTTTATTGCAATTGCCGCCTTTGCGATATTGTTTAGCGGACCCCGCCAAAATACCCTCATGCGTTTCCCGAGTAAATCAGTTGCAACTAGAAGCATCCCCGTCCTGCTTCGGCACACCCCATCTACCTAGTCGCTCCTGGGTAGATGTGGGGATTTTTTGTCTGGGCTTCTTTCTGCTTAATTAATCTGACAGGGGCTGCGTCTTTTTTTTCTGCCTTGCCAGCAGAGTATGTATGAAAGGGGGGGATTGACGGAAGTGGCGCGAGACCTTGGTGCTGGAGCAGAGGACAAGAGTGGAAATGGTACAAACAAAAAACAAGCACTAATATACCCGCGCCATCTGCTTAACTGTGTGAATTATTGTGTCGGCCCGGTACTGTTTAGTCGCAGGTCGGTGTCCGTGAGATCAGAATTCACATGTTAAGTAACGCACACCGGCTCCTAGCTTAAAAAAAGTGATGAATTTATATGCGAATGGGGCCCAATCAAAAAAAAAAAAAATTAGCATTACAGATTTTATTTCTCATGCTGAGGAAATTTGTAATGCATTTACTACGAGTGCGATACTTTTACTTTTGCACTGGATACCGCGGGCCTGAAAGAGGGCACCAGCCGCCTGTGCTGCCAACTCCGCGCCAGGCACATACAAGACCAAAGCAGCGGTGGAAGCGGCGGGGCTCCTGCTGCACCGGAGACGTATCCAGTGCAAAAGTATCGTACTCGTAGTGATTGCAATTATGCATTACAAATCTCCATGCCAAGGTGAAACAGCACCACAAATTCCATTTGTCATGCTGAAGTAATTTGTAATGCAATTACTACTTCTAGTACGATGCTTTTGCAATGCATAACGCGCTAGTTCTAACGATACCGAAGGAGACAAACAACTTTTTCGACATGTAGGACAACTTCTGCAAGTAGAACGGGGTCTACTTTTCGTGTCACCTCTATGAGGACCAAAAGAACATCGAGTAACTCTAAGGCGCCGGGTCGTGTCCTCGCTCCGACGGCGATGATTTTCAGTTCTTCATCCCAAAACAGATGAAACTCAGCCGCTTTTTTGAAGTAGAATATCCGCATCACCCGTGAAGAGAAACTTTTTGAAGCAAATTCAAAGCGAGAATCAATAATAAACTCAAGCTTGAACTACAAGGGTAAACAAGCATCATCTTCGTATGGAAATGAGCTGCGCCTACAAGAGCTGCCACTGGTTCATCTTCTTGGAGGGGGGGCTGATTGTGTGGCGAGTCCCTTGGTTGTAAGCGGCATCGTTGTTCCTCTGGCATGATCCACCTATTTCCCGACAAAAAGATCTGCATCTTGTTCTTCCACGTTGTGCTGCAATGGAAGCTCTATTTCGGATCCCCAATTATTATTTGTTCGTTGTTGTTCCCTATCGATTGCAGTGGCAGTGCATCATTTGCATGGATGATCACCGACGAGACTAGAGGCTACAAACGCCAGCTCCTGCTTCTAAAAGAAGAGCAGTTTTTGCTTTCTCGCGGACCGTGTACTATTCTATTTATTCACCACGCGAAGTAGATCGTCGATCTCGATTCATTTCGAAAAAGGGCGAGAAGGATCTCGATAGAACAGTTTCGTGTCGGCCTGCCCTGGGTGATCGAATTGTATTTGTAGTCTGACTGCAGATCACGCACATCCTTTTGCTAGTCGTATGTGCTAAGAACAGGCTGTAGGAGCAACTGCAACTGCACCTACGCGAGCATTAACATCGATCGTGAGACGAGTTCTACCATCTGGGTGTGGTCTTTGGCATAGAGCAAAAGAAAGATAAAACCGTACATGTAATTCTTGCGTAAAACTAGAACTTTATCGACCACTACGTACAACATAAAGCTAAAGAGCATACACCGGGCATCAACACGGTTTGGGTCTCGCACCGGCGAAGTGCTATCACTGGAATACGATGAAATTTTTACGTAGACAATTTTCTAGTACTGTACCTAGGGACGTTGCAAACTTCCATCAGCCCTGTTTTACTAGAAAGTGCTTTAATGATCGGGCGAGAAAGGATCAGTCAAACGACACTGCAGCAGGAGATCTTCGTGCGTATATTAGCCTCCCCTCCGCGACAAGAACTGTGTAGCGGGTAAAAATACAACTTCTTGGCCGCGTTTTGCAACGTCATCTATCTCAATGTTTCTCTCAGTCTTCTCTCTAGTACAGAATCTATCGCACTAACTAGGAAGACGAAGAAGACGTTCGTGGTTTTTTACTATTTATCGTACTTATACTTAACTTTTTAGCCGATAGAGTCGAAGAAGTTTACCTTTATTTTCCAATGATTTCGTAGTATTTTTGTCGATAAATTAGTCCTATTTGTTCGTTCTGTCTCTAGCCAAAGAATCTGCTAGCAATAAAGGTCGTGATCAACGCCCACCCTTTCCCGCCACGGTCCCGGAAATTTTACCAATAGAAAGGAAGTTATTGAATATTGAAATAAGAAACAATTATAATACTAGACGAGCGAAAGTTCAATAATCTATTTTTAGAGGTGGAAACGAAGTAGATGTAGCATCCTTTGTTCTTCTTCTTGTCCGATCAGCCACTCAAGTCGAATTGTGAAAATTTGGCTTCGGTCGTGTTGGTGAGTTTTCCCTCCGTCACTAGTATCTTTGACCACTTATGTAGAATCCGCAAAGCCAAAGCGATTTAATCTCATCTAGGTCTTTCACACCACGTTTTGCTTCCACCGGGCTTCCGTTTTAATACTCCGCTTTTTGTCACTGTATAAACATACGCACGCGCAAGCACCCGCAGATATTTACTGTACAACTTCTCGTGATCTATTGGCCATGTTAGTTTTTTTTTCCTGAATAAAGCTAAGAGTAAGAAGTTGAAGTTTAAGTTTCTGACGCTTTTTCAACGGCCTATTGAAGAGCTGCAGCAAACTGCTTCACAAAAACCGGCCGCCTGGTACTGTTGGCTACTTTCGTCGGTCGTCCTCTAGTTGTACCACAGTTTTAAGATAATATAGCTTTCCCGACTTATTTCACCAGGTAGTCTTACACTTACTCTTACTCAGAAATATTCCATCGCAGCAACAAAAACTAAAACTTCTCTTCCAACTTCCATTCGGGGACTCAACTTGCTTTCGTCTCGTCGGATGGTTTCGAAATAACTTCCGGCGACAAGAAGCAACGAACTGAGCCGCCTGAATGCCGCATGATCGATAAATCCTTAAAATGAGTCTACTTCTCCACATTGATTTCTAGTAGCCCTCTTTCGAAACCAGGTTGTCTGGAGGTCGCAATGCCAGTGCTAGGATGTTGCTCGTAGATGTATAGGATTAGTAATCCTGCGTCAGCGTCGGGATCGGGTCGTGCAACTAGAATTTCGTCGTACTATCGGAGATCGAACAGGAGACTCTTGCTGCAGTACTTCGATTCGTCATGTACTGCAGTACTGCTCGTAGAGCAGGAGCAATCTATCGTGTCGCAAAAAATTGAAGAACCTCGTGGTCCCAGCAAATAACATGAATACTAAAACACACCCTTGATGACGGCGAGGCATCAAATATTTTTAAGGCGTTTTTTTTTTGAAGAGTAAGAAAAGATAAACGTGCATAAAAATATTCGGCAAGGTGGGAGCTACTGAAGCAACAAGAAGGGACAACACTTGTTTCTAGTTGCCAGCCGGGGTTTCCTTCTTGAGCATTCATCGATCAAGAATTGGTCACTCTGCAGCGGCGCGGCGGTGATCATTTTTGTCGCCAAGTGCAAGAGAAGTGCTGTCCGAGGAATAACAGAAAAAACCACGAGCGCGCGCTGCTCATCATCTTCTGCGGACGACAAAGATCATTATACGAAGAGCAACGTCTACGTCGGCTTACCGGCAGGCATCAATACCGCGAAGGCCGCGAAGATTTTTAGTTGCGAAGAAGGAAGAACAGCTGGTGCGTGTGACGCACGAAACAGGACAAAAGCATCAACGAAACGGAAGTACCTTGGCGGCGTAGACAAATCCATAGAATACAGCAGGCGAGGCTTCTAAGAGTATCACAGCAGCGTCAACATCTACTTCATCTCTGGAGGTCAAAGATCCCGTCGCGCAGGAGAAATTCTTTCTGGTTTTTCCAAGCGATAAAATTACGCCGCATTGTTTTGCGGCCGGACGACTCGTCTCCACCTAGGCAAAAGCAGCAATAGGACGCTTTTAATAGAAGCTGAAAGTACAAGGTAGACTTCGAGGACGCGGGCGAGCAGCTGCAGCAAGCAGTACACGAGTATTAAAGAAACCACGGGTCGACGTCGGCTCCTGATTAAGTAGAACGAGAGAGACAGAGAATAAACCAGAAAAATGGTGACGGGTAGTACTACAGCACCAGGCGGATCTTGTTCCACTGCTAGCTCTAGCAGCTCATCTTCCGCGCGGAGAACGTCGGGAAGTAACAGTACGGACGCTCTTAGAAGTACTACAACCACACCGGCGAAGGAAGACAGGCGAGTAAGAACATTCCGAGGGAGCAGGGGCAGCACAGCAAGCGGCAGGAATATGTTGACAACTTCTTCTTGTTCGTCAATTACATCAGCGAGCAGAACAAGGTCATCTTTCGTCAGAATATGGTGGAATCATGCAAATAGTGATGATCATCTTGGTCTGAAAAGTAAAAGATGACGTTCAAATCGTCCAGATGCGAATGACAAGTCGACTTTTCGTTTTGTAAACAAGCTATGTATAGAAACTTCTTTACTCGGCAGGATCATGCACCATCACAGAGCTTAATTATGCAGTGGTCCTGCACCTGCTGTACTTGTTAGATCTCGAAGAGAGTCGCGACCACTACACCAGGGCGGGACCTTCTCCTGCGTCGATGAGAGGCGCATTTAAGTACTTATCCAGCCAAGGAGTCTTGTTCGCAAAAATCTACTTCCAGACGACCAAGTGATAGGAAACATCATATTTGCAATGCATACAAGGCCGCCTTCGGCTGCTCCACAGCAGCACTCCTCCTCTCGCCACAGCATTCAGTGCTCGTCAATGCAGACAGCGCGGCAGGGACCACTCCAGGCGGGGCAGCTGCAGCAGGCCTGCAACAGCCCGGGTCGTATCCTGTGCAAAAGTATCGTACTCGTGTAAATGCATTACAAACTTCCTCAGCGTGAGAAATAAAATTTGTAATGCAGATTTGCCTTGGAGACAAGATTTGTAATGCTAAACTTGCATTTGTACGAGTGCGATACTTTTGCACAGGATAGCTCGCAGTTTATGGCGAAACAGGGACAACAAGGCGACCCGATCGACGGTGCGAACCCCAACAGGGAAATTCCGATCACCGATGCAAACGCTGCTTTGCTCGGAGGGGACAACATCAAAGGAGGTGCCGCACCCGCAGGCGGCTCTGCGCCCAGTCCACCTGTCGACAACGGGCAGCAATCTACTTCCGTCATGACCAATACAACCGAGGGACCACTGACCTTTGATCAAGTTGTATCGCAGGAAAAAAATGTCTTTTCTATGCTGATGACGGTTTTATTTTTGCACAATGTTAATGTCTATGTGCTGCATGAGATGATGCGCACTCATCTGCTCTCTACATCGTTCTTTCATCTACTTCTGCCTCTGCTGCAAAAATACAAGTCGCCGACCTTCCTCTCAAAAGTTAAACATTTTTTTTTCTGCGATAAGCCGCGTTAAAGCAGCAGTACGACCGGGAAATGAAGGCGGATGTGGACAAGCACCACATTGAGGTCATCGAGCGAGATCTGCCTAGCTACAAGATCAACAACGGTGTGAACGAGGGGAAAACTGGATTTCCCTTCGAAAAGGACCACGAATTCCCGGGCGGTAAGATGAAAAATTTATGACCAACATCGACAACTTTGGATTGATTGATGTGTTTGTGGCACCAGGACCAGACGAGGACGAGATGGCCATGGTGTTTAGGTGTTCCGGCATGACAAAGATCATTAGCGAATGTCTTTTGGCATGACAAAGACTGTCAATCTCTACAACTGGCCAGGTTTCTACGTGGACACGGTAATCCGCACCGAGAAGGACCGGTGGACGATTTACAAGGGGCACTATCAAATGCAAATATGTCTGGGTCCTCTGGAAACTTGTGATGCTGGTGGTGGAGAGAGACGAGGACACTTCGATTGACTGCAAAGCATGACAAGTTTTGAAGGAGCTGCAGTGCTGTCTAAATTCCATGACAAAGTGAGCTCCTGCATGACAGAAAAGTGGGGCTACTTTTGGGGATACACGTGCATGACAGACTTGAGAGTCACGCTCGCGAAGCATGACAAACCTTGCATCTTCGTTCCAGACCTCCCAGACATATTTGCAGGTGATAGGCACGTTTTCGGAACTACGGACTACTGGGACTTATGTGTGGTTTACGTGCAGAGGGTGGATCCGAATTTTGTCGGCTCCATGCCCAAAGTGGTATACTTACAATGAACTGGTGCGGTTCATAATCTAATTTGCTTTACTTGGATGTTGTAAAGCGCTACTGGATGATGGATGTTGAAGATGTTCATGATAGCATGTTGTGTACTAGTCCGTCGATGCTAAAGTGCAGTGGTAAGGAGCAAGGCTGCAACAACTTGGGCGGTCCCCATTGATTTGTTCAGGATTGCTATCCAAGAAAAAAAGTGTGTAAGTGTAACCTTTTTGCAGTAACAGCATTACAGATTTGTTTTGCATGACAGAGAAAACCTGTCATGCGTAGCTAGTACGCGAAAACACGTATGAAAATAGCCTCTGATGCACATCCAGCATGAAAAATGTAACTGTATTGCAACGTCTGCAACACAATAAAGCTGCACTTACGCTGCAGTTTTTTTCTTGCATAATTGCGGCTTTCTCCGACCCGTGGTCAGCCGGGAACTGGTGCAAAATCCGTCCGATGTTTACCCCAACGAAGCCCCCTACTGCGTCCTGCTCTCCGAGAAGGAAGACACGTGGTACCAGGGCAAGCAGTACCGGTTATCAAGAAGGAAAATCCTCCCTCGTCCGCCCCATATCAAAACGGAAATCTGTGATGCAGATTTGTGGCCACAAATCAGCTTTGTCATGCTAGAAAGGAGAGAAAAGATGTGCAGAAAGTGCTTCCTCGCCCACCCCCCGGGGAGGGGATCCTTGACCTGTGGCGCTGGGAGCGGGTGTCCACTACGTGATGATGATGATGATGATGACTGCAGTGCTGTGCGGCGTGAGAAGGCCTCGCTCCATGTTGAGCATGACAGGAGGCAGCTGGAAGTGGGAAACAGCGTGACAAATTGTCTGCAAACGAGGCCACGACTGCCGCTTTTGGCCTTCTAGCAATACAACTCGATTTGTGTACTCATGTACCGCATGACAAATTTCGTTTTCGATATGGGGAGGGGGGATTTTTCCTTTTGATGCCGGTATTCCGCATGGCAGTTTTTCCAACGCGTTCCGAAGTTCCAGCCGTCCTTTCGCCCGCGGGAAACTTTCGAATCCGGACAATTGCCGGGCGTGTATAATTGTTTCTGATAGAAGTGCTGATGTACTTTCGACGTCTTACTTTTACGAACACATTCTTGCTACCGAACAAGTTGTGATGTCCCATCATGTTGATACGACCATGTTGTGGATGTGGTTTCAGTTTCTGGGAAGTAGGAATAGCTTTGATGCCATGCAAGATTTTTTCAGCATGATTTGATGCACGACGTACAAAAAATACAACGACTGGTCGATGTTGATAATGTTAAAAACACGACAGGAAATACCGTTTTGAGAAGTTCCTCGGGCGGGGCACGTACGGCGAGGCCTACCTCGGTATTCGGCTAACGGACAATCGCCCCGTGGTGATCAAGGTTCTGTCGGCAAACCCCAAAACCTCCGCGCACACCGATATCCACCGGAGAAAAAGTTTCCTGGTTGTGCAACTACTCTTTTTGCAACAAGCAGAGCATGGTCATCTCCAAATTCTGGTTGCAGGATTCGGATTGCATTTTCACCACAGATGCTGCGATCATGCCATCCTAGTGCTCGTCCGTACCCTGTGCAGTCGCATGTAGCTGCTGCACCAGGTTTGTGTTTGTCACAGAGACTGAGAGAGTAGAGATGTGTATATTAATGCACTTTTATTTGTTTTCTAAATCGAAGTACGCCAGCTTGAGACTTTTGTAGAGCATAGCCGACAAGGGCCCGCAGGTGGTGTTCGACAAGCCAAAACAACTGCTTCCCGGTTCAACGAAATCCGAGCGGGACGCTTGCAACTTGTCGCAGGAGCTGTTTGCGCAGATCTCAGACAAGTCCAAGTCGCGGTTTGTCGCCTGCTTGGAGGGGGATGGGTGGATATGCATTGCAAAAGTATCGTACTCGTGTGAATGCATTACAAATTTCCTCAGCATGAAAAATAAATTTGTAGTGCGGATTGACCTCAAGAAAAAGATTTGTAATGCATAAACGCAATTAGTACGAGTGCGATACTTTTGCACAGGATAGTGGATCACGCACAGCTCGGGCGTGGAGTTGCTGTACGCCATTTGGGAGTACGGGGGCAGTTCGATCGAGCAGGACCCGCCTATGGCGCTCTCAAACGTTACTTTCTCAACTGTTACATGAATCTGTAATGCAAGAATGGCAAAAGCAAAAGGGGGAAGATTGTAAAATTTGCATTACAAATCCCGCGCAGATTTAGGCGCTGTTTAGCCCCTCGCAAATTTGTCATGCGAAGCAGCTTGATCTTGTGGATGATGATGGTAGTTTTGCATGGCAAATTCATGCAACAGACGGGAATGCAACGCTTGAGAACTCCATACCGCCCAGAACCCTCTCGGACGCCCTGATCATCATGAAATCGGTGCTGGAAGCAATTCAAATTATCGTCCGGAAAGGTATAAAAATGTGAAAGAAGTATGAGATGAATCATGACCATGAGCTTATTTTTAATAGCCGCGCATTTGTCGTGTAATTTTTCGTAAATATTATTTCAAAATTGTTTACTGTCATGCCCGGACTGTAAGGCGTTTCCTTTGCCTTTCACATCACAGGCGACATCGTCCATCGCGACATTAAGATCCCAAACATCGTCTGGGATGCCAACAAGATCGTGCGCTTGATTGACTACTCGCTTTCTCGCCGCATGCGGTCCTCCATGCAGCACGGCAACCGGTGCTACCACACCCAGCGCTACAACCGCACAAAAATGCTGCTGGAAACTTTGTATCCCATTGGTGCAAAAATAGAAAATATCGCACTCGTTGGAGATCATGATAGATATTCACTCTTGCTGTCTGACATGTTGACCGATATACTTGCTACTTTGTATACCTAAATTTTTGCAAATTCACCTCCATCATTTTTATTTGCGTGTTAGTTGTGGAAGAAGCAAGTACAAATTGCCATGCAATTTCTACGTACGATCGAGTGCGATAATTTCTGTAAAGCTGCATACCTGAAACGAAAAATTCCGCGGGGAAGGCCGGGCCTGGGAGCTGGGATGGCACAGGGCAATTTCCGAATGGCCGGACTTTTTCCGGGTACTACACTTGACAAATTGCTTGTTAAGAACCGGTCGTGTCCACCTCTGCATTGATGATAGTACATAGATAGAGCGGCTCTCATTGGTGAATGACACGAATGCGCATTCCTGATTGTCTTCGTCGTGCTCTTGCATGTATAAACTGATTTGTTCATGTTTCAATTCTCACAGCTCCGCGACGCGATTTGCGAACAGGAAAAATTCGGATCCGCGCTCGAGAAGCAGGTGGAAAAGGCAATATGGACGGGGAAGAAGAGTATGTCCAAGATCACAAAGTTGTTCCTAACCTGATTACACTTTGAATAGGGGGCGTTTACACTTGATCAGTTTGTGACGCTGGCGGAACAACAGTCATGTCATTACATACGAGATCCAGAAATAGTAAAGGTAGAGATGAAACAGAAACAACACTCTTCTTACACCATGGTACATGAGGACTGCTCTACTTTCTTGTTGCATACCGCACCGGGGATTTTCACTGCCGGGTGCGCGTTCGGCAGCCTACTTTGTACTCCAAAGAGTCTCCGCATCTGGACCCACAGACCGAGGCCTCGATCACCAAGAAAAGATATGAAAACCGAAAAACAATGTGTACAACGTACTAGTACTGCTGTTGTGAACACTTTAGAAATAATTTTACCACCGCTGCCGTCGGTCTTGACGTGACAACTTGAAAATTGAAAGTTGTGTTTTGCATGAACAAGAAGGCGGTGACATAAAGCGCAGGTAGGATGCATGGAGTTGTTATACGTAGTTTTTCTTCGCATAGCAGCCCAGTGGTCTTCCGATGGGGCCTGTGGTGCGAGGAATACGGGTACAGTCATCAACTTTTCATGCATTCTAGTGTGGGTACCAGCCGGTCTACTGGAATGATATGTAAGAATGCCAATTTCGATTTGTGATGCTGAGTGTGGAGTTGTATGTTAGACAAAAACCTCTGTAGTTGCACAGATCAACCACAAATAAAACTATACAGGTATGTGGTGGAGCATTTCGGGGAGTATTTTGGGATCCATGAGTTTGACGAGTGGGCAGACGATGACTTTGCCCTGCCGCAGTTGCAGAACGGGAGGCTGGTAACCGTGGTCACCGAGGATCAGCTGGGTTCCGATGCGCTGAAAAAGGATGTATCAAATGCAAAAATGTCTGGGTCTGGAAACTTTAACTTGTGTTGCTAAAATGTGGACGATAGAAACACTTCCGAATGCTACCTAGCATGACAAATTTCCAGAACGCTTTCTCATAGGCAATCCGCATGAAAAGCTTCTTGTTTGGGTTTGCATGTACAAAATAGGCTGCGACTTTTGTAGGTTATGCAATACAGATTTCCCAGGTCGTATGGAAAGCTAGCATTACAAGTTCCAGCCTTCCAGACCCAGAGATGTTTGCAATGCATAGGATGCCAAGAAAAACGAAATCACCTGCGCGAACGGCTTGGACCACTGGTTCGCCGACTGGCCGCACCAAGAAATCCTGAACTCCCTGCAAGCGAAGGGCAAGGACGAGCGCGACGTCGGGGCTTACCTGGCGACCCTGCCGGAAGTCCAGGAGGAGGCCCGAAACAAACACACCCACTGCATCAGCTGGACCGCAGAGGCGGCGCCGAATGAAGTGAAGTCCTATATGGTGGAATTCGACGAGCAGGACCCCCGGTCCTTCGATGTGCACTCCCTCGGTGTGGTCATGTCTCACTTGCTGCGGGACCAGTTTGAAGACTACCATGATTCTACCCTGTATCAACTGGAAAAATTAAAATACCCCCTCCGCCCCATATCGAGAAGGAAATTTGCCATGCTGATTTGTGACCACAAATCAGCTCTGTCTTGCATATGGGGCATCAAATGGGGCCCGTTTGGCACATTCCACAGCCAATCTGTCATGCGCTTTTGCATACTGCAAAGGTGTCTGCCATGCCTAACCGCTAGCCTGATCAGGCTTAGGAAGTGCATCCAAGCGCATTGTGCAATACAGCGCTGATTTGTGTACAGAAATCCAGCAACAGAAATTTCCTTTTTTCTATGAGGTGGGGGCTTTTTTCACTTTGATACGCTGTACCAATTCATCGCCTCGATGGTGGAGCTATGCATGGCAAATATGATCCCCAGATGTCTGGAAGATTGCAAGAACTTGTGATGCTGTCTGCGGATTCTGAAAGAAATTGTATTGCATGACCAGCAAGGAAGACGAATCCTCCAGTTTGTGCTACGTGGGGAGGGCATTGTTTCTCATGCGGGATAGGCATCAGAAAGCTTTCTAAAAATCTGTGATGCTAGATCATGCATTACAGGTATCACTGGTCTTCATGCAAATTATGCACGACAAACCGCTTTCAATCTTCCAGACGTCCAGGGATATTTGCATTTGATAGGACCAGATGACCGAAATCGACGTGGCGAAGCGAATGACGGTTGAGTATCAGATGCAAAAATGTCTGGGTCTGGAAACTTGTGTTGCTGATACATGCATTGCAAACTTGTTGCTTGTACGGCATAACAGCATGAGAAATTTCTCTGGGCTCCTTGCGGATTCATTCGTGTTTAGCATTACACATACAAACTGCCATCCAGCACGACAAAAAACCTGGCCATTGGTATTCATGCATTACAGATCTTGTTGTCCTTGAAGTCCTGCATCACAAATCCAGACCCAGACATATTTGCAATCCATATTGAGGAGGGCTTGGCGAAGCTTTCCTTCGTGCAGACCTACTACGATTCGCGCGAGCGGGGTTTGACCGGGCGCAATTTGATCACTTCGCTGCATTATGCATTGCAAATATGTCTAGGTCTGGTGGAAGGATACAACTTGTGATGCTGCATTGGGATGTCAAAAAAAATCTGTATTGCATGAGCAGCAAAAGGAATCTTATTTTTGCTACGCGGAGGGAGCATTTCCATTTGTCATGTGGAATAGGCATCAAGAAGCCCCCCTCAAAAAATCTGGGATGCTAGGGCATGCATCACAGACATCATAGCTCATGCAAAATGGTGCATGACATTCTTCCAGACCTCCCAGACATATTTGCAGTTGATATGCATCGCAACTGGGTGGGAGACCGGAACTACTCCGGAAGCACGAGCGGTACCAGCGATTCTGCGGATTCCCGCTCCACCGCGCCAAGTGGCGGGGCCGCCGGGGGGCCAACGACCGGCACCGGAGCTGCAGGCGGGGCCGCAGGTTTGTACGGCAGCAAGGCGCACGAGCAGTTGTAAGAAGAAGTGTGAGCAGGACTCGACTACTAGTAAGTACTAAGTTGCATCAGACACAGACTATCACTTGTTCAGAAAATATTGAAAAATAGAAGATCTGCAACTACTACTTACAGGAGGTCGTCAACTGCATCTTCCAGCTCTACTGCGTCCGTTGTAGAGCGAGAAGAAGACAGTACAGATCTTAGAAGTCTTAAGCTGTCGTGCCGGGGGACGAGTAGAAATGAGTAGTCAGAGATTTTTACGTTCTTACAAAGAAATTGAAATTGCTGCTGACTTCAACTGTGCCGGTAGTTGGATCAGTGCGTAGAAGTTTAAGTTTTTCAAATCCACCACGTCGTGTAGCTGCTACACACTGCGCTCTTCAGAAGTAGGCAGAAGTGAAGTTGTCGTGTCCTGCTCAGTGTTGATTAGTATCTGACGTCGCGGCGGTGACCTATTCGCGTGGCTTATGCGACCGCAGATATCTCCCTGAAAATTTTTGTTCTTTTACTTTCCTCGATTTATCCATCTATTATGTACGTCACTTGTAGTTGTTCTTTGAAATAAACGATAAAATAATGAAAACTACCACGAATCAAGTGTTTCTATCTTTTACAACTTTGATATTATTCCGTACAAAGCAACAAAATTGAAAACACAGTCAGCTTCGGGAGAAATCGGAGCGCTAGTTGTCAGTCAGTAGCTGAGAAAAATAATTCTTGTACCAACGAGTTCTGCCTTGAAGATTTTTTATTTTTACCGAGTTTGTTATTGTTGCTGTTGTGACGCATTAGAAATCAAATTGTTACATCCAAGAATATAAAATTTCCATTCGTTTGATCATTCATCAAAAAGCCTTTTCCTCTATCCGCTACCTGTACCAAGACACACCATTTTACCAGCGTTCGACACCACCTTCGGAATACGTAATGTAAATATATATGGTGCGAGCAAGAGCAAGACAAGTTGAAGTTCGAAGAAGTAGTAGTAGAAATTTTCCCTGAACCTACCACATATTTTTTCCCACAGCGAGCCTTGTTTCGAGCTTCTTTTGTATATAGCATATAATATCGGCAGCACGGTGCGGGCACGACCAGGAGCGACACAGAACCTCGGCGCAGGAGGAGGGTCGTGCTTATTGATAAAAACACAACAACTTAAGATTACAGCTATAATACTATCATTGGAGTCAGCAAATTTTCGTTTTAGTAAGCAGCAGAATCAAACGCGTTACACCTGATGTTTATCCTGGTGAAAAATCCAGACAACCTTGTTTCATCATCATCTTGAGAATACAGATCAGAAAGAAAACCTTTCATCGCATTTGAAAATTTTGAGCCACGGCGGCCCTCCTTGAAGATGTGGTGCTTAATAAATCGAGCAGAAAACGACCAGGTAATTATGTCGCCGCACAGATGGCCATGTTTTTCTTTCCGAGCGAAATTTTCTTCCTGTACATAGTACTAATTTCGTTTATTCGCCTGTACCTAATTCTGGAACAAATTATACGTCGTGAATGAGATTCACGAGAAATTGAGACTCAATACGAAAGTTTGAGCGCGCCGGAAAATCATAATTTTCTGACCGGACAAGCGAACGACTACGACGAGGAATTGTACTTTTTACCTGACGCGACCACCACGGCAGGTGGAATGAATCAAAAATTTCGTGAGCAAACGAAAATTGGTATAAGCGAAAGAAAAAGAAAAAGTAGTAGCACCAGAAGCGGTCTAGAGAAACTAGAAGAGAGCGTGCAACGACCACTACCGCGGATGAAATCAGTGGATGATGTTCTCGTCTGGCGGTTGACGCCTCTTCATGGCTACGCAGGCGCATGATCGTCGCTGTGTGTTGAGTTTGTAGTTCACAACTACCCATAATTGCACCGAGGACAGGTAAAAGTACTGCAAATTAGTTACCACTCAAACTAGTATTTCAAATCGCAGCTTTGGAGAGAGAAAACCAGCACTGCTGCACCAAATTCACAACGGCGAGAATATCAAGTATAATACTAGAAACGAAAGCATCAAAGTCATACTCGATCATGGCATGTTTTTCCATTTTTCATCTTCCCACCAGGTCTCAATTAAGAAGATCAAGAACAGTTTTCAACCACCCAGGGGAGAGTGTTTGATCGGCTTGACAAATAAAAATCTTGAAATCGATGTAAAGAAAACGTGGAACAAGTAGATCAAGGTCATTGCTTGCAGCCGTTTTGATGGTTTCCTCCTTTCAACACAACGCTGCACACCACGTGGGAACATTTTTTGTCGTATAACTAGGATGTGCTCCTGTGAACCAAATAGCCCAAAAGGCGAAGCACTAGACTAGGAAGCACCGCAAGTAGAAGTTTATTGTTGTGTAACACAGGGATAGCAGGGGCGACACAGTAATAGCTCTTGACGACTTATTTCACTTTCTCCAGGATCGCAGCGACAAAACAATCAGAGCATCTATTGGTTCATTTATTTTCGTTACATTTTTTGAACAGACACGACATTGTGATGCTCCTCCAAGAGAAGACATTTTGAAGTGAAAAAAAAGACCTCTGACACGGACGATTAGGACTGATTTTTCTGACAGATGTGCTATTCTACCAATGCTCGCATTGATATTGGGTTGGAGTAGGAGTACTCCGTTCTAGTTGCTCTAGAATATTTGATATAAATTTGTATAATTTCACCATATTGGTCAACATACCATCATCACCATGGGCTACAGCAATTCGAGCCGCGACCACCACTACGACCGGCGGGGCGGGGACAGAGACCGAGACCGAGAGCGGCGACACCATGATAACAGCACTCGACGAGATGATGACCGCGACCGGAGAGGAGCAGATCCTAGAGCAGATAGAGATCGACACCACCGCGCCGATGGAGAGCAGCGGATGAAAAAGCCTCGCGAGGACGCCAAGCGGTCCGCCCGAGCTGGCGCCGAGGATGTTGAGAGGGCTACGACCGAGGACTTCATCGAGACCCACAAGCGGGCGAACAGCCGGCACCACGAGCAAGTCGCGCAGCAGCAGCAGTACCAGCGGGAGCTGTTTATGAATTGCAAAAGTGTAGTCGTACGAGTGTTATAAATTGCATTACAAATAATTTGTATTTGAATTTGCGCAGCATTACAAATGGAATTTGTAATGCTGTTTTACCTTACAAAGAAGATTTGTCATGCATATATTGCAATTACTACGAGTGCGATACTTTTTCACTGGATACTGTACTTGCAGCAACAACAGCAGGACAGCCAGTTGAACGTGAAAAAGGCGCGGTCGGAGATGCTCCGGGAGCAGCTGAATTACACCAACGAGGAGAACCCCTTCGGGGACAGCAAGCTCACCGAGAAGTTCACGTGGCACAAGAAGAACGAAGCGGACGGCAACCGGAAGCTGACGAAGGAGGAAAAAATTGCCATGAACGCGGAAATATCAAATGCAAAAGTGTCTGGGTCTGGAAGAATGCAACTTGTAATGCGTATTTCAGAACACAGAAAAGGCTCTCATGCATGCGTCGCAAGAAAAGCTGCCCACTTTTTGTCAGCAAAATAGGGGACTTGTCATGCGGATTCGGCATTCTTGCGGAAGCTTCTCGAAACCTGTGATGCTAGAGCTTCCACGCCAGACCTTTTGTGTCATGCAAAAACAGCATGACTCTTCCAAACCCAGACATTTTTACATTTGATAGGAAAAGATCAAGGAAATCCAAAAAGTCCGGGCCCGGCGGGAGGAGCGAGAAAAGGAGCGCCTGGAGCTGGAGCAGCAGCGGGAATTGCTGGATATGCATTGCAAATATGTCTGGGTCGTCTGGAACATTCAACATTGCGAGACTTGTAATGCTGAACGCCCATAGTCCTGAACTCCAACTCTGTCATGCATGTTGCGGAATAGCACCGCAGCTTCTGTTCGATTTCGAAGAAACAAAGGGTTGTTTCTCATGCGCGTGACGCACCACAGAACCTTCGCTCAAAAACTGCTCATGCGTTGCTGTGTACCTACTGTGCTGAGTTTGTGATTCATGCATTAGCATGACAATTTTCCAGACCTCCCAGGCATATTTGCAATGCATAGTGGAAAGGGAAAAGCAAATGGAAGAGAACAACGACTGGTTTAACAAGGAAGACTATCAAGTGCGAAAGTGTTTGGGTCTGGAAGGTTGGAGCTTGTGATGCTAACTTTGGGCTCTAAAAAAATCTGTATTGCATGATCAGCAAGACGAGGAGTCTAGTTTGTGCGACGAGAGGAGGGCATTTGTCATGCGCAATAGGCATCAGGAAGGGTGCTAAAAATCTGTGATGGTAGGGCATGCATCACACACAATCCTGGATCATGCAAAATATGCATGACAAACCCGGCAAGATTCTAGACCCAGACACTTTTGCATTTGATAAAGACGAGTTTCAGTACGTCCAGACGGTGGAGAAGGCGCACATGAGAATCCAGCAGATATCAAGAAGAAAAATCACCCCTCCCCATATCAAATCGGAAATCTGTGATGCAGATTTGTGGTCACAGATCAGCTTTGTCATGCTAGAAGGGAAAAGATGCGGACTATGGTGCCGGTTGGTGTGCTGGGAAAGCCTTGCATCTTCAGCATGACAGGAGGCAGCTGGAAGTGGGAAGCACAATGGCAAATCGCCTGCAATCGAGGCCACAACTGCGGCTCTTGGCCTTCTAGCATTACAAGTCGACTTGTGTACTCAAATACAACACTACAAATTTCGTTTTCGATATGGGGCGGAGGGGGAATTTTTTCTTTGGATAGCGGAGACGCGAGAACCTCTTGGATTTGCTGCTGTGCTCCCTCTATGCTCTGCAAAAGTATCGTACTCGTAATAATTGTAATCATGCATGACAAATCTTGTTTCTTAGCCAAATCAGCATTACAAACTTCATTTTTCCACTTCTCGGAAAATTTGTATTGCGATTTATACTAGTACGATGCTTTTGCAATGCATACCCTCCTGGTCTGCGACAACGACATTGTGAAGGCGGTTAGTAACGAGTTCTCCGGCACCGGGGCGCACGTATGCATTGCAAAAGTATTTTCACACTTCTACACTACGTAGAAATCGCATGGCAAATTTTCTCAGCATGAAAAATGAAATTTGTAATGCTGGTTTACTGTAAGAAGAGGATTTGTCATGCACCGTGTCCATGCCTGCGATTACTACGGTACGAGTGCGAGGATACTTTTGCAATGCATAGCACGGGTTGCTCGACGACGGGAGCGCGGAGTTGAAAAAGAAGCGGGAAAACCTGTCCGGCGACATCGTTATGAACTGCAAAAGCATCGTACTCGTATAAATGCATTACAAACTTCCTCAGCATGAGAAATAAAATTTGTCATGCGGATTTACCTTAAGAAAAAAATTTGCAATGCAAGACTTGCATTTAATATACGAGTACGATACTTTTGCACAGGATAATCGTTTTGCTCGACCAAAACCCGGTGGACAAAATCGAGCAAGTTTTGTCGCACGGGCAGCTGAGAATTCTCCTCGACGGCGCGAAATTGGTCGACGACACGAAACACTACGACTACTGGAAGTCGCTCTGTTTGGTGTTGCAATTCAACATTGACAAGATGAACAACTTGAAGAACGCCGGGGAAAATTTGGACCGGGACCTGCACGAGCTGTTGGAGGGGCAGTCCACCGAGGAACTGGAGCAGACCAGGCTGGAACTCGAGGAGTCTCTGGAAAACGAAAAATACAACGACCCGGAGGACTACACGGACTACGTGTTCTACAAACGCGTCATCGAGCGGATCCCGCTCTACCAGGCACGGTGCCTGCTGGCTTTCAAGCACTTCGAGTCGCTTCGCTTGGCCAAGGAGGTCGCGATGGGCAGTCGGGGCAAGATATCCTGTGTAAAAACGTCCCCAGCCCAGAGTTGTCATGCAAATGTGCAATGACAGGAACAGTTGTAATGCGCAGTTCCATGAGACGAGGCATTTCCAATCGTGTTTTGGAATTTGTAATGTTGTAAACAGGTTGAGAGTGTGGCTTTCTCATGCGGCTTCCCTTGCCAACCAGCACTACACTGCAGAGGGAAAGAACTTGTCATGCACAGCTCCCAAAGCTTGGAGATTTGTGTTGCTAGATTCCCAACTTGACGTATGTGGCCGGGACGTTTTTGCTTAGGATACAAGATCGCGGTGCGCCAGTCGCAAGGGATCATCGACGACAGCAAGTATGAGGCAAAACATATCAAAAGGAAAAATCCCCCCTCCCCATATCAAAGCGAAGTTTCTGATGCTGGATTTGCGTACACAAATCAGATTTGTCTTGCTAGAGAAGACTTCTGCAGGTCTATGCTGAGCCTGAATAGAAGGTTTTGGCCTAGGCGCTGAGCATGGCAAACGTCTGGTCTGTAGGGCCAACAGCATCACAAACTGCTTGCAGAATCCGGCGGAGCCTGTGGAGTTGCGTTCTTGCAAGACAGAGACGATTTGCGTTTGCGAGTCAGCATTACAAATCGTGCCTTTTCTATATGGGGAGGGGGGATTTTTCCTTACGATAAAACAGGAGCTGAACACCTACGGGGGAGACAATATTTGGGGAAACCGGCGGGAGATTATCACGGAAATATGACAGTGCACAACTCCCTGCCCCCTCATTTGTATAGCATGAACGGCAATACAAGCATCAGCAAGAGTGCCAGTCTTGCATGACAAATTTGCACTGGATTATAGTGCTATTTCAGCTACCAAAATTTGTCATGCACGCAGTGCCAAGAGGCAAAGGGTAGTAAATTGGGTACTTTGCATGACAAACGAGGGGGAGGGGGAGTTGTGCACGGTCATAGGAAACACTAGACGACGTGAAGGGCCTCGGGGTGAACATCGGGGGCAAGTCTGATATCTCCGAAGTCGCGCAAAATATCCCACGAAAAAACTGTTTCACTGTGAACTTGTGATGCATGGAATGGAACACAAAACTATTTGTCTTGCTGCACATGCATAGAGCATTGGAGTTTCAAGTGTGTTTTTCCCTATGGGAACTGTGCGCATGGCAAATTTTCTGTGCCATGTGTAACAAACTACTTGTGATGCAGATCTTGCAAAATCATCACAGTGAAACAGTTTTTCCCTGCGATACAAAACGCAGCAAAAGCAGTCGCGGCCTCGAAAAACGCGGGAGGGGCGGGGGCGAAAGATGTACTTTTAGACTTACTTTATAAAATTTGGATAGGATAGCTTAGCTGCAGCTTGGTTGATGATCATCTTTTTTCCTCGGTTGTAAATGCAAGACATTCGTCATTCGTTCTCGTTTCATTAAGTGTAGTGAGCATAGCGAATGCTTAGTTGTGTTGCTCATTTCCCTAACTTTCGCCACCTCGGTTGTAGTACATCGATCTTGTGTCAAATTAGGTTCTTCTTGAATGAAGTCCGATACTAAACCTTATCAACAGCCCAACGCCAAGGGTCCGCAGCGCAGCACGGTGATGACGCGCGACATGAAAGCGGATATCAAAACCGAGGCTGCGAAAGACCAATTTGAAATGGACGACGACGACAAGGCCTACAGTTCCGACGACGAGGAGGCCAAACCCTACAAGACCCGGTATGGCGTTCTCAAGCGTTACATTCTCAATTGCGACACGATTTGTCATGCAAAATGAGCATCAACATCCACACAGTGAAGATGGTTTGACAACTTTGAGCATCAACTGGTCGATGGTTTGACAGCTGTGGTCTGTGCACTTGCCCTGTTCGCCCGTGCCGCAGGTAAGGCACAAACGGCCCAGCCTCCCCTGTCCGGGCGGGGTTGCGGTTTAGGGGAGAGTCTCGCCCCTTAACCCAAAGGGGTACGTCGTCTCTTCCGTGAGAACAAAAACGTAAGGCGTAAAATGGGTCGGGTCCTGGATCGTTCTGTATGTTGGGCTGTCGCGCTCGGCTAGCTGGCCGGGCTGTACTGATCAGGTGTGGTGGGTAGCTCCCGACTGGTTGGCACTTTTCAAGGGGCGACTTGCCGTGGTAGCGCTCGGCTTTTGTATGATGAGGTCGCCGAAAGTGCTTCCTCGTCCATCCCCCCGGGGAGGGGATCCTTGACCTGTGGCGCTGGGAGCGGGTGTCCACTACATGATGATGATGAAGAGGCTACTTCGCATGACAAATGTTGGAAAGGCTAAACAGCACCTAAATCTTATCTGCGCGGAGTTTCTAATGCTACAGGTGCAACCTCCATTCTTTGTCTCTTGCCATTTTTGCATTAGAAATTTATGTAACAGTTGAGAATGTAACGTTTGAGAACTCCATACCCGGCGCAAGCAGTACTTCTGTCCCGAGCCGCGACAGATTTATGCTGAGTAAAACCGTCCCCACCCCAGGGTCGTCATGCAAATCTGCATGCCAAAAAAGTTTCTCATGCGGAGCCCCATGAGAAGCATTTTCTAGTCGTGTTATGGAGTTTGTGGTGCTAGAATCAGCATGATATGCTAGAGCTGTGATGCTGCTGAACTAGCGAAACAGGATCACACTATGACGGCAAACTTGTCATGCGAAACAGCGAAAGCTGGGTGATTTGTCTAGCAGATTTCCCATCTTGACTCTGGTGCGGGGACGTTTTTAAACAGGATAAGATGGACGACGGTTTTACGATGGACGGCCGCACCGGGGAGGAGGGCATGGAGGACAACGGTGGCGGCGCCGCGGGCAGTTCCCCCATGAAGATTTCGCCCGAGTCACCTGACCCCGAGGACGACGAAGATGAGGAGAGCGAGTTCATCAGTCTGAGCCCACGACTGGTCCCCCTGAAGCAGCACATCAAGCGCGACCAGCTGGAGGAACAGCAAGAGAAGAATAGCGGCAATAAAGACGCGTCTTCGTCGAATAAAGACAAGAACAGTCTGACCAATATCAACTGTAAAAGTGTCTGGGTCTGGAAGAATGCCAGACTTGTCATGCAGATTTTACATGACTCATGAGGTCTCGCAAGTAGGACAGAGCATGACAGATTCTGTGAGAGTTCTATCATGCCTCTCCTGCATGAGAAACTGCCTCTCGATTAGGTCAAAAGTGGACAGCTTTTGGCTATCATGCAACACAGATTTTTGCATGCTTCCAGTTTAGCATGACAAGTTGCATTCTTCCAGACCCAGACATATATTTTTACATTTGATAACCAAAATTCAGTCCATGACCTCTCTCGACGACATCGATTCGCTGATTCAGTCCCAGCAGATGGATATGCACTGCAAAAGTTGTATCGTACAACCTTGTATAAATGCATCTCAAATTTCCTCAGCATGAGAAATATGAATTTGTAATGCGGATTTTGCTTCAGAAAAAGATTTGTGATGCATTTTCACAATTCCTACGAGTACGATGCTTTCGCAGTGCACAATGGATTTCAAACTCCTAACCCTGGACGAGGACGAGAAACAGCGGCGGAAAAATTTTATCGAAAGAAAAAAAGTTACAGTTACACATTTGTAGTGAATTCAGCATCACAAAGTTGCCCCGCATGACCACAGAGGAAGCTTGCAATGCAGAGATTATAAGGCAAAAGCTAACTCGAACGAGGCTCGCAAGCATTTTGCGCATGACAGAGGCTGTCTGTCTTGCTGGTTTTGCATCACAGTGTGTAATAACTGTAACACTTTTTCTTGGGATAAATTTCCAAAACTTGCTCCTCAGATACGGCGAAGAGCCGGACGAACAGGGGGATAAGTGGCTGGAAATGATGCGCAACCGCGAGGGCGCCTCAACCGGCAACGATTATCCCGAGCAAAAATGTCCCCACCCCGTAGTCAAGTTGGTAAATCTGCAACACAAATTCCGAAGTTTTGGGAGTTGTGCATGTCAAGTTTCCATCTGCAGTGTAGTGGTGGTTAGCACCAAGGGAATCCGCATGACAAAGCCACTGTCTCACCCTATTTACAGCATGACAAATTCCAAAACACGTCTGGGAATTCCTCTCATGGAGATGCGCATTGCAAATCGATTCCTGTCATTGCGGATTTGCATGACAAGAACTCTGGGGTCGGGACGTTTTTGCTCAGGATAACGACTGGGCCGACTTCAACGTGGGGGGCAAAGTCGACGTATCCTGTGCAAAAGTATCGTACTCGTACTGATCGCGTTCATGCATTACAAGTTTCTTTCTCAAGTGAAATCCACATGACAAATTTTATTTTTCATGCTGAGGAAGTTTGTCATGCGATTTATACTAGTACGATGCTTTTGCATGTCATACGACGACGCGGTGGCTAATTTACCGATCGACAGCGAAACTGGCATGCTGATCGAGGGAGCCGCCGGTCCCGCTGCTGGAATAAACAAGGCGAAAAATAACGACACCCACCACGGATTGGTGCAATTGAGCAAAATCCACTACGATTGGGAGAAGAAGTACCGACCACGCAAGCCGCGGTTTTTATCAAATGTAAAAATATCTGGGTCTGGAAGAATGCTAGACTTGTCATGCAGGTTTTCCATGACTCATGACGTCTGGTATGTAGGACATAGCATGACAGATTCTGTGAGAGTTCTATCGTGCCTATCCTGCATGAGAAACTGCCGCTCGATTAGGTCAAAAGTGGGCAGCTTTTGGTAATCGTGCAACACAGACTTTTACATGATTCAGATTTAGCATGACAAGCTGCTTTGTTCCAGACCCAGACATTTTTGCATTCCATAGCTTTTCAACCGTGTGAAAACCGGGTTTTGGTGGAACAAGTTATCAGAATGAAAAATCCCCCCTCCCCGTACTTATTCAAACGGAAATTTCTGTTGCTGGATTTGCGTACACAAAGTAGATTTGTCTTGCTGTCGAGGACTGCAGGCGCATATCAAGCCTGAGAAGACAGGTTTTGGCCTAGGCGCTTAGCATGACAGACGTCTACGCTGTAGGAGTATGAGCATGACAAACCGCTTGTAGAATGCGGCGGCGCCTGTGGAGTTGCCTTCATGCAATACAGAGACGATTTGTGGTCACAAATCAGCAACGCAAATTTTCGAAAACGTGCCTGGTCATGATGGGGAGGGGGGATTTTTCCTTGTGATACAAGTACAACTCCACCCACTACGACACCGAGGTGCCGCCCCCGAAAGTGGTGCAGGGGTACCGATTCAACATTTTCTACCCGGATTTGGTGGACGCGAAGCGATCCATATCCTGTGCAAAAGTATCGTACTCGTAGTATTTGTATTATATCGCAGCTGTGTGTATGTATTACAAATCTAGTTGGTTAGGTAAGTTCGCATTACAGATTCAATTTGTAATGTTGAGCTTATTTGTATTGCGATTTGTACTAGTACGATACTTTTGCAGTGCATAATCCACGCCGAAATACTACATTGAGAAGGACCAGACGCAGGGGAACACCATGGAGACGCAGGAAACGGTACTCTTACGGTTCTCCGCCGGGGCGCCCTACGAGGACATTGCGTTCAAAATTGTGAACAAGGAGTGGAACCTGAATCCGCGAAGGGGGTTCCGGGCGGTCTACGATCGCGGAGTCTTGCAGCTCTACTTCAACTTTAAGGGATTCAATTACCGGCGATAGTTTTTATTTTCCCCTCAACATGTAGTAGTTGGGGCTTGCTGTGGAGAAGGAGAACCTGCTGTGTGGATGGTGTCCGTGTGTAGAAGTTTGATGTTCCGAGGACCTGCAGCTGGTGCTGTGCCACTCGCAGCAGGGGTGAGTCTTTGTCTTGCTGGTGGAACAAGACGCGTGCAGCAGCTAGTACAGCTACTACAACCAGAGCAACGAGGACCACAACCTCAACCACGTCAGAGCAGTGAAAGACGAATTGGTGACACACACTGTCACCAGTGTGTTGTGCCTCTACAACCAAGCTCCTGCGCGGCCCCCGAGGTGCAGTTCTTGTGGTCTACTTTCTTAAAGTACCTCCTGCACGACAGCGACCCAAATGGACGGGAGGGACCATGTTGAAGAAGAAGGGTTCTTTGCCGCGGGGTCGTAAGCAAGTAGTTGTAAGTGAAAATATCAACATGTTCTTCGCACCAGTAAAGCTAAAACTCGCTCTCGCGGCTTTCCTCCCCTGGCGAAGCAGAGGCTGCTATTGGTGTCTCAAACCAGCCAGTACTATCACAAACCTTAACCTGTTGAAAAAAAAAAAGGATTTCAAAATGAATGTGAGCAGTAGATGAGAGCGGCGCTCTCGTTATGCAGAAAGTTGCTCCCAGCAACGACTAAGGCGATGAACTACACGGAAATGATTTCATGGAAAGCGAAAAACACTGTGCGCTGGCACATACTATCCTTCGATGGAATTCCAGTTGTTCTCACGAAGAACGTCAGAAAAGGTCTCGTCGTTGCACTTTTGTTCAACTTTTTCTTTCCCTTTTGCCTTCGTGGTAAAAGAACCTCTTCCTCTTGCTCTTGTTCGTCTGTTCTAGTTTTCGTGCAAGTAGGCTGTATGAGCATGATCGGTAAAAACTACAGTAAACTTTCTCAGGAGAGAGCTTGCTACCCCTACACAACACATAGTTGCTCCAGCAGAATAGGCAGTTTCACAATTGTTTCCACGAGAGCTCACATTTTCGAGTTTATCTCTTCTATCCCATTCGTCATCTTCGTGTATTGGCGTGCTCGAACTGCTTTTTGCGTCATCGGATTTATTTCATCTATATTTTCCATTTATTGTTTCACTTTCTCTACCTTATAAACCGCACCCGGGACGAGGAGCGAGGACCACGACGTCGATCATGTTTCCCTGTTTCCGCACGACCGAATGGATGGACAAAGTTTTTTCCAAGCAAGGCTGCGAAGAGTTGCTCCAGGAATCGTCTCGCGGCTGCTCGTCCACGTTTACTTCCTCGTCCTCCTCTTCTGCTTCTAGCAGCGCGACATCAACAACTCCAGCAACCGCAGGGAATGAAATGAGCAGTACTAGTACAGCCGGCATATTAACGAACATTGGCGAGGAAAAAATAAACCAAAAAAAACCTCCGCAGCTCCTTCCACTCAGCGAAATCGACCTGACCCCTTCGTACATCAAGAATTTCCCAACCGCCAACCTTTTCCCGCAGAAAGTTCAGGAGGTTCGGGAGCAGATTCGAAGGACTTTATTTCGGCAGGTTTTGTTCAAGATACAGAACGTGGAGGTGACGTACATGAAAAAGTGCAAGCAGGACAGAAGGTTGGTGGAAGTGGTGAAGAGCAGAACTGATAGCTCTTCAACAAGAGGTGGTGTTAAAAATAGTGGTGGTCCAAATTTTATCCAGGAAAAAACACCCATCCCCATCCATTTTTTGCATGACAAATACGGGATTTTATGCATGTTTTGCATCACAAATTGGATGGGGATGGGTGTTTTTTCCTGGATAATTTTTTTCTCGGATGTTGGCAGAAGCGAAGAACCGGAGCCACCGCGACGAGCCACCACGACGGGACTAACAGCAACATCTTCAGCATCGACCAGCCCCACAACTTCTTCGTCTACATTCGATTTTCACCCTGAACTTCTTCTCGGCCGCATGCGCAGCTTCTTCTTTGACGCGCTGCACCGGCGGAGTTTGATCGAGAACCTGAATTGGCTGCCGGGGTTGCCGCCTCTTCTTTCAGGGTTCTTTTCATCTGGTCCCACGTCTTCAGACGACGTTGATACAGGAAGTAGGGGAGCGGCCCAGCTGCACCAGCCTGGCAGTGCGTACAACAAAATCGAGTTTCTTCGGGAAATATCAAATGCAAAAATGTCTGGGTCTGGAAGAATGTAAGTTTGTCATGCTTGTCTGGCATGACTCGAGAATCTGTGTTGCAGAGGCACGAAAAGGCCCTCTTACCTGTCATGCACAAACGCAGTGTGCCATGCGGAATACGTAAGGCATGGCAGCCAGAAAATTTGTCATGCATAGCTGCGTATTGCAGTGCGGCTTATCATTCACTTTTAGCATTACAAGTTTATTCCAGACCCAGACATATTTGCAATCCATAGGAAGAGATTTGGCGAGTGGACAGGTGTGAGGAGCTGCGCGAATACCGTGTACGGTATATCCTGAGTAAAAACGTCCCCACACCAGAGTTGTCATGCAGATTTGCAATGACAGGAACATTTGTAATGCGCATCGCCAGGAGAGGCATTTTTAGTCGTGTTTTGGAATTTGTAATGCTGTAAACAGGATGAGCAGATGGATTTCTGATGCAGCTGGCCTTGCGAACCTGTACTACACTACGGACTGCAACTTGTGATGCGTGACCCCAAAAAGTTCTAGGTTTGTGTTGCAAAATCCCCATCTTGGCTCTGGTGTGGGGATGTTTTTACTCAGGATACGGCACTACCGGGAGGCCCAGGGTGACGGTTTTTCCACCTTTGTGATGCCAAAACACTGGCGAGATAAGGTCGCGTTTGTGTGGTACCACTTCTGGCAATAGATCAGATTCAGGATGTCAGTGCCGTGGTGTTGGGTCCTGGACCTGTGACATTCAAGTAGTTCTTTCTTTTCATCGGCAAAACAAAGGTGGACAACGCTGAGGCTATAGAAGCAATAATCATCAAAATCAAATAACAAGTCTTCGTCTGGATCGTTCCGACAAGTAGGTACTGGTTACGACAGCTTCTGACGATCTTGATGAGCTGCACCAGAGTTGTGCTTTCACAGCCTTTTAATGTCGTGTTCGCTCCACTTGTTATCAGGAGGTCGATGGTGTCTTCATCCGGGATCTTTGGCTACATCGATATTCGAGAGAAAAACTCGCTTCGACGAATATATAGCTTTTGTAAAAAAAAACAAAAGATAACACTAGACTCTGCCCCTCTAGAAGTAGTAAGCACTTCGAGAGCTGCGCGACCCGGGCTGCAGAAAACCAATACAAAAATTCGTCGTGAGAGGAGCAGCTTATCATGCAGAGAGAAAAATTGGAGCGAGCGGGGCAGTGGACAATAGAGAAAATAAGCTCTCAAGTCATTTTTCAGAGAGCCCCTTGGCTTCGTTTCATCTCCGTTTTAGCATATAAACCGCTTTTTACAACGCAGGAACTCCTCTCATCCACGTGGATCGGATCGCGCTCTATCGCTAGTACAGACAAATTCTCTCCTGTATGTGCAGCAGGCTGCTTGTACTCGTCTCGCATTTCGATTTGTGTCTACTCCTTCAGCAGACGAAACGAAACCTAAAGGAATACGAAGCATTCATCACGTCAGATGAGAAAAACAAAACGTAGAAAAAACTGAGCGGCAAAAATAGTAAGGCAGGATCTTTGAGCGGCCTCAGAATGACACCCTGCAGAAGTTCTACAACTTCCGAGGTCAAGAACATATTCCTGGCCACTCTGTAGCGGAAGAGAAGTGAAAAAAAATCCTTCGCCGCGTCCGTTCAGCAATCAACAGGTGGCATTAGTCCATCGTTAGGCTGAAAACACTTCTACATTGTCAAGATGGAGTTCACCGCCGACCAAATTGTATCCACTGCAAAAGTATCGTACTCGTAATATTGCAATGATGCATTACAAATCTTTCCCTTAGGGTAATTCAGCATTACACATTTTATTTCTCATGCTGAGGGAATTTGTAATGCATGACTTTATACGAGTGCGATACTTTTGCTTTTCATAAATTGACGAGTTTAAGGAGGCCTTCGCGCTGTTCGATCGCGATAACTCCTACGCACTGTAAATGTCCCGTACACGACGTACAAATGCAGTCTCTGCATGACAAAATTGGGCTTTGATCCTAGTTTACTAGCATGACAAGTTCAAGTGTTACGCTCCAAATTGGTGAATGAAGTTGTGATGCATCTCGTATATGTACGGGAAATTTGTATTGCATAACTCCGGCACAATCACGGCAGACGAGCTCGGCGTGATAATGAAGTCGCTGGGGAAAAATCCCACCGATGACGAGCTAGAGGCGATGATAGCGGAGGTAGACGAGGACGGCAGTGGCGAGATCGAGTTCCCGGAGTTTCTGTATGGATTGCAAAAGTACCGTACTCGTATAAATGCATTACAAATTTCCTCAGCATGAGAAAAAAAATTCGTAATGCAGATTTGCCTTGGAAACAAGATTTGTAATGCAGGACCTGCATTTATACGAGTGCGATACTTTTGCACAGGATATTCTGGCGTTGATGTCAAAAAAACTGCAAGCAGCAGACAGCGTGGAGGAGATGCGAGAGGCGTTTCTCGTACTGCTTAGACTGTTGTAATTTTCTTGTCATGCAAGGTGGCAGGACGCAACATGGTAGGGTTGCTTTGTCATGCGTATATTAATGCAACATACAGCATCTCATATATGTATATGAATCAAAAAAACAAGGTGTTCGACCGAGACAAGTCCGGTTCAGTAACAGCAGCGGAATTGAAGCACGTGATGAATAACCTCGGAGAAATCGTGACTGACGACGAAATATCAAATGCAACAGTTTGATGAAATTGAGTCGCAATGTCGATGCTGCATGACAAAACTTCACTCAGCAATTAATTTACTTGGGTAAGTAGTTGTACCACAAAGGCAGTTTGCACTCAGTTCCTGTAAAATATAAATGCACAAATGCGAAGTGGAAAGATGCAGCGCGATTCCCATTATTCTGTTCTTGCAGTGAGTGCATATTTCGTTGAGGAGATGATCCGAGAAGCAGACGAGGACGGTGACGGGGAGTTGTCGTTCGACGATTTTCTTCAGTTCATCCGAAGAAAAGGACTGATTTGACGACAAGGCAGAATGCATCCTGGAGATGAAGATGTACTCGAAACCAATCGATGAAAAATCAAAATTTAAATTGTTGATTGCACAACTTTTGCCAATATTACTACTGAGAATAAAAATCCGTTTCTAGTACTATTGGCACGGTCGTTTCGGTGCTTTTTGGGCAAGAATATTTTCCTCTTGTTGTTGAGAATAGACAAAATTTACTTCATCAAACCAACGTTAGTTTCTCTCCCGGCGCTTGCGCTCGCGGAAAGGGAAAGTTCTGACAAAAAAGAATAAACATGAGGAGCTCGCGAAACAAGTGAAAGTGTTGCGCAGCTTTCTCAGCGGCGGGTTGAGTGACGTGGTCGTGGCTCACGTGTTCTTCCGGAGTGTGAGGATAGACATGTGTCCGCGATGTTGAGTTGTTTCCTTTGGTAGTGTGTGAGTGCTCAGCAGGTTGTTCTTCAAATGTTCTTGTTCACTCGACGTCGTCCGACAGTCTTCCAGTTCCGTGTTCTTTGTCGTCCGAATGGGTTTGGTTTCCATTTCAGTACATTTGCATCTAATTCATAACTATTTCATGCATCTTTCGTGAGTCGAGTTGAGAAGCGAAGCGTTTTTTTCATCGCGCACCCGGAGCTGTTCTGTGGTACGTTCCGCGCCCGCTGCTTCCTCATTTTAAGTACACCAGTCGGAACTAAAACTCTTAGAAGCATAGAGAGGGTAGACCATTCAGTTTTGGATCTAAAAGCAAGACAACTGCAGTGCGCAAAAGTGACGTAGCGACGTATAGCATGATCATGTAAGAGCAGCACAGCACGCATCAAAAAAAAATGGACCCGGAAATTCGATCTCGTCTCCGGAATGGCGCGGTCGCCTGCCGTTTCCGCGACCCGGGGTTACCCCTCTGCATCGACGGGTTTGTGCAGTGCAAACACCTATGCATTGCAAAAGTATCGTAGTACTAGTATAAATTGCATTACAAACTGACTTAGCATATACAAATTGAATTTGTAATGCGGATCTGCCTTTCAGAAAAAGATTTGTAATGCATAAACGCGATTAAGTAGTACGAGTGCGATACTTTTGCACTGCAGAACACCGGAAACTGAAGTTCACGGCGAACGAGCGGTTTGCGTACGGCGGCCGTGACATCGGCGGCGCCTCCGCTTTCTCGACGAACAGCTATGGCGCATCCAGTTCGACGACGAAGATGGAAGCGGGCCTATCCTGTGCAAAAGTATCGTACTCGTACTGCAATCAAAATCATGCATTACAAGTTTTTTCGTTAAGGTAAATCAGCATTACAAATTCTATTTCTCATGCTGAGCGAACAATTTGTCATGCATTTATACGAGTGCGATACTTTTGCAGTTCATAGGGCCTGTCGCAGCTGTTGCCGCCGACCACCTGCATGTACCAAGACCGACACGGCGACAAGAACCAGATGCCGAATATCAAATGTAAAAATGTCTGGGTCTGGAAAGTTGGAACTTGTGATGCTAGCTTTGGAGTCTAAAAAAATCTGTATTGCATGACCAGCAAGAGGAGCCACATTTGGGCTACGCGAGGAGGGCATTTGTCATGCGGAAATGGCATCAGGAAGCTTTCCAAAAATCTGTGATGCTGGGTCATGCATTACAAGCATCATGGGTCATGCCAGACAAGCATGACAACCCTTCCGTTCTTCCAGACCCAGACATTTTTGCATTTGATACCGAACCCCGGTGTACCAGACGACATTTCTGACGTCGATGGAAGCTCGGACCGTCTGAACTACGGGATTCTGCTGTACTATCGGGCGAGGGAATTGCAACTGGTACAAGCAAGTAGCGTGGGAGGACAAAACGGTAGTACAAGCACTGCCCGCGCGGACAATACCATGTATCCGATTGAATTCTATGTCGAGTCCGAGCAGCTTCGGCGGCAGATCCTCGAGGTGATAACCGACCGGCAGACGAATCCGAACCCCAGGCCGCTGTCCACGCAGCTGTACGAAAGTCTGTTCGCATCGTCAGCACCAGCGAACAGCTATCCTGTGCAAAAGTTGTACTCCTGCGCAGATGGGACGGACTTGCAGTTCTCGTGCAACACTGCATGATGACAAAAAACTTATCAATTTTAATTTATTCTCTGCAGCCTCATTTTGCATTCACAAGCTGGTGGATTTGAATGAGATTGAGAATAACAAAATCATTTAGATACCATTGTAAACATATTAACTCATGCTACTTACTTATACTTATGTTTGTACATGTTCTTCATCTTCTACGACACGCACGAAACTTTTGCCGACCTTCATAACACCTCCGCCTCTACGGCCTATGACCCCGGCCGGGAAACGGATCAGATCAAACTGCATTCCAATTACCAATACGGTGGCTCCTCCGCCTCCAGTACGCGCAGTACCCCTGGGGGCCGGCTATCCGGAACCAGGAGCAACCACGGGCGGGCGGCCGGCACGGCGAGCGTGATGCTGGAGCGAAGCCGGAATTTGATGGCCAAGTTCTGTTTGGCACAGAACGATATCCATTGCAAAAGTATTGTACTCGTAGTAATCGCAGTCATGCAATACAAATTTCCATCTCAAGGTAAAACAGCATTTTTACAAATTCCATTTGTCATGCTGAGCTAATAATGCGATTACTACTAGCACGATACTTTTGCAATGCATAAACGACGGTGGAGGTCCCGGAGCAGGCGGGCGGAGGCAGGCGAGATCGGAAAACGGATTTAACGGCCGCGGAGGCGCGGGAAAGAACACCAGAAACAGTAGAACGAGCAAACTGTTTCGCAGCACGTTCGGAGGAAAGAGATTGACCCGAAGCAGCTTCGAAAGTAACGAAGGCGCGGGGTCTATCCTGTAGAAAAACTACGTCCCCACCCCAGAGTTGTAATGCAAATCTGCATGCCTCAAATGTTCCTCATGCGCATGATCCGCCTGAAAAGCTGCACTTTCTAATCGTGTTTTGGAATTTGTCATGCTAGAACCAGGATAAGAGTGCCCATTTCTGATGCGTCTGCGCGAGCTGAACACTATAAGTACACGGCAAGCCCAAACTTGTCATGCGAGAATGCTAAAAGTTCTCGATTTGTGTTGCAAAGTTGCCATCTTGACTCGGGTGGGGACGTTTTTCCTCAGGATAGGGTCCCTAAACGTCCGATCCGATTTGGAAATTTTGCAAAATTATCTGCTATCAAATGCAAATATGTCTGGGGCTGGAAGATTGCTACGTTTGTCATGCATGTCTGACATGACTCAAGAATCTGTGATGCATGAGCACGAAGCGACCCTCTTGCCTGTCGTGCAAAAACGCAGCTTGCCATGCGGAACACGCAACACATAGGAGCCCAAAAATTTGTCATGTTTGGCTCGGTATTTTTGCAGTGGAACTCTCATTCACTTTTAGCATGATATACAAGTTTCCAGACCCAGACTACACATTTGCAATGCATACCTCCGCCACGACTGCGAAACGGCCTTGAGCAAGCTTGTTGAGAAGAGTTATCAAATGTAAAAATGTCTGGGTCTGGAAGATTGCCAGGTTTGTCATGCACGTTTTGCATGACGTGTGAGGTCTGTGATGCATGCCTTAGCATCACAGATTCTGTGAGATCTTTACCATGCCTTTTCCGCATGAGAAACTGCCTCTAAAAGTGAACAGCTTTATTGGTAATCATGCAACACAGATTTTTGTATGATTCAGATTTAGCATGACAAGTTGTACTCTTCCAGACCCAGACACTTTTACACTTGATAAGAGTAAGGGCAACACCAGCAGCACCGCTACTACAACTTTATCTCACGTCAAACTCGGCACAAAAACTACTTTCCAGAGATACGAGGCTCTGGTGGAGAATATCATCAGCGAGTATTCCGATTTGGGGCATCTAGAAACCTTTTTCGAGGTGAATTACCCGAGCGGCATGCGGGAAGAACAATTTGGGTGGTTTTTAGTGCAAATGCAGGACGAGAATTCCCTGGTCGCGAAGGAGGTCTTTTCCTTCCTGAAACCGCCCTGGAAAACGAGTAACTCATCCAGCATTGCGTCGAACAGTAGTTCTGGTGCGACGTCGGCGCACCAGCAATACCAGTCGCAGAACACCACTTCGAGCAGTAATATGTTGGACCAGCTCCACATGTCGAGTTTTGACCAAACCGCGAATGCTCTGAACAAGTTCGGCCTCCGGCGCTGGTTGTGCGATGCGAGCCGGAATTGCATCTGTAGTGGGCATATGAATTGCAAAAGTAAATTGTACTCGTATAAACGCATTACAAATGTCCTCAGGTTGACAAATATAATTTGTAATGCGGATTTAGCTTGACAAAGAAATTTGCAATGCATGATTGCAATTGCTACGAGTGCGATACTTTTGCACAGCATAGGGCACGAGAATGGCGGTTCTGGTGCGACGAGTCTGAATCTTGGGGAAGATAGCTTCATCGAGGACCATATCTTGTGCACAAGTATCGTACTCGTACTGCAGTCATGCATCACAAATCTTTTTCTTGAGGTAGATCCGCATTACAAATTATATTTTTCATGCTGAGGAAATTTGTGATGCATTTATACGAGTGCGATACTTTTGCAGTTCATAGACCATGTGGATCACAGCTTGATCGAAGTCGACGAGCGAACCCTCGATTACCCGTTCGCCAGCTACCTGGTGGCGTCGACCGGGTTTTATTGCGGCGGCAATCGTAATTCTGCTTCAACATCATCACTGGGCAAGAACGACCCCGGACGAGCAGATGTACATCAACTTCTAGAGGAGAAGTTTCTGAATGACTTCCTCCCACTAATAGCCAACAAGTATCGGTGCCTTTCGTTTCTGGTTTGCGCAGATGGAAGTGACAGTAGTACAACCGGCGATCATGAAGCAGGAGCAGGCGGAGAGCCAGTAGCTGCGGAACTACCTTCTTCAGCGATGAAAAACAAAACCCTAGATGATCATGCTGGCTACTCCGTGCACATTTCGCCGACTCTGAAAATCTCGATACTAGCGATCCTTGGAAAGTTGGCACAAGTGGAAGAGAAGCAGGACCGGGGCCGAAACAAGTTCCCCCTGACTGTAGTGCTGCTGAATGGGGTTAATCATAGTAGTCAACATTTGCTGGCAAGAACTTCTAGAAACACCAGTCCAGCACCCGCCTCTCTAGCAGCCTATCTAGAGAAGATGAGCTTACCTTCGCCAGTGTTTCGGGTGATGCACTCGGCTGGATCTGCTGCGCCGGCATCATCTTCAGCTTCTTCTGGACAACAGCAACGAAGTAAGAACTACCTCGTTCCCGATATCAAATGTGAAAATGTCTGGGTCTGGAAGATTGATGCCAGGCTTGTCATGCATATTTTGCATGATTCGTGATGCCTGTAATGCATGACCTAGCATCACAGATTTTTAAAGAGCCTTCTGATGCGTATTCCGCATGAGAAACGCCCGCTCCGCGTAGCACGAATTGAACTCCTCTTGCTGGTGATGCAATACAGATTTTTTTTACCTTTCAAAGACAGCATCACAAGTTCCAACCCTTCCAGACCCAGACACTTTTGCAATCCATACCAGAGACCCCCATGCAACTACTCCGAACAGGCACGAAGATTGCGATCGAGATAAAGGTATGCAGTGTAAAAGTATGGTATTGGTAGTGATTGCAATACAAATTCGCTCAGGTTTGCTTTGGCAACGAGATTTGTAATGCATAAATGCAATTCCTACGAGTACGATATTACTTTTGCACAGGATAAGCAGAAGGTGCTTGCCCGAGCTTTCCCGCCGCCTGGAAGAATTGTAGGCCGCCACCAGAAGTAAACGTAGAGTCCTCGTCTGAGGCCGCGCAGGACGTCGGGGGTGCAGCGGGTGGAGGTCAACATCTTCGTGCTGGGTCAACATCTAGTAGGGCGCATGATCTTGCAGGCAGCGGTGGAGGAGGTGCAGGCGCCAACGAGGAGGAGGAGGTGAGGCATTTCTTCGCGCCGATTGTCCTCCGGAGTGGGAATGGAAACGACCCATCGGAAGACTTTTACGATGACAGTGAGGATGGAGACGGGTTCTCTTCTGATGATTTAAATTTTCCGGAGGACAAAATGCACCACTACCACTGGCCGTGTTTGCAGCTTCACGGAGAAGGTTGTAATGGTGCTGCAGGAGACGCAAATAGAATTATTCCGGCTTCCGTCGACGTGTGCAATTTGTGGGCGAGTGGGATACAGAGAGTCTGCTGTCCACCCCCAACAGGCGTGTTTTCAACATCAATCAACACGTTGACCAAGAACTACATCAATCCACCTAAACCAGAACACATCCTATCAAATGCAAATATGTCTGCGTCTGGAAGGCTGAGAGACTTGTCATGCAGGTTTTCCATTATGTGTGGGGTCAGTCATACATGACCCAGCACGACAGAAGATTCTGTCCGACGACTTCTATCATGCTTCGTCTGCGTGAGAAACTCCCTCTCAGCTTGGTCAAAAGTGGACAGCTTCTGGTAATCATGCAACACAGACTTTTGCACTATCCAAGATTAGCATGACAAGTTGCAACCCTCCAGACCCAGACACATTTGCAATGCATACATCCTGTTCGAAAACAACGGGTTTCAACTTCAGGACCTCCCTATCCTGTGCAAAAGTATCGTACTCGTAGTCGTATTGCAATCATGCACTACGAACCAATCCTTTTGCTGAGGTAAATCCGCATTACAAATTTTATTTCTCATGCTGAGGAAATTTGTAATGCATTTATACGAGTGCGATACTTTATTTGCAGTTCATACTCGCACAACTCCGCCCCTGGCACGTTTGCATCCGCCCGCTTTTGTTGGAAAGAGCCTTCTGTGTCGGGGAAAAATTGCCGGGGGCGCAAATGCAAAATCAAGCGTCGGCTGACGATGGATTTCGAGACGTGCTTCGCAGCATCACAGACGATACAACTACAGTAGGTGTTGGAGGTGACTCTGCATCCACATCCACATCCAGCGGGGGCGCAAATGATAACAGCTGTTATAATAGTGCGTCTTCTCATTCGTTCACTACTGGTACTGCGGCAAGTAGAACTTTGACTTCTTCCCCCACTTCTATCGACAAAAGACAAGTCTTTTTCACCGCTAAACTGGAATCTTTCGCACGTAAGCGCGGCCCAAGTTACTTCGGGAAAATGGAGTTTGAAACGAGCGCGAATTTGTTTCAAGCCGACGTCAACATCTCGGCGATTCGAAAGGATGTTGAGATGATAAACCAGGCTGGAACTACTGCTTCTGTGGCAACGCCTGCCACAGCGGCCAGTGGGCAGTATACCAACACTTCCAGCGCGACGGGGGGTGCGTCCACAAATTCTGCGAATCAACATACGGGTCGTACTTCTAGCAGTGCAACGTCTTCCAGAACGGCTTCTAGAGCAGCCGGACCCGGAGGTCAGCATATGTATTGCAAAAGCATCGTACTGGTAGAAATGACATCACAAATTCGTTCAGCATGGCAAATGGAATCTGTCATGCTGTTTTCCCTTGGGATGGAAGTTTGTAATGCATGATTGCGATTACTACGAGTACGATACTTTTGCACAGGATACAGCAACGTAGGCCGCAATTTGTGCAGGCGAGACACCCCAACGGGCAGCAACAGAGCAAATATCAAATGCAAATATGTCTGGGTCTGGAAACTTGTGATGCTGGGTGGCGTATCATGAGGAGGCCACAAGTGCTGGCTCAGCATGACAAGTTTCTGAGCTTCTAGGTGTTGCCTATTCTGCATGACAAACTGTGTTTCATCTGCATGAGCATGACAAGAAAATGGGTCTCTTGGGTAATGTGCATGACAGATGTAAGAGTCATGCGAAACAAGCATGACAAACTTGCACTTTTCCAGACCCAGACATATTTGCATTTGATAGCAAAAGCAACTTTACAAATGACGAGTGGCTGAATTCGGAGCTACTCCAGCAAATTCGGTTTAAGTGTCCGCACCCGGAGTCGGGTTTGCTAACTCTGAAGCTGAACCACGTAGATGCCGTCACGCGAAAAATCTCGACGGTCTATCAAATGCAAAAATGTCTGGGTCTGGAACAAAGCAACTTGTCATGCTAAATCTGAATCATGTAAAAATCTGTGTTGCATGATTACCAAAAGCTGTCCACTTTTGACCTAATCGAAAGGCAATGTCTCACGCAGGATAGGCATGATAGAACTGTCACAGAATCTGTCATGCTATGACCTACATACCAGACCCCATGGGTCATGGAAAACCTGCATGACAAGTCTGGCACTCTTCCAGACCCAGACACTTTTGCAGTTGATACGGTCAGTCACTACGCAATGCGACTCTTGCACTTGCGACCAGGGCTGCGCTGGGTGCCGTTTGCGGGAAATCGGGAGTTTCGGGGGATGCTGGTGCATGTGGAATTTTTGTAAATACTGGAGTGGAATGGTATTTGGCATGAACAACTTGTTCATCGCTTTCGCTTCCTGTCTTTGCAAATCTGCATTACAACTCTGGCGTGGGTACGTTTTTACACAGGATATGCACCCAATTGAATTCTATGTCGAGTCCGAGCAGCTTCGGCGGCAAATCCTCGAGGTGATAACCGACCGGCAGACGAATCCAAATCCCAGGCCGCTGTCCACGCAGCTCTACGAAAGTCTGTTCGCATCGTCAGCACCAGCGAACAGCTCCGCCTCTACGGCTTATGGAGACCCAGGCCGGGAAACGGATCAGATCAAACTGAATTCCAATTACCAATACGGTGGCTCCTCCGCCTCCAGTACGCGCAGTACCCCCGGGGGCCGGCTATCCGGAACCAGGAGCAACCACGGGCGGGCGGCCGGCACGGCGAGCGTGATGCTGGAGCGAAGCCGGAATTTGATGGCCAAGTTCTGTTTGGCACAGAACGACGCCGGTGGAGGTCCCGGAGCGGACGGGCGGAGGCAGGCGAGATCGGAAAACGGTTTCAACGGCCGCGGAGGCGGTGGATATCGCAAGAAAAAACTGTTTCACTGTGAACTTGTGATGCATAGAATGGAACACAGAACTATTTGTCTTGCTACACCTGCAAGACCTTGACTCTCTAGGGGTGTTTTTCCGTTGGAAGCGCGCATGGCAAATTTTCTGTGTCATGTGCAACAAACTTGTGATGCAGATCTTGCAAAATCATCACAGTGAAACAGTTTTGTCGTGGGATAGTGGAAACACCAGAAACAGTCGAACGAGCAAACTGTTTCGCAGCACGTTCGGAGGAAAGCGATTGACCCGGAACAGCTTCGAAAGTAACGAAGGCGCGGGGGCACCCAACGTCCGATCCGATTTGGAAATTTTGCAAAATTACCTGCGCCACGACTGCGAAACGGCCTTGAGCAAGCTTGTGGAGAAGAGTAAGGGCAACACCAGCAGCAACACCGCTAGTACAACTTCATTTCACGTCAAGCTCGGCACAAAAACTACTTTCCAGAGGTACGAGGCTCTGGTCGAGAGTATCGTCAGCGAGTATTCCGATTTGGGACATCTAGAAACCTTTTTCGAAGTGAATTACCCGAATGGCATGCGGGAAGAACAATTTGGGTGTATCAAATGTAAAAATGTCTGGGTCTGGAAGATTGCCAGGTTTGTCATGCACATTTTGCATGACTCCTGATGTCTGTGATGCATACCCTAGCATAACAGATTTTGTGAGGGCTTCCTGATGCCTATACCGCATGACAAATGCTCTTTCCGTGTAGCAAAACTTGGACTCTCTTTGCTGCTCATGCAATACAGATTTTTTTAGAGTCCGAAATCAGCATGACAAGTTTGATTCTTCCAGACCCAGGCATTTTTACAGTTGATAGGGTGGTTTTTGGTGCAAATGCAGGACGAGAATTCCCTGGTCGCGAAGGTATCAACTGTGAAAATGTCTGGGTCTGGAAGAATTCATGTTTGTCATGCTTGTCAGGCATGACTCTTAAATCTGTCATGCACGTTACCCAAGAGCTCCGTTTTTCTGTGATGCAGAAGCGCAGTTTGTCATGCAGAATAGGCAACACCTAGGAGCTCAGAAACTTGTCATGCTGAGCCAGCAGCTGTAGCCTCATCATGAGACGCTACCCAGCATCACAAGTTCCCAGACCCAGACACTTTTACTTTTGATAGAAGGAGGTCTTTTCCTTCCTCAAACCGCCCTGGAAAACGAGTTGTAACGCAGCCAGCATTGCGTCGAACAGTAGTTTTGGTGCGACGTCGGCGCACCAGCAATACCAGTCGCAGAACACTGCGACCAGTAGTATGTTGGACCAGCTCCACATGTCGAGTTTTGACCAAATATGACAGTGCACAACTCGTCCCCCTCCCCCCTCATTTGTAATGCAAAATACGAAGTTCACATCTTGCCCTCAAGCACAGTCTGCGTCACAAATTTTGGAGCTTCATCAAACAGTACTACAATCCATGTGCAGACTTGTCATGCGGAAGTCACATTTCTGGCGTTGCTTGTATTGCTGTTCATGCCAACATTCGAATGAGGGGGAGGGGGAGTTCTTGTGCACTTTCATACCAAACTGCGAACGCTCTGAACAAGTTCGGCCTCCGCCGGTGGTTGTGCGATGCGAGCCGAAATTGCATCTGTAGCGGGCACGAGAACAATGGCGGTTCTGGTGCGACGAGTCTTAATCTTGGAGAAGACAGCTTCATCGAGGACCATGTGGACCACAGCCTGATTGAAGTCGACGAGCGAACCCTCGATTACCCGTTCGCCAGTATGCTGTGCAAAAATGTTTGTCCCCACCGCCCCACAGTCAAGATGGCAAATCTGCAACACAAATGTCCAAGTTTTGGGAGTTCTGCATGACAAGTTTCCATCGCATTTGGCATGAACAACTTGTTCATCGCTTTCGCTTCTGCATCACAAATAGAAGTATTTTCTTTGGTGGAAGCGTGAGCATTGACAAGCTCTTCAAACACCTCGCCTTCTGATCATCATCAAGCTCGACGAACAAATTTATCTTGGTCTATTAATCTTCCGATGAATCTGTCTACTTCTTGCGACATCAAAGAACCGCAATCGCACCGCAGGTCGGGCAAAGATGCCTTTTTTTCTGTGGTGTGTTTGATTTTTGACAAACGAATGGCTGGTCGGTCTTCGCGTTTGCTCTCTTATTCGGTATCTGAAAATTTCTCTTTCTAGCTGCTGATGAATGTTTTAACGACAAAGATTCATCCTACCATTGTGATCATCGGTGCTGCAACGAGCAAAGTTGAGAAGTCGGATGATGCTGACCCACGACATCAAATCGGCCTACGATGAGATAATTTCTGTCGGAGATAGTTGAAAAATTCTGTCTTTGCTTTTTTACGCAATGCGAGCAACTGCTCCTGTTGCTACTTGTAGCAGTAGAGACCTATCATCTTTCGGTTTTGCTTTCGTCGCTTCGGATCTGCGCTTGTGCAAGGTCGGTGAAGTCAAAATTGTTGAGTAAAAACGACTAAAAAGATAGTTATGTGAAGAAAATTTTCGAATTGAACTTACAATGTAAAAACGGAAGCAAATCGCAGATCCACTCAAGTCTAACCCATTCACGATATTCTATATCACCTCTGACTTTATTTCTTTTTGCGCCACTCGACCGAAAGAACCCAGTAACTCATAAATACAAAAGTATTTTTCTTTTGACAGAAAATTGCACCTATGTGCCGTAGCCGCAGCAACGGCGATGCGTGAAGTCGAAGCCTTTCCACAGAAAAGTAGATGAGGAAGATCTGAAATACTATTCCCGAGGAGCACAGCCTGGAGTTGTGTGACAGACGAAAGAGATGAAAACAAGATCCCCGCGACTGTTAAGCATTGTGCAATTTATTTACAACAACATTGACACGACACTGTTCTACTAGTTCCTTCTTCATCTAGCTACCTCAATACAGAGAGCTCTTAAGTAGAGAAGCGGAAGAGACCAATAATCAAGACGATCTAATACTAGTAGTTGCATCTGACTCTGAACACCAGGTGGCTCATCACACTAAAGTAGTGACAGATGAACAGAACAAATATGGCCTAAAAGCGACACATCAAAGAACTGCACTAGTAGTTTCATTTTTTTGTTGGCAAAAAGGAGGAGAACTACTTACACACTACGTCTAGTTGTACTAGGTTGGTTACTTTCATAAGATTTTTGGACGTGGTGTGGAGCTTCTAGTGCGCTGCTGGTCGTGCAACGACAGCGAGACCACATAGTAGAGAAGGAGGATCAACATCATCATTGACACGAAGATCAAGAGCTTTCCTTTCCTCCGATCTCATTTTTCCTGCCTAGAAGTTCTTAGGCTCTCATTATATTATCGGCCTAGAGCTAGACCAAGCCAAGATTTTAGTACTTCTGAAATACGGTCGACGCGGTCGGTGAACGAAGGAAGTCATGACCACTTGTACTTACTGGTAAGGCCCACCAGCAAGCGCTGCAAGGGCCGCGAGATCTATTCCTGCTATCTAAGTACATAGTAGAGCGCCGCACTCCGTCTCAGACGATCTTCTTCAAAGTTAAAAGCGCTAGCTTTGCTAAAAGCTACGGCTCTGTAGCTGCCTTATCTCCACGTAGAAGTCCTCGCATTTTGCTATATACAGCCTAGTTTCTTTGGTGTTTTGCATGCGCAGCGCACGATTTTGACGTGATAGTTTATCATACTAGCGGCGAGAAAAAATTATAGCAAAGTGTCATAAAAATTCTCAAATAAGTATATTTTTACCTACAGCGACTTTACTGCGACAACGCGTTTTAAATACTTCATTCAAGTCTACTGGTGGCCTGAGAGAACTTCTGTCAAAATGTACCTTGCTTCGGGGGAAAACGTAGACGCCAACTCGGATACTTCCGATTCGTCCGATGTGGAGGACAGCGAGGCAATCGCGGCGAGCCGGCGACTCCAGTCCGCGCCCCCGATGCAGTTCATGTACGAGAGAAGGTCGGAGTTTGAGTCCCCCCAAAACTTCCTATCAAATGAAAATATGTCTGGGTCTGGGAGATTCTGAAACTTACTTCTCATGCACGTTTCGCATGGGCCACGATGTCTGTGATGCATGCCGTAGCTTCACAGCTTTTTCGAGGGGTTCTTGATGCCTATTGCGCATGACAAATGCCCTAACCGCGTAGCAAAAATTGCATTCCCTTTGCTATTCATGCAATACAATTTTTTTTGGAATCCAAATGCAGCATCACAAGTTGCATTCTACTTCCAGGCCCAGACATTTTTGCATTTGATACTTTCGAACACCCGACGAAACGAAAAACAGCAGTTCTGGCGGGACGGCGTCTTCCCCTGGAACGAGCAAGATATGAATTGCAAAAGTATCGTATTCGTATTGCAATCATGCATTACAAATCCTTTTGTTAGGGTAAATCTGCATTACAAATGTTATTTCTCATGCTGAGGAAATTTGTAATGCATTTATACGAGTGCGATACTTTTGCAGACGATACAAGAAGAAGAGCAACAATAATTCGCCGTCGAAAAAGAACAATCTGAGTAAAACGCCGCAAAGCGGCGGACCGACCGTAGGAGGCAATGGAAGTCGAGGTATAGCAGGTGTTTGGATTTCCAACCAGGAGTGAAGTGTTATGTTACGTCTATAAAAATCTTGATGGTGTATGTTCTTGTTCTAATATCACGATGCGACAAGTGCGAATGGTCTGGTGCAACCTACTGCAGGAAATGGAAATACAACATCGCATATAATTGAGCCGTCCTTTACTTCAAACTGCATATACAGGTGGAAATAACGGCCGGAAGCTGTCTACCCAGCACGAATCAGACGATGAAGATGAATCCGAACAGGAAGAGCTTGTCCGTCACACTGCACTATCAAATGCAAAAGTGTCTCGGTCTGGAAGAATGTAACTTGTGATGCTGCGTTTGGATGTCTAACAAATTTGTGTTGCGTGAGCAGCAAAAGGATTCTAATTTTTGCTACGCGGAGGGCATTCGTCATGCGGAATAGGCATCAAGTTTAAGAATCCCTCAAAAAACCTGTGATGCTATGGCATGCATCACAGACATCACGGCTCATGCAAACCGTGCACGACAAGCACAAATCTCAGAATCTTCCAGACCCAGACACTTTTGCATTTCATATGCACCAATGACCTATGCAAACCCCCAAAGGACAACCCCAAAGTCGTTTTCAGGTCATCTAGAAGGTGGCATCAATGCGGCGAGACAAAAAGCAAAATCGGAATATCGGCACCCAGGAGCTCCTGCAGGTGCCACCGCGGCCCAGGGAGGAGGTTCTTCTACACCGTCTTCGAAGAAAAACAAACAAAACGCGCAGAGTACGTCGTACCAGTTGAGCTCCCCGCCAAGACAAGACCGTGGGATCGTGTCTATGCCGTCCGAAGATCATGCTGGGGTGTATTCTCTCGACGGTCATGGAACAGCCGCTATCAAGAGAAAAAGTGTTAACGTTAACGGTTTTCACAGATAGCAGTCATGCGTCGCAAATGTAGCTCAATATGCATGCTATGCATGACAAATTTAGGCACGTTTTGTGATGCATTTCTGCATAACGAATTTCGATAACGTTAACACTTTTTCCTGTGATAGCCGCGACCATGTCGATGCCACCCGGGATGATGATGAAGATGTCGAGAGCAGGTGGAGTTGCACAAGACAAGTCAACACCGAACAAGTCAACAGCTATAACTCCTACGTCCGGGAAAAAGAAGGTGAATCAAAAGCAAAGCACTAGCCCGGTCGTGACCAAAGCAGGCGCTGGAAGTGCGACAACTTCAAGTCCCTCTAAGATGGGCAACAAGAAGAACAACAAACAGCTGCAAGGAACTTATCCTGTGCAAAAGTATCGTACTCGGATAAATGCATTACAAATTTTCTCAGCATGAGAAATAAAATTTGTAATGCTGATTTGCCTTGACAAAGAAATTTGTAATGCAAGACCTGCATTTATACGAGTACGATACTTTTGCACAGCATAGAACTACACTGACGTCGATGCAGCCCACCAGCTACAACAGTGCAACAGTAACGTACTAGTATAAATTGCATTACAAATTGGCTCAGCATTACAAATTCAATTTGTAATGCTGATTTACCTTGAAAAAGAGTTTTGTCATGCATAAATGCAATTAGTACGAGTGCGATACTTTTGCACAGGATACCAGCTACAACAGTGCATCAACCGGGGCGGGCGAGAGGAAGGAATCGGACGAGAGCGTCGGTTATCCTGTGCAAAAGTATCGTACTCGTACTAATCGCATTCATGCATTACAAATGTCTTTCTGAACTCAAATCCGCATTACAAATTTTATTTCTCATGCTGAGGCAATTTGTCATGCGATTTATACTAGTACGATGCTTTTGCATTTCATATCGGTTCGTTTCTCCGCCAAGAAAGCCGCCAGGATTCGGAGATCATCATTCCCGGGCGGAAAATGTATTCCGAATTTTTCCCCGGCAGGGTAAAACCTGTGACGGAAGGGCACCCAAAACACCAGCAGCAGCTGACGAGGCAGCAGCGGGCGGAGCGACGACCAAGTAGGAAAGTCCCGGGGGAACCGGGAAAATTGAGTCCGGGAGGGAAGATAAAGATTAAACCAGGGGCGCAACATATCCCACGAAAAAACTGGTTCACCGTCGTGATGATCTTGCAAGATCTGCATCACAAGTTTCTTACACATAACACAGAAAATTTGCCATGCGCGCTTCCCAAGTGAAAACACGCGGAAAAATCCAGTGTCTTGCAGGTGTAGCAAGACAAATCGTTCTGTGCTCCATTCTCTGCATCGCAAGTTCACACGTGAAACAGTTTTTTCGTGCGATACAACAAGTCTCCTCTACAACGTCCAGCGACGTATCAAATGTAAAAATGTCTGGGTCTGGAAGAATGCAACTTGTGATGCTGAATTTGGATTCCAAAAAAATCTGTATTGCATAAGCAGCAAAGGGAGTGTAATTTTTGCTACGCGGAGAGGGCATTTGTCATGCGGAATAGGCATCGCGAGGCCCTCAAAAAATCTGCGATGCTAGGGCATGCATCACAGACATCAGGAGTCATGCAAAACGTGCATGACAAACCTGGCAATCTTCCAGACCCAGACATTTTTACATTTGATACGACGACACGGCGAACCAACGAGCCACAGTGGCGACGATGGGAGGTGGTCACGACCCGTATCCTGTGCAAAAGTATCGTACTCGTAGCAATCGCAGTCATGCATTGCAAATCTCCATCCCAAGGTAAAACAGCATGACAAATTCCATTTGTCATGCCGAGCTAATTTGTATTGCAATCACTACTAGTACGATACTTTTGCAGTTCATGACCCGAACAGGAGAACAACGATGGGCGGCGCGGTGAACAAATTCCGACAGCAACTAGAGGAGCAGCTGGGTAAAGTGAACAATGACGGGGAAAGCACAACCAAGTCGAAAAAATCGACCGACAGCTTGTCCAGGACGGTTTCCGGTGCGAAGAAAAAATCGTCCGCTTCCCGGTCCACGCGGAACAACAGCCGTATGAAAGCCTCAGAATGGAAATCCTCAAAGTGGAAATGATTTATGATGCATGAAATGCGACGCAAAAAAGACTGTATTGCAGAGCACGCAATGGAGGCCGACTATTGTCCTGCTAGGGGTGAAGAATTGGAGTGCTGCTTTGCACGACAGAAGGGCACCCCCTTGCCTTAACCTGCATGACAAACATGCTGTAAGTGCCCGGAAAATTTGTCATGCGCCGACTACAAATGCCGCTTCAACTGGAGTCGTTTATTTGCATTACAAAGTATTTCCACTATTGAGGATTTCCAACCTGAGGCTGTCATAAGCCGGTTTTCCGATAACCCGCCACCCCCACCGGCTTTCCAGCCGCCGGTAGACATGGATCCGCCACTGTTCCGGATGAACTCGATAAACCCGACGGGAGTGGTGATTGCACCGGGGGAATTGGATTATCCAGGTATAGTTGGAAACTTTTTAACGATGACAATGTAAAATTAAATACTTTTCGGGATGATCAAATTATGTCTTACCGGAACAAGATTTTTTCCCCTCCTCGTTCGTGTTTGTGCTGTCCTCTGCTTCTGCATGTACACAAACCTTCCTCATTACACAAAAACGCATGCAAATACTTATTTATCACCCTCTTTACGACAACAGCCACCTCGATTCCGACGGTCCTAGTGCCCATCGACATCGCGAACCAGCCAAAGGTGCTGATGCCCATCGATAATAACGGGACCTACACCGAAGCGGTCCCCGTGCTGATGTCCTCTGATTTCGCCACCCCCACGACCCTATGCAGTGCAAAAGTATCGTATTCGTACAAATGCAAGTCCTGCATTACAAATTTTTTTCTTAAGGTAAATCAGCATTACAGATTTTATTTCTCATGCTGGGGAAATTTGTAATGCAATTTGTACTACTACGATACTTTTGCAGTTCATAGACCCCCATCAATGCAGCGGCGTCCCCGTTCATCCCCCACACGACTATCAAATGCAAAAATGTCTGGGTCTGGGAGATTCCGAGATTTGTCATGCAGTTGTTCCAAGCTCCCCCACGTCTGAAGTGCAGGGCCTAGCATCAGAGGTTCTGCAGCTCCTTGGTGATGTGTATTCTGCATGAGAAATGCCCGCTCAGCATCGCCAGAAGTGGGCACCTTTCGCACGTTATGCATCACAGGTCTTTGTGGGATCCAAAACACGCATCACAAGTTCGAATCCTTCGAGACCCAGACATATTTGCACTTGATAACGACTGGCACCCCGCAATTGCTGCCGTTCGCCACGCCAACCAGTAGCGGTCCGCACGCGATCAACACTGGTGGAGGGACAAGTACTACTACTCCCGCGTTTTCGCTCGTGTCAGGAGGTGGAGGAATGAATGCCGCAGCAGCGGAGTTCACGCCGCAGAGTGGTGCGAACAATAATGCGATCCTGGGCAACGTGAATGCGAGTATGTTGAGCGGGGGTAACATGGACCTGCAAATGGACGACACATCAACCGCGAACATTACCGACGGCTCGGGCTGGGTTGCAAACAATACTAGTTTCAACTCTCAGAGTAAAACTGGCTCGGCGTACAACAACAATAAAGGTGGAAAAATGATGAACAGAAGCAGTGGCGGAAAGGGGAATTACAACAATCAGAACGCCATGGGAGACGGCGGCCAACCAGGCAGCTGGATCAACAATAACAGCAACGACAACTACGGGAATAACTATTGGGGCGGTAATGCAGCTAATCAGGACCAGCAGAGGGGCAGCGGAAACAACCAATACACGGCCTACAAGGGCAGTGGCAATTACGAGTACGACCCCAATGTTGACCCAGGGAGTTATAGTGCGTCTTACATGGAAACAAACAACCCGCAAGGTGGTCCGTTGAACACCAAGGGGACATCAACGACAAACGGGTACAACAATAGCTACGCTGCTGGTGGTATCCCCCAGAAAAAGACCGACAGGTCATATTTGTAATGCAAAAATAAATAGATAAAAAAATCTGTATTGCATGCCCTAAACAGGATGTTATGGCCTCGCCCATGACAGATTTTCCTGTGTATTTATTTTTGCATTACAAATATGACCTGTCGGTCTTTTTCTGTGGGATAGGTGGTGGTGCAACCTCTTCCTCACAGCAGAACGCTGGAGCAGGTGGTGGCAAGAAGGGCTACAACTATTCCGGGCAGAAGCAGCCCCGGAACAAATACGGGCATTTGGTCGTGCAAAACCAAGACCAGCGGCAAAACCAAAACCTCCAGCGGGATACAACGTCGAGTGCAGACCTCAATGTATCCCACGAAAAAACTGTTTCACTGTGATGATTTTGCAAGAATCGCATCACAAGTTGTTTGTGACACATGAGGACACAGAAAATGTGTCAGGCGCGTTTTTCCCATAGGGAAAAACACGGTTGGAACTCCAATGCTCTATGCAGGTGTAGCAAGACAAATCGCTCTGCGCTCCATTTTCTGCATCACAAGTTCACAGTGAAAGAGTTTTTTCTTGCGATACAATGCCGCGCAGATGTATTCGGTTTTTTCCCCGGGCACCGGCGGTTTATCCTACGTAAAAACGTCCCCACACCATAGTCAAGATGGGAAATCTGCAACATAAATCTCCAAGTTTTGGAAGTTCTGCATGACAAGTTTCCATCTGCAGTGTAGTGCTGGTTAGCCAGGAAAGCCGCATGAGAAAGCCATTTACTCATTCTGTTTACAGCATTACAAATTCCAAAACACGACTGGAAACGCCTCTCAAGGAGATGCGCGCTACAAATGTTCCTGTCATTGCACATTTGCATGACAACTCTGGGGTCCGCCTGCGCCTTCGGTGTCCGCCTGACCTACCCCCCCTGCGTGTCAAGCCATCTGCGGCCTGGGGCAGAGGGGGGGGGGCAAAGTGTGCTGCAATTCCTTTAGCATGACAACTCTGGGGTGGGGTCGTTTTTACACAGGATACGGCTTTCACCGGAGTTACTCGGCTTTCAACAAAAACCAGAAGGACTACGTCCAGGGAGCGGATGGGCAATACTATCCGCAAAACAACTACATGGGAGGTGGTGGGGATGATGCCGGATCTTCATGGGGAGCCGGGTACCAGCATCCCCAGGGGAATTACAACGCGAACTGGTATGGAGGGACCACGAACAGCAGCTACAACCAATACGGGAATCCAAATCAGCCGGGGCTGCACAACAAGGGTTACGGGAAACACCAGCAACAAGGTAAAAACTACCCTGCGAGCAACCAGCTCGCAGTACCACCGTCGGCGGCGACCAAGCCACGCGCTTCCTCCTCGAGTTCAGCGACGACAGCGCAGCTGACGAACAAGCAGCTCTCCCACGGGACCGCGGACACACCCACAAGGCGGAGAAAACACCACGCACCGAAGCTGTCAAAAGCGAAAAAGCTGGAGCGGCTGGCTACGCATTGCAAAGCAAGTATCGTACTAGTAGTAATCGCATTACAAATTTGCCCGGCATGAGAAATGAAATCTGCCATGCTGTTTTGCCCTGGGACGTAGATTTGTAATGCATGCTTGCGATAATTACTACCTACGAGTGCGATACTTTTGCACAGGATACTAGCGCACGTGGCGTGGCACGCAGAGGCGACGAGTATGGGGTGGCTAGATGAGGACACCATGATATGAATTGCAAATGTGTCTGGGTCTCCTGGAAGCTGGTAACTTGTCATGGTAAATCTGAAGCATACAAAAATCTGTGTTGCATGACTGCCAAAAGCAGCTCTTCACTTTCGACCAAGGTGGGAGGGAGTTTGTTCTCATGTAGGATAGGCATGATAGGGATCTCGTCACAGAATGTCTGTCATGCTAGGTCCCGCATCCCAGACCTCATGGGTCATGGAAAACCTGCATGACAAGTTTACGCTCTTCCAGACGACCCAGACATAATTTTTGCATTTGATACATGAAATTCGTGAAGCACGACGCGTTTCACGGCAGGTTATCGGCGCTAAGCGAAAATATGAACTGCAAAAGTATCGTACTCGTATAAATGCAAGTCTTGCATCACAAATCTTGTTCCCAAGGCAAATCAGCATTACAAATTTCATTTCTCATGCTGAGGAAACTTGTGATGCATTTATACGAGTACGATACTTTTGCACAGCATAGAAAATCACGTGCGGCAACATGGGGTATATATGCAAGAAAAAAACTGTGTAAGTGTAACTCTGTAATGCAGAACATGCAACAGAGCTACACCTGTCATGCCAGACAGCCATGAAGTCCTCTGCTCAAGTGTGTTTTCCCTTACAAGCCACGCATGACAGGTTTTCTCTGCCATGTAGAGCAAATTTGTGATGCTGTTTCTCAAAGAAAGTTACACTTACACACTTTTTTTCCTGGATAGTATAGGATTTTGCGACTACAACCTAACAAGGATTGTCATTCGGTTTTTTCGTTCTGTTCCTCGCCAAGGGATGAAGCGGAACGAAATACTTAAATAATACAAAGTGTAGAAGTCGTGTTTTATTTGAGCTCCTCAGTACTAGAACTTGTTCGTGATGAAGAAAACGTCTGCAATTTGAATTTTAGTCACAGTGACTGCATTAAGACAAAAGCAAGACTACTAGTACAGCACAAATTATGGATGTGTCAGGATCGAAATCGACAAAATCGAAAAACTTGTGATGCGTAAAATGTAGAGCACTGAAGGCCTGTCTTGGGGCGCAGGCATATGAGGCCGATTGTAAGCCTGTTTAGGGGTATGCAATGTGCTGCCAGAGTAGCATGGCCGGAGCAGTCTTCTTTGTCCAAACAGCATGACAGACTGCATTTGGGTGCTCCCGAAATTTGTCATGCGCCACTTGAAGACTGAGGCTCCAACTGACATCGATTTTGTGCATCACAAATTTTTCGATTTTGTCAATTTCGATTCTGACGCTCCCATACAAATTCAAAAAATTGAAATTGTATCAGGTCCACCGCTACTGCGTATGCTGTGCAAAAGTATCGTACTCGTATAAATGCAGGTCTTGCATTACAAATTTCTTTGTCAAGGCAAATCCGCATTACAAATTTTATTTCTCATGCTGAAAAAATTTGTAATGCATTTATACGAGTACGATACTTTTGCAGTTCATACTGCGTCTCATTTCACCAAGTGCACCACAAAGCTTTGAGTAATGCGGACGGAATATGGATTGCAAAAATGTCTGGGTCTGGAAGATGTCATGCTGTTTTTGCATGACGCAGAAGGTCTGGAATGGAAGCTCTAGCATCACAGATTTCGAGAAGGTTCTGCAATGCCTAATCCGCATGACAAATCCCCCACTTTGGTGACAAGAAGTGGGCATCTTTTGCTGCCTATGCATGACAGATTTGTCTGTGTTGTGAACTGCGCATCACAAGTTCACATCCTTCCAGACCCAGACATTTTTACATTTGATACGGAATGGGCTTCGTGTTTTCCTCCTTGCTGCCCTGTACGAAGAATATCCAGAAAATCAAGTCGATTTTTCTGAACAAGAAGGGCCAGGTATAGTAAAAATAAATCGATCTGCTGAGCAGCGGTCGTGTATCCTCTGATTTTGCCAAACGATATGAACCGTAAATGCTGTGAGTCGTGCATGAGAAACACATTTTGAAGTGCATGGAAAAATGCATGACAAATCATAATCAAATACTATGAACACCAGATCATGATCCGGCGAGAGAAGGAGCTCAACAAATGCATCATCCCGCTGGAAACGGACGACCCGAACGCACACACCACCGCAGAAGGCCACGAAAAATCGAAGCACAGCGCAGCGATCGTCGACCACGAAACCAAATCCTCCTCCTCTGCGGACGGAGAAGATCATAGGAAAAACGCGCCCAGCACCTCGAGCGACACCGGAAGAGCCATCCCCTGGAAGGAAAACACGAGGCTGCACATGCAGATTGACCTGGACAACTACAAAGTGAGCTTTTGGCTCGAGGAAAAATACGAAGAAGATACGGACGAATACCACGCGACGGATGTGCCGGTGCCGGAGGATGCGGTATTATTTGATGCAATACAAATGTATTTGATGCAATACATTGTATTGCATCAAATACAAACAGACAAATGGGATAACCATGTATTTGATGCAATACAAATTTGTTCGACGGACAAGTTGAAATTTATACATACACATCAGATCACCGTCGATTACCGTTCCTACTTCGACCTAGAACAAGACGACCTGTCCCAGGGTTTTCTCACCATTGTGCTCAAATCCGCGGTATGCATTGCAAAAGCCTCGTACTAGTCTAAATTGCATCACAAATTTTGGCAAGAAGGTTAGTGGAATTTGTAATGCTGTTTTCCCTTATGAAAAACATTTGTCATGCATATTTGCAATTAGTACGAGTGCGATACTTTTGCAGTTCATACGCGGGCGCTGGTGCGAGATTTGTGTCGTACGACAACCTCACCCCCAAGCCGGAGTTGCCCGCCGACCCCCAGCACGACATCGAGGAGCTGACGACCCCGACGGTGTCCTCGAACTTGGGCAACAAAACGCCATCCGGGGCAGCGGGTGCAGAAAACAAGAAGAAGAAAACAAGACGGAACAAGAAGAAAAACGCGGCTGCGAATTCCGCCGGAAACTCACCAACGAACGGGGCGGTGAACAAGGATGATGAGGACGAAAACACGAAACCGACGGATCACGCAACGTTTCTCGGCGAGGTCAGCGGGGAGGTGATTGAACAGTTGGAGGACAGATTATTGACGCAGTCGAAATCAACAAGGAAGAAGAAAACGACTTCTGCTGGTGGTGGTGGTCCAAAAACCGCTGGTGCTCCTGCAGCTGCCGGCTCAACCACGTCGTCCGTGTCAGTAAGCAAGTCTTCGCCAAGCAAAAAGCCCAGTGAGGCAGCTACCTTGTTGGACCAATCTCCCGGGAGTGGCAGCACTGCGGATTCTAGGACGGCGGACGCTTGATCTTCAGCTCTAGTACTTGTTCAATTATGTAGCGCGTCTGATCAACATCAAGAAGGAAATTTCTAAAAACGAAAGGTATTTTTTGCTAATATTAAAGTCGGAAGGTGTGATGTCGTGGCCGCCCAAGCCTATGCTATGCTCTCTATCTTCCCGACGAGGTGGACGACCTCTGCTTTATCTATTGTATTTGTGACTGACACGAAGAGAAGAGCTCCGATTCTTCGCTTCTCCTGGCCGAGGTAGCAAGAGTTGAGGTGCTCGAACTGAAAACTCTCTAAATCAAACGCATTTTTTTCATTTCAACGCGACACAGTGGTCTCAAGATGAACTGCGAAAACTTTTACGTGACTTTGTGATTTTCATCTCCTATGTGAAGCTTTCCGGCCTAACTTTTTCGAAACTTTTATACTTTTTGTGAGGACGAGAATGTCAAGGGTTGTTGAAAATGTGTACTGGTATTCTATTTCACGAAAGGGCTCTATAATAAGTCGAGTTCGACTTTTTTCACTTTTTTGCTTTCAAGAGGTGATGAGTGTTTGTGTGTATCGCAAACATTATAGAAGAGATGATGTGGTAGATTCGATTAGGACTAGCAGGAGGGTGCAACAACATCAAGAGGTACAACTATAAATCGCATGAATCATGTATCTGACAGCTAAATCTGAGACTACGGTCCAAAAACCTGCTTCTTTTTGCGCGCATGAGGTTTGTTAAACATAATTTCACGCAACATATACTTCACTGGCTTTCCAAGAAAAAAAGCAATTGTGTGAGTGTGCCTCCTCCTTTCTGGAGGAACGGAAGAGCAACCGACGCAAAGTCTGGCTTTGAAAAGACAAAAGCTCCATTAAAGTCGTGTTCAGATGATGCAACCTAACGTGTGAATTGTTTCTTCGTTGCCAGCGGAAGTGATACATAGATATGGCAAGGCCCGACGAGGATTTTTGTTGTTGATGCTGGCGGGCTCCCTAGTGTGTGAGACAACATGCAGATCCCCGACCTGTCTCACTCGTCCTTTCCCTACTTTTTGCCGCGCAACACAGACCACAGAGGCGGAGGCAATTAGAGGGCTTCATTTTAATATTGAGACGTGGCAAATAGAAGAGCCATTGTTTACCAAGTTTAGGCTTTGTATTTGAAAAATTTGGACGTTTGAACATCGACGACGGCCATCATGATGTTTCTTCTCCGCAACAAAAACATGCTGATCAGAAGATCTTTGGCCGCCGGAGGATCTTCGAGCAGAGCACGAGTTTCTGCTTGTTCTTCGGGTGGCTACAACTTCCAACAAGCTCTACTAGGTTGTCCTTTTTCATCCAGCGGCCGCACCACAAGTACCGTTTTGCTGCAACAACACCTACGGAGAACTATTAGCGGCGATCCTTGCAGCAGAGCCTTCTTTTCAACATCTGCAGCAGACACGGCTAGCAGTGCCACGTCTAGCTCTCCCGCCACCGCCGTGGAAAAATCTGCCCCACCAGCATCTACTTCCGAGCAAAAGAGCAGCGGCGCCTCTTCATCAGGAAGTACCTCGCGCCCCGCTCCCGGCATTTTTTCCCGGGCGAAGTCCTTCACATTCGGCGTGATTTTCGCTTCCGGCGTCAGCTTCTGGGTGTTGCTGCTGGAGGGACAGAAGATGCTGGATCGGCTGGAGACGTCGGTGCAAAAGGTGCTGGAGTACCAGACAAGGGTGGAGAGAAGGCTGGATCGGGTGGAAACGGCGCTGGCGGTGTGAAGATCATGGGTGTTAAACGACGATAAGTCCTCTACGTATAATCGGTTTATCAAACACCAAATTATGGCTACTTGCGAAGATGTCTCAAATTTGCAGAATCAACAAGAGATGAACAAACATCCTTGTCCTTCCCAATGGCTGCGAGAACCTGAAGCATGTTCCTTGTTCCGTGTTTGGAAGATTAGCAGCGTAGTTCTTGAGAAGTCTTCATGTATTTGATGGTCAACAACAACATTTCCTGTGGATGCTGAAACGAAAGACTGGGTGTTCTACTAATTCAATCTGGAACATCATCGCGAAACTGTTGCAGTGGTTTTTTTTTTTTGTTTGAGGTAGGAGCAAAAAGCACTATTACTGTAACTAGAACTACCTTGCGCGTGCTGCTGATATTTGTCAAGCGGGCGGCGGCTCCTGACGTCGGCGAGGAAAAGAAAGACGATCTCATTGTCGGTTAAGGTTTTTCTTTTGAAGTTGGGCGTTCTCAAATTATATCTGATCGTGAAAGTCGTGCTCATGATCGTCATCTTTGAAAGTTCGCCTGTTTTACTAGTACGATCGAACCATCTAGTACCGGAATAACCATCTACCGCATGATCTTCAGCTGTGAGCGCGCAGCTACACCAACATCGTGCAAGGAGGCTTGTTTCTCGTCTTCCTCTTCTGGCCAAAGTAGGATAGTCACCCGAGGATCGCGGTTGAGTCAATGTAAATGTTTGACTTTTTGCTTTAGACCTATAGCATTTTTATCATGAGATATTTGCTGCATTATTTTTAAACTTGAGTCGTGCGCTTGCGAAACAAAATTCAAAATGAAAATGACGTTGGGCCGCCGTAGCCTTCCACTCTTTTCGCCGGATAGAAGTTGCTCGAAAATGCGAGGTGACTGCTCCGCTGCAGCGATCGGGATAGCGAAGCTCTTACTTGTCGCGTTGAATATCGCGGTTTTCATTAGTGTCAGCGATACTACGAGCCCATCATTGACTGACAACGGGGACCAGGGACCCGTGCGAGTAGAACATCATGAAAATGCTGCAACTTCTGGACAAGCTCCCGCTGTGAGATCTTCATTTGGAGCCGCCGCTCCCATTCTGTTCGCCTACGGGAAGAAGGTAAAAAAATTGCAGAAAATCAAGCTGGGTCGACGAAAGAAAATGAAACTCTCTCTGAAGAAAGCTTTACTGAACAACTACGTCCAGCCCTATAACCACATCCCCGGCGGAGGTTCCAATCCCGGCCCCCCTATGCCACCACCTGGCGGACTGCTGTCCGGAGGTCCTCTCGGTGCAGCTCCTCAACTCCCGGCGCCGCAGCAAATTTACATGAACGGCCCGCACCGAGGACAGCAGGGACAGCATGGTGGATTTTCACACCCTACTTCTTCACAACAGTCGCTTTTACAGCAGCAGGCAAATTTCTTCCACCAAAGATCTTCTACTGCTTCTGCATCAAGAACCTCCTTCACTGGGACGAGGAATTTACCCTCGTCTTCCAAGTTCCACCTTTTCCAGCAAGCCATTGACTCCGAGCGGGGGAAATGCCCCCACTGTCCGGAGATGCCGAGTTACGAGCTCGCGAAGGTGCAAAAGGTCGCATATGATTACGCAGAAGGGAATGCCCATCCCCCGGGACACGGACCAGGAAACTCCTTTTGGACTACTGTTGATAACAGCCCGTATGAGAGTGCAAAACTCCCCCCCCCTTTTTTGTAATGCAAAACCCCAAGTCCAGTTGGTGCCTTGACCTTGTGGATGCACTGGCTGCATGACAAATTCCAGAATGTCAAACAGTACTACATTCGGCGCGTGAATTTGTCATGGACAGACTCCACGTGTGTTGGTGGTTGTGATGCTGTTCATGCCATACAAATGAGGGGGAGGGGGAGTGGTGCAAACGCATAGCCCGTTGGTGAAGCCCACGAAATACTCCGGCTGGAGTTACAGGGACTACGCAGACAAGGAACTGCGGTATGTGCAGCTGTTGACCGAGCGGAAATTGCAGGCGGACTTTGATAACTATCTTTTGTACGCGGAGGCCAGATCCACGCAGATTTTCGGAAGCTCGTTTTTCGGGGGCAGCAGGAGTAGTGCAACTACATCAGGAGTAGACCAATACGCAACGACCCCTAGTACCAGCAGCTCTAGCACCACACGACAGCAGCTGCATCCAGACCACCAGTCCGCGGCTCAACATCGCCCACCGCCGAGGGAGCGCTTCACCTTTTCAGATTTGCACTACTATGAGAAACGACAAGGAAACGAGTTTTTGCGAAAAATAGCCGTGGAGCATGACAAACTCGACCCGACCTTTCAGCAGTACTTTTTCCACGGGACCTCGCTAAGCTTCAGCGACCATGAGCTGCGGTATTTGAGTGATCAGGATTTGCACAGTCATGACGATTTCAAGCAGGTGCCGTTGCACGACCACGTGGGGCGGTCTTCTCCAATCGTGCAGCTTATGAGAGTGCACAACTCCCCCTTCCCCTCATTTGTATGGGATGAACAGCAATACAAACACCAGCACACACGGAGCCTGTGCATGACAAATTTATGCACCTCCTTCTAGCGTACTATTACTATTTGGCGGGCTTCCGGCATTTGTGATGCAAACGAAACAGTGCCACACGGCAGCGACTGGATTTGGGTTTTTGCATGACAAATGAGGGGGAGGGGGAGTTGTGCACTGTCATACAGCTTCGCGGTAAAGAAGGGTTGAAGTTCCACAAGAGGTCCACCGGCCGATTGCGCAACATGCTCCGCCTTGGTTTACAGCAGGAGGCGAACTGCGGGAGCAATGGGAACCTGTACGGATCGGGGATTTATTTAGCGAAGGACTTCCACAAAGCAGCACAGTACTCAAGATGGTGTTTGTATGTCTTCAGCAAATTTTTTTCTTTCCCGTACGCGTAGAAGTAGTACAAGTAGTGGCTTTGCTTTGGCATGACAAATTTTATTTGCCACAATCTTCCCCTCGTGACGAGTCTGAATGTTGTACTTCGTTCTAGCAGGACAAGAAGCTTCACGTAAGGTTCTTCTTGGGAGTCCTCACAGTTTTGTACACAAAAATGCACGGGAAAAAGGAACGATTTGTGATATTCCATACCTTGGAGAAAGTGCGGATGACTAGCCAGCAAAGCGGCGTCACTCGCGATTATTCCCCTCAAGGTCGGTGGCAAGCGATTGTGGTGGTGAAACTCACCCTGCCGAGGAAGTACGAGAGAAGGGACAACGGGATTCCGAACAGAGTTGCGAAATTGAAACGCGGCACCACCAAGCTGTTCCAACGAGATGTATTCACGAAGCCATCCAAGCCGGAAGAGAAACGAGCCTGGGAAGAAAACCGCGATAGATACTTCCAGCCACGAAACCTGATCCGGCGGAAGAGATTTTTTCGGCCGCGCCTTATCAATGGTTTGCCTGCGGTAACTCCGACTCCAGGCACAGCAGCTGGCGCTGCTACAACACCGGCTGCGCCACAAAAAGATCCTTGGGAAACAGACGTGGTAGATCTGTTATGCATTGCAAAAGTATCGTACTCGTATAAACGCATTACAGATTTCCTCAGCATGAGAAAATTTGTCATGCGGATTTACCTTCGGAAAAAGATTTGTAATGCATGACTGCAATTACTACGGGTGCGATACTTTTGATCAGGATATCTGTTTTACCCAAGCAAAAATCAGGGCGGCGACATCGATGACGAGGTCGATTCAGAGGACGATAGTACTTCACCAGGTATACTTCGCCGCCTTTTAGGTACAACTAGAGCGCCACCAGTCGGACAGTATGACAGCAAGAAGCGGTATCGCAAGAAAAAAAGATTGTAGGTGTAACTTTCTTGGAGGATTAGCGTGACAAATATGTCTCGCATGACAGCAAAAACCTGTCATGCGCAGATAGAATGTGAAACACCCTTGAATGGACCCTACTATGCAGGGTTAACATGACAGGCGCAATCAATTTACATGCTGCGCATCCCAAATTTACACAAACAACTTTGTTTTCTTTCATAAGCGGCAGTTCCGCGTCCGCCACGTGGGTGGGCACGAGTTGACGCCAAAGGAAGGGTATGCATTGCAAAAGTATCGTACTCGTATAAAAAATGCATTACAAATTATTTCCTCAGCATAAGAATGAAATTTGTAATGCGGATTTACCTTAAGAAATGCGTGACTGCAATTCGAGTGTGTACGATACTTCTGCACAGGATAAAGGGAAGCAGCTACACACGGAGTTTGTCGTTCACGATGTGTCTTTACTGGAAATTGCCTACATCCTCATCTACGACGTACCTGTCGGCCGAAACCCGGTGACCGACTTCCTAACCGAGTACCAACACGCGCACCACAAAATCGGCCTTGGCGGGGGTGTCACGGAGGTTATGGGCTACGACCCCATCACCTTACAGCCATCAGCGAATGTAAGGGAGTCCGCGGTAGTGGAGGGAAGGCGATCCTACTGGCGGAGTTGTGGGGTTTTGAAGGTATACATTGCAAATATGTCTGGGTCTGGAAACTTGTGATGCTAAAAGTGAACGATAGACGCACTGCAATACGCAGCTACGCATGACAAATTTTTTGGCTGCCATGTCTTACGTATTCCGCATGGCAAGCTGCGTTTTTGCGTGAAAGGGAAGTGTGCTTTTTCGTGCGTATGCAACACAGGTTCTCGAGTCATTGTCATGCCACACAAGCATGACAAACTTGCATTCTTCCAGACCCAGACATTTTTGCACTTGATAGAAGGAAGTGTCTGTCGATGAACTGTGTCTGTGCTGCTCCCCCTGCGTGTGCATTTTGGTGCCGGACTGCGTGAAGGAAAAGATTGCGACAAATTTGAAACTGTGTGGGTCGTTATGCGCGGGAAATCTATCGTGCAAGAGCTTCTGCAACGTGTTAAGGAACTGCGCTTGCTGTGCGGATCCGCGGCAAGGGACAGGATTGGCGAAACTTTTGCGAAGTAGCGCGGGGGGACTGATGAGCGCAGCCGCGTCGTCCTCTTCTAGAAGTAGAGAGTGCACCAGTTTGCCCGGCGGCCGGTTCAATTTTCACAACTTTTCCAACACGGAATATGACCCACTCGTGTTGGAGGAGGCCATCGAAGGAGGTGGAGAGCAGGGATCAGCACAAGCTGGACATCATGTTCAAAACGCCGTACCACAATCATCAAACTGTTGCAGCTGCCTATACAACAGCGCTCCAAGCAGAAATACCACGACGAAAAATCAGTTTTGGTGCGGCTTCGGCGGCCACAACGGATGCGCCCTCTGTGTGCACGGTGGTTTCGAATGCTTGTGTGGTGAAATCGGGAGGATAAACGGCATCACCTGTATGATTGTGAAAAAAATATATGTTCCCCGCTTGTTCCCATAAGAATGCAGACTTATTCCCATAATACCTGTGATCATGCAGATTTGATGTCGCCACCAATCCAAAGCAAATCAGCTTTGTCTTGCAGTAGAAATGAACTGGAGGTGTAATATGCTAGGCCTGCTCTTCAGCATGATTTTAGACGTTCTTATTGCTGTAGGCTTATGCTAAAGCGCATTTTTACAATATCAATGGCCTGCCAAATGTTTCCGCTCGCTCTTGCTTCCCAAATATGCAAGACAGAGGCAGTACAGAGGCTGCAGTAGTACCGTACACAAACCAGCAGCACTAAGTTTATTGGGGACCACGAGGGGATATTTTTCCTAAACATCATAATAAGCCTAATGGGCGGCTCCGAAGGGAAGGAGCAAAATTGTGATATTTGCAGAATTGGCCAGGAGTACAAGATCAACGACCAGTGTTTACATCTACAAACGCAAAAGGTATCCTGTGCAAAAGTATCGTACTCGTATAAATGCAAGTCTCGCATCACAAATTTTTTTCTTAAGGTAAATCCGCATGACAAATTTTATTTCTCATGCTGAGGAAATTTGTAATGCATTTATACGAATACGATACTTTTGCAGTTCATAAAAGGATTGCCTGCACAATGTCTGCACCTGTTGCGGACACCACACGACGTATGACAGTGCACAACTTCGTCCCCTCTCCCCCTCATTTGTATAGCATGAACGACAATACAAGCATCAGCAAGAGTGCCGATTTTGCATGACAAATTTGCACTGGTGGGATGTAGTGCTGTTTGGAGTTGTGCCAGAACTTGTCATGCAAACAGTGCCAAGGGGAAGGCACAGCCCGTAACCGTATTTGGGATTTTGCATCACAAATGAGGGTGCGGGGGGAGTTGTGCACTTTCACACGACGCCTGCACCGGGGTGCGCGGAACAGTTTGTGTCGACGAACGTCATCGATAAATGTATCCTGAGGAAAATCGTGTTTTTGAATTTGTGATGCTATGAACTGGATAAGCAGATGGATCTGTGATGCGGCTGCACTTGCTTCTATCCTGCACTGCACTACGGAGTGCAACTTGTCATGCGTGACTCCCAAAGCTTCTAGGTTTGTGTTGCAAAATCCCCATGATCTTGCCTCTGGCGTCGTGGGGACGTTTTTACTCAGGATAAAGTGCGAGCCGACGGTCTTGTCGAAACTTAGCTGTGGACATCTGGCCGGGACAGTGAAGTACGGTTTGCCCCACATGTGTCTGGTGTACCTCGCGATGCAATATCTTCCAGAAAAAAACACCCAGCCCCATCCAATTATTTGTCATGCAAAATATGCATAACATCCTGTGTTTGTCATGCGAAAAATGGATGGAAGTGGGTTTTTTTCTGTGGAGATGCAAATCTGTTGCCAAATCGCGACCAGTCTCGGGAGCGGGGAATTTGAAGCGTATACTTTAGGGTTGGAAACCCCCTGGGAGCCTGCCGAGGATTACGACGTCGAGCCGGGGGAATTTGTGAAGCTGGTGGATGTGGAGTAGAATTGTCGGTCGTAGAGGAGTTGTTTTTAGGACACTTACGAGGAGCAAGGCAAATTTCCTACAGAACAGCATTCGTTTTGCGACTGTGAGATGACATTCCAATTTGTCAGAAGATAGTACGATAATATATGATTTGTGTAAGCAAGCTTGTTGGCAGCACATTGTCGACAGGACGACGTCCTCGGCTTGGATGCCGTTAGTGGTCACCTGTCTCGTGATGAATAAAGAAGATTATACAAGATTTTTTAGTTTTCTGCGAAAACACAAATGCAAATTTACCAGCGAAGTTTCCATTGCGAACTAGAACCTCTTTCAGCTCAAGAATGCTGGAACAAATATTACGACCAATAGGCGGCCGCGGCCAAGAACGTCAAAAAGGCCGACCTGACTTTGAGAATAAAGGATCAATCTGCATCGAAAAATGTAAGCAACGACGGCGATGAACTGCCTAACACCAGCCTATTTTGGTTTATTTGGGAATACAGAAGGATAAACTTGCCGATGGACGATTTTGAAGAAAATGAATTGCGACGGACATAGCGAAGAAGTTTTGGAACAATTATTCGGAATTTGAGCTCAGCGAGCACATGCTCAACAACACGATGCGGGAATCGCCGGAGTCGCCGTTTATTCTGGCATCGGCGGTCTTGTTATCGGCGGAGCTTTATTGCCTTAAGCGAGAGGCGCAATGAGTACATTCCTCGTCGTGAAGAAAGATGCATTTTTGCATTTTAGCTCAACATCGGCATCGCAATATCGTTGTCGTAGGAGAATAAAATATCGTTTTTTATCGCTTTCTTTGTTGTGGTCGTATGAGTGCTAGTGTTTGCTGTCCTCGCAGCTCCTTGTTTAGGTCTTCACGACCTCCGTGGTCAACAATTGATTGAGGGCAACACGTCCTTCCCTTCGTGTATTCTTTTTTTCCTCGTCGCGTCGATTGGTTCGCCACCAGCAACACGATCATCGTTATATCCTCGACAAGATTAAGATTTTCCCTCTCTTGCAATTATCCCGACTAGGGATGAACAAGGTGTAGTTCAAACCGTTTTAGACCCTTATTTCTGTGTCTGCTTTGCCAACAACTGGTGTCCAACTTTCATATTTGTGATATAGTACTTCAATTTTATTTGGTGGCTCTTACCCAGCAAAGCAACACCCTCACTTCAGCTTCACCCCACAGAGAATCGCAGTGTTAAAAAAACATCATGCCGGAATCCTCCCCAGCCCCTCTTCCGGATATCCAAGAAAAAAACATTGTAGGTGTAACTTTTTTGGAGGAACAGCATTACAAATTTGTCTGGCATGACAGCAAAAACCTGTCATGCGCAGATAGTACGTGAAAACGCCGATGAATGGGCCCTACAATGCCGGCACAGCATGACAGGCTCAATCAATTTGCATGTTGCGCATCACAAATTTACACTAACAGCCTTTTTTTCTTGGATACCGGACCTGAGCCGCACAGTGCGGTTCAACGAGGACGAGAATCTGAACAACGAGAAGCACGATTTGTCGGGCCTGTTCTACATATGCATTGCAAATATGTCTGGGTCTGGAAGATTGTGAGATTTCTCATGCTAGTTTGGCATAACTCTGAACTTTGTATTGCGTGGCCATGAAGAACACACTCCTCTGGTCTGTCGTGCAAACACGATGTTTCTCATGCGGAATACGCAACACAGAGCCACGAGAAAATCTGTCATGTTGCTTGGCGGTGCATTACTTTACAGTGCGCTTCTTGTTCACTGACATGCATCACAAGTTTCCAGACCCACACATTTTTGCACTTGATACTACACGACGAGACGGCAGTATTTGATCAACCAACTCCCCGTGACCGAGCCGAAATCGAAACAGTTGACGGAATATCCTGTGCAAAATTATCGTACTCGTAATATTGCAGTCTTGCATTACAAATCTTGTTCTTAAGGGGTAAATCAGAATTACAAATTTTATTTCTCATGCTGAGGAAATTTGTAATGCATTTATACGAGTACGATACTTTTGCAATGCATACGGAACTAGAGAAAATCGAACTAGAAGCGAAAGAAGAGCTCGACTTTGCTTTGAAATTTGCCAATGCCTGTAGGAGGTCAACAGCGGTCGTGAAGGCGGCGCAAGCCGGGTTCTTCGAGGAGGAATCAGAGGACGAATTGAGCTCCACTCCCGTGCCGACTGAATCGGAGAAGGTGGAGAAGAGTAGCAGCAGTCTGTCATCGCGTGCTGGTGGCTTTACAACATCCATCGAGCGAAGCAGCACCAATGCAGTCGCGAGTGTCGGGAACAAAGGTTTGCCGGGGTTCAGATCATCTTTTGGGAGAACTACGCAGACTGGTGCACCAGGTGCTGGACAAGAAACCCAGGGGGATGGTGGAGAGCCTCCTCCCCCGACGAACGAGGAACTCGCAGAGTTAAAGAAGCATGAAGCCATCAAGCAACAAAAAAAGAGGAGAAAGCAGAAGGAAAAATGGGAAAAGTTTTACAACTACTACATCGAAACGGGGACGGATTACTTGACGATATCCAGGAAAGGACACCCATCCCCATCCAATTTGTCATGCAAAAGATGGAAAAACTCTTGTGTTTGTCATGCAAAAACTGGGTGGGGATCGGTGTTTTTTCGTCGATAGACCAACGAAGAGTACTACTGCTGCGAGGAATCGACTATCGAGGAGATCTGCCAGGTCATGTTTTTGCAAATCCAGTTTCTCGCCAGTAAAAGACAGGAATACAAGGGGTTCAAAGCGGCTGCGGTGCAAGATCGGGCAGATGATGAACAGGCAGCGAAATTGCAGCTGCGGGATCATGCGGAGGTTCTTGACGGAGTAGATGTTCACAGCTCGTTGAACACTTCGCGGTCTGTGTCCTCCTCTTCCACGACTCCCAAGGGCCCGTTTCAGGAGCTTCTTGACGCGGCCGGGAATAAAGGGAGAAAACTACCGTTGAAAGACCTGATCATCCAACCGCAGAACACGCCGAGGATCAACACGCGTAGTGGAAGTAGAAGCAGGGGAGTGGATGGAGGTCGAAGGAATAATGGCAATCGTTGTACTAGCAGCAACTGTAGCAGCAGTTCCTCCGCCACAGAGTCCTCTTCTTCCGCAAACACTATCTACTCCGGCTCAGCGGAGAGTGTGCGTTCCTTTCTCCGCGAATTGTCGGTCCGGACCCTGGGGTACGATTTATTGCGAGCGCAGCAGGAGCGAGCCGTCGGAACTACAGCGAGGGCTAGAACAGGAACACGTAGTACTGAAGATGCAGGTGACCACTTAGTTCAACATAGTGGAACCGAGTCCAACGAATCTACGGGACGAGATGCAGCAGCAGTTGTAGAAGATACGAACAACCAGACCGCACTGCGATTCGTGTTTGAGGTGTTGGATTATGCTTTGTCAACTACATATCAAATGTAAAAATGTCTGGGTCTGGAAGGTTCTGACACTTGTCATGCACGTTTTGCATGAGCCATGATGTCTGTGATGCATACCCTAGCAATACAGATTTTCTGAGGGCTTCTTGATGCCTATTCCGCATGACAAATGCCTTCGCAGCGTAGTAAGAATTGCATTCTGATGTTTGCTACTCATGCAATACAGATTTTTTTGGAATCCAAATACAGCATTACAAGTTGCATTCTTCCAGACCCAGACATTTTTGCATTTCATACTACAGGAGGCGCGGTGTCTACTTCCGGTGAAGAAGAACAAGACTACACGACGAGAACTACGGGCCCTCTGCGGAGGTCCAAGAACAACTACACGGCTGGCGCACGAGGGGAATACAGCACGACAGAAAGAACTGCGAAGCAACTCGCCAGTCGAGTTGTTGCTGCGGCGCTTGAAGATGAAGATCTTCCGGGTGTTGATCAGAGTAGACACGACAAAGATGATATCAGTTCACTACCCTTCACCGAAGACTTGAAGATCTTGCCGCGGCGAGCGGACGCCGACCACAGGAGCAGGCGGAATAATTTCAAACCCGATACTAGTACAACTTGGAAAACCGAACTGGTGGAGTTTCTCGATTTGGAAGAAGTAGAGGCGCAGGCATCTTCATCTGCGGCTTCATCATCATCTGCTGTTCATCATCTTGCGTCGTCGAGTAGCAACCGGGCTGGTGCAGCAGCTATTCCGCATGACAAGTTCAGCCAATCCTTCGTGCACGCTTTGCTGGACGAAGTGCTTGATCCAGAGAAGACGAATTTGGAACAACTGACGCAGAAAGTGGAAAGGCAAAACAGAAACAGCAGCACTAGCACGGTGCTCAGGAAGAACAACAATGGGAGTGGCAAAACGACCACTACACCAACACTAACACATCATCTTCATCGTCACCCAGCACAGGAGGAGAAGACAGTGGCAGGAATCTCCGCGCCGGAAAGCAGTTTACAACCAGGCAACGAGAACGACTTCGCCATCAAAGCCTCTCTCACCATTGCGAATCTTCAGCTGCTGTCTTTATCTACTTCTACTCCATCCGGGTCGAACGATGTTCTACCCCAGAGGACCAGCACCCTCCCCCCGATAATGACCACCACGACGAAAATAAACCGTTTCGCCCAGTTCTGGCCTCTCACCGAACGCTACAATCCCCAGATTTACATCGAGCTTTGCGGCCTAGCGCTGAGGGACGAGAGATTCTTTCAGCTGTTTCAGAACGCGAAATCGTTCGGGAAAGAAGTGGACATGAAGATGATGATTGATGACAGGACCACAGGGACTAGGACTACTGGTACAGGAATGGGTGGTACAGGCACGATAGGACGAGGGGGTAAGAACCCAACAGCATTTCTTTCCCACACGGCCGGCGCACAACAAGGGGATGAGGAAATTGGCAACCCCTTGATCCTGCAATTGTTGCAAGAAGAACGCGGCGGTGGACATCAGCAACAGAAAATTATGTCCCCCTCTTCCTCCGCTTCAGGAAACATCAAAAAGATGAACATTTTCGAGAAACTAAACTTCCCTCCCAACCCGCGACAGCAGCATTTCGACACTTTGCGCAAAAACCGGCGGCACGCGCTGCGACGGAAGAAGGGACTGCCTTCGGAGACTCCGCCGTCGCACAGCTTGACCGGATCGGACGTAGACGTGGAAGATTTCCTGAAAGAACAGGAGAACCTGTCCAAGTACCTCGCCGACGCGATTGCCAGTAGCAGCAGCGGGGAAGAATTTTTGTCCGGGGAGTCCGGGATCCCGAGCTGGGTGGAGATGACACCTAGGATCGTGCCGAAAAGAAGTTCTTCCTCGAGTTCCTCAGAGCAGGGGTCTGAAGATTTAGATCCAATCACGTCGCGCAAAAAGAACAGCATCAAAACGCTGACCGAAATCACAGATTTTCAGTTCAAACTGGCGAACCAGTTGATGCTATTCGACAGCAATTTGACCCTCCTCGCGTTAGACCTGCTCCAATACGGACTGAACCGCGACTCGCTTTTCCGAATTGCGCGCCGCTTCGGAATGAAAAAGCTCGCCGTGAAGGTGTTACAGCCGAAAACGGCAAGGGAGGCGGAATACTGCTTGGAAACGGTTCTGGCGGTGGGGGAGGAGGAGGAAAAAAATAAATTAGAACGAGTGGAGGAAATTCTAGAGTTGTGCCAACACTTGTACCCCTTCCTGCTTCATCCGACGAATACGGCGCTGGCGGATGTGCACAGGAGTGGCAGCGCGAGCGCGCTGGTTGGAGGTGATAAAACCGAAACGAATGTTGAACAACTACATCAAAATCAAAACGACATCGATGAAGATTTTATCAAGTACGGCGCTCCAGACCGCAACACTTCCACCGGGTTGCTCGGTTCGAGTCCTCAAAAAGACGTCCGTGAATCGAGGAAACTCCAGGAAAAACACCCGGTGAGTAAAGCACAGAACCTGGTCCTAGACCATTCCAAAGGCCCGCTGCACGTGCGGACGCAGATTTTAGAGAAAGAACAGGAACTGTTGAAAATGTACGGACGGCGAGTACCGGTCGGCATGGAGCTTGATAAATACGACCAGCAACAGCAGGCGTTTGGTGCGATGAAAGGAGATGGGACAAGACATCAGCGCGGCCCTCTACGACCTGCTCGTGCACCAGATGAACATCATCAAGCTGGCTCTTCAGCAGCTTCAACATCTTCCTCCGCCGACTCTTCCTACCAATCGACCCACATCGCGACTTCCACCGGGTTCGGAAAGCTGCTATCTCTAATCATCGCGACCTACGGAGCCGGTACGAAGATCAAGCACACAACCTCTTACACGGCAGGCACACTGTGGGCAAACCGCCCGAACAAGACTGATTTTAAGTGCGCGAAACTGGTGTTGCAAGGGTGCTTGCAGTATTCCAAGCAGGTGTTTGAGCACAGCTGGACGGAGGAAGTAAAGATCGCGTGGGAGGCGTACGAGGAAGCCGTGACGTTTCTGATCCTCATTGCGGATGCCGCGGAGATTCGGAAAGAAATATTTGAGCTGGAACTTCTCATGCTGGAAATACTAGCGACGCAACTCCAGTACGATGCGGCAAAAAGGTGCTACGATAATACGCTGTTGCTGGAGAAGATGGTGACGGTTCAACGTCAGTATGCAAAAACAAAGAACTCTTTCACCTCGTCCCCAGACGCGACGAATCCGACGACCGAACTGCACCGACAAATGAAGCACGAACTAGCGAAGCTGCTTTTCCTGTGTGACGCGCAGCCGCGGTATCCACAGAAAAAAAACCCATCCACATCCATTTTTTGCATGACAAACACAGGACTTTATGTATGCTTTGCATGACAAATTGGATGTGGATGGGTGCTTTTTCCTGGATACGCGGACTCTGTTAGACGCGGAGTGGCTGGAGGAAAAGGTGACGCCGTTTGTGAAATTGCCGACTTTATCGAAAGGAAAAATCCCCCCTCCCCATACAGAAGCGGAAACTTGTGATGCTGTATTTGAGTACACATATCGAAATCGTAATCGACTTGTATTGCTAAAAGGCCTAGAGACGCAGTTGCGGCCTTAGATGCAGGGAGGCGATTCGTCATGCTGTTTCCCATTGTCTCCTGTCATGCTGAAGATGCAAGACTTTCCTACGCCACCCAGCACTACAGTCAGCTTCTTCGCATTCTAGCATGACAACACTCATGATTTGTGCGGCCACAAAGCACGCGTACACAAATCTTCGGCCCAGTATGGGGAGGTGGGGGGATTTCTCATTGTGATAAACTTTCAACCTGGACCGCCTGCCGCCCATCTTAACGAACCGCATTCTCGACCTCGGCGGCATACCGCTGGAACTGCGGAGAGGGAAGGACGCGCTGGCGATGCTAGATCAACTGCCCATGGAGCAGTATTTGCAGTATCAAATGTAAAAATGTTTGGGTCTCCTGGAAGATTGCCAGGTTTGTCATGCATATTTTGCATAACTACCCATGATCCCTGTAATGCATGACCTGGCGTCTGCGTCACAGATTTTTGAAGGGCCTTCTGATGCGTATAATTCCGCATGAGAATTAGAAACGGCCACTCAGCGCAGCACAAACTGCACTCCTCTTGCTGGTCATGCAATACAGATCTTTTTGTTTTTTACCTTCCAAAGACAGCATCATAAGAATAAGTTGCAACCTTCCAGACCCAGACATTTTTGCATTTGATATCCAGATCGCTTTCACGATTGTGAAAAACAGCTTTGACTACGAAAAGTGCAAGGAAAACATCGGCACGTATTACGATCGGCGGCAGCTAGAGCGACCGAAGGAGGCGCTGTTCGAGCTGTTCTTGAAGGGCTGCTATGGGGGGAAAAAGAAAAGGAAAACAGAAGGAACCACGCAAGTAGAACCATCTTCAGCTAATGGGAAGAACAAGAACAGTAAATCTAAATCCTCGTCCTCCTCCTCCAGAAGAACAAACGAAAAAGAGAACAATAAAAACGAGCAAACGGAGCAGGACCTCATTTTCGAACTCAACGATCTCTTTCGTATGCTGGAATACCCGTTAAAAGCGCAACTGACCAAACTGACGACGGGGTACTACCAGGCACTCGCGATTTTGGAAGTGAATCCGTTTCCCTCCGAGTCAACCTGTTTCGAGGACGCCCGCGAACTACAGGGAAAGTTGGAATTGATCACGAGCAAGCCTATCGTTGAATCCGACCCGAGGGCGCTGGAGTTGCTGTTCATTCTGTGCAGCCGAGAGGGGCGGATTTTCGACTTCAAACTGCTCTTTTGGGAACTGTACTACAAGAGGAAGATGATTGAAGTAAAAGCTGAGGACGGTGATATTAATTTTAATGCGGAGCAGCATGACAAAGACAAAGAACTTCTCGCCGCAGTCGCAGAAGGAGGAGGTGAAGATGACCTCGTGGAGAAAAGCATTCAACTCAGCGAACTCCAGGACGCGCATCATGTCGGAGATGTATCAAAAAATCATCCGGGACAGCAGGACGACGACGATCACGAGCCGCTAGAGGCCAAGTTGCTGTGCAATAAAAACAACAAATCGGACGGCGATAGTACAACACATGAAAGCGGTCAGCAGTCAGGCGACCAAACAAGGAAGGGTAAAAACCTTTCCTCCGCGAGTTCTTTTGACGAGGATGGTACTGAAAACGCTTCAAGCTCTACCTCGACCACCAGGAGAAATGCTCGCGAAAATGATAAATCAGAGCAAGAGATCGGGCGCGAGCGCGTGAACAAAAAGCCGGCGTCTTTCTGGCTGAAGACGCCACTGCAGTACGGTTTGCAGTTATCCAGGAAAAAAACTGTGTGAGTCGTGTAACTGTGTAGGAAGAGCAGCATCACAAATTCGCTTTGCATTAGAGGGAAAACCTGTCATGCGCAGCTAGTGCGTGGAAATACGTATGGAAGTAGCCTATGACGCAGATCTAGCATGACAAGTGTAACAGTTTGGCACTTTCTGCATCACAGATTTACACTCACACAGTTTTTTTCTTGTATAGCAGTGTGTCCAGAACTTTCTGAAGCTCGCGGAGCAGCAGAACTTGTATCTGTTGAAGAATCCGCCGTCTTCTCCAGCTTTGGATCGCAGCTATGCAAGAAAAAAACTGTGTAAGTGTAAGTCTGTGATGCAAAAAATGCAAAACAGTATACACTTGTCATGCCAGACACCCATGATCTCCTCTTTTCATGTGTGTTTTCACATTCACGTACTAGCTTTGCATGACAAGCTTTCTCTGTCATGCAGAGCAAATTTGTAATGCTGGCACTACAAGATGAGACCTACACTATTAACACAGTTTTTTTCTTGGATAGCAGCCTCAGTCCAACTACAACTCCGTCGAAAAAACTGGACTTGTCGAAAACTAAGCGAGGGGGTACCACTGCAACTAACACCGATCATCCGAATGCATCTACTCCTGCAAGCCCGACCGGTAGCACGACTAGCAAGGCAAGCTCCGCCACGAAAAGTGCTACGGGATCGTCAAAAAGCGGAAATAAGAGCAAGGCAGCGACGTCAGCAAAGGCGGCGAAAGCGAAACCAAAAGCGAAAACGGGAGCGAAAATAAACCAGAGTAGCAAGAATGCGGCGAGTGCGACGAGCACTGTTGCAGTTACCGGCACCGCGTCGACGTTTTTGGTTTTGAGCAAAAACGCGGCTGGGGCGGTGAAAAAATTGAAAAACAACGTGGGGATTACCACAAAAACGGAGAAGATCTACCATGCGGAGGTTGTGGAAAGTGGTAGTGGAATTGGTAGTTCTAGTACAACGGGGACACGTGGTCAACAAGAACAACTTTTTCGCGACCAGTTTGTTAAGCCGTTAACGAAAATTCAGAAGACCCGGATTCTGTACAGCGAGTCCTCTATATCACAGGAAAAGCGTATAACGTTAACGGTTTTCACAGATTGCAGTCATGCGTCACAAATGTAGCCCACTATGCATGCTAGGCATGACAAATTCTGACACGTCTTGCGATACATTTCTACATCACAAATTCCGTTAACGTTAAACACTTTTATTTTCGTGTGATACTCTATCGAGGAAAATCGTCTTGTTGCCCGAGACTTCCTGCGGTTTCTGTTCGCATACCAGGCCTTTGAAACAGCAAGTCCGGAGGCGGGAGATCCAGATCATGAAGTTGTTGATCAAGACGGCACGCAGGAGGGTCTGAACAAGGAACAGACAGACGCTAAAAAGAAGCCCACGACCGCGACTCCGCTTGTGGACATGTCGGCGCTGCAGAACGCGACGGAGAGCCAGGAGCTGACGCAGTTGCAGATTTCCAACATGCAGGCCCGGTTACACGAGAGACAGCAGTATTTGATGGACCTGTATTCGTCGGAAAACAAAAATTTGCTTTCGTAGAAGATGGTAAACGGAAAATAAATAAGGACAACTAGTACATCAACTTGATGGCTTCTACTTTGTCTTGTTGCTAGAGCACGAGTGCTACTGTCCTCAACAGGAATGAATTACTTGAGGCACCAGCAGATGATTCAAAAAGAAAAATTGAAGCAGATGCATCAAGAGCCCCTGCGCTCTTGGAGTTGCTTCTGCTGGTAGTTCCTCGCTGGTCGAAAATGACTCGGTATTGCGTTTTTTGTTTTTCCTGAGATTGATCGTGACAATGCGAGTGAAGTTGAACAAGACGACTCGGGAAGACTTCGTTGATAGATGTGATGGTAGAAGATTTCTTCGTGGATCATGTTGACCTCAGTTCGAGCGATTTTCGTTCAGTATTGGTGTCGCTTTTTCTCAAAGGAACAACCCGAGAGGAAACAAAAAGGAAACCGAGGGAAAAAAGGGCAACGAAAAAAGATACATCGAGAGATTGCGATTACATCTATTTTGTTCACTTTAGACTTGCTGTATAGTCCACTCTGTGGTCGTGTGCAAAAGTGTAGTTGTTGAAAATGGTATCGTCGTCGTCACAAAGGAGCCGCGAACAACAGAATAAAGGAAGCTTTCGAGTGTGATCTTAGAAAAAAATTACAGCACAAAAAGCCGTGGCTGTCTTTCCCAAAAACGCAAACAAAAACTCATAACCCTAAACCCGAAAACTGTTTGCGCCATAGATATCATAAGCGTGTAGTTCTTCCGGAAAAAATCTACGAAGCCGAAATTCAAATTGGAGTACAAAATACAAAAAAATTACGAGGTAACTACATACCTCTTGTTCGTCTGTGTACTTGATATTGTAGCATTAGTAGAAACAGTCCTTGCTTTGCAAAATAAAAAAAAATCTATCATGGGCGCCGGAGACGAAACCCCCATGGAGCAGCAACAGCTGCAGGCAGAGGATGCTCTGATTGATGCGGGACAGGACGCCGAAGCGGAAAACCAGCTATGCTCGTATGTGAAAATTATGAATTGCAAAAGTATCGTATGTTGCTTAGTAGTGCAATACAAATTAGCTCAGCATGACACATGAAATTTGTCATGCTGATTCATTTACTTTGAGGAGCAGGAGACTTGTCATGCATACTTGCGATTACAAGGAATACGACACTTTTGCAAATGATAAAGATCGAGAGGCTGTGTGAATCGGGCGTCAATGTGGCGGATATCGCGAAGCTGAAACAGGCCTATCCACAGTAAATTTCCTGTACACGTACCAATGCGGTTTCTGCATGACAAAGCTTGCCTTCGATCCTAGTTAGCATGACAAGTGGCATGCTCTAAGTTGGGAAAATTTGTGATGCATTTTATACGTGTGCGGGAAATTTCCTGTGGATAAGGCCGGTTTCTGCACCACTAACTCGATTGTCTCCGTAATGCGCGTATGCACTGCATCAAAGGCCGCTGTGTCGCGCTGGTTGTACAAACTGCATGTATCAAAAGCAAGAACTAGATTTGTCATTCTGAATCTGATTCAAGTAAGGATAAGAATAAGAAAGTAGATTTCATCATTGTAAAAATCCCATACGTCAACAAGAACTGGTACGCGAACACGATACAGCAGCTTTTGCAGAGGATAGCACAAGGACTTGGTTGCGGTCAAGGGATTAGGCGAGGCGAAAGTGGACAAAATCATCGAAGCGGCCTACAAAACGATGGTATAATACGTACGAATGATGAATGATCGTTTTACTTTTTAGGAATGCAAATTCATGCCGTTTTCGGATGACAGAGCCAGAAGTTGAAGTTCCACGCATGATATTCGCATGATGATGCTGTTTTGCATCAGAGATTGTTACGCTTCAACATCAACATCAATATCGTGTCGATACCGCAATGAATCATGAATATGAAAAAACATTGTACATATCAGGGTTCTCTCGTCCTCGCGCAGCAGGCCGGGCAGGGCGGCGGCAATAACGGTCCAGTGTCGCACTTTTTCCAAACGGCCGAGGAAGCGTTAGCGAAGCACCAATCCACGCGGTTCTTCATCTCCACCGGCGCCAGCTCCCTGGACGAGGTGTTGCGGGGCGGCATCGAGTCGGGACAGATCACGGAACTGTACGGTGAATTTCGCTGCGGAAAGATATCAAATGCAAATTGTATGTCTGGGTCTGGAAAAGTGTGAGTGTGATGCTCAACTTCTATGGATCATGATGAAAACGCTTCGAAAGCAGCCGAGCATGACAAGTCTGCATAACGATAACCGTTTGTCTTCATACGCAGTGTACATGAACAGAATCTGCCTTCTTGTATGACAAGCATGACTGCGAGGACTTTATTTGTTGGTCATATTACAATTCAATGCAGATTTTCAAGGATGGGAATGTAAGGCCAGCACTAGTACAAGTTGTTAACTTTCCAGCCCCACACGTATTTGCACTGGATAAAAGACGCAACTGTGCCACACCTTGGCGGTCCAGGGGCAGCTGCACGAACAGTTTCCTATCCCACAGAAAAAAGCCGGCCGGCCATGTTTGTAATGCAAAAATAAATACACAAAAAAATCTTGCATATCCTTAATAGCATGCTACGGGGCCGCCCATGACAGGTTTTTCTGTGTATTCATTTTTGCATTACAAATGTGACCTGCCTGCTTTTATTTTTCTCTGGGATATTTCCGGGCCGTTGCCTGTACATCGACACCGAAGGAACCTTATGCATCGCAAATAAAGCATCGTACTCGTTGTATAAATGCATTACAAATTTCCTCAGCATGAAAAACGAAACTTCTAATGCGGACTCCCCTTAACGCCTAGATTTGTAATGCATAGCTGCAATTAGTACGAGTACGATACTTTTGCACAGGATAAACCTTTCGCCCCGACCGAATCCAGGAGATTTGCCAGGCACTCACCGTTATGCATTGCAAAAGTCTCGTGGTACTCGTACTATTTGTGGTATACGCAGAAACAAATCTTCTTCTTGAGGTAAAACAGCATGACAAATTCCATTGGTCATGCTGAGCGAATTTCTATTGCAATAATCACTTGGTACGGTACTTTTGCAATGCATAACCGTAGACAGCGACGAGATTATGGCGAACATTATTACCGGTACAACTAGTCATTCCACAACTGCTAGTGTATGTAATGGCGCAAACGCATGACAAATCTAGTTTTTATAGGTAAAGCAGCACTACAAATTTGAATTTCTCCTTCATGAATTTGTAATGCAATTTTGTGCATCGAATTGGACTTGGCAAAAAATATCAACCACAGCCCGCGCCATGACGTCCGAGCACCTGAACCAGCTGCTGAAAGAGGCCTGCTCCATATGATTGTGCACAACCCCTCCTTCCCCCCCATTTGCAATGCGAATTCCGTGTTTGCACAATTACAGATACCAGTCTACAATAAAACAGCTGCACTACATTCGGGGCGTCGTGAACTTGTCATGCACAGGCTCCCGATGTGTTGGTGTTTCTGATGCTGTTCGTGGACCATGAAAATAAGCTGGAGGGGCAGTTGTGCACTCTGATATTTCATGATGGTGGACGAGTCTTCCGGCCAGTTTGCGATCGTGATCATTGACTCCATATCAAATGCAAAAATGTCTGGGTCTGGAAGAATTGGAACTTGTGATGCAAACTCTGGCACACGCAAAAACTTGTGTTGCGTGAGCGCCAAAAGCTGCCCACTTCTTGGTCCGCAAGTAGGAAGTTTCTCATGCGGGACAGGCATCATGAGGCGTGCTCAAAACCTGTGATGCTTTTGCCTGCATCAGACGCCATTTGCGTGATCCGAAATATGCATGACAAATCTCGTAATCTTCCAGACCCAGACATTTTTACATTTGATACTCCATCATGGGCCTGATGCGGCAGGACTTCACGGGTCGCGGGGAGTTGTCGGAACGGCAGCAGTATCCATTGCAAAAGTATCTTCGTACTACTACAAACTGCATGACAAATCTTACCAGAAGGTGGACAAATGACATCTTGTAATGCTGAATTAGCTAAGAAACAGAAACAGTAAACCAGATCTGTGTCTGTCATGCTGTACTCCAATGCGTACGAGTGCGACAATTTTTGCAGTGGATAAGCAGCTGCTGGGTAAAACGCTGAACAAACTGTCCAAGATTGCCCACGAGTTTAACGTCGCAGTTATCCTATGTAAAAACGCCCCCTTTTGGCTGGTGCGCATGACAGATTTGGCCTCGTAAAAATGTAGTCGCGTCTAGCTAGTACTGCAGCAGCATCACAGATCCAGTTTGTCATGCTGATTTGAGCATCACAAATCTCAAAACTTCACTAGAAAAAGCCTCTCATGCGTCTCCGCATGAGAAACATTTTAAGCATGCAGATTTGCATGACAGCGCTGAGGTGGGGATGATTTTACACAGGATAGCAGTGGTGCTGACCAACCAGGTGATGGCGGATCCGGGCGGCTATCAACTGCAAGGATGTCTGGGTCTGGAAGGATGCAAGGTTGTCAATGTCATGCTTGTCTGGCATGACAGAAAAACTTGTGATGCGCGTCCAACAAGAGACGACCCTTCTACTTGTCATGCGAAAACGCAGCTTGTCATGCGGAAAGCGCAGCACTATCATAGTGTTCTATCCGAGCACGTACTATTTCTCATGCTCTGCTGTGCATGACAGGTGGATATTGTCTGTTCACAACCCAGCATTACAAGTTTCCAGACCTCCCAGACATATTTGCACTGCATAGCGGCGGTGTGGGTGCGACGTTTAACGCGCCGCCGAAGCCGATTGGGGGCCACGTCCTGGCGCACGCGTCTACGGTCCGGCTGTACTTCCGGAAGGGGAAAGGCGACGAGCGTGTCGTGAAAGTGATCGACTTATGCATTACAAAAGTATCGTGCTAGTGAAAATCGCATGACATCAAATCTTTTTGAAGAACAAAAATAAATGCAATTTGCAATGCTGTTTGCGCTTCACACCAAAAACCTGTCATGCATCATGATTGTGATTGCTACGAGTGCGATACTTTTGCAAGTCATACGACTCGCCCAATCTACCGGAATCCGAGTGCACGATCCAGCTGTGGGCCGGCGGGGTGCGGAGTCCCGAGGGGATGTGAGCAGGACTTCTACCTAGACATCAGACGGGTGCTTTTTATTCTACAACTTCGGAATAACATTGTGTCGTACTACAAGAAGTCGGGGTGAACAAAAGGTGCTAAATTTTTGTGATTATTTTCAACGAGTAGGTAGGCGCGAGTACAATAGTTGAAAAAAGTATATAATGAATCACTGTCAACATCGGAAGGTTATTATACACTCCACAGCCACGAGATCTCGAGAATAAAGAATCGATTTACATTTGAGCAGCCGAGATTGAAAACTGCAGAGACAGATTTGAGAACTTTAGGTTACAACAAGTGGCGAAGCAAGCCTACAAATTTATCAAAACTACTAGTATAAAAAACGCTTTAATGTCTTTCCAAAACGACGAGCTTCCCAGTGTCATCTTTATTCCAAAGAACACCCGTTGGGTTCTCGGTGGACACGGGAGAACTACGGAGAACTTTTGACCAGTTTCATTTTGATACAAAAACAAAACGAATAAAACGCGTCGACTCAAGTACCAGAGACGAGGACGTCGTCAGAAAATTGATCGCTATTTTGGTTTTCTTCTGTTTCAGAACTTTTCAACTTCCGTTTCCATGTTTCTGTCGTTATTTTGTGCAATTTGCAACATGCACTCAACCCTAAGTAATATCCTATGGTGAGCTTTTCTTTTTGTTTGTTTCAGGAACTCTTTAGAAAAAATAAACCTTTTGTCCTTCGAATTCGTGGAAGTAGGAATGTGGAAGATTCTTACGAAAACTTTTCGAACTGAATTTGACCATCGAAACCAGTTTTGCGCGGCTTGACGTTAGAATGTAAGTAGTTAGAAAAGTTCCAATAAGAGTACTCAGCTCTCAGGTCGTTCGGAAAATTGCAGTAAAGAAAGGGCGGGAAGATGCTGAGGACGAGTAGCTATGTTAGCAGTGTGAAGACAGCGAATCACTGTTGAGCTGCTGCTCGCTTGTCTATGCAATGAATGACCCTGCTGCTGGTCGTTTTAGATTGTTTTTATCGCTCGTCCTCGCAAAACAGCGGAGAGGATGTCAACAGCTGTAGCAAGTCTGGTTGATTCTGGCTCATCGGAAGAAAACACCACTACGGTTCAATTTCTTCCCTCAAAAACCACTTGTGAACTCTTTTTGCAAATGAAAACAAGAAAACAGTGATTGGCTTCGAGTAGTAAACTCGTCGCAGCCGAACAACTACAGAGTGATGGGATGTCTGCATGGGGTGATAAAATTTTGTTGTCGCACCAGAAAATGCTCAATCTCTTTATTCCAGCTCATTGTTCAGATGCAAGTCCCCCGTCGTAGTGTGTCACTTACACAACAACGGTCGTCGGTTAGTTTCTTCTTCCAGCGTCTCGTCCTCAGCCTGCCCGGAGGTCGTGTGTCGCTCGGTACATTAATTATTAATCACCGACGACGAGAACAATTTGTTGATGAGAGAGACGGCTGCATTAACACTTGTTCTGGAAGCTGATGGTGAGCAGAGCAGACAGCCCTCTCATCTGGCAGCTGCTGCTGCAACATGATTCTACTGTTGCAAGAAGCTGAGCCGAGCGATAAGGTCTTGAATAAGTTGAAGAAGTAAATTTTTGGTCCGATGTTCAAGTTCATATAGTAGTTATCGAGCGGAAAGATCAAATCGTCACGATTGTTGCGCTTCTACCGGTGGATCAGACCGACGCTGTATTCCTTCAGAAGGCAGCACCAGCCGCGGAGACGTCCACGGGAGCTAAGACGGGGTCGTCGAGTGGTGCGCAAAGGAAAAAAAATGATGAAGAACGCTCAGCTGGTGAACCAGCACGACAAAGTAGGTGATGGCCATGAAGGTAGTCATCCTCATCACTGCAAGACCGAAGCTCCTGCTCCCTGCAGGAGCTCCTCAAGCAGCTCGTCCGAAGATTATACTCCGCCCGAAATTACCGACAACTACGCCATCCAGCTTCCGCCCCTCGGTGCCGGGGCTTTTGCCAAGATTCTGCAAGCCACCTGCCGCAAAACCAGCGAGCCGCGGGCGCTGAAGCTGATGAAACGGTCGAGCTACCAGAAGAGGCAGTTGGAATACCAAATCGACGTGGAGCTGGAGCTAGCGGAGCTGTGCGGGCGGAAGTGTAGCAACGTGATATCCGTTTTGGATATTTTCGATGACAGTGAAAATGTGGTGATGGCTATGACAGAGCACAGCTACAACTTCGCATTTCTCTCATTTTCTCATGCAAAACCCCAAGCCCATGCCCAAATCCCAATCCCATCGGTACCTTGTGCTTGTAGCACTGTTCGCATGACGCCCAAACGATACTTCAACATTTTTCTCGTAAACTTGTCAAGCACAAGCTGCTCGTGGTGTGCGAGTGTTTGTATATGCAGTTAATGCCAGCATACAGATGAGGCGAGGGACGTTCAAGTTGTGCACTCTCATAACAGTGCTGCCGAAAGCGATTATCGACTTGCAGAAGGGAACACAGAAATTGCTGCACATGCGCGAGCAAAGGCAGATCCAAATGGAAGAGGAACGATTGCAGCTCCTGCAACGAGGAACTGGTTGCGTCGGCACGGCAAGGAGCAGTAGAGAAAAGGCGGACTTGCACTGCGACGCCAGCGAGGCCGGGGCTGGGGGTGCAGCAGCTACTGCCGGGGGGCTGTTTTCCGCGAGGATGGCAGGTACTTATTTGTGGTTGATTCTGGTGCTGTAGCACGTGACTACGAGCAACCAACAGAGCAGAAAGTCAGAGCAGAGACCTGCACTTAGTCATGCAGACCGCGGAATACACTAGCACCAGCACGGCAGGAGTGCTACGATTTTTTCTATAAATTGGAACCCGATGCTGGATATGTTGTGTAGCTGCTTGTGGAAGTCGTGACGGCGAAGCACATCATCGAAGAAGTGAGTAGCTATGTATTTTTCCACTAATATGACCTACGACAGGTGGCGGCGCTTCCCAGCCAACCACCTTCCCCCACCACCAGCGCAAGAGCGGCAACCTTTTCGGTGCGTCTGGTCGGACGACGTCTGCCTCTCACGCGCCCTCCTATACCTCCAACTCTGCGCGAATAGATGAACAAAGAAACACGAAGAACTTCAAAGACCAATCTCACAAGCAGAAGCACTACCCCGTTTGGGGCGAAAAATTGAGCATTCACCTGTGGAAACAACTGTTAAACGCTGTAGCGTACATCCACGAGTGCGGGGTGATTCACCGAGACCTGAAGCCGGAAAACATTCTGCTGTCGTCGGTTGCAGGACGAAGAGGGACGGCTGCTGTCGGAGGGAACAACAAAAGTCGTCATCCTGATACTCCGCTATTTGGTACTTCTAGCAGCTCTAGCTCTTCATCAACATCAAACTCGGGTAGTTCAAGTTCTTCATCCGCTACTACTAGTACTGCACGGACAACATCAAGTGGAGTGCTTGCTGGGACGAACAGAATTATAAACGCAGGCAAAGCACAACAAGGTGGTAGCTCTTTCACTATGCCAGGCACAACTACAGCTAGAACGTCGGAGCAGCACCCAAACGGAGAAAAAGACGATGAGGAGACGAGGTTTTTGAAAAAGTTTTTGAACATCAACGAGAACATTCATGTCGATGATGAAGATGAACTACATCACCACGATAACAATATCTTCGACGCGTTGATCCACGACGTCCACCTTGAAGTCGCAGACTTCGGCTGGTCGACGAAAATGCACAAGAACGTCGGCCGGGCGCTGGCGGTATCCTGTGCAAAAGTATCGTACTCGCATAAATGCAAGTCTTGCATTTACAAATCTTTTTCTTAAGGTAGATCCGCATGACAAATTTTCTCTCTCATGCTGAGGAAATTTGTGATGCATTTACTTATACGAGTACGATACTTTTACTTTTGCAGTTCATAGGCGGGCACGTACATCTACATGAGTCCGGAAATTCTAGACGGGCGGAAGCACTCGCCCCAGGCGGACCTGTGGGGAAGTGGCATGATCTTGTACTTCGTGCTCTTCGGAAAGCCGCTACTGGATCAAGGTACTATCTGCTTGATGCGCCTTTGGGAAACAGAAACCTTCACTACAAGATCTTGACGGAATCACAATGCCTGACCCTAGAACTGAGTGCAAACCTGCACCTGCACAATTTTCTCCTGCTCGTTGCGTTAAGTATTTTGAATCCTCTTGCGCACGTTACCATGCCTGCTGCAAAATGCATCAACTTTCTTCATGACAGCCATTATTGGGCCCGGCGTGACGCAACTGACGGCGCAAGAACCTGTGCGCTCGGCGCAATTTATCGGATAGAAAATGACTGTAGTGTAGTTGAGTCAAAATCTAAGTCATGTCATTTTGGTTTCATCCATACTCTGTAGTCATTATTTCATCTTCGCTTCAGAGAAAAAATGCATAAGAGCAAAATGCTCCTGGTCCCGCTTATTATCGGAACGCGTTCTTCTTCATCTTGGTATCAACTATCAAGGGCTCTTGTTTATTTGACTCGACTACTTTTGCAATCCACACCCCTGCGGGCGCGAATCGTGCGGGAAAAAATCGATAGTGTGTGTCCGCTGAAGTATCCTTGCGAAATTCATTGACTTGTTGCAGGCTGTTCATGCAGAGGTGATTTGGAGTTCCTGTTTTGTGCCAGACAGCAAAACGTAAACACAATTTTCAAGAGGTGAACTACTATGCCACGTTGTGCAGTCTTCCTTGCAAAAAGCCAGAAAATTTCGCTTCCATATCGGAGTTGAAGATAAGCCTGACTGGCTCGAGAGCTGGGATTTGTGGCTGCAGTTACGAGATTTGCTTTCCATCGTACCCGCGATTCGGCCAGATGCAAAGCGACTGTTGGAGCAGCAAATGGGTGGAGTTTGTCATGCGGATGCGGTTTCGCAGCATCAGCAGCAGCTGGACACCGGAACAACATCAGCTACCGGCGGACAAGTTCTTGTGAATAAAACGACGAAAAAAAATGGGCGCAGAGACAGCAGCACGGGGACTACAAGCGCAACCGCTTTGAGGATTACACCCAGAGGAAGCAAGAAGGACAATGGGATTGTGACCAAGAATAAAACGTCCTTGGGCTGCTCCCAGCTTCATAACAAGACAGCAAGTAGTACCGGGGGTGCGAAACGGAAATCAAACGCCTCCACGACGACCGGAACTACGACAAAAGCAGCCGGGACAAGTACATCGTCGACTGGAGGTGATTCAGCGATAGAGCCTCATCATGCTCAGTACGGTTCCTACGGTAAAAGGAAAACATCCACCCTCCAGCAAGGAACATCAAAGCACTCTTACGCGACTAGCAACTCGACGTCGACATGCAATGTACTTGGGAACTCCTTGGAGGCTGTTGACAATGATACTGTTTCTATCGCTGAGACGAGTGACCACCACGACACAGAGCAAGAAGGAGCCGAGTTATCCTCCGACGAGCCGCCCGTTCCGGCACCCGAAAACTCCCGGATCATGCTGGGTATGCAGGATGACCTAAGCGACAATGAAGAAATACAACGCAGTATTGCTGGACGTCGAGAGGGTCTGAACGAAGACGAAGACCTCGAGGCCGCTGTGGGCTCGTCGTTGTTGTCAGCAACCGCCTCCTCCGCCTCTTCCACAGCCGTCTCTTCTCACCACTGGTCTCAAGCGTGGATGAGCAGCCGAGGAACAAACAATCACAACTCCAATAAGAACACTCTCGGTGCTGCTACGCAACAACAGAAACAGCACCAGCAAAAAACGCCTCCATCTCCGGTCGTGGCTGGAATGATCCCCACTTTGATGTACGACGATGAGTCGCAGACCATCGTGGAGGAAGATGCGAACTCGATCGACAAAACCCCCACGTCACAGCAACAGGTTGCGACGGGGTATGTCGTGTCCTCCGGTCGGGCGGAACTGGCGCCCCTGCAGTCGCGCAGCAGCGAAAAAGATCCTGCCCGCGAAGACTTTTCTGGGCCACCAGCTGCAACTACAGATGAAGCTGGAAAATTGAACTACAGCACTACTTCCCAGTTGCCCCGCACCCGCGAAGTCTCAGCAACGGCCCCTGGATCCGTAGTCTCGGGTGCGAGACAGACGTCTGAGAACGAGGGAGCGCCAGTGGCTACCACTAGTACCGCGGCCGCACCATCCAGTGGCAGTGGTGCAGGGGAACTACAATATCCAGCTGCTTTTCCCTCTCGACGTGGTGGCAACACATTAAAACAGACAAGTACTTCCAACCGTAACTCCCCGCGGTCGGAACAGCAGCAAAACCAGAATTCGAGTTTGCTGTCGAATCACTCCAGCAGCAAGCGGAGGAAAAGCAGGCGAACCAGCAGCGCAAGTTGCACGAATTTGAATAGTGCTGCGGGGAACAGCACCAGTGTGGGAGCAACTCCAAGTGGAACCACCGCAACTCGTACAGCAGCGCAGGAGAAGACAAGTCTCCTGAACGGGCGGCGAAGTGAAGCGAATTTGCACGCGTTATTATCGAGAAATGGTCACGCTGCTCCTGGAGCCGCAAGGGGAAATAAAGAGAGCGAGGACGTGTGTGCAGAAGAAAATCAGTCGGACGAAGATGTGCGGCGGGAAATCTCAACAAGTACTAGAATGACGAAGAGCACCGAAGGTGGAAATCAGTACCACAAGCACGGCGCTTTCAACAAAGAGAACGCAGCTTCTAATTTCGGCAGTAGCGGTACCAGCGCAACTACTGCGAGGAGTTGGAGTGCTCTGTCAACCCGAAACACAAACAGTACGACAAATCTCTTTCTCCAGTTGGACCCGCAGGCGAGGCTGCAGCGAGTCGGGGCGCCGGGCTGAGAGGAAAAGGAGAATTTTGGACGAAAAAGAAGAATGACTATGACATATCATGGCTTCCAGTTGTATGAATAAGAAAAGAAAGAGCTGTGAGTGTGACTTGCAATAGGAAGATGGGAAAGCTTTTACGCTGTCGTCACTTGAGAATGTGTGTTTTTTTCAAAGAAAATTCTCCGTCTGGATTTTGTGAGCGTGCTAGCTGCGCAGCCGGAGGACACTATGTATCTGCTTCGCTGCAACTCGTGCAGTACATCATACAAGTACTAGAGAGTCGAAAAGATGACCTGGTATTGATGGTCCAAGCACAACTGCGTCTCATCTAAACATAGACTGCTTCTCCTTCGGTTCTATTGCCCTTTGCGATCGCCACCGTGAGATGTGATGTTCACGTTGTCCAGCTTTGGTTTGATTTCGTGGCTTCTTGTATCTATTCCTCGTCAGCGAAACAAGCTTTTTTCGTCGGTCTACTTTTCACAGCCGCTCGTTGTGCCCCTGCTTCAAGATTTCATTAGTCGGTCGCTCACATCAATGATTCGTATTCGTACACTATATGTGATGATTCGGTTGCTCCTTTGCTTTTCGTACACTGGAGTCGGCTGCTTTCGTACACCGCATTCAATATTGGTTTATTGCGCTTTCGGTTTCGTGCGTTTAATTGTACCGGGGGCGACGTTCTTCCTCATGCCGCTGGAACGCCTGGCTGGCTCTATGGTTTTGCTCCATAGAAGATTTTTTCGTTGTCGTGCTGGTCGTGCAGCCCCGAACGTACAACGAGGAGGACGCGGATTCTCATATTTTCGTCCTTGTCGCGCAATTCAAAAAACTCTTTTTATTATTTTCAGGTTTTGACCACACGAAAACCCAAAAACTAAAACTCAACTTTAAACGAAAAAAAAAAATTTTTGGCTGTCCCCACAACGCAAAACTTTTCTTGAAATACTTAGAGAACATTGCGAAGAAACAAGAAATCCTATTCGGCTTCTGAGAGGAAGAAGAACGAAGAACACAACTTCTACCGCTGGTAAAAGCACGACTTCAACATCGGGAAACCACCACAGTACATATCTCTCTCCCGAACAAGCACCAGCCACTGGAGCCCTACAACGACACGCCATCATGCTGTACTTGTACTTTCGCCACCTCTACTCCCCGCGCGGAGGCGGAAGAGCGCCCCTGCGCTGGGTTTCCGTATCTCTCCTGTTTCTGGACGAACTGCTGAACAACCGGGCCTGCGCCTTCGCCCTTGACACGACAAAAAAACGGATCAAGCGTGTATCACTTTCAAAAAAACTACCTGCTCCACAGCGACCACGCCGAGTCGTGCGCAGTACATGATTGGCATATTAAGTACATTAGCTTTTGGCTCCTGGTGAAATAAACGTGTTTTTGTAACGTCGAAGCAGATCGTGGTGCTGGAGCACGGAAGGATAGCTGCAAAGCAGTAAAAATATATCTGCAAAAGCAAAAGGAGCGCGCAGGCCGCACGTAGGGCTCTTGTTGGCTTTATACCTTCAGAACAGCATGCATTTTCACCACCGTGTCATCTTCGTTCCACTCCTTGATGAATCAGGCCTGCTTTCTTGGTACGGCAAGAATTATTGGCACTTGCAAAAGAACCGATTGGAGTCTGGGTATTTTTGGTTTGCATAGTGCAATCGGTACAAGTTTATGGCGCCGAATGAGCCGCTCGACGAAAACGAATTGGAGGCACAAGGAAACGAAGCCGATGCGGGCAACTCGCAGCGCGGCGACGCCGACGCGGCTGGACCAGGAGCTGCCGCCGCCGCTTTGTCATCGCCTCTTGCCGACGAGGAAGATAGAACAAAATCGAAAGGCGCCTCCTTTCTGCAAAAGGCAGACCCACATTTGGTGGAAGAAGGCGCGTCTTTTTTGGAACAGCTCTGGAGTCATGGTATCGGAGTAAAAATGAGAAAATTGTGCTAGTAGTATGTCGTAGATCATGATTATGGTTTGATGCCTTCTTTTTTTTGCAGCAGCCAGAGCTGCGTCGATGTAAATTCACAGCTGCGTGTTTTATACTACGTACCTCTGATACTGCAACTGCAACTCTTTACTCTAGAGAAGTAGACGAGAGGCAAGCTGGAATTTCGTTTTCGGCCCTACTGAGACGAACAGGAGACGATTGTTGCTGTTCATCACTTGTAGCGGTCATCCCCCGTAATTCACCTTGTCACAAGTAGAAATACAAATAGTTAGCCCCGATGTCGAGTACGAGTCAGTTATGCTGTCGTAAATGAATTACAATTACTACAGCTACGCTCGGAGCGGACCTGCAGTTCCCCGATTGGATGTACTTACCGGATCCGGAATCGATCGTCTACTACAATGGCAACCAGGAGAAGCAAGCGCAGAATGGAAGTACTGATATGCCATGGAAAGCAATGCTTCAGTTGTTTCAGTCATGTTGTTTCGTGTTGCATGGCTTTCTGCAGACAGAGATAATTTCATCAAGCGACGTTTTGATTCTTCAAGTATCTCATCGCTTTTGCTATTGGTGAAGAGACAACATGACAGTAGTTTTTTTGCATTATGTGATCGTTCAGAAAGCTGAAGAGAGCTAAACGTAATTATGAAATTGCAACAAACAACGAAAAATTGCTTTTCGTTGTATACGTAGAGATGAAGGCGCTTGGCATTGGCTACAAAATTTTAGCGCAATGACCGACACGTTGATGGATACGCTTCAAGGTGAACACGTGGCAGTTGTTCAGACAGCCGAAGAAGTGAAAGGTGGCGGAAGTAGTGCATATGAAAATGATCATAAAACAATCCGGAGTCTTTCTCGGGCCACTAACACTATCAGCGGCACTCCCAAGAAGGAAGCTTTGGGCGCGACCTCCTTTCTCGAGGCGGTCACAGGTACACCAGAGTCGAACATTGCTGATGACGGAAAAAGCGGTCCAGAAACACATGAAGCTGATGAAGATCACGTTCAGGATCGTCTTGCTGATGATCAGGAGGAGGATCATGAGCAGAGCAAGCTGAAGGGCGTGTCACAGTCAATGAGCGGGGAAGGTCCTCCGGATGACGTGGGCGAGCACGAGAGAGACGTGCATGGTGATACTAAAACATCAGCTCCTGCAGCACTTGCAGGCAATATACTTCCTGGAGCGACGAGCAGCTCGAAATCGCCAAAACCAAGATCCCATATCGACCCTGACTCCCAGTTCTACGGGCGTCCGCAAGTTTTCTCGGACGAGCCCGCAAGCACAGAGACGGACAAATCCCTGCAGCCGTCCGATTTTTCTGTCGTTGTCGTCAACCCGAACCCATTTCAACCGGAGTTATTACCGACCAGGCTGTACAATGCAGAGGCCAGATTCGAAATTGACGGTTACGTCAATCGGGCCACGACAGCGGGAAATTTTCACTTTGAAGGGGACGAGACCCCGGCTCATGTTGCAAAAAAACACAAGTGTATATGTGCAGGTGTAGTGCCGATACGATTGGAAAAAAACGAATCCGAGAATTAGTGGCTGCTTTGCAACTGTGCCTGTTTTGCCGCTGGTGATGTTTCGGTGTTGCTTTAGCTTTTTACCATTAAGATCTATATGTTTGTCTTTGTACATGTGTTATGTTTTTCTTCGTACATGCTAATAAATCTTCCTGCAATTATAATATGTAGTTGATTGCATTGATGTTTGCTGATGGTGATGGATTGTGCCGTCGTGCTCTTCTTGCAGTGAGCAAAGCGAATTTTTGCTTTTGCACGTCGTCAAACAGCCTCTTTATCCTCGTTTCATACTATCACGCGCCAGGAGCAGGAAAGAATCAGCGCTGGTCAAGCTCAAGGATAAAGTCGCAGGAGGGGAAAGAGGGTGCAACCGCGGGTGCCACCGAGAAGCTTTTGGATTACAAAATCGTGCGCAATGGAGAGGAAAAAGCCACTGACGATTTTGTTTTTGATGTATTCGATGATGTTGACAAGCTCGTAGATGCAAGGTACAAGAAACCTTACGAAAATGGATACTTCAATGCTGGACATTATTCTGATCGCGCCACGGCCGAAACGAAGGTTGTAACTGTGAGTAGACAGAGGCATACAAAAAACAAGCGCGGCTGCCATCATTGGGACCTTACGAAAAAGACACACGAACCACTCACCAATTGGATTCAAGGATTCGGCCAAGAAAACGTGGCGCCCGGCAAAACGTACTTTTTGCTGAGCACGAACAATATCGAGTCTTCTTCAAGACCACGCGTCATACAGTTTCACGAACACTTTTCTAGCCAAGGTGAGCAGAAAAGAGAGGAGCCTGCGTCTCCGTCAAACGGGAATGAAGATGCAGGTGAGCTATACCTCGTCTCGCTGCAGCACATGGGAGGGCGTCGGAAACCGCTAGACCGCGACAAAAACGAGGATTTTCATGTCGTTGATGATTACACGAAAAAGTTCCACCGTGTCGCCTGGGCGTTCCCAGCACCGTGCCCGGAAATTCCGCTGAACAAGCCGTGTCAACTGCAAGAATTCTCCGAGGATGGTTTCGTTCCTGAAGTCTTTTACGATTTTGACCAGCCTGCAGTTGCGGTCGAGAGATCAGAGCTAGTGCTTCATGAGCACGCAACGATGTCGCCGGCGAAGAAGCCAGTCTCGGAGGAGGCGACGAAGGGCTCACGCAGTGGCGGCGAGAACGAAAGGGGTTTGCCGAAGAAGAGCGAATTGCTGCAGATACAGATGCAGCAACAGGGGTTGGCATCTGTAGCCGAGAGAAAGAAAAATGAGTGGAAAAACTGGATTTCCTCTTTGCCCGCCTCACTCGGAAGTTCTTGAATAGTCGCTGTGCTTTTGAGTTCTTTTAGGCTCCAGGAGGCAACGAGGGTACAGAATGATCAGAGCGCGGAGGTTTTTTGTCTCGCTGCTGCTGGGGCGAAAATCTAAATCGTCGTTGTAGCAACTAGCTTAGTAAGGTAGCGCAATAAAAACTACAAAGGCAACATCAAATGTTCATTCGCATGATGAGTATTCCCTTCGTGTGTAAAAGTTTTTGATGTGTCACTTCTTCCCCCAGTGAAGCAACACTTACAAGCCCAAGTATTGCTTTATTTGTTTTTCTGTTTTGTTACTTATGTTTTCATGTACAATTCCAATTCGAATTCTGGAGGAGAAGCCAGACCCAGAGCCACAGTCAGCTTTCAGAAGCTGTGCTTTCTCTTCGCCGGTCCAACCTGGAACAGCTTCTGTGGCTTGAGCCTGGGAGCACACGAAGTCCGCGCGTTCCCAGGTGCAGATGAATGAAAACCGATTCGCAAACCATCACTATCCGCATTGACTGTTATTTTATCTATTTTATCTTGATCTTCGTTGTTCTTTCTTTATTTTTATCTAATTGCGATTTTTTTATATTTAATACTTTTTCTTTTTTGTTTTCCTTTGTGCTCCCGAAGCCGAAACCCAATCAAGCGGCATTCACGATCACGCGTTCTTTGTGTTTGAAAAAAGAGACGAGAAAGTGAACACATGCACAAAATTAAAAAAACTCAAAATAAGTAAACCAAACGCACGCCCCCGTGAGTTAAGCTTTCGCTTCCCGCCAAGTCAGCAGTGCCGTATTTAATCGTTCCCAGTTCTTCAAACCCTCCTTTTTGAAGTCCTCGTCGAATGCACACATAAAAAATTATAATATAAACATCAAAAAAAAAAGACAACCTCAACCAACAACATCCGCGGAGGATGATCCGCTTTCGGAAGCCGGAGAGGCCTAAGGCCGCAAGACTACGGCAGACTTGAAGTGTTCCCCCGTCGTATTCATTATTTTATTGCGCGCCCCATTATTATCGCACCATAAGGAGCAGAACCAGGTCCGGGAGGAGAAGAGGCAAGAGAAACGCTTGTCGACCTTTCGCTTTATTTTCAAGCGGCTGCTCAGCGAGCCACAGGGCCAGCTACTGCAAACGGCTGGAGCAATGTGGCCTGGAGATTACGGAGCGAGAGCGTGGTAGCCATGCCTTTGCCTTGCGGATTGTTTTGTGCATTTCTGTCTTCCGATCAAAGAGGAGAGTGAGAATGAATGCCCGGCGGCGTCGTATCTGAAAGCAGGCAGAAGCAATGTAAGGACTTCTGCCGGCTCGGGAAGTAGAAGAGCAAGTAGATGACTTAGAAAACCAAAAAACTCGACACGAAAATTATTAGAGATCATGAGAAGGCGCATCTAGTTGTAGCTAAAGGAAAAGTTGCAAAGTAAGGCGATTTTCATCTCCATTTTCTTTAGCTACGAGACGGACCTCCTCGCTCAGCGTCATCTTCCAGCATCCAAAAATGAAAATTGTTGCACAAGCAGTAAAAAAGCTGGATGTGTAACGTGTAAGTTGTGGTGTGTTGTTTGATGTCCTTCTACCAGATCATGAACATGCCAACAATGTCCACGGTCACAACCCTGAAAACCCCCCGCATGCTGGAGCTGGAGGGGTTGTTCGAGGAGTTGCAGTTGGAGCGCGCACGATTAGGCGATTTAGTAGACCAATACGATCAGTACCGTATCAGCAAGAGAAACAGTGCATTGCCATTGCGAAACGAACGGAATTGCAAGTCGGTCATGCATTGTCATTATCAGACACAATACAAAGACAAACATGGCCATGGGGATGGAGATACCACTTTACTTACTTGCAGCTGCAGCAGCATTTCTACACATCCGCACTCCGTGTTGAGCTTGAGTGGCAAGCGCTTTTCCATTGCATACACTAGTTGGACCGCGCGACCAAACCCGCAAGTAGCAGTACTGCATCTTCCAGTGGCACAACCAGTTGTTCTGGATTGAACGAGATGAACAATGAAGGGCCACATGATGTTGACCAGGAGGATCTGCTGCAGAATTCTGGTGCCGCCAATCATGCTAACCTCCATGAAAATGACAGTGCCATGCATGCAATACAACAAGACTTTTGCATTACAAATCTGCTGGCTTCTGGCCGCTTTATTCCTTCTCAACGAGCACCGCAGCAGTGTGACTACGACTTCTCATGCGTGCTTTTCTAGATAGAAGTAGTATGAGTACGACGCAACTGTCCTGTTTACGTTCCATAAGTTGCGCGGAACCAACTACAACAAACACTCCACCATCTTCCTCCACATCCGCCATGAAAATCGACTCCCTGATCCAGGGCGTCGCCGAAGTTTTTCAGGACATAGTGGAAAGCGTCATGGTATCCTGTGCAAAAGTATCGTACTCGTATTGCAAGCATGCATTACAAATTTTTATCCTAAGGCATATCCGCATTACAAATTTTATGTCTCATGCTGAGGAAATTTGTAATGCATTTATACGAGTACGATGCTTTTGCATTGCATACATGGTGGACCCGATTGTTTCCGCGGTTGTTCGGAAGAACAAAAACGTGGGCGTGAAGACGACAAGTGCACCAAGTGGCTCCTGTTCATCATCCTCTACTGCTGGTGTTGCAGCTGCCGCATCTTCCACCACGACAAATAAACATGGTGGCAGAGCTTCCTCCTCTACAACCACTGCGTCTGTGCAATTCCGGGATTCGGTTTCCGTCGTGGGCGGCGTGGAACAGCAGTTGATTTTGGAATTGGAAGCCTTGAAAAGGTTGGCGAGCGGTGGAAGAAGTAGTTGTAGACCGGAGGACTACGACGATGTGCACGGTGCTGCAAATGATGACGATCACGACGAAGTTGTGGCTTCTGATGAACAAGAAAATAATTTCGCAAATTTTTCCAGCAACGCAACCATGTTGAAAAGACAGCAAGAAATTGAGCGGATTCTGCGGATTGCGCGGATCGGTGTCGGGGGAACCCGGAGGTTTTTGGCCCGGGGAGAGGGGGAGATGGAAGTGGAGTGATGAAGGAGATACAGAGAGGCTTTTGGGAAAAGTGATAAGACATAAAAACGTTTTTGAGATAAACAAGGTGGATCAGGAACGAATTCTGAAAAAAATCTGCATAATCAGAGAACCGCATCAGACCAGCCAGAGGGCTTGAGGAGCGCAGGTTTCAGTAGTGTGAAAGAAATAACAATAAGAAAAAACCGCCCCAGTGACAGTGAGGTGTACGTGTGCCCCTCAAACGGAGAAGATTCGTCTGCAGCATCTTGTCGTGGTGTTTTTCCGTCGTGTTCCTCTTTCTCTAGTAAAGAAGGGTAAAGAGACGGAGACTTCTTGCTTCTTCCGTTTGTGTTGAGAGAATACCTAAAGTCAGAAATCTATCTTTTGCGTGCGCAAGAAGTTTCTCTGCTCCACTCAGATCACGACTGTACGACGAGCGAGATCCACGAAGCCCGGTCTCGTGTGAGCAGAGGACCATCTTTAGCACACGACGCGGACTTCTTTCGTTCACGTCGACATCTTGCTGTGAGCAAGATCTCAGAATAAATTTTTGTCCTTCTTCTACCAATTTTCTTTTAGTTGATCCCCAACTAGTACACACGGAAAAAACCATTATGTCGGCGTTTCAACCCGGTGCAGCCCCTCCTCCGCCCGGCGGCATGATGATGCAGCCTGGGGGTCCGGGTCCGGGGAACCAACCGCCCGCAACTAACGATCCAAACGCCCCTGGTGCAGTGGGACAAGACGCGTCTAAACAACAAGACCCAAAGCCGGTGGAATCCTCTTCCAGCTTCCAGTATGTGATGGAGAAAAGATTGTGTTTATTTTCATTTCAGCATGACAAACTTCGCCTCACGTTCCATCCTGTACTTCTGTGTACGCCATGCAGGAAAATGACCGACAGGGACGAGAGGTGTAGGTACCCCTACTCAACAGTCACATTGCGCACGACTCTGTCATGCTGAAACAGCATGATCACAGGAGAACTTCAACTTTGGAGAAGTGAGTACTACGGAAGAAGGAGTTTGTCATGCAGGAATGTTGAGAAGATCAAGATGACCACTATCTTTTCTCTGTCACAGCCAAGTGATGGTGACTGGAGAATTGGAGGGCGCACAGCTCGGCTCCTCTGGACGCGGACCGCTGATTACGCAGGAGACAACCCTGCCGTCGACGCATGAGATTTGGCATGATGCAAGACGTCCGTCATGAACATGTAGATCGTGATGGCGCGACCTGTAGTAATGCAAAATTTGCAGGCCAGATCATGCCGCTGAAGCAGGGAAACCAAAACGGCTTGCAGTGCAACCCACGACGACCAGCAAATCTGTGTTGCGAACAACTCATCTAACCTGCTCGTCTCCACCATTTTTGCTCTTAATAATATGCAATACAATTTTGATTTTCCGTTGCGGAGGTGGCATGGTTGTATTGCATATTACTGTGCGTCTTCAGCTTCCAGTGCGGGAACGACTGGTCGGTGGTACAGGGCCACACGCAGGGAATCTATGCATTGCAAAAGTATTACAGATTGTTCGCAATTATTGCAATTCATTGCATGACATCTAAGCATTGTAGACGAGAGTCAGCATTACAAAGTTGTCTCTACGAGCTCTGGTCCTTGGAAACGTGAACAAGAACAGTCACGATGCATGATACATTATCCACATCACCTACTTGATGATGCAATACCTAGCAACTTCTTTTGCAAAGCATAGATTCACGCAGTTAGCAACCTCCGCGCACCCGACCACGAAGGTGTCTGGACTTTTCCACGGGGATCCACGGGAGGTAGTGTGGAATTTTCCGCTGGGCGTAACGTACAAGACCACCAACGCCTTCGGTATCCAGGAAGAAAATTGTGTTACTGTAGGTGTTTTGGAGTGCTGTCCGCATCACAAACTTGCTCCGCATGACAGAGAAAGCTTGTAATGCAGAGCTAGTAGCACGTGAAATGAAAACACACATGAAAGGAGGACTTGCGCGGGTGTTTGGCATGACAAGTGTAACTCATTTGCATTTTCTGCATCACAGACTTACACACTTTTTTTCTTGCATATTCAGCTGGCCGCGGCTAATCGTGTCCGTGTACGGGACGGACCTGTGCAACCGGCGGGTCATCTATCCAAGAAAAAAACTGTGTAAGTGTAACTCTGTGTTGCAGAAAATACGAAACTGTTACACTTGTCATGCTGGACATGCATCAGAGGCAATTTTTGTGCGTTTTTTCATGTACTAGCTACGCATGACAGGTTTGCTGTGTCATGCAGAGCAAACTTGTGATGCTACTCCTCCAAGAAACTTACACTTACACAGTTTTTTTCCTGGATATCATCAAGGGCTACGGCAGCATCCATGTCCCGTGCTCCCCCGGGAGACACGAAAGGATCATCCGTCTGTTCCGACCCATTTCTTCGTAATAACTTTTCCCTAGAGCAAGAAGCTGTAAATATGTTGGGGTTATGGTAATCCTTTGCGAGATGGAGTATCTGGATCCGATTGTTGAAACTTGGTGCCCGCCTACGCGGAACAGAGATTCTCGGCTTTTTGAGTTGTCATTTGTGATCTAAAAAACGGCCATGCGACACTCTCTAAAAAAATCCACAGGTCATGGCTGGTCCGTTTCCTGGGTTGGCTTTTGGGATCTCCGGCGCAATTCGTGGATCCGAGGATTATCGGCGGGACAGACGGGAGAGAGGTAGTGCGGGTGCAGTCGGGTGGGAAAGTAAAGGTGGTTTTTAACGTGTTGTCAAAAGGGCACAAGGACTTCAATTACGACTTAGGGGGTGCGTGAGAAAAAAATCAAAAAAGGGAAAATCAATAAACGAGTCTGTTAGAACGTAAAATAGGCAGCTTTGATACTTCGAGTCCAAAATGTAGTCAATTTTTGGGGGTACCTAGAATTTAGTAGATTTGCTTTGATGCAAGCGCAGCGCGCAAATAGAAACTACACCGTGATACTCTTGATTGATGAGAGTTTTTAATATACCATTTCCAATCGGAACAACGAGTAATACACCACCAGCCATTTCTTTTTCTACTCTACACTACTCTTGGTTTTAAAAGGCAAAGAGCAACCAAGAGCCGCACAAAGACTGCGGAAAGGATGAAAAAACAATTGATGGATCTTCCAACCAGGAGGCAGGAGCTACTTGTTGGGAGGTTTTGTCAGGACAACAAGCGGACTGCAGCATCATTCTGCACTTTTTTTTGAAAAAACGGTTGAACAACCAGCAGCAGCAGCACAGACTGCTATAACCGGCGAAACAACATTTTTCCTGCGCCCAAGAGTGAAGAGTCTCCTACTTGTTCTCAGTGTCTTCAGTAGCTGTGTACACAGGCCCGGCTGCGTAGAACAAACTTACTTAGAGTACTCTTCCGGAAAAGAAGAAGAACTTGCGCGGCCACAGGAGCCGATTCGGAATTTGATCCTGATCTTCACACGCAGCTCTGCACAGAGCCGCAAATTCATAGAACTGTGGTACAACTTGGACGCTGAAACGAGGCAATACAGGAAGATCTCCTTGATCAGAGACAGTGTGGATCATCATCATCTTCAGGACTAAGAGAGAAGGTAATATCTGAGAGTCAGCATGATCATGGCCATAGATTATAATTGCCCCGCATGAAGACCATGATGGGGCCTAGCACGACGACGCTCCTCTGTTGGATCAGACGAGTTGTGGGGAGCGACTCCACGGCGAGTTTAACCTCTGTGAAGATGATGCTATTTCGGCTATACTTAGATCTTGACCTTGTGCAAAAAAATCTAAAAGGCCACGCATGATTATTGCGACTTTCATATGATCAAAGACCACACGAACAAGCCTCCCTACCTCCGAGGAACTGTCAGAAGGGTTTGATAAGTAAGTACTTCTACTTAGATACCTGCTCCACCTCCATTACGGACTACATCATCTACAAGATGCCGTCGCCTTGTTCGCGGCATTTTTGTCGTGCCGGGCAACCACTCTCCTTACACGACCTGTTGCTCGTTCATTTTTTCTACTCGTTTTTGTTCTTCGGCAGCTTCGACGCACTCACCCCTTGGAAGTCGCCCGTGTTCATCTTCTCGGTGCCGTTCTTCGCCGCCGGCGCAGCTCAAGAAGATGCCACTACACTAAGGCGCCGCAAGACTGGAGATGATGTCGTGCAGGATCATCTTAATGCTGCAAGACGACTGGAGGCGGAAGCGCAAGTAGTTGCAGCAGGAGCAGCTGCACCCCCACTGATGAACATGTACATGGCGGCACAACCCGCGACGAAGAACCCATGCGAGCTCGCAGCTGACGCTGGACAGGATGGAGCAGGTGGAAGTACGACAATATCCCCAGCCGCAAAGCAGGCCGGTGTGGATTTGGACGATTTGAAGAACCCAGAAGTCGATGCTGGCGCGTGCATAATATGAGAGTGCACAACTCCCCCTCCCCCTCATTAGTATTGCATGAACAGCAATACAAGCACCAGCACACGTGGCGCCTGTGCATGACAAATTCACGTGCCTAGTGTAGTAATGTTTGGGCTTCGGGAATCTGTGATGCAAACAGTACCAAAGGGAGGCGCTTGGATTTCGAGTTTTGCATGACAAATGAGGGGGAGGGGGACTTATGCACTCTCATACATAAACGCCGCGTACTCCACGATCTTCGACGAGGAGAGGCACGGCGGAATATCCCCTGAAAATGAACCATCCCCATCCAATTTCTCATGCAAAACATGAAGGAAATTCTCTGTTTGTCATGCAAAAAATGGATGGGGATCATGGTTAATTTTCAGGAAATAGGGAAACCGAAATGCTGCTAGTCACCTCTGGGTGAGCTGGGCCACCGAAAGACTGCGGAACAAGGAGGTCGACTTCGATCGGTGGCTGGACTTGATGCGGAATTTCTGTCCGGTGTCGGGTTCACCACTGGGCGGCGGCGGGAACGTGATTAGATGGAATAGCGTACCACAAGAAAAAGTGTTAACGTTAACGGAATTTGTCATGCAGTAATGCATCAGAAAAGGTGCCCACATTTGTATTGCGTAGCATGCATGGAAGGCAAAATTTGTAATGCTTAGCTGCCAACTGTGAAAACCGTTAACACTCTTTTGCTTGATATAGCGGGCCCCAGGACCGACACCGCCTGCGGTCAGTCGCCAAAAGCGATACAGTATGAACTGCAAATAAAGTATCGTACTCGTGGCAATCGCATTTATGCATGCCAAATCTCTTTTTCAAGGTAAATCAGCATGAAAAATTCCATTTGTCATGCTGAGCAAATTTGTAATGCGCTTACTACAAGCTACGATGCTTTTGCACTTCATATACAGACGGGCAGGCCATTCCGCCGGGAGAAACGCACCACTGTTGCGTTCTATGAATTGCAAAAATGTCTAGGTCTGGAAGATTGCAGCTTGTCATGGTAAATCTGAAGCATGCAAAAGTCTGTGTTGCATGAGTTCCAAAAGCTGTCCACTTTTGACCAAGTTGGAACGGAGTTTCTCATGCAGAAAAGGCATGGCAGAGGCCTCGCAGAGTCTGCCATGCTAAGTCCCGCATTCCAGACCTCATGGGTCATGGAAAATCTGCATGACAAGTTGCAATCTTCCAGACCCAGACATTTTTACACTTGATACGTTCCCTGCGTCTGCGATATGGACACGCACGTACGGGTGGATACCTGGGTATGGAAGCGTCAGGTTTGAAATCGTCAAAGTTGAAATAATTTGTAATGCATAAAATGCATGACCCGCGGCACGTGTGTTGCAGAGCAGGCAAGTGAGGCCGATTGTAAGCCTGTTTGGGGTTACAGCTCGAGCTGCTAAAGTAGCATGAGAAAGTCGCCCTTCTTTGCCTAAACAGCATGACAGAGTGGATTTAGGGACCACCGAAATTTGTCTTGCGCCACTTGGAAACTGGGTTCGTTCCAAGTGGCATCCATTTTATGCATCACAAATCATTTCCACTTTGAGGATTTCCATTCTGAGGGTGTCATACTGGGTTCCGAAAGACAAAAACCAGCAAAGTCTGATCCCGGCGGACTACAAGGGCGGGCAGGTGGAAGGAATATGCATTGCAACAGTATCGTACTGGTAGTATGAATCGCATTACAAATTTGCTCAACATGACAAATCATGGAACTTGTCATGCTAAACTACCTAAGAACAAGAAACCAGGCTTGTCATGCTAGTTTGGCATTTAAGTATACGAATACGATACTTTTGCAGTGCATAAGGAAATCCCCTCGCGAATTCGGAGTTGGTACTCTACGCATTGGTGATCCGGGACCCGTGCGCGGCGCATTCGGAGCAGTCACACGCAAGGAAGAAGCTGCATTGGCTCACTGGAGATGGCGAAGATGATGAGAAGAGCGAGACGAGCAGTAGTACAACTGCAACTGGTAGTGGCACGACTTCTTCTTCGCAGAACAATAAAAACCATCGAAAGGCTACGGAAAATAAAGTGGAAGAAAAACTGGACGTCATGATGGCAATGGCAGGAACATCATCTTCAAAAAAGCAGTACAGCCCGGCTCCGGCGATCCTCTGCGAAGACGATGCGAAAAACCCGGGGAAGAAAGGTTTAGAACCAGAAAAGACGGAGAGGAGTGAAAACGGTTTTGTGGTCATTGGCCTGTACTTCCCGACAAGTTCCTCTTCTTCTAACAATGCTGCAGCTTCCTCCACAGGTACTAGTACTAGAGCCGACGGTGGTGCGGGACGAGTGGCGGATGATGCTTCAAGGACCGCAGACGAAGCTTCGAGTGTGGAGGAATGTCAGCAGCGGCAAGCCGGGGGCTGTGCCACCAGCGGCATGGGAGCCATTTTCATTCAGGCCGCCTGCCTCGGTTTTGCGCCTGACGCACAGATTACCGCAACAATCGCAGACGATTTTTGGACCATGCCGAAAGCACAATGTGAATCCAATCTAGCCGACAAGTGTTTCGACAACAAGAAAGAGGGCCAAGACAGCGGCTCTCAATTTCTGGAACTAGACCACATGAATCTGGCTAGCTACCACATCGCTGGGAGGGCGCATCTGGTAAAAAAAGGAGGATATTTTGTTTTATTTCGCGTGATGTCCTGCTGGAGGAGTGCTTCGACTTCACATATTACGGCACAAAAATTGAAATTCTGCCTTGCATATTGTAAGTACATAAATTATGAAAATCCGATCAACCTACAAACACACGACGACCACCAGGTGTACCAAAGCACTCCTTCCCGTGCCACTGTCGTTCTTCGCGGAAAATCTTCTACGCAAAGCAAGACACTCGTCGAAACACAACTCGCCCAAGCGTCGTCGTTGTTGCAGGACCGGACATTGTTGAAAGAGCATCGCGTACGGAAAGAACTTTCAGAAAAGAAGATGGCGACCCGCTATCCAGGGCGGATTCGGACGAACATACAGAATTCCAACCCAGAGACGCCCGCCAGTGTGGTGAGAGGGGAGACGAAACTGGCGAAGGAACATGAAAATAAATACGAGAAGGCGATGACCACAGGGGGACCCCAAGCCGAAGCAATAAACCAGCAAGACGCTCCTGCCGGAACATCAAGTGGTGACATCAAGGAAAACGAGTTTCTCCGAGGACGTAGAGGTTTGGCGAAGGACACAGTTCTTAGGAGTGGCTTCGACATCAAACAAGATGCCCGCCATCACGACGACGACCTCCGTGTCCGTGCAGCGGAGTATGATGCAAAAGAATACTATGCGCAACCTGCCTCCACCTCATCCAGCGACACCCGCAGCACCTTTTTCCACGGAGTGAAAACAAGCCTCCCCGCTTACTGGCTGCGGTTCCTGACGAGGTCCGGAAATAAGAACAAGCATGAAAACAACGAAGAGCACCAGAACAACAAACAGAGACAGAGAGCGACCTCTTCTGCCGAGGACAAAGTAGATCTTCATAGAACTTCCGCCTCTATATCGTATCTCCACACCCTCGTCTACTCTCTCCCTACCGGCTGTGGGACGACGACCAATTCGGGCGAAACTACAACTCTCGAGCAACAAGCTGCCTGTTTCGAGAAGTTCACAAAACAAACCCTGACACCGACCCTGAAGAACCATTTATTTCCATCTGACGGAAATAAAGTAGCGAAGGAAGCGCTGGAGAAGGTGTTTCTGCTGTTCGACGAAGGTGGATCGTCTTCAGCAGGCGCTGGTGACCGTCGAGTAACTTTCCGCGTTTTGGAATTAGACGAGGAAATCATGTTTGGGGATGCAAGCAAAGAGTTATGAAATGCAAATATGTCTGGGTCTGGAAGCATGGAACTTGTCATGCTGTTTTTGGACTCTAAAAAAATTTGTATTGCATGACCAGCAAGAGGGGCACAGTTTGTGCTACACGGACAGGTGCATCAGGAAGCCCTCTAAAAGTCTGCGATGCTAGGTCATGCATTACAGGCGTCATGGGTCGTGAGAAATATGCATGACTAATCTTGTGCTTTTCTTCCAGACCGAGACACTTTTGCAATTCATAAGAGTTGTTCATGAGCAACCTTTATGTACAACCGGAAGGCAGCAGCACTAGTGGTCCCGGCGATCCAGCTTTTTTTCCTCCATCCAACACCGACGATTCTTCCTCCGAAACCGAGAACACGTTCCTGTTGCTCTTCTTCATCGTCGCAGCCGGGCTCGGCCTGTACGGGTTGCTACGGCGACGGATGCTGAACATCGGGAAGATGAACGTGCGAAGATCTACTTCAAGCGGGCAGTTGGCCGGGACTTCGAGCAGCGCAAAGTCTCCTTCCTGTGCTTCCAAAAGCAGTGGAGAATCGAGCACTGCGCCCATGGTCGTGCAGATGAAGAAGACGAGGAGCAGCAGCGGTGCTGCTGGTCGAGGTGGAGCTGGTTCGACAAGTAGCACAGGCGCGTCCGTTATTGGGCGTCGCGAGGAGTAGCAGGGGTTGAAGCGGGTGGAGTTGTGAAATGAGGATTGAGGCGCAGCAGCAAATCAAAAACAGTGGAAGATGATGAATAAACGAGATCGAGATATTGAAAGAAATGATGCGTACCAAGTATGATCATAAATGATCGCTCCCTAGTACTACTACAGCCTTGTTTTTAGTGGGGACCGAAAGTAGAAGAAGATATCGAGAAGCATGTTGTTTGTGTTTGTAGATTTTGGTCCTCGTCCAGGACACACAAGGCGACAAAACAAGGCCAACAGATGAACGGCGGACACAGAAGTTTTAGCGCAAGCGAAGGGTGTATGAATGTTGTGGTCACGCGGCCATGCATGCGTCGCTGTTGTGCTCTTGTCACCGCGCAAGCGCAACAAAATTGCAATTTTTACTAGGTAAACAACGTAGTTTTGATTTGAAAGCTGCCTTGGGAACAAGTAAGTAAGTAGATGCTCCAGTCTGGTGCGCTAATCAATCCTGCTCCAGGCCGCGCTTCCAGCGAACAACAGAAAACCAAGAGCCTTAGCAAGGGCTAGGTACAACCAGATAAACGAAGCAAGAGGGTGGAGGAGGAGGAGAGACAGAGCGAAGAAATGAGCACAGCCCCTGTAAATATCGGGGAGCAGGAGTGCCAGTAGGTGTGTATGGTAGAGGACGAGTGGGCCGCCGCGGTCTGGACACCATGCAGGCGAGACCTGCCCACCTGCTGTGATTATTTATGCGTTTTACGGGCAGCTGCACATGCTACGCCGTGCTTACCAAGGTAGTATGTAACAAAGTTGTCCTTATTTTGTTTCCAGCACCGCGCACGGGCACGACATCATGTCGCGGCATTCACGGCACATCCCGTCCTGGCTCGTCTCGTTGCCGTTTGCCTTGCGTCATGAGCTCCTGTGGTCTCGACAGCTTGTCTATCCAGGAGAAAACACCCATCCCCAACCAATTTTTGCATGACAAACACTGGAGCTTGTGCATGTTTTGCATGACACATTGGATGGAGGTGGGTGTTTTTGTCTGGATATTGTCGCCGCGCAGGACGACCGAGTGGTGGTGGAGCCCAAGACAGGCTCGGCGCCGCCAGAGCAGCAGGCCGGCGGTGCTGGATCTGCACCTGAGCCACAACCAGAAAAACTCGTGCTCGTGGATGCAGGAGCGGAGGCGAAAAAAAGGGCGGAGCTATCCGTTGTGGATTTGAGTACAAAAATCACATTCACCGCAGCCACGTGCTCAATTTGCAAATGCAATTCGCAATCGCAACGCCCGCGGAAGATCAAATAAACGAAGCAAAGTAGTAAGTACGTAGTTGAGTTCAGATTTCATCGCATTGCAACATTGCAGATTGATGCGAGGTCGTTGCGGTGTAACCGTGATCCCGGTTTTCCCCTGGAGAAGAATGCGACCAAGCGGGTTTCACCAACGACGCCACTGGAGAGTGCATCAGCCAGGGGTATGACACAGTGTTCGACACTATCACAGCAAAAAGTGTCAACGTTAACTGCATTTGTGATGCAGTAATATGCATCACAAAACCTCCTGCCCAAAATTTGCCATGCATAGAATGCATGCTAGGCAAAATTTGCCATGCATATTTGCAATCTATGAAAACCGTTAGCGTTTTTGTTTGATAGACACCGCGCACGGCAGCAACCGCAACGCCGCCTCGCACTTGTGGGTCTATCCTGTGCAAAAGTATCGTATTCGTATTGCAAATCTTGCATTACAAATCTTTTTGTTAACTCAAATCCGCATTACAAAATTTATTTCTCATGCGGAGAAAATTTGTAATGCATTCATACGAATGCGATACTTTTGCAGTTCATAGGGTCACCTATCTGACAAACAAGTTTCGGGACGAGACCATCGAGTCGGCGGAGGTGTATCTGCGGCAAATGACGAACTTTTGCCCGGTGTCGGGCTCCCCGCTGACCAACGGGGGGATGCAGTTGCAGTACTCAAATTTGATATAGTACCTACAAGAAACTTGCGGTGACAGTAGTTCTTGGAGGAGTTGCTACTTGTGCTTCTTCTAGAGCTTCAACTTCTCCATCTCATCGTAATTTGATGTTGTAGAAGATGATAGTAGGACAAGTCTTGCTCCTCAGAGTCAGAGTTTCGGATTGATGTTGTTGTACATCCTTTTTATCATTCTTCACCCAATGCAGGTGGACCGCGCCGGCAACCGGTTCTGCTGGTTCCTCGTCTTCCACCTACGGCATCCAACCCGCAGCGTCGGGTGTCACCGTACCCGGCGGCTACTCGCACCACTGCTGCGTGCTATGCATTGCAAATCTGTCTGGGTCTGTGCGATATTCATATTTGTTTTTGTATTTATTGCAGCACTCGCAACATACGCATACCCCTGATGAACCCTGTGATGCATGTTGTGGAATAGCGCCAACCCTCTGTCATGCAGGGACGCGATATCTGATGCGGGTTACGCACATCAACCACAACATAGCGGCTCATAATTTTTTTCCTCATGCGTGGCGGCGTATAATTGAAATCGGTTTGCGATGCATGTACTAGCATCCCAACTTTCACCAGACCCTGACGTATTTGCAATCCATGCGTGCCCTGCGTTTGCGATATGAACACGCACGTGCGCGTGGATGAGTGGACGCCCAAGAACAAGGACAACGTAGCGCTGCTGAAGAACCACGGAACGGTAAAGGATAAAGAGGCAGCTGGCACGGTGTACGCTCTTGTGATTCGGGACCCCTGCGCAGCGAATAAGAACGACTCCGCAAAAGCAAAACTGGCGAAATTGACGGGCGGCCCCGCGCCGGCAATCATCTGCGATGGGGAAAAATTTTATGCAATACAAATTTTCCGTACATGTACAAAATGCATCACAAATGTCCCCAATTTGGAGTGTGATGAAACTTGTCATGCTAAACTAGCATCGAAGCCAAGTTTTGTCATGCAGAGACCGCATTTGTACGTCTACGTGTACAGGAAATTTACTGTGGAGAAATTGAAGGCCGGCGAAGTGGAAACTAGCGACAACGGGTTTGTCGTCATTGGTCTCTACTACACCCAAGCCGCTGGCTATCGCAAGAAAAAAGTGTTACAGTTACACACTGTCTTGCAGGTCAAGCAAGACAGAAAAGCTCTGTCATGCCGGATATGCATAGGAGCCTCTTTTCATAGGTGTTTTCCCGTAGGATTTCTGCATTCCAGGTTTTCTCTCTCATGCAGGGACATTTGTGTTGCTGAATTGCCTACAGATGTGTAACGGTAACACTTTTTTCGTGGGATACTGGCCAGTCCGAAACTGCGGAGGCCGCGATGCCGCAGACCGAGTGCGCCGCCCGGTCCTCCGCTGGCTGTGCGCAATCCGGGATGGGAGCCATTTTTATACAAGTATTAAACTAACAGTACTAGTAAGTACACGTCGCCTGCCTTCCTGTTGTACCGGTTTTTGTGGAGGTGAAACTACAAGCGTGACAAACTAGATTACGACACACGTATCAAACACCGAATACTCCTTACTCATGCAAATGAACATGCACACCGAATACTCCTTACTCATGCAAATGATCATGCAAATGAACATGCACACCGAATACATCATGCAAATGAACATGCACAACATGATGGTTTCAGGCCGCCTGCTTGGGTTTCGCCCCAGATGCGAGTGGTGCTGCAACGGCACAGAGGAGAAAAGCTACAGGCTCAGACAGCTTCTGGAGCATGCCCGACGAATATGAAAGTGCACAGCTTTCCCTTCTCCTCATCTGTCATGCAAAAAAACCACCTTTTTGCTTTTGCCTCTTGGCACTGTTTGCATGACAGGTTCTGGTACTAGCGGCCCAAACAGCATTTAGAATGATCCTGGACGAATTTGTGATGCGAAACCGGCATAATTCTTACTAGCGCTTGTATTGCAGGCCATGCGGACGGGGCGGGTTCTTGTGCACTCTCATAACGAGTGCGCAAACCAACTGAAGGACGAGTGTTTCAACGACCACTCGAGCTCTTTCCTTGAGAAAATGGACCTGGATATCCCAGAGAGAAAACAAAAAGCAGGCCGGGCATATTAGTTTTTAATGCAAAAATCGATACACGCAAAGTCTCTTCTCATGGGCGGCCCCATAGCATGCTGCTTAAGATATGCAATGCAGTATTCATTTTTGCATTACAAAGAAATTTGATCCTGCCTGCTTTTTTCTGTGTGATACTGGAGAAATTGAACTTGGCGGCCTATGAATTCGCGGGCAGGATGCATAAGGTACTTACAGCTTTATTTGGTGATGTAGAAAATTGAAATTCTGTTTCTGCATTGCAAATCTATCCTAGTAGTTGCAGTACAAATTTTGTCAAGCGGAAAAGCGGAATTCAATGTGTAATGCTGGTTCAGATGGGAAACTACTTACTTGCATAGCTGGAAATTCTACGCCAGCGTTTGTTTTGCATTGATTAGTTGTGCATGATAAAAACTCCACGGACGATGATCAATTCTTCGCAGGAATAAATCAAAGCTTATTGTCCTCTCTTTACCTGCTCAGGCCTTTCAAAGCCACATCACCCACGCGGCGGCCGTCATTCGGGGAACGAGTTTTATGTATGACAGTGCACAACTCCCGCTCTCCCTCATTTGTCATGCGAAATACCCAACTCCACGCTTTCCCTCCTGTCACTATTATGCATGACAAGTTGTGATAGCCCAAATAGCACTCTACACTCCAGTGCAAATTTGTCATGCAAAACCGGCACTCTTGCTGATCCTTGGTTGTACTATTGCCGTTCATGCAATACAAATGGGGGGGGAGGGGGAGTTGTGCACTCTCATATTATGCAGAGCAAGGACAAGATCGCGGCAAAACTTGGGGTATGATCTGCAAAAGTATGGTACTGCTCGTACTAGCTGTATTGCAATACAAATTAGCTCAGCATGACACATGGAATTTGTCGTGCTGATTTACTTAGCTTGAGAAAGAATAAGAAACAGAAACTTGTCTTGTATGACAACTGCGATTAGTACGAGTACGCTGCTTTTGCACAGGATACGGGGAGGCCAGTTCTCTGCTGGATGGCAACCGCCAACTGCTCCGCGAGCACCGTTATCAAGTGCAAATACGTAGTATGGGTCTGGAACATCATGACAACTTGTCATGCCAAATCTGAGTCATGCAAAATTCTGTGTTGCATGCTTACAAAAAGCCGTCCATTTATGACCAAGTATGACGAATTTGCAATCCATAACCGCGTCTCGAAGCCGAACGCGAACCATTTTCCGGGAAAAATCCTGCCGGCGGTGAAAAAGACCTCCAAAACTTCATCTTCTTCCACGCAGAACAGCGACGGCAGTAGCAACCTCGCAGACGACGAAAAATCCGAATTTTTGCGCGCGCGGCAGCTGGGCATCAAGTCGAGTAGTTCGAGTCGAGCATCTTCTACCCGCCATTCCGCGTGGATGCTGTTTCTGCAGAAAATTGCGTTCGGGACGAACAAGTTAACAACCACAGCACGACGATCGAGATCGTTGACGAAGTCAACTACATCCGGAGATAATGACAGCAGCAGCAAAGACAATGACAATGTTGACAAACCCATTTACCACCACACTCTCGTGTACTCCATCCCCACGAACTGCGACAAATCTTTACCCCCTTCGGCGACGCGGGAGGAGAAGGAACTTTGCTTCAACAAGTTTGTCGAGGAAACTTTGAAGCCGACTTTGGAACAGTATCCACAATAAGTTTACCGTACACGTACAAATGCGGTCTCTGCATGGCAAAACTTGACTTCGATCCTAGTTCAGCATGACAAGTCTCACACTCCAAATTGGGGAAATTTGTGATGAATCTTGTACATGTTGTGCGGGAAATTTGTATTGCATAAACAGCAACTACTGTTCACGACGGATGAAAGTGAAAAGAAACAAAATGATTTGGAAAAGATCTTTCCACCGGAATTAGCGGGTCGTGACAACACGAAAAACAAAAAGACGACGAACAACCTGTCGCTGAGAGTGTTGAAGCTGGGTGAAACCATCATGTTTACTGCGGAAAGGGAGGAGAAGGAATTGTTCATGACCGAAGTCGGGAAAAACGACGAAGAGGGATCAACTTCCAGCAACACGGCAGATGACCTGGAAAACACGGTTTTGATGCTCTTCTTCGTCCTCGCGGTGGGATTCAGTCTGTACTTCCTGCTGAAGAGAAGGTTCGCGAACTTGATCAGCGGTGGAGAGGGTGCAAGCAAAAACTACATCTTCGGAGCTTCTTCTTCTTCCTCTTCTTCTGCCGCGGGGTACGGGGTTGATGACAAAACATCCTCTGCCGGGGCGGGGAACAAGTCGCCATCTCTTTCGTCCAAAAGCACGAGCAGTGGCGAGAGTACGGCGCCCATTGCGAAATCGATGGTGACAGGACGATATGAACTGCAAAATCATCGTACTAGTAGCTGTAATTGCAATACAAATTAGCTCAGCATGACAAATTGAATTTGTCATGCTGTTTAACCTTGGGATGGAGATTTGTAATGCAGGACTGCGATTACTACGAGTACGATACTTTTGCACAGGATAGACGAAATGGAGGGACGAAGCGGGAAGTTTTAGCAGGGAAGAAACATCTCGGCGGCCCGGGGGATCAAGAAGCGGTATGGATTGCAAAAATGTCTGGGTCTGGAAGAATGCAGGAGTCTGTCATGCAGATTTTGCATGACCCATGAGGTCTGTGATGCATGCCCTAGCATCAGAGATTGTGCGAGGGCTTTCTGATGCTCATACCGCATGAGAAATGCCCTCTCCGCGTAGCACAAATTACACCTCTTTTGCTCTTCATGCAATACAGTTTTTATGTAGATTCCAAAAGTAGCATCACAAGTTGTATCCTTCCAGACCCAGACACTTTTACATTTGATAAGCGGCAGTGATTGGAAACACGAATGTGGTGCAACGCAGTGAGACCCAGCGGATCGGTGGGGCGGAAAGTAAAAATCGCCTTTAAGAAGGTAGGAAAAGGAGGGGCGTTGTAAGACGCCGAACCGACGAGCCACGCGTCCATTGAACCGGGCCACACTTCAAGTAGTATAAAAATCTTGTGATGGTAAAAGCAGAAGGAGTAAGTGGCACAAGCTGTAGATGAATTCCGTTGAAGATGCAAACTCGTGGCGAAGGAGGTCGAGCAGTATCAATGTAGAGAAGTTGTAGATGTATCAAATGTAAAAATGTCTGGGTCTGGAAGAATGCAACTTGTAATGCGTATTTCAGAACACAGAAAAGTCTCTCATGTATACGTAGCAAAAGCTCCCACTTTTTGTCAGAAAAATAGGGGACTTGTCATGCGGATTCGGCATTGCGGAAGGTTCTCGAAACCTGTGATGATAGAGCTTCCATGCCAGACCTTCTGTGTCATGCAAAAACAGCATGACCCTTTCAGACCCAGACATTTTTGCATTTCATAAGATGAATTCCGTTGAAGATGCAAACTCGTGGCGAAGGAGGTCGAGCAGGGCCTTCTGAGTATCTTTTCATCAATTTCTGTTTCAGTTTTGACGTCGTGTTTCGACTTAACAAGTTTCGAAGACGTCGTGTTTCGACTTAACAAGTTTCGAAGAAACCGAATCATTTTTTGCAGGCAGTTGCTAAATCCTTATTAATTTGATGCCGTTTGGAGGTCGACCTATCGCTGTCGATGTAGTTTTTGTTTCTTTGAACTTACCCGAGGTTTGATAAAAGGCTAAGGCGTATTACAGGTACGTAGAACTCAAAGTAGTTCCGGAAATTTTTTTTTCTCGGCGCGGCTTCGACCTAACCTATTCGATTGCGCTACAAAAATCTCTTGATTTTCATCTTGATTTAAGGGTTTCATTTCAACAAAATTGAGATTCGGATCATTTTTCCAACCGTGATCCTACGAATGAGCAATGTAGATTTGCATTTGCCACCAATTTGGTATGAGCTTGTTGGTTCATTTGTTTGTACGTAGGTGTCGTAGTTACCAGATTCTTGTTGAGTGCAGCGGTATTCGTATACTTTCAAAAAGGTGTTAGAGGAACAGCAAGCGACACGCAGGTTGCTCGCCTCTCCGGCACAGGTGCGTGCAGTCGTAAGGAAGACTCATTTCACTGACAGATGTAGTTGTGCATGTTGTCCAAGCGGCGGTCCAAAGAACCAGTGCGTGTGCGCAACTACTTCAAGAAGATAAAAACAAATGACACGACGCTTGATGAGTCAGATTCGGTAGTAGACGTAGTTGCCCAGCATAGTTCCAGGTCTGAAATTTGGTGATTTCCCGGTTCTTCTTCCTGCTTGTTTCTCGGTTATTTTCTTCTACGTCTTCAACCGGCACTAGTCTTCAACAGGTTATGTCTTCTATGTCTTCAACAGGTCGTATGTGTACGCGCAAGGGAGGACATTATTTTTAACTGAGCGAAAATACAGCAAAACGGACAGGAGGGTACAACGGGTAGTTTGGAAAGAAGTAAGAAAGGGCGGCGCGGGGAGGTTGAGCGCAGCATATAAGCAGGAGACGCAAATTTATGTTGGATTTGAATTTACGTAGAAGTTGTAGAGGGCTTGTTCAACCACCAGAACCCGTCGTCATTGTGAAGGAGCGGCTGCATCCGAGGACCGGGAAAACAGAAAGTGCTCTACTGCAGCTCGCTGTGGAGTACAACAAGGTTTTAAAAAAGTGCTAGTTGTCTCTTAGCAAAAAATCGAACGAAAGTGACTGCAAAAAAGAGAATATTTATATAATGTTGTAACGTTTTGTAGTACTATGCTGCGACACGACAGACACTGTCACTGAGACAATCGATAACCAACCAGCTGGCGGAGTAACAGCAGGAGCACCATGTCGACCTCGAACACCCCAATTCTCCGGGGGAAAAACTCCCGCCTTCCCAAGCAGCTCCCCAGCCTCGAATATCAAATGCAAATATGTCTCGGTCTGGTAGGTTGCAACTTGTGATGCTGTCTCTGGATTCGAAAAAAATCTATATTGCATGACCAGCAAGAAGAGACCAGTTTGTCCTACGCGGACAGGGCATTTCTCATGCAGAATCAGCATCAGGATCAGCATCAGGAAGCCCACCTCTACAACTCTGTCATGCTAGGCCATGCATTTTTACAGGCATCAGGGGTCGTGCAACATATCCATGACAAACCTAGCAACTTTCCAGACCCAGACATATTTGCATTTGATATCGAATCCACCCCGACGGCGGCAGCACTGTTGGACAATCTGCCCACTCCTGCGAGGGCGGGTACTACGGGGGGAGTTCGTCGGGCGAATAACAACAACAATGTTCTTGGGGCAGCAGGAGGAGCTGTGCCGGCTTTTTTTCCGCGGCACCAACTGCAAGGAGAGCCATCCGCTGTGCAGATGTTGAACGCTGCAGCGCCAACTACAACGGAGATTAACAACGCGAGTGGAGGTGCTGTTGTACTTGGTGCAGGAGCTGCAGATACTCTATTACAAGAGAACTCCGCCGGCTTCTCCGGCGACGCAGCTTTTTCGCAGACGCAGACAAGCACAGCATCTTCAACTGCTGGGCAAGGAAGTAGTGGAAACACAGTTGTTGACGAAGGAGATCAGGAAGAAGGTCGCAACAGCCGCAATCCAGAAAATCTGCTCGACATCCACTCAACAAATATTAACCAGACTGCCAGCAGCAATCCGCTCAACTCATCCAAACACCTCCGGCCGCAGTCCTGTTTTTCTCCCGGCGGGGGTATGAAATGCAAACGCATCGTACTAGTATAAATTGCATTTACAAATTGACTTAGCACTACAAATGAAATTTGTAATGCTGATTTACCTTGAGAAAGAGATTTGTAATGCATAAATGCAATTGCCACGAGTACGAGACTTTTGCACAGGATAGGGGGCGTGGTAGGGGAATTCGGACTAGAAATCGGCGACACGACAACGATATGCAATGCAAAAGCATCGTACTAATCTAAATTGCATTACAAATTGACTAAGCATTACAAATTGAATTTGTAATGCGGATTTGCCTTAACAAAAAGATGCAGAACCGCAATTAGTACGATTACGATACTTCTGCACTGCATAAACGACAGCAGGAGCAGCTTTCGGCGCCGGAGGTGGCGGAGGTTTCATGTTCGGCTTACACGGAGCAGGAGGTGCAGGACATCAGTTTCTACACCACAACTCGCAGGACGACGCTCCTGATGAAGTCTTGGCGCAACAGCGGAAGGAAAAGCTACTCCGCACGGGCACTCTGCTATCGCAAGAAAATAAAACTGTTTCACTGTAAACTTGTAATGCAGAAAATGCTTCGCAAAAGTGTTTGTCTTTGTGTTGCAGCTACACATGCAAGACAAGAAGTGACTTTTGGCCGTGTTTTCCCGTAGCATCCTCACATGGCAAGTTTTCTTTGTCAGGTGTAAGTAACGATCTTGTGATGCAAAATTTGCAAAATTCTTACAGTGAAGCACTTTTTTCGTACGATATCTGCCGGAAGAGGATGAGGAAGCGCTGCCGATCGGGGTGAAAAAAGCGATGAAAAAGAACGCGACGGCGAGGGGTTCGCCGAAGAAGAAGAAACCGAGCAGCTGCGGCGTGGATGGCAAAATAAACGACCACAGTCGTCGTGTCAGTGAAGATTATAACACGACGATCAACTCCTACTCCATGATCTCGTCGTCCCCCTCCAACAAAGGTCGTGGACCTGCGCTGTCAACGACCGAAGCTGGAAGTACAAGAATTAGAGTATCGGCGAGGAACAGGTCCTCGGCTGCACTTCTAGCGGCACGACTGTGCAAAATTATCGTACTCGTATAAATGCCAGACTAGCTGCATGAGCATGACAAATCTGGTTTCTTAGGTAATTTAGCATGACAAATTCAATTATTCATGCTGAGCTAATTTGTGATGCAATTTATAGCTAGTACGATGTTGCTTTTGCAGTGCATAAGCGGCACTGTCCGACGAAAGTAGTGAAGACGAGGAGGCGGCGGCGTTTCGGCGGAAGGCAACTCAGTATGGATGTGTCAGGATCGAAATCGACAAAGTTGAAATAACTTGCAATGCATAAAATGCATGACGCGGAATATGTGTGCTGCAAAGCAGGCAAGTGACACCGATTGTAAGCCTGTTTGGATTTAGAGCTCGAGCTGCTAAAGCAGCATGAGAGAGTCGGTCTTCTTTGCTTAAACAGCATTACAAACTGGATTTAGATAGCGCCAAGATTTGTCATGCGCCACTTGGAAACTGGGTTGCAACTGGCATCCATTTTATGCATGGCAAACCATTGCAACTTTGTCGACTTCAATCCTGGCACACCCATACTCAGGCGGAGTTGGATATACAGCAACTCCTGCTTGGAAACAAGAAAGGTGACGACGGTAGTAGCGCCAATAGAATTAGAAGCGGGCGCGGGCTGCAAAATGATACTGGCATGGACCGCGGCTCTTCGGAAGATGAAGATGAACAAACTGGAGCGGATAAAAAATTATCAACATCATCAAACCCGGCACGCCACAACAACAAGCTGGCGACGATGAAGGCGAATTCTGTCGTCTCCAACGGTAGTACTAAGTTAAGAAGCAATTTCTACGGCTCCCCCCACAGTGCAAGTACAACTGCGGGCGAAATCAACATCCGCTGGAAGGAGCCAGGACGTGGGTCGAACAAGACAGCCGCCGTCAACGGGAGCAGTAGTAGTAGCAGCTACGAAAAAATCATGAGTGCGAGCGGGACGTCGAAGATGAAATTGAAAACGAGCTTGAACACAACTTCTACGGAAATAGACCAGCTTACCACCGCTCGTCCCCGACCCAGAACGATAAAGGTTCTTCCGTCTACTTCCGCCACACCCACCTCAGGAGACGCTTTGGGAGTAGTTCATGGAAGCAGTAGCAGTGGTACTGGTAACCTACGTAGCCGTTCCTCGTCCAGCTCTCAGCCCTCTACTGCGGCGCAACTACATCAAGCACAGCAAATATCAACCAAAGACCAGCTCGAACAGGAGATGCTCGAAAACGACCTGTCGCCGGAGAAGAGCAAAAAGGTGGACTCGTGGCTACGGGGCATTATCCTGTGCAAAAGTATCGTACTCGTAGTAATTGCAGTCATGCATTACAAATTTTTTTTCTTGAGGTAAATCCGCATGACAAATTTCATTTGTTGTGCTGAGCGAATTTGTAATGCAATTACTACTAGCGCGATACTTTTGCAATGCATAGGTATGGCGATCGAGCAAAAACGATCCGAACGGATGAAGTTGCCGAGCTTTCAAGAGTCGGCCGCCCTGTCGAGGAAAGACTCACTGGGAAAGAACGACCTGAAGTTGAAGCAACTCTGCCCGGAGGAGTTCGTGCGGAAGTTGAATTCCCGCTACGAATCCAGTACGCATTGCAAATATGTCTGGGTCTGGAAGAGTGCAAGACTTGTTGTCATGCAGAAACTCCATAACACACGAGGTCTGGCATACAGGGCCCAGCATGACAGATTCTGTGAGATATAATCCATCATGTATGACGCCTCTCCTGCATGACAAACTGCCTCTGGACTTGGGCAAAACGTCGGGATGACTTTTGGCAATCATGCAACACAGATTTTTGTGCAGGATGCAGACTTAGCATGACAAGTTTCCACTCTACTTCCAAGCCCAGACATATTTGCAATGCATATCCAGCATGAAAAACGTAAACAACCGGGACTTGGCCGAAATGGTAGTGAACAATTTAAATCTGTCCAACACCTTCACCCCAAACGAAAAAACGGTTATGAGAGCCTCAGAATGGAAATTCTCAAAGTGGAAGTAATCTGTGATGCATGAAAGACGACACCAAAAAGACTGTATTGCAGAGAACGCAATCGAGGCCGACTATTGTGCTTCTACGGCTTCAGAATTGGGCTGCTGATCAGCACGAGAGAGGGGCACCCCTTTGCCCTAAGTAGCATGACAGAGTAAGGTCGTTTTTTGCATTACAAATTTATTTCCACTTGTTTGAGGACTTTCATTCTGAGGCTTTCATAACGGTGAAGCGGCGCGAAAAGGCCCTGTTTTTGAAACACAGTGAGAAGGAAAAACTGCTGGAAGAAAGCAAGGACTACTGGGTAAACACCGCGATGTCGCCGATGAGCAATTTTGGATACCACGATCTGGACCTTGTTCCTCACGCCTCGTCGTCTTCACCGGGTGCCGGCGCTCCTGCTGCAGTAGTCGGGAACACGGAAACCGTCAACGCTAAAAATAGTGTACCAGCATCAAGCCCAGGAGGAGAGGAAAGATCGCAGCAGGAAATGTTGGTGCGTCGGGGAGAAGGTACGAGAAGTTCTAGTCCTAGTGCTGGAGGTGGTGCAATACATCAAGAAATTGACTCTGGTGCAGTTGCAGCCCCGGGAGGATCTTCGACGGGGAATGACACGAATACGATGAACAACATGACGATCAAAACATCGAGCAATGCGCTTCGTACAGCAAACGCAAAGAGAAATGTGCCGCGAATGAAACCGAGCGGAAAATTTGGTACGTTTGGGCCGAAGACCGCAAGTAATACGGTGAATGGTACTACTAGAACTGAAGCGGTTATAATTTTGAGTCCGAAAACCAAGACCACGAACAGGAACCTGGATAACGATTTTCTTGAATCTTCCAGTCGTCGCTCGGGTGTAATGACGTCCCCTGCGAGGTTGAATGCGGTTGCAAGTCAAACAAGAACAAAATCCGGTACAAATGTAGTGAACAAGCAGCTGGGAAAAGAAAATAAAAATAGCTGCTCGCCAACTTCGTGTGGGGCCGAATCACTTTCATTGAAGAGTCCTTCACGCAAGAACTTTTTCTCACCCTCACGCACAACAGGAAGTTTCTTCCTCGGTGCCCTTTCTCCGACTTCTTGTTCGCCTGGCTTCAATACCACGCTCTCCCCCAGCAGCATGACGTCCCCGACGAGCGCCGGGCTGACTAGGCCGAGTTGGCTGGGACGGAAACGGATTCTCGACCCGGAAAAAGATCCGGTGTACATCCAGCATCAGTGCAGCGCAAAATGGCTCAAGCTGATTACGGTGATTCACTGCTTCCAGCACGAGTTCAAACAGCGGCTGCTCTTTTTACGGAAAATCCAACTGGCCGTGCCCCCGAACCGGAATGGCGACGCGGACGAGAAACTATTCTCGAAGTACTGGAAAAACTACGACATCGAGGACGAGACCACGATAGTACTGTCTTCAACAAACGACCACGATGAAGAAGAAGACGAGTCGTGTGAAGTACAACGTGGGGATGAAGAGCAGTCCACTACCTCACACACCGTACCAGCAAAACAAGATGACGAGCAAATGATAAATAAGAACACCGGGGGCAGCGCAAAAACAAAAAGTAGGGATGAGCAAGAACATGACTACAAGCACAACTACGTCCAGCACGAAGCAGGTCGTGGTGATTATTTCGTACACGATGAGGAACCACTAGATGAGACCTTTTTCGTGGCGAAGAGGTACCTGCTGCTTTTGCCGATCCGTATCAAGTGCAAAAATGTCTGGGTCTGGAAGATTCTGAGACTTGTTGCCATGCATGTTTTGCATGACCCAGGATGTCTGTAATGCACGACCTAGCAACACAGATTTTTAGCGGGCTCCCTGATGCCTCCTCCGCATGACAAACGCCCTCGCCGCGTAGCATAAACTAGACTCCTCTTGCTGGTCATGCAGTACAGATCTTTTTAGAGTCCAAGCTTAGCATCACAAGTTCCACCCTTCCAGACGAAGACACTTTTGCACTTGATAGTCCGCGTTTTGAAACAACAGTATGCGGAGTATCTAGAGCTGAAGAAGAGAAGAACAAATTTTTGCGACGTCTACTTCAAGCAGCCCAACACGAGCGAGAACAAAGAACAAAAAGAAAGCCGCGAAGATGAACGGGATATTATGATGAACAACGCCCACCCGACGGATCTCGTGCCGACTAGGACCACCCTGGAAGTAGATGGTCATCACGCCCAGGATCTTCATACAACTGGACGAGATGACGCAGTTCCTTCTCGTCCTCGTCTCGTCCACGATGAAAATGCAAACGACCCACCACAGGACGAGCTCGTCCGTGCAAGAGCAACTGGCTCTGCCAACAGCGCAAGAAACAACTCCAACTCGTCCACTGGCGGAACCCGAACCGGGGGCAACGACGTTGTGTCTTGTTGTTCTACCGCTCCGGTTGCGCTGCAGCTGAAACAACAAATTCATGACGGGGATGAAGAAAATGTTGACGAAAGAAAAAATTCTACGGGCTTTACTGGAGGTGTAGTTGACACCAGAAGTAATAGAAGTCTTCCTGATCATCATGACCACCCCGTTCATCCTACTTCCGGCGCGAGAACATCGACCAAGACGACGAGCGCCACGACCACGCCCTCTTCTATCCTGACCAAGCTGCGGCTTTTGAACGCTTTCCTGGTGCGGCGCTTTCTCGTGTATCCACAGTAAATATCCCGGACACGTACATCAAATGTGGTTTCTGCATGACAAAACTTGCCTCCAATCCTAGTGCAGCATGACAAGCTGGGCTCCGCAAGGTAGCGAAATTTGTCATGCATTTTGTACATGTTGTACAGGAAATTTACATCGCATATCGTGGTCCAGCTGCGGCGAAAGAGACGGATTCAGGTGGTGTACAACTGTCTGAACCACTGGAATATCGAGTGCAAATATGTCTGGGTCTGGAAGAGTGCCAGGTTTGTCATGCAGGTTTTCCATGGCCACCCATGAGGGGTGGTATGTAGGACATAGCACGACAGATTCTGCGAGAGTTCAATCATGCCTGGTCTGCATGAGAAACTACTGCCTCTCGATTAGGTCAAAAGCGCACAGCTTTTGGCAATCATGCAACACAGATTTACTTTACATGATTTTGATTCAGATTTAGCATGACAAGTTGCACCCTTTGTCTGCTTCCAGACCCAGACACATTTGCATTTGATATGGAAAATTCTCGGCAGGCTGATGCTTGCGTTCAAGCAGTATTACGCCAAGATCCGCAGAGTTCAGTCCTGTATCCTGTGCAAGAGCATCGTATTCGTATAAATGCATTATAAATTTTCTCAGCATGAGAAACAATAACAAATGAAACTTGTAATGCGGATTGACTTTAAGAAAAAGATTTAAGTATAATGCATCATGACTGCAATTAGTACGAGTACGTGTGCGATACTTTTGCGCTGCATATCCTGGTGGAAGGAAGACGCCGGGAAAAAACTAGCGGCGAAAGTCCAACGGCTGACGAATCGGTGGACCAAAATCGAGTACCAGATCGTGGAAAAAAAGTTGCTGGCTTTAGAAGACCACAGTGCGCCGGGAGCTAGTACAACTACAGTTGCGGGGGCGGATCATATCGCAAGAAAAAACTTGTAATGCAGAAACTGTATCTCAGAAGTGTTTGTCTTGCTACACATGCAAGCCAGGTGATGTTTAGCTGTGTTTTCCCTTAGGGACCTCGCATGGCAAGTCTTCCCTGTCATGTAGAGCAAACTTGTAATGCAAAACTTGCAAAATTCCTACAGTGAAACACCTTTTTCGTACGATAGATCGAGGCCGAGTGAACTACAAACAGGGCGGCGCGACGAGGAGGAGAGGGAACAACATAAAGAACTTGAACGGTAGTTCATCTGTGGCGCAAGCAAATCAAAAAAAGAACCCGATCCACCCGGGCAGCTGCAACTTCTTCTACAAGGACAACAACCACACCTCCGGAACTAGTAGTACAGTGAAGCTTCGCAATTTTAACACGTCCCTAGCTGGGGGCTCTACTGGTGGTCGTGCTGGTGGTATGGAGAGAAAAAAGTTTGTCACAGTCACTACCTTGCAGGTTTTGCATTACAAATTTTTTCAGCATCACAGCTTTTCCCTGTATTGCAGAAACACTAGGGAAATGCCTTATGAAGTTTGGCTGTGATGCATTTTTACGCATGACAGAAAATTTTGTATTGCAAAAATGCGCATAAATGGTTGTGGCGAACTTTTTTTGTTTGATAGGTGGCGGCGCTGCAGGGTACTCGACGTCAAAAGCTGGCAACTTATCGACTTCATCCACCTCAGCGGTATCAACTGTAAAAATGTCTGGGTCTGGAAGAATGCAACTTGTCATGCTAAATCTGAAGCATGCAAAAATCTGCGTTGCATGATTACCAAAAGTCGTCCAGATTTGACCAAGTCGGGAGGGAGTTGCTCATGCAGGATAGGCATGAGAGAGATCGGACCGAATCTGTCATGCTAGGCCCTGCATTCCAGACCTCGCGGGTCATGGAAAAGCTGCATGACAAATCGCGCATTCTTCCAGACCCATACACTTTTACACTTGATAAGCGGTGCAAAGCAGCAAGGTTCAAAAGATGCTCCAATTGGATTTTTCGGAGCGCGTGCAACTAGCTATGGTCTCGGAGCCAGTCCGGACGAAGTTTATCAAGCAGCACCTGCGCCAGCTGCGGACGTCCGACTACCTGCCGAAAGTGAAAAACTGGGAGAAGGTATCACGAAGAAAAACCCCCCTTCCCCATATCAATGTCAGCTTTTTTGTCATGCTAGAAGGCAAATAAAGATGCGGACTCACTACAACTGTAGTGCTTGGTGGCGTGGGAAAGTAAGCCTTGCAGCTTCAGCATGACAGGAGACAGTGGGGAGCAGCATCATGGCAAATTGCCTGCAAGAAACGAGGCCACGACTGCGGCTCTTGGCCTTCTAGCAATACAAGTCGATTTGTGTATTCTGATACAGCATCACAAATTTCGTTTTCGATATGGGGAGGTGGGGGGAGTTTTCCTTGCAATAGAAGCTGTTCAAGATCTACCAAGAGAAGTTGAAGAGCTGGTGCGAAGATCGTATCCTGTGCAAAAGTGTCGTATTTGTATTGCAGTCATGCATTACAAATCTTTTTCTATAAGGAAATCAGCATTACAAACTTTATTTCTCATCATGCTGAGGAAATTTGTAATGCAGTTATCCGAATGCGATACTTTTGCAATTCATAGATCGGAAGGCGATTCAATTTCTGCACCAGATGCTCTCCCCGCCCGCTGCCAGCTCTGTTTCCTCGAGCGGCGGCGGTGGTGGTAGAAATAACAGCGCTCCTGCGGCTGCTGGAAATAGTACAAGTGGCAAAACAAGCAGCAAGACGAGCAATAGTACTTCTTCTGGCGCAGGCGCCAGGGCAGGACCGCACCGACGCCAGTCTTTGATCGAAATGGAGTACTTGCACTCGAAGCCGTATCCCCTTCCCACCGGGTGCGGCTTTTTTAAGCCAGAATTCGCCATTTCTGACGAGACGTTGAACCAGTGGATTATATGCATTGCAAAAGTAAAAGTATCGTACCAGTATGAATAGCATTACAAATTTCTCCAAGAGAAAAAATGCAATTTGTCATGCTGGACAAGGTAGAAAGGTAGACGTAGATGATTTGTAATGCATATGCCTGCCATTACTACGAGTGCGATACTTTTGCACAGGATAGATTACCAAATGTCGGAACGACATGCACGGAAACACCATCACGAGCATTACCCAGGCGTGCTCGAAGTCCTTCTACGGGTCTTCCTCTCGTTCCTCGTGGCGCCCGGGCAGTTATGCTGTGCAACAGTATCGTACTACTTGCAAATATGCATGACAAATATTTTTCCTAGCGAAAAGAAGCATTACAAATTCCACTTTCCTTTTTGCCAAAATTTGTCATGCATTTTTCATACTAGTGCGATGCTGTTGCAATGCATAGCAGTACTTCTAGAACAATTGGGAGCTGTAATTATCATGGGGCGGCTGCTGGTACGTCGTCTACGAAGGATGGAAAACCGAACGAAGAAGATTCTTCCCCCTCCTCCGCGGCCTCCAGCACGTCTTCAGACGATTCCGGCAGCAGTTCATCCGCGCCAGAGGATCCTGAAGACTCGGACGATCCTTCCGACGCAGAGCAGAACATCGCCGCAACTTGGTCGGGGAGCAATTGTATTAGTGATAAAAATGTACAACTAGCCCTCAGAGCTGCAGCGCCAGGGCCCGGAGCAGGAGCTGCAGCCGCATCTTCTGCGGCAACTGGTTATCCTAAGCAAAAACGTCCCCACCCCATAGTCAAGTTGGGAATCTAGCAACACAAATCCCCAAGTTTTGGGAGCTGTGCGTGACAAGTTTCCCTCTGCAGTGTAGTGCTGGTCGGCAAGGGAAGCCGCATCAGAAAGCCATTTTCTCATCCCGTTTACAGCATTAGAAATTCCAAAACACGATTGGAATTTAGAAATGCCTCCCCTGGAGCTGCGCATTACAAATGTTCCTGTCAGTGCACGACATTTGCTTTTGCATGACAACTCCGGGGTGCGGACGGGTTTACTTCGGATACTACTGGCGGTTTTTTTACCGCAGGTGGCCGTGGACGAGATCCAAGTGCAGCGGCTGGGTCTATGCACTGCAAAAGTATCGTACTCGCATAAATGCATGACAAATGTCCTCAGCATGGGAAATGAAATTTGTAATGCTGCTTCACCTTAAGAAAAAGATTTGTAAGGCATGACTGCAATACGAATGCGATACTTTTGCACAGGATAGGGTCGTCACCTGCTCGATTTTCCTCGCCGTCGCCACTCTCGATGTTGGGGGCGAACAGCATCGGTGCGGGGGGAGGGGTATGAATTGCAAAAGTATCGTATTCGTATAAATGCATTACAAATTTCCTCAGCATGACAAATAAAATCTGTAATGCTAATTTGCCTTAAGAACAGGATTTGTAATGCATGATTACAATACGAGTACGATAGTTTTGCACAGGATAAGGGGGTAGTGTCCCGTCGCCGTCGAACAAGCTGCCCGGCGCCATGGGACGCATGTTTTATCAAAGTGAAAAAAGCCCCCACCCCATACTCAAAAGGCAATTTGTGTTGCTGGATTTGTGTACACAAATAAACTTTGTATTGCGTGAAGAGCTTGCCGGTATATTCCAAGGCCATTTGGGTACTACGCATCCGGCTTGCAGCTGCGCATGAGAAACAAGTCTGACATAGGCGAAAACGCATCACAGACTGGCTGCACAATGCACCACATGGGTGCCGTTTGCCTTGTGCGCAAGACAAAGTCAATTTGTGGCCACATATCAGCATCACAAATTTCCTTTTCGATATGGGGAGGGGGGATTTTTCCTCGCGATATGTTTGCCAACCTCGTTCTCGCGGACGCGCACGACGGGACTGGCGACTTCTATGGAATCGTCAGGTTTGAAATCGACAAAGTTGCAATGATTTGCCGTGCACAAAATGGATGCCAGTTGCAACCCAGTTTCCAAGCGGCGCATGACAAACCTCGGCGATGCTTAGTTCCAGTTTGTCATGCTGTTTAGGCAAAGATGACTGACTTTCTCATGCTACTTTAGCGGCTCGAGCTCTAACCCCAAACAGGCTTACAATTGCCCTCACTTGCCTGCTCTGCAACACACGTATTTCGCGCTATGCATTTTATGCATCACAAAGTATTTCAAGAACTTTGTCGATTTCAAACCTGACGCTTCCATAACTTCATCGCGACACGCCGAAGGCCGCGAGAAGACAGCATTCTGAACAAGAAGCGGGGCTTATCAACTGCAAAAGTGTCTGGGTCTGGAAGAGTCGGGACTTGTGATGCACATTTTGCATGACCCGTGAGGTCTGTGATGCTGGTGCTAGCGTCACAGATTTTTTGAGACCTTCTTGATGCTAATTACGCATGAGAAATGCCCTCTCCGCGTGCCAAGAGCTGACTCCTCTTGCTGCTCATGCAACACAGATACTTTTAGAATCCGCAGACAGCATAATTACAAGTTCCACTCTTCCCGACCCAGACACTTTTGTATTCCATAGGGCTCCGGAGGGGAAATTTTACCGAACAACCTGGAAGAGGTTTTCCAGCAGGTCGAGAATGTTCACTTTGAATGACCGGGGTTGTTGTAAAAAAATCGATCATAGCTGCAGACACCATTTATTAAGTACTTCATCTTCGTACGACAGCGAAAAGATAACGATATGACACCAGCAAAGTGATTAATGCAGTGCAAAAATTTATTAGTAGTCTTATTTACGGTACTAGAAGATGTTACGAGTACGACGGCGACGCTAAGGCTACCGGTTTTTTTTTTTCGGAACCAACTACACGAAGATGCTGAGATTTTTGAACGACTTGCATAGAAGATACATGTTTACTTAGGCTTTAATATTGCACGATAGCCACAGCGACGGCCTACAATAAGCGGGTGGTTGCGAGGTCTTGAATCTTTTTTACACATACACGGAAAATGAACCTGAAGACGATTTGCGCAGGACCATAACCCATATGGTAAAGGGTCGCACGAGCCATATTTTATGTACGATTTCTGGGGTAAGTGTGAAGCAGGAAGATTTCATCCGATAGCAACATCAGCGTGTTGCATTTGCATTTTTGAAAAAAATGAACCTCAACAGAACTCTGGAAAACTCAAAGCGTCTTTAAGACGTGGATGTTTTTTATGGAGATTTTTGAAACATACTACATAGAAGTTCATCTACTTCCCATTGCTACTCTGTACATCAAGATCAAACTACATGACCAGAATACCCTGCAGCACCACCACACGGTTCGAAGAACACAACTACTACAAACATATTCATCATTGATGAAGTGCTGGATTTAAAAATTCAAAATTCATCGCTTCTTTGGAAAAAAAAACCATTACAAATGAAGATACAACGTACCGCCAGGAGGTCCGTTGTCGGCGTGCCACTGCCGCCAGCGACACCACTACAATTATGCGTGGGGATAATAAGTACATGTTGTGACTTCATCGGTTGTCTACTAGAAAGTTTTGTCGGTCTTGCATTTGATTACTCTCGGTGTCGGTCCTTCCACTAAGTAACTCTGTTTCGTCGTCGTGGCGCCTACGACTTATACGTGACTTCTACTTCAACATAAAGGTAAATCTGAACTCAACAGGGCCTTAACATATCTTCGGTTCAAGTTCAACAGCTGCAAGAGATGGACCACGCTCGAAGAACATCATCAACAGCCAGTCTGTCTCGCAGTCGTGTGTGCTGGCCAGCACGACCCTTTATGTTGTCATCGCTCTTCGTCGGTTTTGAGTTGAATTGTAGCTGTCGTTGTCGTACAACAAAGCAGAGCCGCGTCGGTGTCGTTCAGCACGTTATAATCAGTCTGTCGTGAAGATGCATTTGCTGAACCAAGTATTAACTTCGTTCCGTCGACCTTGCCGTACTAGTTCTTTCCATCGTCCTGATGTCATCCCTTTCCATGAAGAATAACAATAACTTCGTAAGCGTCGCTTTCCGTGCTTGCTGTCGTGTTCCAACTCGTGTAGAAGTCGTATAAATAGTGACAGCACAGCGACACCATGGGTGCCGCACGACGTTTGACGTTTCTCTCATTTTGATACTACTTGTTCAGATTTTTCTAATTGTAATCAAAACTACAGAACCCGCACGACTTTTACCACTAACACTACGTCAACCCGTGAGGACAATTTCTTTACCCCCTGCTTTCGTTTCTTTTTAATCAACCTGTTTTTTTTACAGCAAATAAAACAAAAACTTTAAGAACCACTCAGTTCTCATCAACTTCAACAATAGTTCATCTTTCAGGAGCAGCAAGAACTGGAGTTGTGAGCTGTTTTAACTTTCAGCACAACAAGAAGATCGTCTTGCTCCCCCCCCACCTACGAGGACTCCGTTTCCATCTTGAAGAAGAGGCGCTCGAGCGTCGCGATACGAAAAACCGATTTGTTCTGCGTCATACTTCCGGGAGCGTCTTACTTCCGGTAGGTCAGTTCTGCAGGAGCACTTCGAGTCCTCGGCGTCGTCCTCGTCCACCAGGAGTTCATAGGCAGGAAACAAGTGGCTGCTGTACCAAATTTTATTCTGGAGCAAGTGGAGACTCGATAATAATTTCGGGCACAAGAACTGGACGGAGGCTGAGGAAATAAACTAGAAGGAAAAGAACGCAGTCGCAGAGGATGCCGATGTGGGGTTCAATGCCATTTTTTTCCAAGAAGACGCTGATTGCGGTTTGGTGGGCCAGCCTGGTCGGGGAGGTGGAAGGTACAGGTGCTGCTGCGGGGAGTGCCGATCTTCCCGCTCAACCTGTTAATGAAGATAAGAGATTCGATCCAACAAAACCATTTAAGATCCGGTTCCCAAGGGCCAAAGGAATAATGGTTACCGAGATGCTATTGCTGGCAAGAAAAAAATCCATCGCACTAACAATCATGCACATGCGGAATCGCCGCGCACTACAAATCGTGACGCGAAACGACGAGATGGAGAACTACTCTGCATGCAGATGTGCAAGCGCGGCGCTCCTTTTCATTTTCATTCGGCTTCACGCCTGGTGCATGTTGCGACCCACTTGTCGCTTTCCTACTTGTCGCGTTCCTGTAGGCGCGTGGTGAAGTGAATACTTAGATTGATACGCACAAACAACTGCTGCAGCTGACGTCTCACGTGCAGCTGACGCAGCTGGTCGAGAACTCGCTCGCCAGCTTTCAACTTTTCTTTTTCAAATGAAATGTAAAAGTAAATTTTGGTTATGATTTTTTTTTTTTTTGCAGATGAAAAATTGGTAGTGTGGTGCGGGGAATTTTTTTCTTTCCATCGCGTCAGGGCTCTGACAACCTTCAAGCCATGTTCGATAAGGAGGCCACTTCACGTCAAGCTCAAGGAGCTCAAGATTCAGGCGCAGCTGCTGCACAAGCACTCGTGGACCTGGCCGAACAGATCGAGAGCCAGACGATGGAGATGGTACTCGTCCACCACGATGCAGCGGAGGGACAAGAACATGAAGTTCCAGGCGGGGTCCGCCACGAAGTCCCTAACGCTGATCGTAATATTTATTGGTGTGGGAAAATAATATTTTCCCACAAAATAAAGATGTTCGATACAATAGCAACAGCAGAACACGAAGAAGCTGCATCGCAAAAATGTTTGAAGATGTCGGAACCCCGCGAAGGAGATTCGGGAGACAAACGACGCGACCTACTACTTGTGCCAGATAACGGCGCCTGCTCCGACCTATGCATCGGCGGAATTGCTGACAGACCTTCTTTGAGGTCGCAATGGGAGATCGCCACGCCTAACGGCAACATTCTGGAGCGGAATGCAGACCGACGAGTCTTGGTTGCGGACAAGGACAAGTTTGACACTCTGAAGGACACGGATCTGATGAACCCAGATTCCGTCGCGGGTCTTCGCTCGAACGCGGGGGACCTTCGCCCCGCAATTCAGCTTACGAAAAGACCCCACGCAGCGGAGAATGGGTGGCCCCGCAACCTTGAGATTTTGCAGGAAAGACCTACATCAGGAGGGGATGGCGGAACGATCTGGATAGGAACCACCAGTCCGGCTCATCAAGGTGCGAACCAAATGTATTTCGCCGCACCGGCCGTTTCAGCTCCAGAGGAACCGGCAAGGGCAAGGGGCGATCCGGAACCAGGTTTGTTTTTTATCTTATGCCGTTTGACTTGATGTTGATGTTGATCTGTATTCTTGACCTTTTAGTTTTTCTCTGATTTTTGGCGTCCTCCCAGACGAGCCAGGTTTTTCTCAAAAAGAAAGGGGTCGTTGCCTGCACATCATGTTAATTTATCAGAAGGACAACTAGAGACAGGCGGAGCTGCAGTAGTATCAGCCGTATAAATATGCATAAAACTCCTATAATTTTACATGCATATTTGTACAAGCTGCACGCACTACCAATACTTCCTACGATCGCAAAACTTCAATGAGAGTGTTGCCTTTTGTTCGTCCACGTCACCCATAGTTTGATAATAATTGTTCAGAAATGAGTCACGTTCTTGTGCGTATAATTTACATATATATAATACATAAACGCTTACCTTTTTTAGAAGTCCAAGCCTACCGCGAAGCTTTATGGTCCACCTTAGTTGTGTATGTTAATGCATAAATCTAACAGGCGGAGCCGGAGGAGCAGGAGGAGGGCCAGCAGATCCAGTTCTTCCAGGTGCGAGCGTATGAAATCAATGATGCCTACTTGTGCTTTTGTTCGGCCACGCCCTCCCAGCATAATACTTATTCTTTTTTAGTCCAGGCCCACCGCGAATCAACATTGTCAACCTTAGCACGTTGAACCACAGAGCAAGCACGTGGTGCTTACTTTTGTTCGTCCACGCCCAGCATAGTAATTGTTCTTTTTTAGTCCAGGCGGCCCCCCGCGTAGCAACATGGCCCACCTGCTTTGTTAGCGTGAACCACAGACCGAGCACGTGACAGGTGGACCATTTCACTCTGCGTCGGCGTGGAAACAGCGCTAGCGGCGGGGGCGCACGGGCCGCGTTCAAGCGGCGCGCGCATAGTCGTGCCTTGATAATGGTCGGCCACTCCAGAACAAGTCTCGAGATCATAGCATGTATCCAGCGGTCTCGGGATCAGGCTTCAATAGCGCCAGCTATCAACTAATAGAGGAACACCGCGACGAGCTCGGGGCTTTTAGAAGTCCAGGGACCAATCATAGCTTTAAGCGAGCGCCATTAGATTTTCTTCCGCTTAGGGCCGCTTTCCCTCGCGCCGCGGTTGAATCGCTTCGGACGATTATATGGGCATAAGTAAAAGTAGACGCAGCGTCGAGCACTTACGTGCTGGCTGCTGGAAAATTACAAAGGCGCTTGTTGCTAATGCCAAGGGTTTTTCAAAGGGGCAAAGACGTTTAGTACAAAAATGATCCAATTCCAAATGACTATCAGGTCTAGTAGCACCACCACAAGCAGCAGCAGCAGCAGCAGCAGAAACAGCAGCGCCAGCAGCTGCTCCGCCAGCTGGGCCAGGTACTACGAGCGCAAAGAAATTAATGATGTCTTTCTTTGTTCGTCCTCGGTCATAGTAGTGATATTCCTTTTCCATAGTCCCTGCCGCTGCCCACCGCAAAGCAACATGGTCAACCTTGGAAGACCAAGCACGTGCCAGGTGGAATATGTCGCTTCGCATGTCAGAAGGAGCACTAGAGGCATGCGAAGGCGAAGCTGCAGTAGCAATTTAGCATAAAAAAGAAGCAAGAACAGGAGCAGCATAAAAAAGAAGCAGTTGTGTAAGTTAATGCATAATCAAACTAATCAGGGTCACCACCACCAGCAGCACCACCACGACCACGAACTCGAGCAGTCCTCTCCGACCAACCGGTATCCGTAGCAATAGATATAAACGACCCCTCTCATCCATTACACCCCCACTACCAATCACCAGCAGCAAAGCGAGGTGCTGCCCCTGCTCTGCCAGATACAGGTACTACGAGCGCAAAAAAGTCAATGACGTCTTTATTTTTTTCGTTCACACCTTTTTTTTATACTTTAGCAAGAGCAGGAGAAGCTTAAAAAAGAAGCAGTTGATGTATAATGTTATGTTAATGCATAAAATTAAAACTAGCAGGTGGAGTAGAAGATCCAGCACCACCACCACGACCACCACCAGCAAAACCGCCACCACCAAAACAAAAAGCGCCAGCAGCTTCTCAACCACCAGCACAGCTGGCTGGAGCTGCTGAGCCAGGTACAACTACGAGCGCAAAAAATCAATGATGTTTTTATTTGTTCGTCCACACTCATAGTAGTGATGTTGCTTTTTGATAGTCCCTGCTCACCGCGATGAAGCAACATAGTCAACCATAGGCACAGGGCGTTGAACCACCGAGAAAGCGCGTGCCAGTTGGATCATGCCGCTTCGCGGTTGGCGTCCATTCCGCAGCGTCTTTTTACAGTTCCTCTTCATGGAGGAGCTGCTGCGGCAATATGCAATACAAATTTGTCTGGCTCGCGAAAAAATGACCTTCAGAAGATCCTCCTCAGAAAGATGGTCAAGGCCACGAAGCTGCATTGTCTTCCCCAGTGTTGAAGAAGGGAGGACAGCTTGGCCTTCCAGCGGGCGTGCCTTTGTGATACTGTGCGCCGCTCTTCAGAGTTGGTAGAGTCTTTGTAGGAAAAATAACAGCTGCAGTGGCGTAGATGAGACCTGTAACGACGCTTAGGCATAGGCTTCTTCTGTGAAAATAAAAGACGCAGCGAGCAATTGCGTGCTGGCTGATGCTGACGAGATTTATATAAGCAGTGCGATCATTCATCGGAGTCGAAAAATTATATACTATACTTACAGACGGCGCTCCGGCTCCGGCTCTCACTATGCCACGACCACCACCACCACCACCACCACAAGGCCAACAACAACGACAACCACAACCACGACCACCAGGAGGAGCTGTGGAGCTAGTAGCTCTAGGTAAGAGCGCAACATGAAATCAATGATGCCTACTTTTGTTCGTCGTCGTCCACACTCAACATAACTACTATTGCCTAAATATCCCTTTTTTTTTTTATTATGTATTCCGTGAGCTGTGTCATTCTCATTGTCCGAGCCGAAAAGGCAAAGCGGAAGTGGGTTGGCATGAAGATGAATCGGCGCAAGGTGCTAGTCGTGCCCAAAGAATAACTGTGACTACCAGGCACAGGCCTGGCGTCAGCTTCTTCAAGTGGAGTGCCACAGTAACGCCAGACCGCCCGTAGTTACCTTGACGATTTCAAAACAATTCCAAACTGAATTCAAAACGCCAGGGGGGGCGCCAGGGGCGTGCTCAAGCGCGCGTAATATAGCCTTGATCATTAGAATGGCCGCGCAGGAGTAGTTGCAGTTGCCAACAAGACTGCAGACCGGGCTGAGGCTGATCTCTCTCTGCTCTCGCGCTCGCGCCTCACGTTGAGTGTCATTGTCAGTGCCTAAAAGTGGAAGTAGGTGAGCATGATGAATCGACGCAAGTTACTAGTCGTGTGGATGTGCGCACTGTTTTTAAGTAATCAAAGCCAAGAAAGCCGTGTATTGAACTCACCAAGGCTCGCTGTGAGATAATTTCCTCTTATTTGAGAAGGCACAGAACGATATCGGGTAGCAGCTGGATTAGCAGTCATTTTAGGGGTAGCTCATGACTAGGGCAAGCTTATACAACAGAAATGATCAGCACCATCGCCGAAAACAAATTTGAGCAGCAGGGTCTCAGGAGCCTGTTAGTTTTGTTACCAAGGCCACTTCTAGAATCGCATCGCAAATATCGCAATCACATCAACTACATCGATTACAGGATTGCAGACAATCCAAGAAGGAGAAGAAGAAGAAGAAGAAGGAGAAGAAGACGGGCCGGGAGGTACTAGAGTCAATAATTTGATGAGGTAGGTGGAGTAGGGGAATTAGAGTTGTGTCTTTTCAAGCCCTCTGCAGGTTCCAAGCCCTCTGCAGGTTCTTGCAGAAGATCTTCAGATACAGCAGAGTCAAATTTGCAAGTTCTTATCCACAGAAGAAATGTTAGAAGTAAACCACCGGACTGCAGCCGCTTTCGATATTCCATGATGTTGAAAGCATCGCCACACTATAATGATTTGTGAAGAGTATAGTTAAATCGCGTCGCCGCGGTCCTCTCCCACCAACCACGAAGCTGCATCGTCTTCTCCAGTGTTGAAGGGAGGACTGCTTGGCCTTCCAGCGGGCATGCCTTCGCGACACTGTGCGCCGCTCTTCAGAGTTGGCAGAGTCTTTGTAGGAAAAAAAACCGCTGCAGTGGCGTAGATGAGACCTGACGTAACGGCGCTTAGGCATAGGCTTGTGAAAATAAAAGACGCAGCGAGCAATTGCGTGCTGGCTGCTGCTGAGATTTATATAAGCAGTGCGATCATTCGGAATCGGAAAATTATATACTATACAGGCGGCGATCCGGCTCCCCTTCAAGGACAAGACGGCCCAGGTGGGTGGTTGCGGTGGCCGCAGTGGCTGCGGCTGCCGCGGTGGCGACAACCACAAGAACCACAATCAGAATCACAACCACCACCACAACCACCACAACCACTACAACCAGTACAACCAGTACAACCACTACAACAACAAGAACAACAACAACAACAACAAGGCCAACTACAACCACCACAACAACAACCACTACAACAACAACAACCAGCACAACCACAACCACGACCACCAGTTGGAGGAGCTGTTGGAGCAGTAGCTCAAGGTAAGAGCGCCACATGAAATCAATGACGCCTACTTTTGTTCGTCGTCGTCCACGCTCAGCATAACTATTGCTGATTATCCCTTTTAATTTTTTTTTGAATATTCCGTGATGGTCATTCTCATTGTCATTGCCTAAAAGCGGAAGTAGGTGAGCATGAAGATGAATCGGCGCAAGGTGCTAGTCGTGCCCAACGAATAACTATGACTACCAGGCACAGGCCTGGCGTCAGCATCAGCTTCTTCAAGTGGAATGCCAGAAGCGCCGAGCGCAAACCACAGACACTGCGACGAGCGCAAAAAAATCAATGATGTGTTTTTTTGTTCGTCCACATCCAGGGGATTGCTGATCATTCTATAAGCTAGTCCTTTGCGGCGATAGTCCATGCCAACCGCGAAGCAACATGGTCAACCTGCTTAGCGCGTCGAACCACAGACGAAGCACATGCCAGGTGGTGGATCATGTCGCAGCTTCGCGTGTCAGAAGGACTCTAGAGGCAGGCGAAGCTGCAGTAGCAGGAGCAGTATAGAAAAGAAGCAAGAACAGGAGCAGCAAAAAATAAAAGACGCAGATGTATATGATTACAACTTAAACCATAAAACACTACACAACTAACAGTTGAAGGGCCACTTCCGCGACCTCAACGACGCTTGCGCCCGCCGAAACAGTTTTCGGTCGATGGCGCACTGCACTCGCTCATCAAGTTCGGCAGCCAGGACACTACTGCGGAAAAGCTCACAGAGGTGGTGAAGGCGTACTGTGATCAGTACAAGGGACTCGACAAGCTAGTGAAAACACTCCCGGAAGACTGGCCAGAAGCAGATAATGAGCAAGGCGCCCCCGCCCCCAACCCCGACGAGGACGTGAGGTGCGACCTCTTCTCTGGCTACTTTCATGTGGGGACGCTGTCGGGCGGCAAAAGCGTGGCCGGCACCAATAAAGTCCGGGCCCTGAAGCTGTACACTGAAGACACACGACCAGCACGAGCACCGGAAGCTGCCGAAGCGGTCATTTTGGCGCCTGGGTGGGAGGTGATTGTGGCGACCCCGAGCGTGGTGGTGAACCAGAATTCTGTATCGACGGAAAAAATGTCTGCTAGATCTGGAAAGTTGTTATGCTAAAAGCGAACGGTAGGCGCAGGCCCACACCCAGTGCGATGCATCGTAAAGCCCAAGCGTGACAAACTTACGAGCTTCCATGTGTTGCGGATTCCGCGTGATGCGCTGTCCAGTTTTTGCATGACAGATAAGTAGAGGACCTTTATTTTGTCCTCGTGCCCATGCGTCACGGATTCTCGAGTTGTCGTGTCAGACATGCATGAAAAATGTAGCAATCGTCTAGACCTCCCAGACATGTTTGCATTTGATAGTATGGCAGCGGCAGCGAATCATGGGAATGGTTCTCGCTCGTCTTCCTGAACTACGCTCCGAACGATCTGAACACGGTGCGATCCCAAATTTTGAACGAGAAGTTTAGCATCACAAACCCAATGGCCCAGCCCTTGCTGGTGCCCACCCGGGACATCACGTTCTATCAACTGTAAAAATGTCTGGGTCTGGAAGATTCTGACACTTGTCATGCACGTTTTGCATGAGCCACGGTGTCTGTGATCCATACCCTAGCAATACAGATTTTTTGAGGGCTTCTTGATGCCTATTCCGAATGACAAATGCCTTCTCAGCGTAGCAAAAATTGCATTCCCTTTGGTACTCATGCAATACAGATTTTTTTGGAATCCAAACGCAGCATCACAGGTTGCATTCTTCCAGACCCAGACACTTTTACATGTGATACGTTCGAAACTGTGTTGGTGAAGCCTCCTCCAGCTGCAACAACGGAAGCTGCACCAACGGAGCCTCCTCCTGCCGCAACAGCACAATCAACAGCAGCAGCTGCAGCAGAGCCTGCAGCTACACAACCTTCCGCGCCGAGCCAAACCAGGGACGCGGTTCCATTTTCAACTGGGACTCAGTATTTCGGGGACTAGCAGCTACGATGCATGACCCGGCGCTTGCTCCCGTTAATTAGTCCCTGCCTCTTCTTCATTTTCATCTTCCACTACTGCCACTATTTCTAGATCAGCAGCAGCAGCTAGTCCCTCGCAAACCACTGATGACAATTATAACAGCTTCAACTACAGAAATCATTCTACTTTGTCATCATCGTCATCATCTTCTTCTTCTTCTTTTACATCAGCAGCGCAATCTTTTCAATCGGTTTCAGCAGCAGACAGAGTACCAATCCAGGCGATACGGAGAATGCAGGGTCGTGAAAGGATATTCTGAGGCGAAAGCGCCGAATAGAATGCAATAAGTTCATCAGGTTGCTCCCGCTGTTGCAGCCGGGGCAACTGCCGATCACCACCCTGCAGCGGGGGTTGTAGGTGGACCAGGGGAGGGTGTTGAGAAGATGGTTGTATCAGCTGCAGCGCCACCTCATGATATTTAAACCTCGAGCAGCCCCTGCGTCGGTCGTAGCGCCAGTTGGTGTCGCGTTTCCTTCCTCGTCCCGCTGTAATGCATCACTCAACCACCACTGGCCTTCAAGCGCAACCATTGCAATACAATTCAAAGACTCAAGTAGAATGAATGACTGCGCAGTCCGCCCCCGAACTTCAGAATGACTAGGAGCGCTTGGTCATATTTTGACTACTTTCTTTTATATTGTTCTTTTTTGTTTGTCCACGTCAGTCAATCCCATCTCATTAGGATACATGTATTGTTTTTTTGTAAATCTTCTTTTCTTCTTGCAGTGCCCTGTTTAAGTTTATCAACCCCTGTCGTGGTTCTTGCCCAGGGCGAGACTCATGTGCGCGAGTTGGCCGCGCCTGCTAATTGTATGTTGTGCGCCCTCGGCCCGCGAGAAGATCTTCGATGACGAGGGAAATAACTACAAGAACCTCCGCCGCGCAAAGTTTTTTCACTTTGCGCGGCGGATGTTTTCTTCGTCTTTAAGACGAAGAAAACATCAAGCAGGAGCCGCGAGAGCTTTTTATCAAGTGGGAGCAGGCCACTTTTCTTGCTTTTGTTGCTATTTCAATGCTTTTTGGTTTTTTTTTGTTTTTTTTTTCGTTTTTTTTCCAATTTTTTTCCTTTTTTTCTTTTTTTTTTTCATGCGCAGTTTTTCGCTTTCTTTTTTGCGCGCTTTTTTTTTTGCTTTACTTCATGGCCATTTTTTGCACCGAGCATCCATCTATCATAGTCTTATTCGTATAGAGCTATGACTGAACTCCATGCGATTGTCTATGACAGACATGCACTGGATCAGGTGCCGAGCTTTTGTTTCTTTTTTTCGCTTTCGGCTTTCCATTTTCATTTTTTCACTTTTGTTTTCTCACTTTCTTCATTTTCGCTTTTGCACCTTTACTTTTCCACTTTTTCTCCTTTTCCGCTTTTTTTTGTTGGTTTGCGTTTTCCATTTTCGCTTTTGCTTTATTTTTTTGGAATCTTTTGTTTTGTTTTTCTTCTTTTCGCGCCCTTCATTTACTCAAGCATAAATCAACAAAACAAAGACCACAAGCACTTGAATGCTCTATGTCTAAAAAGAAGCGCATTCCATGCGCAGGAACAAGAATTCTACTGCAGATAGCATATGCGCAGCGGCCCCCCCCCTGTCGTTCATATGCCCAAGGTTGATCATATTTGCAATTATGAGTCCAGGCCGTCGTTTTTTTTGATGTCTTGCAGAACACGCTACCTCCGCACGTGACCCCCTGCACAGAACGACATGTCGACTGCTCAAGCGCAGTATCCATGTGTCGCGTGGCTCTGAGAAAGGAGCGTCTGACTTTTTACGACCTTCCGGCTTCTGCATGTTCTTGATCAACAAGCCCCGACTTTGATAATTGCGACCCAGCTGCTGCAGTAGATGCGACCCCCTTTCGTTCCTTGAGAAGCATACAACAATTTCACCATGCTGCACAAACGAAGCACTACTAGCACGACAATAAATAAAGTAACATCAGCAGCACCCGATGAAAAATGTAAATGGAGAATTATCAGTGCAAAAAGTATTTCTCTACGAAGATATATCACACGCAGCGGAGCCGACAGGAATAGTGCTGGATGGTGTCTGTGTTTGTCGAGAGTGCGCCTCGTACTCGTTTCAAATACGACCTTGCGGCTTTTCTCCTTCCAGTGGTATTTACAGATTTTTAGCAGATGCTGTCTCCTCGATCTCGGTTCGTGATCGTACTAGCATCATTTAGTAAAGAGCTCTAACTCGTCTTCAACGCTAACGGCTTGGACTCCTTTCGGTTTAGCTTCCGTTCCGTGCTTCATTCGCGACCAAGGAAGCAAGCACAGGAGAAGTGAAAACTCGGTTTTGAGCGAGCTAGATTCAGCAACAGCATCACGTTGGCTACTTCTTTCTCGGTTTATTTCGTGTAGCAGGAGGAAAAAAATGAAATGCACTTTCCTGCTTTTTCTTGCGCTTCCTTGATGAGTAGCGAGCTGCTAGGCTTTTAATTTCATGTCTTTGGTCGTTGATTGGTGACAGAGCATGTCAATGTCTATCAAGCACGGCAGAAGTCGGTCCTAGTGTCTAGTGTTAATACGACGAGGTATTATTAGCTCTCTTCGTCCTTGTGGCACGTATTGACACGTGATTGTGTACATGTCGGCTTGTCTTCCCTACGTGATGTGGCACTTGAAGATGATTTTCGTCCTGTGCCGGCGCGGAGTGTTGCCCTCATAATTCGGTTTATCGTGTTGTACTTTTGCGCAAGTGCAGCAGGGAGGTGCACGCACGAGAAGCAGTGTTTGGTCGGTGTGGTACAACGTGCCTGCTTCGTGTTTGGTCGTCAAACTCAAGAGCAGCACTCTCAAGTAGATGCACCAACATTCCCTTTTTCGGTGTCGTGTTTCATTGTGCTTTATTCTACAACTTTTTTTCGGTGTCGTGCTTTTCATCTCACTGCTACATCACTCTATCGCTGGTGCGGAAGATATCCCCTTGTTCATTTTCTTTCGTCAGGTACAGACCTCTTCCTCTTAATATTTTCTCGCTCTCCCGCCCCAGGAATTAATAAGCTTAAAACGCGCAACATTATTGCTCTTGTCCTCCCCTGTACGTTAATAAATCTTGATCATATCGAAGCTGCTAGCGCTAGACGCGTAGTACGCTGGAGGATAATTACAATTAGAGAAGTATTTACGGAGAGCAGAGAATTACCAAAGTAAACTCAATACGGAAGAAGTTTTACCCGTTGAACGCGCAACACTATGGCCAAAACCAACATGAAGTAGGCCTTTTCCTCTCGTGCTCATTGACCCGCAAACCTCTTCTGTGCGTTCGATTTGAAGAATGAAGGCTGGCAGCAACGTCAAGCTCGTCAACATCGAGCATTTTTACCGAGTTGTAACATGATCATTCGGCGGCGCATCCGCATCGCACGACGACGGCCGCGGCCGGGACTGAGCTCCGGTTCAAAATAGGCCAATTTCAATTTATTACAAGGCGTAGCATTTCGAATTCTCCATCTCCACTCATCATCACCAAGCGCTGTATACGAAGGCAGAGGCAGACCAATATAAGTAAGTACTTAAGCATCTCTCGTCATCGACGTCTGTACCTGTAGTGCCACGACGTTTGTATAGTGTATAGGTACATTATAGCTTCCAAGTAGAGTAAAAATAAAATGCAGACAGTCACGAATTACGAGGAAGAGGAAGACACGCTGGGCGAAGTTATCACACACAGAAGATGATGAAAACCACTACACGACTGTCACTGGTGTCGGGAGCATGAGTATTAAGTTGTCGTCGTTGATGTCCTGCAGCTTTGCGTTTTGCAGAAATAGAAAATCAAAAGAAACGAAAATAACAACGAGGCCACACTCGCACACAGATGTTGAAGAAGCATCTTATGTTTGTTTTGTAGCCGATTGCGATTCATGGAAGAAGTTTTGACCTCATCGATGCATCTTCTACACGCCTCCACTATAGTGCAGAAGCAGAAGTGGTTTTCTTTATCTTCTGGATATTACTTGGCTCCTGTGGTTGCCCCCGGACGGAGGAACCGAACATGTATGGGCTACTCAGCTGGATTATGACAGTGCGCAACTCGTCCCCCTCCCCGTCATTTGTATAGCATGAACAGCAAAAATACAGGCATCAGCAAGGATGCCGGTTTTGCATGACAAATTTGTACTGGAGTAGAGTGCTACTCGGGCTACGAGAACTTGTCATGCAAACAGTGCCAAGGGCCAATGGGTGGATATGGATTGGGTATTTTGCATGACAAATGAGGGGGAGCAGGGAGAGTTGTGCATTGTCATATAATGGATGAAAAAAATTAAGTGGAAAAAGGTGAACAAAGAGCAAATTTGACTTTCTCCGATACCGATCCCTGTTGTAGCAACTTCTCTTGCATGATGAGAGATGTTGATTCTATTTGCATGGAATGCAATGCGGTTTGGAAGTACGTGTCATGCCAAACACGTATTAAAGTATAAGTAGTGGTAGAGCAGGACTTCCTGTTGTTCTTGACTCGGGGGCACCCGATGTATTAATTAATACTTCCCGCATGTTGAAATAAAGATAATTGATCTTGCATGAATAAAATGATATTATTTATACAAATTCTTTCCCTTGAGATGATTATTCCCACTGTTGAGGCTTGTTCCATAACTGCTTTTTGAAGTTTCTTTGCTGCACTTATGCATTGCAAATATGTCTGGGTCTGGAAGAATGCAACCTCTCTTGCTAAAAAATCTGAATCATGCAAAAATCTGTGTTGCATGGTTGCCAAAAGTCGTCCGGCTTTGACCAAGTCGGGAGGGAGTTTCTCATGCAGGATAGGCATGATAGAGATCGCGGAGAATCTGTCGCGCTAGGTCCTGCATTCCAGACCTCAAGGGTTATGGAAAAGCTGCGTTACAAATCTCGTAATCTTCCAGACCAACACATATTTGCAATTGATAGCACTTGCTCGATCGCGAATTGGGATGGGTATGCAGGCTGCCCCTTTGTCATCTCCGTTGCCGGTGTGTCCGGTGGCAGTTTGTTGCTTCTGATTGCAGTCGTGCTGCGTTGCACCGCCTACGTGACCGAAACGACTACGGTCACGACAGTTACGCAGGGCAGTTCCGGCGGGGCGACTACATATCAAGTGAAAATATGTCTGGGTCTGGAAGACTGCATGTTTGTCATGCTTGTCTGGCATGGCTCTCAAATCTGTCATGCACGTTACCCAAGAGCGCAAGGCGATTTTTCTGACATTCAGAAACGCAGTTTGTCATGCAGAATAGGCAACACTTAGAACAAGCTCAGAAACCTGTCATGCTGAGCCAGCACCACTTGTGGCCTCCTCATGGTGCGCCACCCAGCATCACAAGTTTCCAGACCCTGACATATTTTCATTTGATACTACAAGCGCTAGTACAACTGAAACAGACGACGCAAGAACGTCATCAGAGGAGACTAGTAGTGAAGAGACTGGCTGTATCCTGAGTAAAAACGTCCCCACACCAGAGTTGTAATGCAGATTTGCAAAGACAGGAAGACTTGTAATGCGCATCCCCATGAGAGCCATTTCCAATCGTGTTTTGGAATTTGTGATGCTGTGAACAGGATGAGCAGATGAATCTGTGACGTGGATGCACTTGCTAACCTGCACTACACTGCAGAGCGCAACTTGTCACGCGTGACTCACAAAGCTCCTAGGTTTGTGTTGCAAAATCCCCATCCTGACTCTGGTGTGGGTACGTTTTTACTCAGGATAGCGTGGAAGGGCGGCGCGTGCGTGGGGGTTTTGTTCTGGTTTGCGGTAATTACCGGCGTAGCGCTTCTCGTCGCCGCAATGGCGCACGGCGCATTTTTCTGGGTGCCCTCCGTCTACCAACCACCGAAAAGGTATGGAAGCGTCAGGTTTGAAATCGTCAAAGTTGAAATAGTCTGTAATGCATAAAATGCATGACCCGACCCCGAGGCACGTGTGTTGCAGAGCAGGTAAGTGAGGCCGATTGCAAGCCTGTTCGGGGTTACAGCTCGAGCTGCTAAAGTAGCATGAGAAAATCACTCTTCTTTGCCTAAACAGCATGACAAACTGGATCTAGGGACCACCGAAATTTGTCATGCGCCACTTAGAAACTGGATTCCAACTGGCAACCATTTTATGCATGACAAATTATTTCAACTTTGTTGATTTCAACTCTGACACATCCATAAAAGGCGAACGACCCATGCCGCGATGATCCCCGCACTGGGGCCGGCGGTCAAGGCCAAAAATAAAGCTGTTAGCACAAGAACCAGTGATGGCGCAGCAGCAGAAACCGCGCCGCCCCCTGGTTCGCAGCAGGGGGGTGACGCCCCTGCAGACGTGGATATTATTTCCGAAGATATCGAAAGGAAAAATGCCCCCTCGCCATAATATCAAAATGGAACTTCTGACGCTGAATTTGTGTACGCAAATACGCTTTGCATTGATGCAGGAATGCATTGCGTTTGCGGCCAGATCTCCAACCTAGGTAGGGGCTTTTGGGTCCTCTAGAAGTTGTTCAGCATTGCAAACGGCTGCCCTGTTTTAGGCCCAAGAACAGCATGGAAAAGCGCTTCCATAATGGGACGCACAAGCTTCTGCCCTTGTCTTCTTGCAAGACAAAGAACGTGACTCGTGGCCACAAATCAGCAAGAACGCAAATTTTCGGAAGCTGCGTGCCTTTTCAAGATGGGGACGAGGGGGAGTTTTTCCTTTTGATAGAAGGGGGGCCATCTTCTTCAACTATCAAATGTAAAAATATCTGGGTCTGGAAGATTCTGAGATTTGTCATGCATGTTTTGCATGACCCAGGATGTCTGTAATGCACGACCGCGCATCACAGATTTTGAGCGGGCTTCCTGATGCCTACTCCGCATGACAAACGCCCTCCCCGCGTAGCACAAACTAGACTCCTCTTGCTGGTCATGCAATACAGAGTTTTCTAGAGTCCAAAGTTAGCATCACAAGTTCCAATTTTCCAGACCCAGACATTTTTACATTTGATATCAACCGCGGGCAGCCAACTCCAGTCCGGAGTTAATACAAGTCTCGCACACAGCGTAGCGGCCGGGACGTATCCTGTGCAAAAGTATCGTACTCGTTGTATTGCAATCATGCATTACAAATCCTTTTGTTAAGGTAAATCAGCACTACAAATTTTATTTCTCATGCTGAGGAAATTTGTAATGCATTTATACGAATGCGATGCTTTTGCAATGCATAGGACGGGCGGCGGTTGGATGTCCTCCGCGAGTGCTGGCGCAAAAATATCAAATGCAAATATGTCCTCTGTGTCTGGAAGAAGGCAAGGTCTGTCATGCTTGTCTGGCATGAGTAAAGGGTTTGTGATGCGTGTCCCAGAAAAGCCTTCTGCTTCTTGCTTGTCATGCAAAAACGCAGTTTGTCATGCGAGAAACGCAACGCAAAGCCTCGCAAATCTTTCTCATGCTTGGCTGTGCATTACAGAGCAGTCACCATTCACAGCCCAGCATTCCAAGTTTCCAGACCCAGACAAATTTGCATTTGATAAAAAATGAACTGGAACAAATTGAAGAACATGGGGCTCCCCCCTGGGGCTGAGGGATCTGGACGCTTCAACAGTCGGGCAAGAGGGTATGACAGTGCACAACTCCCCCTCGTTCTCATTTCTCATGTTGCAAATGACAACTCCACGCTTTCCCTCCTGTCACTATTATGCATGACAAGTTCTGGCAGCCCAACCAGTCCTAAGTACACTCTAGCACAAATTTGTCATGCAAAACCGGCACTCTTGCTGGTGCAGCTTGCATTGTCGTTCATGCTATACAAATGAGGGGGAGGGGGAGTTGAGCACTCTCATAGAGGGCCCCGGGGAAATTCCGCATCTGCTGCGGACATTTATCTCCTGACCGGCGAATCTTCCATATCAAAGTGAAAAAAGCCCCCACCCCATATAGGAAACAGAAGATGCGCGAATTTGTGATGCTGTATTTGAGTACACAAATCGACTTGTATTGCTAGAAGGCCAAGAGACGAAGCTGCGGCCTAAATGGCAGGTAATCTGTCATGTTGTTTCCCACTTCCAGTTGCCTCCTGTCATCCTGGAGCTGCAGGGCTTTCCCACGCTAGACAGCACTACAGTCCGCATCTTTTTCCTTCTAGCATCACAAAGCTTTTTTGTGACCCCAAATCTGCATCACAGATTTCCGTTTTGATATGGGGAGGGGGCGTTTTTCATTGTAATATTCCATCTCGGGCTTGCAGAGCACCAGCGGCGAGGCCGCGGCGGTGAATGCGCGACCTGCTGAGGATATCAACTGCAAAAATGTCTGGGTCTGGAAACTTGTGATGCAAGAAAGGGAATAGTGAACTCACTATAATGCGCGGCCAAGCATCACAAGTTTTTTCCATGGCTCTGAGTTGCGTACTCCGCATGAGAAACTGCGTTTTTGCATGACAGGGAGGAGGAGCTCCTCGCGGCCATGCAACACAGAGTTCAGAGTCATGCCAGACAAGCCTGTCAAATCTCGCAATCTCCCAGACCCAGACACTTTTGCATTTGATAGATGACCACGCTGAGCAAGAGCAGGTGCTGGTACCTGACCCACCGGAACGGCGTTCGTCCATCTACCGCCAGCACGATGATCACCCGGACTTCGACCCGCAGCATGTTGATAATCATGATGCGGCCTCCGAAGATGTTGAGGAGGGGTCGCACGACAGCCACATGAGCTTCGACGATATGGAAGCGTCAGGTTTGAAATCGTCAAAGTTGAAATAATTTGCAACGCATAAAATGCATGACCCGCGGCACGTGTGTTGCAGAGCAGGCAAGTGAGGCCGATTGTAAGCGTGTTTGGGGTTACAGCTCGAGCTGCTAAAGTAGCATGAGAAAGTCGCCCTTCTTTGCCTAAACAGCATGACAAAGTGGATTTAGGGACCACCGAAATTTGTCTTGCGCCACTTACAAACTGGGTTCCAACTGGCATCCATTTTATGCATGACAAATTATTTCAACTTTGTCGATTTCAACTCTGACACATCCATAGACGAGGGCTCCGCAGTAGAAATTTCGGACGAAGCCGCCAACTATGGGAGTGTCAGGATCGAAATCGACAAAATCGAAACGATCTGCAATGCATAAAATGCTACGCAAAAAGCGAGTCTATTGCAGTGGATGCAAGGAAGACGGATTGTAGTCCTGGTAAGGGTTAAGTGTTGGGCTGCTGACTAGCATGACAGAAGGCAGCTGCTTTGCCCTAAACCGCATGACAGATTCGCTTCCAGGACGGGGAGAATTTGTCATGCGCCGACTACAAACTGTGGCTCTAACTGGCATCGATTTTGTGCATCACAAGTTTTTCGATTTTGTCAATTTCGATCCTGACAGTTCCATACCAACCTGTTCAAAAATATCATGGTGGCCAAAAACTTCCACCCCACGCCACATGAACATCATGAGCCTCCGGCAGAAGAGCAACAGCAAGCGGAACAAGAACCACAGCAGAACGTCGATGAGGTGCTGGCCACCAGCAATTCCAACTTCGACCCAGGCTATGCGAGGACCACCGGAGCAGGTGCTAGTAGCAGTGGAACGGTGCATATCGCAAGAAAGAACTGTTTCAGTGTGAACTTGTGATGCAGAGAATGGAGCATAGAACGATTTGTCTTGCTACACCTGCATAGAGCATTGGAGTTTTAAGCGTGTTTCCACTATGGGAAATGCGCGCGTGGGAAATTTTCTGTGTCATGTGTAACATCAAACTTGTGATGCAGATCTTGCAAGATCATCTGAGTGAGACATTTTTTTCGTGGGATAGTGCAAGTCGTTGTTGGAGCGGGCGCGGCGGCGGCGGCGGCCAACTACCTATGAAAGCCTCAGAATGGAAATCCTCAAAGAGGACATACTTTGTGATGCATGAAATGCAAGGCAAAAAAGACTGGATTGCAGAGGACGCAATGGAGTCCGACTATTGTCCTGCTAGGGGTGAAGAATTGGGCTGCTGATTAGCACGACAGAAGGGCACCCCTTTGCTTAACTAGCATGACAGACACGTTTTGAATGCCCGGGAAATTTGTCATGCGCCGACTACAAATGGCGCTTCAACTGGAGTCGTTTTTTTGCATTACAAATTATTTCCACTTTGAGGATTTCCAACCTGAGGCTTTCATACTACCCTGGTGCTCTTGCGTCGTCCGGGGGCGCCGCACAGTTTCTGCCCCCCGCGCGTCGTCCGCCGCCACTGTCGCCCGAGGAGCAAGAGAGGCTGGCCGCGCTAGATCGCGCTAAGGGTACCAGCTCTCTGGCGAAACGCAGAGCCGCGCGTGCGAATAAGAGCAGTGGGTCCTTGGCAATGGCCAACATGGTGCAGCTGGTGGCGAACAACAAGCAGGCAAATAAGACGCACAACGTGCAGGCGGAGGACAGCACGATCGTCAACTCTGCAGCGAGCACCGAATTATCAAATGCAAAAAATTGTCTGGGTCTGGAAGATTGCGAGATTTGTCATGCTTGTCTGACATGACCAAAACGTCTGTGCTGATGCGTGTCCAAGTAGAGACCCTTGTGCCTGTCATGCAAAAACGCAGTTTGTCATGCGAAAAACGCAACACGAAGAAGCGCAGATATTAATTTCTCATGCTTGTCTGTGCATTACAGAGCGTTCACCATTCCCATCGCAGCATTAAAAGTTTCCAGACCCAGACATATTTGCAGTTCATACGAATCCCCAACGCGCAACACACAGCAGCTCGACAGCAGCGTGGTACATATCAACTGCAAATATGTCTGGGTCTGGAAGTAGAGTGCGAACTTGTGATGCGCATTTCACAACACATAAAAATCTCTCATGCATAGGCAGCAAAAGCTACCCACTCTCTGGCGTCACCAAAATGTGGCATTTGTGGTCTTGCGGATTCACGGCATTGCGGAAGCTTCTCGAAATCTGTGACGCTAGAGCTTCCATGCCAGACCTTATGCGTCATGCAAAAGCAGCATGAGACCCAGACACACACATTTGCATTTGATAGTACAGCCGCAGGATCAACAACATAATCCGGTTGAGCACGAACACGTAGAGGGCTGGCACAACGCCGCCGCCGGGCGAGTGCCAGAAGGAGATCAAATCATATTAACCCCCCGCGGCCCACCAGGAGAAGCTGAAGCAGAAAGAGATGAAAGTGAAATTATATTCACCGGCCTCGCAGCACCTGTAGTTCAAGTCTTCACTTTGGGTGCGCTGTATTGCATGCCAAAAGCAAAAACGGCACTGCGCGCGCCAGCACTGACAGGGGCTGCAGGCTGCCCTTGCATAGGGCGCAGAACTACTGTAGGCCCCCTTCGCACCTGCTCGCGCGCTCTGTTAGTTTGAATTGCAGTGGCTGGCGCGCTCTGCTTTGTTTCTGTGCTGAAGCAAAACAATGATGGGCGGTAGCGGGGTCATGGGGTGGGGGAGGCGGGGCTTTCTCTTGAATGATTCACGGACGGGCAGCGCTTTTTTGCCTTTTCTGAGGATATTCATTCGGGAGCCGGCTCTTGTTGTGAATTTTCGCAAGAAGCGCTGCTTTTCTGGATCCCGATTTTGAATCATTCAGCGGCCGGGAGCAAGCGGCCGGGCCTTGCTTCCCTTTTTTTTGCCTCTAGGCACACACGCCGCAGGCCTGGGCAGAAGCCTGGCGCACACGCTGCCAGATTGCATTCCAGGCGCAGAACTACCTTGCTTACCGTCTAGGTATGGGGTGCGTCTTGTTCTGAGTTGCAGAACGAAGAAAAACCTTGCAGGCGGCGGCAACGAAGCCAAGGCGGGCACGTAGCTGCGCGCGCAGGCACGTAGCGACGCCTATACTTCTTCTCCCCGGTGCTTGTTGGCGCAGCTACGATGCGCCGATGAAACAACGCGCAACTATTTCCGCGTGCCGGAGGCGGAGGCCGCTGCCACGCCTCAGACCTCCGCTGGCGCCGTTGGCGTTGCTTTTTTTGCCGCGCCTGCTCGGTAGTTGCTGTTTTGAAACTCAGGGCGTGGCTGTTGAACCCGGAAAACGTCGGCTTCGGTGTCGGTGACGGGCGTGTTTGAAAAAATCATTCTTCTGCAAAGTGTAAATATTCACGGCCGATTTTGAATATATTCAAAATAGATCCATGAAGCTAAATGGACTTTGTCCCTTCATAAGAAAGAGATGAAAGTGAAATTATATTCACCGGCCTCGCAGCACCTGTAGGTGTAGTTCTCCCGACACCTGTCTTGCACGACCACCATCCTTCTCCCCGACGTCTTCAACAGCGTGCTGAGGGGGAAAATCATGAATCATTGCTGCTGAGGAAAGCGAAAGGTGAGGAGCAAATAAATGATTTTTATACTAGTCTTCTTGATGAACAAGAACAAGCAGCAGGAGGAGCGCATTCGTCGTCCTCTGCCGGCGGGTCTTCAACTACATCTTATGGAAGCGTCAGGTTTGAAATCGCCAAAGTTGAAATAATTTGTGATGCGTAATAAAATGCATAGCGCAAAATACGTGTGTTGCAGAGCAGGCAAGGAAGGCCGATTGTGAGCCTGTTTGGGGTTAGAGCTCGAGCTGCTAAAGTAGCATGAGAAAATCAGCCATCTTTGCCTAAACAGCATGCCAAACTGGATTTAGGCATCTTCGCCAAAATTTGTCATGCGCCACTTGGAAACTGGGCTCCAGCTGGCATCCATTTTATGCATCACAAACTATTTCAACTTTGACGATTTCAATCCTGACAGTTCCATACATCTCGTCGTGCTAGTAGTTCTCCTTGTTCCTCAGGTGGCCCTCGGAAGATGAACAAAAACTTCTACGTACTATCAAGATAAAAATCCCCCCTCGTCCCCATACAACACAAACGGAGATTTGTGTAGCATGATTTGTGATCAGATGAAATCGCCTTGTCATGCTAGAGGGGAAGAGATGATGCCATGCGGCCTGTAGTGGCGGCTGCCGTGGGAACAAAGCCTTGCGTCTTCTAGCAAGCCGACTTGTGTACGCAAATCCAGCATGACAACTATCCTCTTTGATATAGGCTGGGGGGATCATTTTTCCTCACAATACTAGGAGTCCTCGCGGCCCATAATTCCGTCCTCAACTATGGCGTTCTCAAACGTTACATTCTTAACTGTTTCTGTTGCACGAATCTGTGATGCAAGAAGAGCAATATGGAAAGGGGCAAGTCTCGCAGAGTCTCGCATCACAATTTTGCAACAGATGTCGATGCTGTTTAGCCCTTCGAGAATTTGTCATGCAGAGCGCCTTAATCTCCTGGCGACTTATGGGAATTTTGCATGACAAATCATGCAACAGTTGAGAATGTAACGCTTGAGAGTCCCATATCAACTGGAGAGCAGCCAGACCAGCACGACGACGACGTATCAAAGTGCACAACTCGTCCCTCTGCCCCTCATTTCTTGTGTTGCACGAACAGCAATACATCAAGCGTCAGCAAGAATTCTACACGTTTTGCATGACAAATCTGGACAGGAGAGTAGTGCTATTTGGGCTGCCAGAACTTCAACTTGTCATGCAAACTACAGTGCCAAGATAAATCAGGTACTGTTCTCTACATGCCGAATATGAGGGGGACGAGGGGGAGTTGTGCAGGTGCACTCTCATACGACGACGATGACGACGAAGCGAGTGAAACCGAACAAGATGAAATGCTCACGCCGCTGGTTGAAGGAGGTGTACCGAGAAGTACAACAACTCCGGCGAGGTGGACGTCATCTTGTTCATCTCGTGTAATATGTAAGAATCCTTCCTGGACTTCCTCCCCCTACGAGGATGAGTATGCGGACTACACGGGAGAGACTGAAGACCGCCTTGAGGAAGAGGATCGCAGCTCGTTTATCCCTTCCTCGTGCCCGTCCCGCGCCTGCGAGCGGGGACGACGAGCAGGAGCTCCTGCGCGACCACGTGCGATGGCAAGCACGAACCCGCTGCACAATCGACGAGGCCGGCCGGCGCCGCGGCGCGAGAAGATGCACCAGGAGGTAAAAACTAGTACACTCGGCGTCGAAGAAGTTCATCTTCCAGCAGCAGACCGTGTTGTACAAGAACCAGCTCGAGGAGCTCCTTCATCCACGAAGGGCTCGGTCCACCAGATGGAACCAACACGGCCACCAACAACATCAATATCAAACGGTAGTACCACGAAGAAACCAGCTTCTAGTACTTCTGCCTACCAGAGCGCCACGGAGCGGATGAAGATTTTGTTCAAAATATCCTGTGGAAAAACTAACACCCACGACACCCCAGAGTATTGACGCGGCTGGACAGCAACTACACAAGTCCGGAAGTTGTGGGAGTGCTCACGCATGACAGGTAGTTGTTCCTGCTCTCTGTAGAATTCTAATGCATTTTAGCAACTGCAACTGGTGGTGGAAGTGCCACAGTGGATGATCGCAAAGGCATTACAAATTGGAGAACGCGGTTGGAAAAAATCGAAATGCCTCGCATGGGAATGCGCATTTTTGACTACAAATCTTGATCTTCCTGTAACTACTGCAAATCTGCATGACAACTCTGGGGTCCACCTCATGGGACAGTTTTTTCTCAGGATACAAAACGGGCTCTGAGAAGCTGACGCTGATTTTGCGGAGCAGCGATGATTCCTCTTCCAGCTGTAACTACACCGACGATCACGCTAGTTGGATCATGAATACGTCAGACGAGGACGACGAAGAAGAGTTGCTGCTCATCAACAAACGGCTAGGAAAATTGAACAAAAAGTAAACTACAGCATGGGCCGCGGCGGCATGGCAGGAACTGGAACTGGAACTCTGTGGGCGGGTACTAGATGAAACCACCGACCAATTATTATAACTTCTCAGTTTCATCGTCGTTGTCTTCTTCACCGGCAGCTGCTACGAAATTTCGTCATCTCGTGGTGTAACTACAAGATCGACGTGGACGTGGTTTGATTCATTCTCATTACTCCAAGCACAGCCCATACAGAGGCGCACTACTTCCAGTTTTTCTTTTCGCCTCGTCTCCTCCATAAGTATACCTCGTTCTTATACACACGAAATTTTGATTTCATAATCTCTCTATGTTTTTTTCCAATGTCTACGGTATCTACAGAACACGCATCACTAGCATACATGCCTTTTGGCTTTGATCATTTTTTAGCTGTGGCTCATGAATGTGCTATCGGCGCAGCATGCACAAGCAGCCTTTTTTGGCGTTTTATCATTTTTTCACATATTACTCACTGACTTCGATTTTCAATTTCCAATCTTTTTTTATACCATTTGTTTTGCCTATATTTTCATTTTTGATTTATTCATCATTTAAAAGTCGCTCTTCTCTCTATCCAAGAAGTATTGAGTCGTTCCATCTGAAGATATCAAAGAAAAAAATTACGTGCAATACCGATACAAAAATACCGATAGTACGACTAAAAACCACAACTCCTAACGTGACAGTCGCCCGCATGTTTACCTCTGAGCAGTACGCTGACTGAATTTAGAACTAAAAGAAACACTCCATCGGCTTTTGCGCGTTGCTGCCGCCGGCCTGCAGCACGGGGCTGCTATTGCTATTCAGCCCTGGCCCTGTATAGAAGATTGATGTTCTTGTTGTTCGCGAAATTGGACGACGGGCTAGGTGGTGAAGTTTAGTAAGACAATTTCAATTCCCAAGAAGAAGTCCAGCTTGCGAAATGCTCGGGAATTCTTGTACCGGACGAGCATAAATGGGTCGTCGATTTTTGCGATGATTCGCGTACCGCTCGTACGATCCTGCAATATGATCCTCCAACGTAGCGGCCTAGATCGTCATATGAAGTTTGATGTGGTGTTGGCCTCGTCGTCGTGTGGTCGTGGAGATTGACTGATTTCGATGTTCCCTACTTTTTAGTCATTTATGCGATTGAGAATGAAAAGGTTACGACGACTGCAACAAGGGTCACGATGAAAATGTAGGTTCGTGACGATGACTGCAACAAGGGTCTGCTATAATTTCACGAAGATCCACTTCAATATCAATTTGTAAAAAATTTCGGGTCGCTCGTTGTACAACTCTCGTGTGTGTTATACCAATTTTTGATGAAGATGATCTGCTGGGTGCTGGAAGGCTATTTTTAGATTGTGTTTCCTCGTCGTGAAAAGAATTTCGTTTTTCATCGGGAGTTCTTGCACCATAATTGATATAGATTTGCCGGCCACCTCGGAACTAACAATCCAGTGAAAAATATTTTTTTGCGATGGACCACAAGAGGAAGCCGTGGTTCGCGTTTATTTCGAGAAGCGAAAAATCGAGAGTAGCATTGATCTTCGTCGAGACTCATGAAACATTATCAATGGTGGATATGTGGATCATGTTGTTGATGTAGGTATAGGTTCAGGTCAGTTGTAATGCCATTGGTTGCATTGCGAGGCTTGTCCTTGTGTTTTTTTCAAGGGACCACGGGCCTGAAAATCAAAATCTTCGGAGTTGTGGAAATCGTGCTGCCGTGTGATGGCCAAGCTCCTTCGGATCTCCATGAAGATCGTGGGAATATGTAAAACGAAACTCGTACATTCATAAGGCTAAGGCATAGCACACGACGAAGGAATTCCAATTCGCAGTTTGCGTCCACGACCACGACCACGGGGGCGGGAGTGGATTCTGATCAACAACATCAAGGAAAATGTCGGCGTCTTCGCTTTCCTCGGCCGCCCCAGGTCCACCTCCTCGTTTTGCCCCAGCCATGTCGAGTAGACAATCTTGTTCGACGCCTAGAAGCGAAAACTCTTCGACAGCAGATCACCACCTGCACCTCCAAGACCGGCTTTTGCGCGTGAAACAGATCGAGAATGGTATTCGGACGGAGATCGCGCGGGCTCGGGCGGCGGGGCCGGCCGCGCGGAGGCCTGCTACGGGAAATCGCCAAGTAGATGAACACCTCCATTCTGTCGTCTCCCGGGAAGTAGATGTAGAAGTTGCAGCCAGTTGTACAACGGGGAGGACCCGCACAGCAGCTCCGGTCACGGACATCCAAGTCGAGGAGCAGCCAGGTGTTCCTAGTGCAGCTGATTTTGACCATGATTTTTCATTTTCCCCCACAAGAACGGCGGCCAGACCCGGAGCCGGGGCCACGACTGTCGCACACCAGCGCAAAGAGGCGACCACAGGTCGGCCCAAGAACAAAGAGGCGATGGATGAGAAAGAGCAAGACACTTGGTCCGAAAATAGCGATTTATTGCGAAGAGTGGAAAAATACGAACAGGTAGAGGACCAAGCAGGTGGAAAAAATTCTAACTATAACATCGAAGAAGTTCAACAAGATCAAGATGATGAAAAGGAAAACTTCTACTCTCCCGAAGACTTCTGCACTCACAGTCACAGCCACCAAGGTCAGCGACAGGACCCTCCACAGCCACAACCAGATGAACCAGGGTCAGGTGTGGAAGTAGTAGTAGAAGATGAAAAGAACAAGAAAAATCGCATTGAAGAAACATTGGATCACCAGGACCACGACCGCGATCATGACCTGCTCTCTTCCACTTCTTCCTGGGCCGTCCGAGCGGTAAAACAAAACTTCAGCAACCTGTTTTATTTCAACAACAAAAAAAACTACGCCGAGAATCCGAATCTTCGCAGTGTTGCCACCAGTGCTGGTGCGCCTCCAACTACTGCCATGGCTATGGCTTCCACAAAATGTAAGCAGCAAGGAGGTCCTCGCTGTGAAGATAACATGAGCAACTTGCTCAGCGCGCGGAAAAGCGCAGTGCTTTCCGGAGGAGCTGCAGAGTGTGACCACCAGGGTGGAGGAGCACGTGGATGGACACAAACAGGAAACGGGCAACATCTAGATGAACTAAAAGTGTCGTCGACGTCGAAAGCAGCAACTACAACACGCACGTCTTCAAAGCTACTGAACTTCGAGCCAGGAGTGGGGCTCAAATTGACAGCACTTTTGCCGAAAACGTTTCAGATGAATTTGCTCTCTGGTCGGCGAGAAAATCTAAATCATGGGGTCGACAATAAAACCTGTTTGAGTTGTACTAGTACTTCTGAAGGACGAACATCTACATCAGGCGCAGCTCCTACAGCATCTCCTGTCGAGGGCAGAAGTACTACGACGATGAGGACGACCACAGGGACTTCTAACATCGTCGACACTTCTACAGGAGGCCGCGGAAAAGTGGACCGGAAGTTGGAGAATCAAAATACTTGCTCGACAACCAACTCCAACTACGCTTCTTCGAAGGTATGAATTGCAAAAATGTCTGGGTCTGGAAGATTGCCAGATTTGCCATGCTAGTCTGGCATGACTCTGAACTCTGTATTGCGTGCCCGCGAAAAGCGCTTCCTATCTGTCATGCAAAAACGCAGTTTCTCATGCGGATTAGGATTACGCAACTCTCTCTGAACCACGGAAAAACTTGTCATGCTGGACAGCGCATTACTACAGTGCGCTCACTCGTCCCTTTCTTGCATCACAAGTTTCCAGACCCAGACATTTTTGCATTTGATAGAAGGAAACAACCTCTGCGATGAACGTCCTCAGCAGCCGCACCAGTTGTACTAGTTCTAGTAGGTTATGGGAGTGTCAGGATTGAAATCGACAAAGTTGAAATGATTTGTAATGCATAAAACGGATACCAGTTGGCGCCTAGCTTTCAAGTGGCGCATGAAAAATCTGGGTAGAGCCGAAATCCGGTTTGTAATGCTGTTTGGGTACGAGAGAAGCCTTTTGTCATGCTACTTTAGCGCCTCTACTTCTACCCCTCAACAGGCTCACAATCTGCCTCCTTTGCCTTCTCTGCAAGACAGGCATTTTGTGGGTTGCATTTTATGCATCGCAAACTATTTCAACTTTGACGATTTCAATCCTGACGCTTCTATATAGCTGCTCTGGCGGCTATGATAATTCGAGTGCACATCCTGCCGCTGTTCCTCAACAGCGACTTTTGCTCGGCAAGAACATCTATCCTGTGCAAAAGTATCGTACTCGTAGTAATCGCGTTCATGCAATACATCAAATTTTATTTCTCATGCTGAGGAAATTTGTCATGCGACTTATATATACTAGTACGATGCTTTTGCATTTCATAACATCGACCTCCTCAGTTGCTCTTCTTCGCTCCTACAGTGGCCAGCCCGGCGCTCGGACAAGAACTCCTCTTCATCTTCGGTGCCATATGAACTGCAAAAGTAAAAACGTATTCGTATAAATGCATTACAAATTTCCTCAGCATGAGAAATAAAATTTGTAATGCTGATTTACCTTCAGAGAAAGATTTGTAATGCATGATTGCAATACGAGTGCGATACTTTTGCACACGATATGCCAGCTAGTTGCACGACACCGGAGGATCTAACCAGTTCTTATCCAGGAAAAAACACAGCACATCCCCATCAATTTTTCGCATGACGAACACTGAATTTTATGCATGTTTTGCATGACAAATTGAATGGGGATGGGTGTTTTTTCCTGGATAGTTCCTCGAAAGAAACCATGATCGCGCCGCCGGCGCACGAAGTTGTATCTGCAGCAGCGGAAGCACATGATGCACAGCAGGCGCAGGAGAAGCGAAAAGATGATCAAGATGTTAATGAGGAGCGTAGGCAGCTACAACTGGAGCTTGAACAAGCTACTTCATCAACTCGGAAGATTTGGACACCGCTTTTCGATTTGAAACTCCCCGGGGCGAGGGAAACAGCAGCTGTGAGTAGTACTAAGAGTGGTCGTGTTGAGCTGTTTCAACATCTGAATGTTGGCGCTTCTACTTGTAGGACGAAGGATTCGTTGAAAGCAGGGCAACAAGAAGGAGCCAAGAAAACCTCGTCAAGTAGAGTGGGGGGTATGAAGAACGCTTACGGGCGGGGCGACAAGGCAAATTCTCTTTCTCAAGAACACGATAGCACTCCTGCTCCAGGTCGTTCAGGTGCGGCTGAAACCGGAAACATCAAAGCTAGCGAGGTGGACGACGACGCAGCTGCTGGTACAACATCAACATCTTCTGCAGCACTTGTACTTCCAGAGGCAGCAAAAATACAACCGACGCACGCGAAGGAAAATAAGAATTGCATGACGGTGATACACGCGGAGGATGTGGAAATTTTGGTAGAACAAGATGAGTTGGATCTACTTCGTCCGACGACCTCAGCGCAGCAACGACAACGAGAAAGGTCGACGAAGCCGAATGGTAAGAAGGTGACTACAACCACCACGACCATTATCAAGCACCCGCGGGTAACGCCGGCTTCGAAGGTTATGAAGATGCAGCTAGGAGGAGCAGGGTATGGGTGTGTCAGGATCGAAATCGACAAAATCGAAAAACTTGTGATGCATAAAATGCAGGGCACTGAAGGCGTGTATTGGGGAGCAGGCAAATGAGACCGATTGTAAGCCTGTTTAGGGGTATGCAATGTGCTGCCAGAGAAGCATGACAGGAGCCGTCTACTTTGTCCAAACAGCATGACAGACTGGATTTGGGTGCTCCCGAAATTTGTCATGCGCCACGTGGAAACTGAGGCTCCAACTGGTATCGATTTATATACATCACAAATTTTTCGACTTTGTCAATTTCGATTCTGACACATCCATACAGGGGGCTCTACTAGTAGTGCCGCAAGCCGCACCGCCGCATCATCTTCTACTACGAGGACTCCGGGACCACGACGAGAGTTGTCGTCTTCGACGACCACTGCGAATGCCAGAGCCGCCGCGCCCGCCCGGATTGCTACTTGTGGTGAAAATGAAAATGAAGAAGCGTCCTCTTCGATGGCCGCCCTGTTGTACTCTGCCAAGGGCGCACTGCTTCTAGAAGCATCATCAACAAGTGCAAGAACTTTAGTCACATCGTCCCCGGCCGCTGGAGGACACGATGACGATGAAGCACTTCTGACTTCCGGTAGTTCTGCTGCCGCCACTGCCGAGGTTGAACAGAAGGACCACTACCCGCCCAATACCAGCCTGAGCACGACGACCGGTGAAAACACCACAAGCGCCGGCGGCGCGCTGAAGATCATTCCTTCCGCGCCCGCCTTGACCATCTTCACGGCCCCAAAGCTGCAAATCCCGCATATCGCAAGAAAGAAGTGTTACAGTTACACATTGTGTTGCAAGACCGGCAACACAGACAACCCTTCTCATGCAGGAAATGCTTGAGAGCCTCGCGTCCTTCCTGTTTTCCCTTATGATCTTCGCATTACAAGTTTTCTCTGTGTCAAGTTTTCTCTGCCGCACAGAGAAAATCTGTGATGCAGAAACTCCAACAAATGTGTAACTGTTGTAACGCTTTTTTCTCATGATCCCGCAGGCAAAGAAGCCAGTACTGAGCGGCTCTCCGCTGTTTCCGACGACCGCGCTGCATCAAGAGGGGACTACTTCATGTGGAGCAGAAGGAAAGGACGGTGGTACAACGACGAGGGCGCTGACGAGTCTTTCTGCCGCGTCCAGTACTAGCGGACTCGTCGGACGATCAGCGAACTACCTTGGTGATGAGCGCGGACTTTCTTCTAAAAACAGTAAGACGTCAACCTCGTTCAGTGCTGAGGGCAGTGCTCTCTTGGCACCCCCGCCGGTAAGTAGATCAACTAGCGTTCGCTCCTATGCATTGCAAATATGTCTGGGTCTGGACGAATGCAACTTGTGATGCTGACTTTGGATTCTACAAAAATCTGTATTGCATGAACAGCAAAAGAGGTCCAGTGTTTGCTACTGCGTCGAGAGGGCATTTCTCATGCGGTATAGGCATCAGGAAGCCCTCATAAAATCTGTGATGCTAGGGCATGCGTCACAGATCGATCAGGAGTCAACATGCAAAATGTGCATGACAGACCTGGCGCCTCCCTTCCAGACCCAGACATATTTGCATTTGATAGCCTCCCGAAGATGTTGTTCCCCACGAAAGCGGCAGCGACCGCCGTGCCTGTTGGCAAAAAACTCCTGTTGAATAATTTCAGTGGCACCAGCACCGCGCCGTCTCCTTATCAAATGTAAAAATGTCTGGGTCTGGAAACTTGTAATGCTAAAAGTGAATGATAGAAGCACTGCAATACGCAGCTATGCATGACAAATTTTTTGGCTGCTATGTCTTACGTATTCCGCATGGCAGACTGCGTTTTTGCATGACAGGTAAGCGGGCCTTTTCGTGCCTATGCAACACAGATTCTCGAGTCATGCCAGACAAGCATGGCAGACTTGCATTCTTCCAGACCCAGACATTTTTACAATCCATACTCCTATGGGAGGTACAACAACTATTGGCCTGCTTGAGGACCCATCTGCAGGAAGGTCATCAACATGGAAGACGATGTCGTCCGTAGTTCTTGCGTATCCACACTAAATTTCCCGTACACGTAGTACAGATGCGATTTCTGCATGACAAAACTTTCATTCATCCTATTCAGCATGACAAGCGTCATGCTTCAAGTTGGCGAAATTTGTGATGCATTTGGTACGTCGTGACTGTGCAGGAAATTTGTATTGCATATTGCGCCATCACTGCTGGCGCAAGGGCAACAAGGCCAAGGGGACGTCGCTTTGAGAAGTGCTGCTCCTACTAGTACTAGAGCAACTGGCGTTCTTATTAAGTCCACGACCTCGTATGGGAGCGTCAGGATTGAAATCGACAAAGTTGAAATAATTTGTCATGCATAAAAAAATGGACGCCAGTTGGAACCCAGTTTCCAAGTGGCGCATGACAAATTTCAGTGGTTCCTAAATCCAGTCTGTCATGCTGTTTAGGCAAAGGCGAGTGATTTTCTCATGCTACTTTAGCAGCTCGAGCTGTAACCCCAAACAGGCTTACAATCGGCCTCACTTGCCTGCTCTGCAACACACGTACCTCGGGCCATGCATTTTATGCATTACAGATTATTTCAACTTTGACGATTTCAAACCTGACGCTTCCATACCTCGGTGGAGAAGAATACTACATCGATCCCGGCGGTGGTCCGGACCACCCCGATAAGTGATCAGAGAGATGAAGTAGCTGTTCCTGCAGCTGCTGTTCATACCACTACTTCCACACCGCCCAGCACTTTCGATGACGCTGCGCGTCGTGCCGCTGCTCTGGACAAGGCTACGAACAATTTTCGGCAGCCAAGTGAGATGATGTTTCACAGCAGCGACGAGGACGATGAAGACGACGATGAAATTCCCTCTATTACCCTCGGGGGGAAGCCGAAGGAGCTCCTTCGTCACGCACACGACACCAAACACGGAGGGACGCAGAAACAAGGCCGAAGGACGAAAATAAACTCGACCAGCAGAAGCCGGAGCACATCGAGGTCGCCGACTAAGTATGCACTGCAAAAGTATCGCACTCGTATAAATGCACTACAAATTTCCTCAGCATGAGAAATGAAATTTGTAATGCTGATTGACCTTAAGCAAAAGATTTGTAATGCAAGAATTGCATTTAATATTCGAGTACAGTACTTTTGCACAGGATACTAAGCAAGAGTTCGAGATTTTCCGAAATCTCCCCCGGAGTTTGAGTTTCAACTACGCAGGTGGAGGATCAGGAGCGGCCACCACGACTGGAAAAACGGTGCATGGTGGAGCAGGAGGAGTCAGTGCAGCTGCTGCATCTTCAGCTGCCTCTACGTTCGCAGGTGGTGGTTCATGTGCACTCTCAACAGCGGCCGTAACTACACCACGAACACTCGGGATGAAGAACATGAAAAAACAAGCTGCTGCTGCAAATCATGGATCATTGACGATGAATACAATGGACGTTGCCGGGTCTTCAGCATCAGCTACGCTGTCAGGGGGCGTAGCCGATCACGTCCCAACAGCGGGGGCGGATGTAAACAAGACAGAGCTGGCTCCTGGGCCCTCTAGTACAGGAGAACCCCCGGGTGGTCCGCGGCCCTCGGCTCCTCGCAGGTCGGCTGTTCAGGCAGAAGGAGCTCGTCTAGGAGGTACTAGTAAAAACGCAGCTAGTTCTTGCACAAACAGCAGAGTACCATCGCGTCGAGCAACTCTCACCGCATATTATGGGCTGAACAACAGGAGTAAAGTACCTAGTCGTGCAGCAGGAGGAGCTACTAGTACTAGTACAACTTTCGACGCCACCAGTCCCAGTGGCACAGGTGCAGCAGCTTCATCTACCGATAGTACTGCAGGAGCTGTACCTATGGAGGCGTCAGGTTTGAAATCGTCAAAGTTGAAATAATTTGTAATGCATAAAATGCGATACAAAAAGTGACTCTATTGCAGAGGACCCACGGGAGGCAGATTATAGTCCTGGTAAGGGTCAAAAGTTGGACTGCTAAGTAGCATGACAGAAGGCAGCTCTTTTGCCCTAAACCGCATGACAGACTCGCTTCCAGGACCGGGAAAATTTGTCATGCACCGACTACAAACTGTAGGTCTAACCGGTATCCGTTTTATGCATGACAAACTATTTCAACTTTGACGATTTCAAACCTGACACATCCATAGTACCTGCTGGTGTGGTGCGGAAGATGAGTGTATTGTGAGGAAAAATCCCCCCTCCCCATATCGAAAAGGCATGTTTCCGAAGATTTGTGTTGCTGATTTGAGGTCACAAATCACGTCTGTCTTGCAAGAAGACACGGGCAAAAGCTCCGCCCCCATTATGGAGGCGATTTGTCATGCTGTTGGGCCTAAAGCGGAGCCGTTTGCCATGCTGAACAACTAGACCGATACGCCCCTGCATAGCCTGGAGATCTGGCCGCGATGCCTTCCTGCAATACAAAGCCGATTTGTGTACACAGATCCCGCATCACAGATTTCCATTTCGATATGGGGTGGGGGGATTTTTCCTTTTGATAGAGTGGCGCGACGACGACAAGGGTGGCAGGGACCAGTCCGAGCTTGTCCATATCAAATGTAAAAATGTCTGGGTCCTCTGGAAGGGTCATGCTGTTTTTGCATGACACAGAAGGGCTGAGATGGAAGCTCTAGCATCACAGGTTTCGAGAAGCTTCCGCCATGCCGAGTTTTTCGCATGACAAATCCCCCAATTTGGTCACAGAAAGTGGGCAGCTTTTGCTACCTATGCATGAGAGATTTTTCTGTGTTCTGCAATGCGCATCACAGGTTTGTATTCTTCCAGACCCAGACACTTTTGCAATCCATAGTCCACGTCTCCGTACAAAAAACTAGTGCTTGCCGCTGTGCCAACTAGCAGTACTTGTATTTCATCTTCCCGAGGTCGGATTTCTAGAGATAGTGGTGCACAGACTTGCTCTAGTGCTACAACATCAAAAGTCACAAGAGCAGCGTCTGGCTCCACTAGTACTGCCACTCCCTCATCCACCTCTTTCGTCAGTAATACGGCTAACCGGGCGGCTATCCAGGAAAAAACACCCTTGGCCATCCATTTTTTAGATGACAAACACTGCACATTATGCATGTTTTGCATGACAAATTGGATGGGAGTGGGTGTTTTATGTTCCTGGATAGCGGCTGTGCGCCGACGGCTCTCCGCGGTGCAGCGCAGACAGTCGGTGCCGACGGAGCAGATAGCTTCGACTACCGTATCAATGTCTTCTCACAGTACAACCAGAGCTGGTCGTGCGCCGCCGACGTCGTCGCGTCAACAAGGGGCGGTAGTTTCTACTTCATGGAATAGCACAGCGACTGCTTCCCAAAGAAGGGCGCCGAAACATCAAGGCGTAGAAGTAGTGGAGATACGAACTACCATGAGTGCAGCTGGTGGTCCGAAAATAGAATCTCCTGAACAAGAAGAAGAAGGTGAAGGGGAAAATAAAGCAGGTGGTTCTGCGGAAGCTGTGCCGGCTTGTGTGAGGCAAAGTGATCATCACCGTGAAGTGGACGTCCTACCAACAGCAGTCGCGTCTGACATCGACGCACCATTCGACGCAGGAGCCGATCCATCAATAGATGGGAACTACACTCCTGCCACTGTAGCTGGTGACGAAGATGATCATCCTGTCCAGCTCCAGTATGCGTTGCAAAAGTATCGTACTAGTATGAATCGCATCACAAATTTTTTCAAGATGAACAAGAAAGATGAAATTTTTCATGCTGGACAAGGTACAAAGTTAGATTTGTAATGCATGCCTGACATTTTTTATTACTAGCTACGAGTGCGATACTTTGCCGACAGGATATCCAGCCCGTGGAACCGATTCCTTCCCCCTTGGGAGGGGAAACGAGTTGTTCGGACGCCGATTCAGCATGATCTTAACCACTTGTTAGAAATAGAATGCTTGCGCGTTCTTGACTTGTACTTACTAGCAATCGAACACCGATAACACAACATCAAAATGCAACGAGCACCAACAGAAGGGGAACAAAGCAAAGTCGTGCCCCCCCCGGGATTAGAAACGCGGGTCCGCGTTTGGTTTTTTGGCCAATTTCTGCACACACACTTTACACATTTGGCTTCGGGGCGAGTTGTTCTCTCAGGAGGTTCCTGGGCGCTCTTATTCTTGTCCGCGGCGCCCGGATGGGGCCATCGGAGCCGGGGCAGTTCCTTATTCTTGTCCGCGGCGCCCGGATGGGGCCATCGGAGCCGGGGCGACCCCTTATTCTTGTCCGCGGCGCCCGGATGGGGCCATCCGAGCCGGGGTGGCCCCTTATTCTTGTCCGCGGCGCCCGGATGGGCCACCGCGGGCCGGGGAGTTGGGGTCTTGGGAAGTTGGGGTTTTGGGGGAGTTGGGGTTTTCGGGGAGTTGAGGTTTTCGGGGAGTTGGGGTTTTGGAGGAGTTGGGTTTTTGGGGGAGTTGGGGTTTTGGGGGAGTTGGGGTTTTCGGGGAGTTGGGGTTTTCGGGGAGTTGGGGTTTTCGGGGAGTTGGGGTTTTGGGGGAGTTGGGGTTTTGGGGGAGTTGGGGTTTTGGGGGAGTTGGGGTCCTGGGGAGCTGGGGTCCTGGGGAGCTGGGGTCCTGGGGAGTTGGGGTTTTGGTGAGTTGGGGCCCCCGGAGGAGGAGAAGGTCTGGACCCGGGCGGGGGAGGCACGGAGGCCCAACCTCCGGAGGAAGAGGTCCGGCCTCCGGAGGAGGAGGAGGCCCAACCCCCGGAGGAGGTGGTCTGAGGTCCGGAGAAGGAGGTCCGGCCTCCGGAGGAGGAGGAGGTCCAACCCCCGGAGGAGGAGGGCGGACCTCCGGAGGAGGAGGTCCGGCCCCCGGAGGAGGAGGAGGTCCAACCCCCGGAGGAGGTGGTCCGGCCTCCGGAGGAGGAGGAGGTCCAACCCCCGGAGGAGGAGGGCGGACCTCCAGATGAGGAGGTCCGGCCTCCGGAGGAGGAGGAGGTCCAACCCCCGGAGGAGGTGGTCTGAGGTCCGGAGGAGGAGGTCGGGCCTCCGGAGGAGGAGGTCCTTCCAACCTCCGGAGGAGGAGGTCCTTCCAACCTCCGGAGGAGGAGGCCCAACCTCCGGAGGAGGAGGCCCAACCTCCGGAGGAGGAGGGCCGGTGTACGGAGGAGGAGGAGCTCCGGGGTCCGGAGGAGGAGGCCCGGTGACCGGAGGAGGTGGTCATGGTTTGGACGGAGAAGGCCTTGGGCGTGGGAGGAGGTGGTCCGGTTGGGGGAGGAGGTGGCCGGGGTTTTTGTTGGTGCTCGTGAAAATTGTTGGGTATGAACGGTTTTCGTCCTTAATTACATTTCTCAACCCCAGCCAAGGAACGAAAATACGAATACGCAATGACAGAGCGGTGCGTCATACCCGAAGAGGAAGGGGTCGCAACCACCGAGGGAACACTGGTAGAGTGCGACGGGGTGGACCTGCGAAAAGAATACAGGGACGCAGCGGCACAAGTGTGCACCCGCCGCATGGGGGATTTGAGCCCGACCCACTTGTTGATATGGGACAGCGGTCACTACAACGTGGTCAAGTTCAAGGCCTCCGGCTGGGTGATTCTGGATAACGGGAAGGCGATGCGGCTTACCCGCCTGGGGCGCAGGGAGTACATCCTCGACAAGCACAACGAACACCGATGCCCAAAGTGTGGGGATGTGTTGGACGACGCAAAGGCTCTGAAATACCACTTGGCGACCGGGTTCTGCAGAAAAGACAAAACGATCCACGAACAGGGAACCTTACGGGTGGCCAGGGTGGTAGAGCAAAAGAAAAAAGGCGAAAGGGAATCCCCTGAGGCGGGGCCGGTCGACATCTGGCACGACGGGAAGCAGATCGCCTCGGTGGCGAGGTTTGTCTACCTGGGCACAGAAATAGACCGGAACGCAGCCACTTCGTCGGAGACCCGACGGCGCTGCGCCATGGCCTTGAGCGTGGTGCGGTCGCTGTCAAAGATCTGGCGCGACAGGGAAATCCCGAAACACCTAAAAGCCGCCCTGTATAGATCGCTCTGCATCAGCGTGGCCCTCTACAATGCCGAAACTTGGGCGACAACGGAAGCCGACGAGCAGACGCTCCGGAACTTCCAGAGGCAGGCGCTCAGGTTCATCCTCGGATACTGGGAGTGGCAGGAAGTGCCGCCAAGGGAAGAGATGTGCAAGGCATTGGGGGTGCAGACCATAGAAACCGAGCTTCGGGAAAAACGGATAGCGTGGATCGCCCACGCCGCTAGAGATCCGTACGGCGAGGGATCAATAACCCGCATCGAGGACGAGATCAAGGAAAAAACGAGATGGGGAAAGCTGGCGGCGGACGACCTTGACTACTACCGGGTCAAGGTCGCCGACCTGAAGGCGCAGCGGCCTACGGGGGCGGTGGTGCGAGAGATGATAGTGCGGCGCAGACCCTTCGCTACGGTGAAACGGGAACCAAAAAAGAAGGGCCCTGCACCGGGAAAACCGTCAAAGAGGTCCAGAGAGATGCAGGAAGAGAGGCGCCAGCGGTTGGAAAAACAGAGGGAAGAGCAGGCACAAGCTGCACAGGCACTAGTAGACGCCCTGTCGGGAAAGCATTGGAAGCCATCGGGTAGCCGGGCGGGTTTTTGGGAGCTAGAAGAAGACCCGCAGTGCGTCTTCGAGGTCAGCGAGGTCTTCTTCTGCGAAAACACGGGGAGAGAGGAAGTAAATGTAGCCGGAGTGTGGTTCCAGAAGGAAGATGATGGCACATATATCCTCCGATAGGGAACGACTCCGAGAAGAAGGAAAAAACGAAGATGATAGAAATGCACGCACATCCACGACTCAATCGATTATTTCAGACTACAAGGACTACTTTTTACTGAAACCGGATAAGCGTATGAACTGAACTGAACTGAACCCCAGCCAAGAAGGGCAGCCATGTGCATGTAGTTGCTTTTGCGTATGTTGGCAACTATAGCTGAACCAGAGCTGCAAAAATGTGAATCGCAAAGACGAATACGACTGCTGGGATTTGTTTTTAATTCTATGTTTAAATCGCTCGCCTTCTTCGTCTCTTCTGTATGCAAATCAGAAACCGAGGATTAATATTTCAGGTCCAGGAAAATAAGTAAAGTAAGCAGATTCTCCCACGTTTTCCTTTGTGTTTTTACCTTGTTTTTGCTTCGAGGAAAAATTAATATGTGGAACAAATGTTAGATACGCTAATGACGGGCAGGTGGAAACCGCGCTTCTAAGACGAGCAATTCTACTGTACGAATCTCACGATCCAACTTTCCCTATCGACAACTACTTTCGGTGCCACTTTGCTAAGAGAGACACAGTCACGAGGAAGACCAAGACGAAGTGGTTTTCAGTTCGCGTGTTTTTGGCTTCAATTCCATTTCATCACATGACATCATTCGATTACTTGTGGCGTCAGTACGACCCATCGGTTGCCTCAGACATGGTTTGTAAATATGAAGAAGTACTACTAGCTGTCATGCCGCTATCCGTCCCAGTTTCGGTTGCTTTCTATTGCACTACCTGCCACGTCGGTTCCGGTGATAATTTTCATTGCGTAGTATTCTTCATGCTGTGTACAACTCTAGTTCCACTCGGACTTTAATTTCGGTTTTCATCGTGGTGCAACTGCAACTCGACTCCACTCGTCGGACTTTATGTCGGTTCTCATCGTGGTCGTGGTGCAAGAACTCGTTCTGTCATTGCTCACGAAAAATCGTGTAGTACTTACTTTTTAGCTGGTCTTGCTTATTTATCGTGCAAAAATAAAGATGACAAATCGTTCAACGTTGAGCACGTCGTTCGGTTCGCGGCTCGTGCGCTGAAAAAAAGGAAGACTCGTCCCCAGATGTCGGTCGTGCATTCTTTTTTATCGTACAACACAACTGCAACTACTTGTCGTGGTCATGAGAAAAGTAGTTCAAGTTGCAGCTTTTGCCAAAACTACGTCGAAATTTGCGCTGCCGCCGCTGGTGCGTTTGGTCGAGTATTTATTATATGACTTTTTATGGACTTCCTGCTGCAGTTTCAAGCGTTGTTTCCCCTTCGTTTGAGCCATGTGTCTCTAAAAACTTAAACTGTTTATTTCTTTCACTTTCCGCCCCGTACACTAAAATAAAAATTGTTTGACCTGATGAAGCAAAACCAAAACCAAAACTCCCCCAAATAACAAAAAACAAGATTTTTACAGTTTGTGCCTAATCGTATTTTACTCTTCATCCATGTGCGTTTTTGTTCCCCAGCAGAAGCACAGATGACGATGATGTCGACACAGCAGGAGGATCAAAAACAACACGCCCAGCGGGCGCCGATGACCTGGAAAAATGCGGCGAAGCCGGGAGCGAGTACCGCACTGGGACTGGCAACCACATGGGGAATGGTGAGTTATTCTTTGTAGATGCATTGACTCAGCTCAGACTTTGCTCACACCAGCCGCACTGCAAAGGCATCATTTGCTGACTATCCTGTTTACAGCATTGCAAATTGATTCCAAAACACGACTGGAATTATTGCCTATCATGGGGACGATCACGCGCCGCGTGGTCACAAATGTTCCTGTCATTGTTATTGCAAATCCGCATCACAAGAACTCGGGGGCGGCGGTGGGAGCCTTTTTGGTTAACAGGGTGAAATCTGAACTACTCAAAAAAAGCTCAACGTCTAGAAATAAAATAAGAATCAACTATTGAAAATTTTAAACTCTCTCCCACTGCTCTCTACTACTTTCAATTTTTTTAAAACAGCGGCCACAACTCGTCGCGAGGAACGCGAAGACGAGAGCGGGTGCTACCGCGCTGGCAACATGGCTGACGTTGTTGAAAAGTGGGCCTTTTACAACAACGGTCGAGGGATACAATCCGCGACCGGGAGGTGGCACAACCACATCTACTGTCGCAAAAATGGGACCGGAACTACAAGATGACGAAAATAACAACCGAGGAGACGACGAACTGCCAACAATAACACACGTCGAACACCTATCCAAGGAAAAAAAATGTGTAAGTGTAACTTTCTTTAGGTGCTGACAGCATCACAAATTTGCTCTGCATGACAGAGAAAGCCTGTCACGCGTGGTTTGTAAGGGAAAACACACATGAAAAGAGGACTTGATGGTTGTCTGGCATGACAGGCGTGCCTCTGTTGCATGTTTTGCATTACAGAGTTTGTTACACTTACGCAGTTTTTTTCTTGCGATAACACCGGCAGAGCATTCCGGTGTCTTCGCTCGGAGGCAGGATCAACATCCCCGCCAGCACCTCGAGTGCTGCAGCCGCGCCACGACCTCCTACTTCTCAAAAAGAAGCTGCAGCAGCAGGAGCTCCACGCAGGGCCTCTTCATCTGGTCGTGAAAGTACTTGGAGAGCAGCACGATCTAGTACTTCTTCTTCTTCCTCTTCGTTCGTCGAAACCACAAGACGGGAGAGTACGGAAAAAAACCACCAGGAGCACCAGACAACCTCAACCGCGCACGACACGAACGACGATTTCGGCTGTGAGCACGGTGCCTGCGGTGATGAGGACTCTAGATACGCCAAGAGAAAACTGTTTGTTCACTGTAAAGTTTACAGTGAAAGAACCTGTAGTAATGCAGAAAATGCATCGCTGAAGTGTTTGTCTTGCTGTGGACCCCCAGGATCAGGTAGACGAGGTCCCAGACCGAAGTGGTAGGCGCTTAGGGTGAACTATGTATGTAGGGCCCTTCCGTGCGGCCAATTTGTATGTCCCGCAACGGGGTTCGCCTATGTCGGTCATTTGTATGTGAGGCGATGGGTTACCCGGTCGGCAGAGCCGATCCACAACGAACGAACGATACACATGCAAGACGAGTGATTTTTCGCGGCGTTTCCCCTTAAGATCCTCGCATGGCGAGTTTTCTTTGTAAAAATGTGTAGCGAGCTTGTAATGCAAAACTTGCAATAAAATTCTATACAGTGAAACAGTTTTTTCTTACGATACTAGAGGCCCAGAGGCCACAGTCGACCTGCACTCCGCCACGAAGCCCAGGATGCAGCCTGGAGGTCGGAAGAAAACTGCGGGGGGTCCTCCTATGGGAGTGTCAGGATCGAAATCGACAAAATCGAAAAACTTGTAATGCATAAAATGCAGGGCACGCAAGGCCTGTGTTGGGGAGAAGGCAAATGAGACCGATAATTGCAAGCCTGTTTAGGGGAAGAAGACGCGTTGCCAGAGAAGCATGACAGGAGCAGTGTTCTTTGCCCAAACAGCATGACAGACTGGATTTTGCAGCTCCCGAAATTTGTCATGCGCCACTTGGAAACTGAGGGCCCAACTGGTATCGATTTTATGCATCACAAATTTTTCGATGTTGTTGATTTCGATCCTGACACATCCATACCTCCCCGTGCAGATGAGGAGAATGGCGATGGATGGTCGTGTACCATTTGTAAAAACGTCTCCACCTCTTCCCCAGAGTCAAGTAGACGGGAAATCTGCTAGACAAATCAGCATGCTTTGGCTGTTGCGCATGACAAGTTCTTTGGGCGCGTAGTCGTGTGCTAGACGTCGCTTACGTTATTTCGCGCTAGTGCAGAAGCATCGCACATGCAGCATCTTACGCTGATTTGAGCATCACAAATTCAGATTCCAAAAGAACGCGTACGAGTAGAATACTAAAACACTTCTACCACTACTCATGGGGCTTCGCATACGAAACATTTTGAGCATGCAGCTTTGCATGACAAGAACTCTGGGCACGACCACCTGGGGACATTTTTACACAGGATATCGTGTGACGACGACGACGACGACGATGGTGGAGAATCCGGACTGTGTATCCTGAGTAAAAGTGTCCCCATACCAGAGTCAAGATGGGAAATCTGCTAGACAATTCTCCAAGCTTTGGGAGTTTTGCATGACAAGTTTCCATCTGTAGTGTACTGCTGTTTAACAAGAGAAGCAGCATGAGAAAGCGAGCTTCTCATCCTGTTTACAGCATTACAAAGTCCAAAAAACGATTGGAAAGGCCTCTCATGGAGATGCGCATCACAAATCTTCCTCTCATTGCACATTTGCATGACAACTATGGGGTGGGGACGCTTTTACATACGATACTGTGCCCAGGCGGGTCCTCGTCCTCAACTCGCCCCGTCGAAGCGATGATGGCTCCGCCCGGTGGTCGTGAACAAGTTCTATCAAATGTAAAAATGTCTGGGTCTGGAACGATGCAACTTGTGATGCGCATTTCACACCACACAAAAATCTGTCATGCATGCAAGCCAAAAGGTGCACATTTCCGGTCACCGAAAGAAGTGCTTTGTCATGCGGATGACGCATTAGGAGACCTTCTCAAACAAAACCTGTCACGCTAGGGCGTGCATGGTAGACCTTCTGGGTCATGCCAAAGCTGCATCACATACCTCTGCATTTTTCCAGACCCAGACATTTTTACATTTGATAAGTTCAAGGAGGTGACGATCATGCTGGTGTTCTTACTCACCAGCGCGCGGCGCAGATGTCTTCCAACACGGGTCGTGGTCCTGCTGCGCGGGTGGTCACTGCGAATGCAAATGCGGGAGTAGGGGTGCAACAACTTGATTTCGACATTCCCGACCGAAATGGAGAGATCGTCGGCCACGCGACCATGGTCCCCGCTACCGGCGTCGTATCCGTGACGGCCACCCAGGGAAATACGGTGAGACAGTCTCCTATGGAACTGTCAAGATTGAAATTGACAAAGTTGAAAAATTTGTGATGCATAAAACCGATCATACCAGTTGAGAGCCCCATTTCCAAGCGGTGCGTGACAAGTTTCTACGTCAGCGAAATCCAGTTTGTCTTGCTGTTTAGCGAAAGAAGGCATCCTTTGTCATGCTACTTTAGCAGCTCTATCTCAAACGACCCATTGCAGGCTCACAATCGGCCTCACTTGCAATCCCTGCAACGCAGTCACTTCGTGCCTTGCATTTTATGCATCTTCACAGATTATTTCAACTTTGTTAATTTCAATCCTGACACAACCATATCTCCGGGAGGACGGGCCGCAAACGGGCAGCAACTGCCCCCCGAAGTCTGGATCGAAACCAAGGATGGCGAATGGGTGTTTGTCAAAGCGCCGTACGTCTCTTACGACCCGGTGACCGGGGAAGTACGAGTGCCCGACCCTACTGGTACAGCTGCAGCGACTGTGCCAACCTCTGCTCAGCAGCAGCTGTCCCGGGGAAGAAGAGGACGACGAAATCTCGGGGGGAGACAAGATGAGCAAGAAGATCTATCCTGTGCAAAAGTATCGTACTAGTCGAAATTGCATTACAAATTTCCTCAGCATGAGAGATAAAATTTGTAATGCGGACTTACATTAAGGAAAAGAAAAAGATTTGTAATGCATGACTGCAATGCCTAGGACTACGAGTGCGATACTTTTGCACAGGATGAGATCCCTTGGAAAACGATCCGCTGATGCAGCCCGATCCTGATTTGGATCTGCATGTTATCCTGAGTAAAAACGTACCCACACCAGAGTTGTAATGCAAATCTGCATGCTGAAAATGTTTCTCATGCGGAGCTCCATGAGAAGCATTTTCTAGTCGTGTTTTGCAATTTGTCATGCTCCAATCAGCATGGTATGCTAGATCTGTGATGCTGCTGAGCTAGCTCAAACAGCACTACACTACGAATCCAAATTTGTCATACAAAACGGCCAAAGCTTGTGGATTTGTCTAGCCGATTCCCCATCTTGACTCTGGTGTGGGTACGTTTTTACTCAGGATACATGTTGGCGAGACGGGGAACTACAACAACTACCCCAATTATGGGCCGCCTCGTCCTCCCGCACCGCCCGCTTGGCAGCAGCAGCAGCAGCAGCAGCAGCGATACGGTTCTGTCGCTTATTCCAACCAGCACCTCGTGCTGGGCCAACCTGGCTTTCCCGCTGTTCTTGGTCCTGCTGTTGCAGGAGGAGCTCCGTGGGCGCCTGCTCCAGCTGCGCCGCAAGACCGAAACCGAGGGGGGTGGAACAACGACAAGAGCTGGTGGAAAGAGAACCACGGCAACCACGAGTGGAACGACGGCAACTGGGGGCGGAAAAACCACGGCGACGGGTGGAAGTACGACTACCGGGGGCGGAACAGCAAGTGGCGGCAGCCGCAGCAGCCACAGCAGCCGCCGCCGCAGCAGCAGCAGCAGCAGCTGTTGCGGCAGCAGCAGCAGGAGTTCCGGCGGGAGCAGCAGTTGTTGCAGCAGCAGCAGCAGCAGCAGCAGTTGTTGCGGCAGCCGCAGGAGTTGTGGCAGCAGCAGCAGCAGCAGCAGATGGAGCAGCAGCAGCAGGAGTTGTGGCAGCAGTTGCAGCAGTTGCAGGAGATGGTGCAGCATCAGCAGAAGGAGTTGTTGCAGCTGCGGCAGCAGCAGCCGCAGTGGCAGCAGCAGCAGCGGCAGCAGATGGAGCAGCAGTTGCAGCAGTTGCAGGAGATGTTGCAGCGGCAGCAGCAGGAGTTGTGGCAGCAGTGGCAGCAGCAGCCGCAGCAGCAGCCGCAGTGGCAGCAGCAGCAGCAGCAGATAGAGAAGCAGCAGCAGCAGTTGCAGCAGTTGCAGCAGTTGTTGCAGCGGCAGCAGCAGGAGTTGCGGCAGCAGTGGCAGCAGCGGGGTCCTCCTGCTCCTCAACAACGACCGCCAGATGACCTTCGTCCAGATGGCCATCCTCCTGCTCCTCGAACGCCGCCGGCCCCCGGCGTCCACACGACCTACGAGTTGTCTTTCCCCCGTGAACTTCGCCCGGTCCACCCGGAAGAGGTTTTGGGTGAGGACTCTTTCCCCCCGCCGATATCCAGTGCAAAAGCATCTTCGCACTCCTGCTCGTCGTACTTCTAATCGCAGTTATGCATGACAGATCTATGACCACCTGAGGGAACAAGTAGTGGTCAGCATATAATAAATTAACAAGCTCGACGTCCTGCGTTTCTTCCCTACGGAAAAATTTGTACTATTTTTGCGATTTCTACTATATACGATTACGATTATACTTTTGCAATGGATAGCCGATGTTGCCCGACAATGCAGACGACGCGGAGTTTATCCAGGAAAAAAACTGTGTAAGTGTAAGCTTCTTGGTGGAAGAGCATCGCAATTTTGCTCTGCACGACACAGAAAACCTCCTCCTGTCATGCGTAGCTAGTACGTGAAAACACGCACGAAAATTCAAATTGCCTCTGATGCATGTCCAGCATGACAAGTGTAACAGTTTTGCATTTTCTGCAACGCAGAGTTACACTTACACAGTTTTTTTCTTCCATAGAGTTCGTCGGGGTGGTGTCCGTCGTGACGCAGGTGCTGGTTCTGACCCACGAGCTGCTGGAAAGCTACGAGGGGATTCGAAATTGGGATCCGCCACATCCTGGTATGTTGTCTCGAATTCAACAATTCATCGACGACAGTACCTCCTCCACCTCCTGTCCGTATTTCAGCCAAGAGAATGCCCGGAAAGTGCGCAGCGGGCCCGCACAACCCAAACCGGAAGCCAAACCGGCCGCAAAACCGGGTGCAAAAGCCAGGAACCTGAGCAGCCTGTTGCTGTCTGGCCAGTTGATCTCGTCCCAGCTGTTTTTCATGAACGACTTGGACCAGGTCCGGGAGTGGCTGGTGGACTTCGACAAGTACATTCAGGAGGAAGTTTATCCTGAGAAAAAACTGTCTCAGTCTCAACTTGTAATGCGCAACTTCCTTGGGACAGTTTTTTGTCAACATGCTCGACATGCAAGAAAGAGAAAGTCGTCTTTGATCATATGTGTTTTCCGTTTTTGTGTTTGACGCATCACAGGTTTTCCGTGTCATGCTGAGCAAATTTGGGTTGCCGAGCCAGACAGTTTTTCTTGCGATAATGTTTTTATCGAGAAGATTGTTCTTGACGGACGAGAACAGCCAGCGAATGACCCTGGTGCCTTCTGGTCGCACAACGCGCTTCACAAGAGGATTTGCGAATATGCAGCTCACGATCCCCCTCATGGTGATGACTATTTCGAGGGGGGGGATATCACGTTGGGCCGCCCAGTTGTTGATGGAACGCCGCGAGCGCCGTGGTCGTGCTTTATCAAGCCTGAGGCCACGGCAGGGCCGAGCCGTGCGCCCGACGAGAAGCAAAAACGTGTAAAGCTGGAAAGGCACGCTGCGCTCTGCGGCGCGCAAAAACATTTGATCGAGCCGCTGCAGAAATTTCTCGGGTTGGGGCAAGCAGGTGTCAATGGGGTGCCGTCGAGAGCACATGTGCCGTCGAGAGAAGAGCGAAGAGGAGACGACTTTGGGACGCAGTTCCACTTGCCCGAATGGGTTCTTCAACTACTGCAAGAAGGGAAGCAGAAGCTCGACGGAGCGAAACTGTGCAAAAGAGCTTACGTCAAGGACCCCCAGCATCCGACCAGCGACACCGCTGAGCCCATGTGCTCCGACGTTCTTCATACGCGGTCGTGCGAGATTTTGCGCGTAGACTTCTGTGAAAGAGTTGAGGATTCGGGTGGTGGCGGTGTTAGCGGACAATTGGGGGTGAATCCGAGGAAGTTTTCCGAACTGGGCTCGTCGCACCCAAACAACGGGAAACCTTGCTGCGAAAGGAGCGCAGCCGGCATCAACGTGTTCGAGCAGGGTTACTTCGAACAGATATCAAATGCAAATACGTCTGGGTCTGGAAGAATGCGACTTGTGATGCTGCATTTGGATTCCAAAAAAATCTGTATTGCATGAGCAGCAAAGGGAATGCGATCTCTGCTCCGTGGAGTGGGCATTTGTCATGCTGAGTAGGCATCTGCAAGATGCCCTAAAAAAATCTGTGATGCTACGGCATGCATTACAGACATCATGGCCCATGCAAAATGTGCATGACAAGCTCCGACTCTTCCAGAGCCAGACTTTTTTGCGTTTGATAACAGAATCAAAAACCCTTACGCAAAATGCTTGGCGCGTCGAATGAGCACACGACGCGACTTCTCTCCGACTCGAACAAAGATTTTGGCGCAACGCACGAGTTATGGATTGCAAACGTGTCTTCATCTGCGTGGATCTCTGGAAACAACAAGGAAAACTACCTGTGAAGTAGTAGATCCTCTGTAAATAACCGGTTGGGGATGATTTTTGCAATGCTCGAAGGAGCCAACATGGCTGCTTTCTCGCATGACAAATTGAAAGGAACAAGCTAGAGCCCACCTATTGCTATTACAAGTTTGGCTTTATTTCTACTTCCAGATCCAGACATATTTGCAGTGCATACGAGTTGGCGCGGGAGTTGGTTCTCACGGAATTGCAGCTCGTCGAAACGTATGCATTGCAAAAGTATCGCACTCGTAGTAATTGCAGTAGTTATGCTGCATTACAAATCTACATCCCAAGGTAAAACAGCATGACAAATTCCATTTGTCATGCTGAGGTAATTTGTAATGCAATCAAGTACTGCTAGTACGACGTGCACGATGCTTTTGCAGTTCATAAAACTTATGCGTTGCAAAAGTTGTATCGCACAACTAAGACTAACATTTTAGCAGCACCAGAGAAGATCTGCGCATCACAAATTTGGTCAGCATGAACAATAGAATTTTCGTATGCTGGTTCTTAGCATACGAAGATTATAGGTCTGGTTTTTAGCGTACGAGAAAGAAAATCATACATGATTTTTACCATTACAGTTTGTTAGGAGTATGATACTTTTTTTGTACAGGATAAAGATCTGAACGCGGTGAGCGAGTTGGGACTTCGTGACGAAGCCGACCTCTTACGAGAATTCGGCCGAGAATTCGGCCTTCCGTATGGGAGTGTCAGGATTGAAATCGACAAATTTGAAACAATTTGCAATGCATAAAACGGATACCAGTTGGCCCCTAGTTTTCAAGTGGCGCATGACAAATTTGAGTAGAACCGAAATCCAGTCTGTCATGCTGTCTGGGTAAGGAAGGCGCCTTTTGTGATGCTACTTTAACAGCTCTATTTCTACAACCCCTCAACAGGCTTACAATCTGCCTGCCTTGCCTACTCTACAAGACAGGCATTTTGTGGGTTGCGTTTTATGCGTCGCCAACTATTTCAACTTTGACGAGTTCAATTATCCTGACGCTTCCATATTCCGGAACCAAGCCCGCGGCACACATACCAAAAGGTCCAGCAGATTTTGGCTCCGGAGCGGCAGCGGCTGCAGCACCTGCGGTGGCTGGTAGATTTGAATGACGTCGAGTTGTTGCGGAGGCAGAGCCCTATTCAACCTCAACGGGGAGGTCCTCCGGTGCCTAATGCGGCAAGTAGATCACCTCCAACGCGAACGCCGCTCGACCAACTGAAGACTGCGATCATCGAGTTCCAGTTCAAACCAATCGTCGAGTTGCACACCTTATGAATCGCAAAAAGCAGATCGTCATCGTAAGTACTACTAATAGTATATTCATCATAGTGCGAAAATCATATGCGCCGGCGCTGCAAATCTTTTTCCTAAGGTAAATCCGCACGGTTGCAGCAAAGTCCATTTCTCATGCTGATGAAGTTTGTAAGTAAATGCAATAGCAATTGATGTTACTAGTAGTAGTACTAGTAGATACGATTACGATACTTTTGCAATGCATACACGTTTGCTCGCATCTACCTGGATCATGAACAACAGCCGGACGCCGCCCAGCCGCCGGGTTCAACACCTTCGTCCCCTGGTGCTAGTGCAGCAACAGCAACAGCTGCATGGCAAATGTCTGAGGACATGAAAGTACAGGCGGAAAAAATAACCGAGGCCGTGAAAGGGGATCGCGCGTTTTGCCCCTTGTTGCCAGGGCGAAGGGAAGCTGACTACATGCCGAACCTGGTCCACTTCGAGAAGTGGAAGGTTTTCTACGCCGATTCTGTGCCTCGGGGTGTTTTGTCGCAGGTTCTTGAACGCATTCCCGAAGAGCAGAGGGAGACGCTTCGTAACCAGGTTAACGAGGCACGCAACAATCCCGATGAAAACCGTGATTTGATGTTCGGTCAACTTGACGCGTATGAGGGCCGCAGAAAAGCGCTGCGTGACGCGGAAACAAGTATCGTGACTGGTCCGCTTGAGTTTTTGCGAACCGCGATGTGCGAGTATTCCTATGGAGCGAAACGCGCCTTGCACCAGTACGACGCCAAACTTGTTGCTTTTGCGAACAAGCGTCATGGTCGGCATCCTGATTTGCCGCGGATCCAAAGCAGAACGGACCATTTTCTGGAGGCGAGTGGTACCCCCGTTTCCCGAGCTGGGGCTGCACCAGCAGGTGCAGCACCGCAAGCGGCTCCTGCAGGGGGATCTCGTGGAGGAGGAGGAGGAGGAAGTCGATCCCCCCAACAAGCACAATCGAGACCACAAGCGGCGCGTCGTTCCTCTTCTGCGCTGGAGCTCCCGCAGCAGAGCAATTCCCAAAACAGCATCTCGTCCGTATGGGAAGCTTCTCAAATGTTACATTCTCAACTGTCACATGAGTTTGTGATGCAAAAATGACAAAAGTGAAAGGGGTGACCTTGCACGTCTCGCATGACCACAGATTTGCGTCAGAGATTCTCAGACTGTTTGGCTGTTCTAGAATTTGTCATGCGAAGCAGCTTGAAGATCGCGTCGATTCTGCTTGTAGTTTTGCATGACAAAAAATCATACAGCAGTTCAAGATGAAACATTTGAGAACCCCATAGTCCGCAGACGAGGACCACGGGTCTCCTACTACCTTCACTTCCATGCTGGAAACCATGACGAACAAAGAACTCTCGGACCTACTACAATGAAAAATGCCCCCACGACGACGACCCCGAAATTTGAAAAAGTGTCTCACGCATGAGATTTTCAAATGAACAAGAACTTTTTGTCTATGCATGAAAGGACTCCCGCGAGTCTTTCTGGTGCAGAACCGAGATGCCTGCGTAAGGTACCTTCTGGACCATAACAGACCCGGCTCCTGTTGTTGGGCTCCTTTGCAGCACAGATTTGCGCTATTCATCAACAGGGAGATGACTTTGTGACGCTGATACAAGCAAGGCGGGGAATTTTTCCATTGGAAAGGTTTGCACACACAAACGCTGCCAAGTTCTCGGGTGGGGGCATTTTTCATCGTAATACGCCGCTGATGTTGAGGCCGCCCGGGTGGTCTTTGATGAAGCTGAAGCTGGTGAAGTTGAGGCCGCCCACGTGGCCTCTGGTGAAGCTGAAGGTGCTGGTGAAGTTGAGGCCCGCGTGGCCTCTGGTGAAGCTGAAGGTGCTGAAGATATCCTGAGCAAAAACGTCGTCCCCACCTCAGACTCAAGATGAGAAATCTGCTGGAAGATGAGAATAAATTTTTGACCAGTTCGTGGTCAACAGGGTCGTGAAGACGTTGTGTCGAAGATGACAGGTTCTTTGGCCTCGTAGTCGTCTAAATGCTAATGCTGTTTAGATAGTTCAGAAGCGTCTTCACAGATCTAGATCTACTACGTAAAGCATATTGAAAAGTAATCCTTTTATGCTGATAATTCGAGCAAGACAAATGCAAATCCCCAAAGTACTAGAGCTGCATCAGACATAAATGCTCCTCATAAAGCTCGTCCGCATGAGAAATCAATTTTCTGCATGACGAGAACTCTGGGCTCGACGTTTTTACTGAGGATAGTTCTTATCGGCGACGAGGGCGACGACGACGAAGATATCAAAAAGAAAAAGCCCCCCTCCCCATATCGGAAACGAAATTTGTGATGCTGTATATGAGTACACAAGAAATCGACTTGTATTGCTAGAAGGCCAAGAGACGCAGTTGTGGCCTGAATTGCAGGCAATTTTTCATGCTGTTTCCCACTTCCAGTTGCCTCGTGTCATGCTGGAGATGCAATACTTCCCTACGCTAGGTAGCACTACAGTCCGCATCTACTTTTGCCTTCTAGCATCACAAAGCTGATTTGCGACCACAAATCTGCATCACAAATGTCCATTTTGATATAATGGGGGGGATTTTTGTTCTTGATAGACGACGAGAGAAGTTCTTTGGCCGTCACCATCGGAGAGGAGGGAAGCACCAGCACGGTCTATCAAATACAAATATCGAAGATCTGGGCCTAGATGAAGATTTTTGCAGGGAGGTTTGTTGATGTCATGCGCAGACCGTCGCTTTCCATGCCGCCCATGACTGAAGTCTGAAATGCTGCAGGGCTTTGTTCTAGCGTGACAGATTAAGTACAACGTGAGTAGTTCTTTCTCTCATGCCTGTTCTGCTTCTGCATGACGTGCATGACCACGAGAAAAACCCTGCTTTATCACCTTGAGACCAAAATTTGGCAAGAACTCTTGGAGGCAACCATGCAACGTTAGATTTTTGTGTGACCACCACCGACCCCCATGATTAAGCACATCAATCAATCAAACCAGGAGCATTATGCATCATTTTAATATTTTAGACCCAGACACAATTCTTGCAATGCATACGGGCCTGCTGGAAACCGAAGATCCCGCGACGAACAAAATTGCTCCGGCTGAAGATGCAGCGGTAGTATCCTGTGCAAAAGTAATATGATCGTACTCGTAGTAATTGCAGTCATGCATTACAAATCTCGTTCCCAAGGCAAATAAGCATGACAAATTCCAGTTGTCGCGCTGAGCAAATTTGTAATGCAATTATTATGACTAGTACGGTAGTACTTTTGCAATTCACATGCCGCGGCTGCAGCGCCCACGACAACTACGCGGAAGAGAAACCTTATGGAACTGTCAGGACTGAAATTGACAAAGTTGAAATAATTTGTAATGCAGAAAATGCATGACGCGAGGTACGTGTGTTGCAGAGCAGGCAAGTGAGGCCGATTGTAAGCCTGTTTGGGGTTAGGGCTCGAGATGCTAAGGTAGCGTGAGAGAATCAGTCTTCTTTGCCTAAACAGCACGACAAACTGGATTTTAGGACCGCCAAAATTTGTCATGCGCTACTTGGAAACTGGGTTCCAACTGGCATCCATTTTATGCATGACAAATTATTTCAACTTTGTCAATTTCAAACCTGACGCTTCCATAAACCTGAAATTCCTCGAGCGCGTGGCGCCGCAAGAAAAGAAGACGGCGGAGAAGGATATCCCAAGGAAAAACGTCCTCAACTACTTCAAGTTTATTGGGTTGTCGAGCATGACAAGTTCTAGTACGTGCTATTGACTTTCGGCTCGTAGTGGTCTAATAATCCTCTTGCTTCAGCTAGTAGTCGTGCAATCGCAGTAAAAAGTGACTACCTTAACCTTACTCTGATTGTTCTAGCATGACAAAGAACTACTCCACCTCCCAGACTGGATTTTTAGAAATAAATGGCTTTCATGCAGCTGGGACTGCGCATCAGAAACGTTTTAATTATGCTTGCGGGTTTACAACGTGACGAGAACCCTGGGGAGGTGGGGACATTTTTACTCAGGATTCCAGCGGAAGCGGAAGGACAAGAAAACGAGGGGAGCCAGAGCCAGGAGCAGCCCGCCAAGTATGGATTGCAAAAATGTCTGGGTCTGGAAGATTGCTAGGTTTGTCATGCACGTTTTGCGTGACGCGTGAGTGTCTGTGATGCATGACCTAGCATCACAGACAACTTTTAGAGGCTCTCCTAAATCAGGATGAGAAATGCTCTCTCCGTCTAACACAAAGAAATGGACTCGCTCTTCTTGTTGGTCATGCAATACAGATTCTTTTGGAATTCAAAGACAGCATTACAAGTTGCAACCTTGTTCCCGACCCAGACACTTTTGCAATGCATACCAAGCCGGCGAAAACAACGGAGCGAAAGTTCCTGGCCCCCCGAGGTGAGGAATAGACGTGGAAAGGGGGGGAAGATTTTTTTTCATGGCAGGTGGACACGCCTGCTCTTTTTTTTTTTCCATTTTTTTTTTTTGCTTCGTGGCGCTTGCTAGGGTGTTCCTTCGGGGATCCTTCCGCCGTGATCCTGTAGTGGCTTTTCGGACGAGATCCACCGTGATGCGACGGCCTAGAAGCTCGCAGAACGAAGAACGACAGAAATGCGCGCAAGCGGCCTTGCGGGGGGCCATTTCTTACCATAGCGCGCGACCTATTTATTCTTTATTCCTGGCGGAACGCGACCACAGCACCCGACGGATGGCGCCACGAAGCGTTTTTTTTTTTTTATTTTTTCACCACCGTTTTTGAAATATTTGCTTCCGCTTCTCGCGATTCCTATGTCTGAGGTATGTTTTAACATGTCAGCGAAAGTAGTTTTTTTTTCAATTTTGAATTGCAGAGACAGAGACACAGCTTCAATAGCATCAGCATCTGTGCACTTCCTGTTACTTACATTTTTAACTTATCCTTCTCACAACTATTTTTTCAGGAGCTTGTTATGCAAAGTCACGCAACCACGAGCGTTTCTATTGGGTAGCGCTAGGACGACGTGAGCAGAACCAGAAGGCAAACCCTTCTTCCCCGGAGTAGGCCCACGCTCCCAATAGTGAAAATAAACAGGCTTCCGCTCCTCGTTTCTTGCTCGTGCTTTTATTCATTTTTTCAACTTTTTTTCTTTTTCTAAACTATTTACATTTTGAATTCGTTTCCCTTTCCTCGTTTCGTATTACTTTTTGACATCGATTATTTTGAACTAGACTCATCATCATCTTATCGTGGCACTTGATATCACATTACATTATCACATGACGTTTTCGTACTATTATTTCACATTATCGCTACATCAACTAGTATCGCATTTGCATTCGAGTAGAAAAACGAGCCAGAGCCTAAATGTAAAGATGAAAGTACTACTTCTACAGAGGCCTCCGCCTCTTCATGAAGACGATAGCGCGTTCCATCCTTGCGATAGCTTGAGCTTAGGAACGCAAAGAAACCGATCTTCGACGAACGCAAAGGAACAACGCCCAGCATCAAAAAAGAGGCGCTCACAACTCGAAGAACTACTCCTTGTTGTCCTATTGTCATCTAATATTTTCTTGTAGCAGATTTTCATCAATATTCAATATCAATTTTGATTTTATAGCTTTTTTTCTTCCAAACCACACATGTTTCTGATAACATAACGCACGTTTTTTCTACCTTATTTCCAGTTGAGATCCCAGCATTTCTTCGGCACCTCCAATGTACAGAGTCAAAGCTGATAAATTTTCCTCGCAAAAAATCAAAAACAGTACAACTAGCTGCACCAGACCTATGGCACCTGATGTTGATTGTTTCCATCATCTTTTTCGGATGTATTTTGAGCCATTTTTTTTCTGCATGCTCACAAGTCAAGTTAGTAGAAGCCGGCCTTACATACTACAACCACACGAGCACCGCATCTCTACGACGAGGAGCTAGGGACAGAAGTATGCATAAAAAAGGGCGTGCTGGGCGAATCTCAACATTCTTAAAAAGGTTGCAGATGGTGATGGGAAGATCACGATTACAAATATGTTGGGCGATGACAGGGACGTCGACCATGAGCATGTTACGAGTGCTTCTTGAAGACGTCGACCGCTACGTGATCATCTTCTGTTTGGAACAATAAAGATTTTCAGCACGACAATAATTGTATTTCGTTCATCTTCTTGTACTTCGACGTAGTCGTACAGCTACAGGCGTAAAAATGTTGACATTAACGAGTCAGCAGGTGATTTCTTCGGTTCATTATCTACGTTGTATACAAGATGTCGGTTCTTTGTCGTGCAGAAGTATCAATGAGCAAGATTTTATAGGCTTCGTGAATTGATAAAAATATGTGAAGATGCAGTCGGTTCTTGTTTCTCATCTTGTTCTCTATAAAACATCGGTTTTTTCGCTTTCCTCGTTCATCGCATTTGATGATGCACTTAATATTGAAAACGTCCTCGGACCGGGACCATTCTCCTATAAGTGCTGTTGAGTCGTGACCCTGATCGACTTCGTGCCACCGCGTTGTGCGGCAACTTGCAGCAAGAAGACCGTGTGGTCGTCGTGGTCGGTTTTTACATTTTCTTATCGATAATTTATCTTAATCTTTCAGTTACACTGTTAAAATCGGTTATTATTTACCGGCTCGACAAGAAATCGGAATAGCGTGCTGGTCCGCAGCTTCTCGTCCACTTCTACCGCTTCTCGTCCGACAACTTTATACTTTGCGTATATAATAGTTCCTGCGAACAAGGCGCAATCGTACCACCTCCACGTTCTCGCGAAAAAGAATTTTTCAGTACTCGTACTACTAGTCGTATTATACGCACATACACTACCTGCTGTTGTAGATGAAGCAGCCTTGTTCGTTCATCCTCCTCTGTGCTGAGTAGATAGGTGGAGGACAAAGAGGAAGTTAGTACTTCCATGACCTGCAATGTCTCTCTGATAGAATTGATAGCCGGAGGAGAACTAACCCCCCCGAATGCTTTCGAGGGGTGGCACCAGCGCGAGAATTTCGCACTCGCGCCGCGCTTGGGCGCGTGCTGGAGGGTCACGACCACAAGGGGCCTGCTGCCCTATGTCTGTTAAAGCTTCTGAGAAACTACGGACCTGCCTTCCGTCGAGAAATAAAGGGGTTAGAAGTCCGACGTGAAAAAGCTTTCACTTTGGAAAAGTGAGAAATCGTTGACAATTTCCCACTCCGTTCTTTCTCGAAGGTTTTCGAGAATTATCGGAGTGAAAAGTCATTACTTCGCTTCTTACTTCTGAAAAGTCTTCATTCATTCTGGAAAAGTGAGATCCCTGTTAGTGGCAGGGAGTTGGTGCTCCCTGTTAGTTGTGGAGATCCCTGTTAGTGGAGATCCCTGTTAGTCCCACGACCCTGGGGCCCGCGGGCGTGGTTCGATCCCTGTTAGTGGCAGGACTGTTTTGACGGATCCAGCGCGCCGGCTTTTGTCGCTGCATGCCAGCGGCGTGCTCTTGGGGGCGGCGCGTTGCGATGGCTCGGCCAAAGAGCCCCGCAGCGAGCCTCGTAGGCCGGCCACAGACATTGGCGCCCTGGGGTTTTTTCGCCAGGAATTGGCCTAGATGGCTGGGGTGTTCCGTGCTTTAGCATTGGAGCCGATCTGGGTGCTCGGCCGGCGCAGGTCTTTTCCCCCTTCGGTAGGCATCAACCGGCGTGGATGGGCCGGGCCCTTTTGTCGAGTGCCCCGCCGGACAGTTTTCTTTGTTAGTTCGCATTGCCGCGCACGCCGCTGAAGCGCTTTGCTTTATTCCCCGTTGGCCCAACTACAACAACAAGCGAAGCGGCGTGCCACTGTGTAACGCTCGTTACACGATGGCGCTGGCCTCTCGCCTGAGAAGGCTAAACAGGCAGGACAACTACACTCATGTAGTACAGCGTCATGCTGCGGCGTGTAGGCGCCGGCGTGTACGACATCATTGTATGTCTTGAACAGGCGGGATCATGTAGTTGTACAACGTAAACATGCTACAAACGCACACTTCATCTTTCGTCCCTAACATCGCAACATGACCACTCCCCCCTGGTGCCTCCTGCTTCGCAACATAATTTTCAACACTTGTACTTGTACCCTAAATTTCAACTTACTGCTTCTATCGATTCATTTGCGAGCAGTTTAGAATCTTTATCGAATGAAAATTCGAGAGGATTTTAAATCTCCAACAAAATTATAAATCGCGACAATTTAAATTTTGTTAAAAGCATTTCTAACCACCACCATGAGTTTTGTTGACAACTACTAAGTATTCTTGTTCAACGACTTCATCAACATCTCTACCCTGAAAATAAAACGAGTACAAAAAAAACCGAAACCCAACAAACCGGAGTACTATTACTGCAATAAACGACCCCTACTTGTAGAAGTTTTCATCTTGTTTCTAAAATAAGCATTGCTGTTGTTCCTCAAGAACATTGCAGCATTTGTAAGAATTTTTCACCCGGCGCCCGTGGAAACTAAAAGGAAAAGTAACTCGAGGACCTGCAGCAGCTCCGAAGTCATCTCGGCGAGAACAACTAGGACGACCAAGAACTACTATCAAATGCAACTATGTCTATGTCTGGGTGGTCTGGAAGAACGTTGCAGATTTTTGTCATGTTGTTTTTGCATGACACAGAAAGTCTGATGTCATGGAAGCCCCTAGTGGTGCATCACAGATTTCATCGAGAAGCTTCCGCATTGCAGCCTAATCCGCATGACAAATAATCCCCCATTTTGGTGACAGGGAGTGGGCGTCTTGTGCTGCCTCTGCGTGAGGGATTATTTGCGTGAGGTCTTGTGAAATGCGCATCTTCACAAGTTCGCATCCTTCCCGATATGATCCAGGAATATTTGCATTTGATAACTACTTCCAGTAGTTGAAACCTTGTTTCCACAACCTGCCACAACCTGCAAAAGAACTTCTCGTTGGCGACACGCTCGCACATCCACTACTTCGCATTTTCGACCAAGACTTCTAGTCTAGTTGAAAGTGCACCACCCAAGAACAAGCATGCCCAAGCCGCCGGACACGGTGATGACTCGGGGGGTGCCACTGCCAGCACCCCTCTCTGCGGGCGGTACCACGGGCGGCCGCGGAGGTCCTCGTGGATCTCTGCCCACGTATCCACAGTAAATTTCCCGTACACGTACAAATGCATTCTCTGCATGACAAAACTTGCCTTCAATCCTAGTCCAGCATGACAAGTTGGACTCTGCAAGGTAGCGAAATTTGTCATGCATTTTGTACATGTACAGGAAATTTACATTGCATACCACGACCCTGAAGACTATGACGGCCTCAGGTCGGAAATCCTCTAAGTGGAAATAATTTGTAATGCAAAAACACGAAAAATCCAGCTGAGGCACCATTTCTAGTCGGCGCATGACAAATTTCCCGGGCTGCACTCAAACCGTGTCTGTCATGCGTGTTAGGCACAGGGGCGCGGCCCTTCTCTCATGCTAATCAGCAGCCCAATTCTGTTGAACTCGTAGAAGCACCACACGAGTCGGCCTCCATTGCTTTCTCTGCAATATTACAGTCTTTTTGATGTCGCATTTCATGCATCACAAATTATTTCCACTTTGAGACTTTCCATTCTGAGGCCTTCATAAAGACGTTGCTCTACCTGACCGGGGGCGGAGCCACGCTCACCTCTGGGACCTACAACCACTTGGATATCACAAGGAAAAATCCCCCCTCCCCATATCAACCGGAAGTTTCTGATGCTGGATTTGCGTACACAAATCAGGTTTGTCTTGCAGTTGTAGAGGACTGCAGGCTCCTGCCAAGCCTGCTGAGTGGAGAGGTTTAATATTTGGCGTAGGCGCTTAGCTGCATGAGAAACTTCTATGCTGTAGGCCCAACAGCATCACAAACCGCCTGCGTAATTATGCGGCCGAGCCTGCGGAGTTGTCTTCTTGCAAGACAGACGTGATCTACTGTGGGCTCAAATCAGAGCAAGACAAATTTTCGGAAACATATCATACCTGTTCGATACATATGGGGAGGGGGGATCTTTCATCTCAATATTGGACCGCACCGACCTCGCAGCGGACCTCCAGGACGGTGTGGGCAACATGCTGGACGAGGACCAATATCCTGTGCAAAAGTATCGTATAATTTTCGTATTGCAGTCATGCATTACAAGTTTTTTTCTTAAGGTAAATAAATCCGCATTTACAAATTTCATTTCTCATGCTGAAGAAATTTTTATTTGCAATGCATTTAGTATACGAGTACGATAGCGATACTTTTGCAGTGCATAATGAAGTCGGGACCACGGTGGAACAGCACCACGACCAGGACGACGTGGTCAAGAACACCATGCTGGACGACCATATCAACTGTAAAAGTGTCTCCGTCTGGAAGAATTCATGTTTGTCATGCTTGTCTGGCATGACTCTTAAATCTGTCATGCACGTTACCCAGGAGCTCCGCTTTTCTGTGATGCAGAAGCGCAGTTTGTCATGCAGAATAGGCAACACCTAGGAGCTCAGAAACTGGTCGAGCTGAGCCAGCATTTGTAGTCTCATCATGAGACGCCAACCAGCATCACAAATTCCCAGACCCAGACATTTTTACTTTTGATAGACCACCAGGAGTCCACGCAACTCGGGACGTCGACCACGGATGAACATGAGCAGTTTCTCCAACAGCATATGAAAAGGAAAAATCCCCCCTCCCCATATCAAAACGGAAATCTGTGATGCTCGATTTGCGTACACAAATCAGATTTGTATTGCAGGAAGGCACTGCGACCAGATCCCCAGGCTAGCTGGGGGCGTATGGGTCTAGTTGTTCAGCATTGCAAACGGCTGACCTTTAGGCCCAACAGCATGACAAATCGCTTCGATAATGGGGCGGAAGCTTCTGCCCTTGTCTTCTTGCAAGACAAATGCGATCTGTGACGTCAAATCAGCAACGCAAATTTTCGGCAAGATACCTTTTCGATATGGGGAGGGGGGATTTTTCCTCTCAATACAGCAGGAACTGGAGCTACAGCAGCATGCCGCGGAGATTTCTGCTGACCAATTGCAGCCCGGGCAAGAAGATGAAGCAGAAGATGTTGCTGGACCCGGCTCCGCTTTTGTCACCACGACGCAGGAGAACCGTTCTTGCGGCGGGGGTATGAAATGCAAAAGTATCGTACTTGTAGTACTTCTTGCAATCATGCATTACATATTTTTTACTCAAGGTAGACCCGCATTTTACAAATTTCATTTCTCATGCTGAGGAACAATTTGTCATGCATTTATACGAGTACAATACACTTTTGCAATGCATAGGAAGCAAAAACTCTTGCGGCGGCTCGTCCCGGCGGACGACGAGGGTGTAGCACAAGGAAAAATCATCGTCCCTCCCCATATCGACCCAGCACGTCTTCGAAATAAATTTGTGTTGCTGATTTGTGACCACAAATCGCGTCTGTCATGCAAGAAGGCAAGAACCCCACGGACTCCGCCGCGTTTATTATGCAGGCGGTTTGTTATGCTGTTGCTGCTGCTTTTCAATCATGCTAAGTGGCTAGGCCAGAGCCGCTCTACAACTCCGGCGCGATATGTGTCCTCAGTCTTCTCCAACAACCACAACAAATCTGATTTGCATACGCAAATCCAGCGTCAGAAACTTCGTTTCGATATGGGGAGGGAGGTTTTTTTCACTTTTATAAGGTGAACGCGAAAGCATCTGCCACGGTATCCCGTGTAAAAACGTCCTCACCTCGTCTTCCCCAGATTTGTCATGCAATAAACCCTGCAAACCCAGAAGTAGAATTCGAATTGCATGTTTCTCATGGGCAGCCGCAGTCACGTGAATCACTGTTGCAGTGTCGCCTCTAGTGCTAGGATCATAGGGACGAGTACTAGGTTGCCCAATTTTTCTTTATACAAACATCGATCTTTTATTTATGCGATACATACGCTTCTGACACCACTAGCGAGGCGTAAACACCGGCTTACAACAAGACCGACCCGCCTTCGTCATCTACGAGCGCAGTTTCTAATTTGTCGCGCGCAAGAAGAACAGCCAATGCCAACAGTTCTTATGTGGATTGTGTAAGAAAGTTCCTATCGTGTCCGTGAGTTCGACCGATAGGTTACGGGCAGCTGTGGGGGGGCGTTGGGGGAAGTTTTCCACAGGATATAAGGCCGTGGTGGCAAAAGCGGCGGCGCCCAAGCCGAACAAGGCGCAGCCGAATCTTTCGCCGCGCCAGACGTCGGTTGTGAAGCTGCAGTTTCCACAGCCACCGCCTCGCGCGGGTACTGCTTCGAGGATCCCTGGCCCTGCCTTGTTATGAAATGCAAATTATATAATGCCTGGGTCTGGAATAGACATAAAGTTGGAACTTGTGATGCTGCATTTGGATTCTAAGAAAAGTTGTATTGCATCCGCTGCAGCAAAAGAGGCCTAATTTTAATTTTTGCTACGCCAAAAGGGCATTTGTCATGCGGGATTTTTGGCATCAAGAAGCCCTCAAATAAAACTCTGTGATGCAGCTACGGCATACATGATCACAGACATCATGGCTCATGCAAAACGTGCATGACAAAGTTGCACCCAGTGCGGCCCAGACATATTTGCAGTTGATATGCTACGCCGATGCAGCTGCCGCCCGGTCAATCGCCTCCTCCGGGTGAGTATCCATCACCGGAGCTGCAGCTGCGGCCATGGGAAAGCGTATCCACCGGAATAAATATGTCGGGGTCTGGAAGATGAATGCAAGTTTGTTCAGATGCTTGTCTCGCAATATTAAAGTTAAACGATTCCTGATCGTCCTGAATCTGTGATGTGCGTGACTGAGCAGAGGACAAATGAAAGCCTCGCGCCTCTGGCATGCAAAAACCGATACAGAAAGCGAGACACATTCAACTTGTATGTAGCGCGTCGTGGCTGCTGAATATAACAATATATAAACTAAAACTAGCATTACAGCATTACTACAAATTTCATCCAGACGTCCAGGGATATTTGCACTGGAGACCACTACGACGACCGGAGCACCGGCGTCGGTTCAGATTGGAGCTGGGAAGAAGAAGAGCCACTCGATCTGGATGACATTGACATGCCGAGGGCTAGGTTTCTGGACGAGGACAACACGCAGCTCGAATTTCACGCACCGACTGGGACTGGCACTACACCGGGACCGAAGGGTGAATGGTTGAACTTCCCCCCTGCAAGGTATGCATTGCAAATATAATGTCTGGGTCTGGAAAGAACGAAATAAACTGCAGCAGTTTATTGCAACGCAGCCTTTCTGTGCCCCTCGGCGGGCTCAATCTCGATCATGCCCGGTTCTGCAGTGTAGGACCTAGCAACACAGATGATGATTCTGCGAAATGATCTTATTTGCAATGGTGCTTATACCGCATGAGAAGCACCCGCTTAACTTGATCCAAAGAGGGCAACCTTTGGTGCCAGGAGTCATGCAACACATCAACAAATTTTTGCATTTGTGCGACGGCCACGCACAGGCCGCGTCACAAATTTGCCTCGTCCTGCCAGACAGACACGTTCGCAATGCATACCTGCTCGTCGAAGGATCCCAAGGAGACGCATATTGTGAGGAAAACTCCCCACTCCCCCTCTTGAAAGCGCGTTGTTCTGAAAATTTGTGATGCAGATTTGTGGCCACAGATGCGGTCTGTCTTGCAAGAGAGCAACGGCAGGGAGCGCGCCGCGTTGCGCAGGCGGTTTGTAACGCTGCGAGGCTTACTTCTTGGCAGACGTCTGCCATGCTAAGGGCCCACGCCTGAGCGCCCCTATCCAGGCTTTGTATCTGCCTGGAGTCCTCTACTGCAAGACAAATCAATCTGATTTGTGTAGGCAAATCCAGCATCGCAGGTTTTTGCTTCAAGATGGGGAGGGGGGATGTTTCCGTTTGATAAGGCATCGAAAGCTCCTCCGGGGCATTGATTTCTTATGCAGTGCAAATATTTCGGGTTCTTGGTCTGGAAAACTGTCATGGTAAGTAATACACCAGTAGCGCAAAGTGCGTGCGTTAGCATTACGCAGCCAGGCCCGGCAATTTTTTGCGCGCGTCAACAGTGGTGCCTAAAACGTATGTATGAAAACCAAATGAAATCGCATTTCTGCCTGACAACTAAGCAGCGCTATTCCGCAACATGCCGCATAGAGCACAGCAGATGCAGAAGTATGCGACGGATTGCCGCATGACAACTACAGTCTGCCAGACCCAGACGCAGACACATTTGCAAAGCATATTTCTATTTGCAGTACAAGGAGGCGGAACTCTTGGGCACCAACTGGAACGACGAGAGCTGGTCGCTGTGGGACAGGAGCCAGAATCTGCGCTGGTTTGAGCTTGGCGAGGCACCATCCGCGAACGGCCGCGGCCTGAAGAAGACGTGGTGCTTCCTTGACATTGTCAACGCCGAAACGCACGACGAATCTGGAAACCAGATCACGCCTCCGGACCAAGCAGGACAAGTTGCGCCGAGGACCGAGCCCTACTACGTGGAGCAGACTAGCCGTGGCGGGCTACCGATTCACCTTGTCGCGTACTGTGCCGCGGACGAAAGGGTGTCGAACTGGTCGGAGATCGCCAATGACAACCGAAAAGCCGCTGTGCGGTTCCGCCCTATCCGGTCTAAAAACGTCGCCACCTCCTCACGGAGTTCTTTTGCAGGAGCTCACACAGATCTACTTACACGTGGTGGATGGGGACTCTAGAAACACAACTAGTACTTACTCATACAAGTATCATGTAGTAAAACAAACTAAAAGGCGTTTTCAGGCGCATTTAGGAACAACTTGTCATGCTCGAGTAACTTTATGTATCCTTCGAGAACAACGAGAAGTAAAAAAGCTCGTGCCGCAAAAACAAAAAGTGTGCTGCGACGACACGTGCTAACAAATGGTCCTTGGTCTACCTGCAATAAACCAAGCAACTTTCGGCTGTGTTCGTTGTGCAGAACTTCTCACGAACACCATGACTACATCACAGCGCTTGAAAGATTCGTCGCTTCGCGGACCACGCAAGTAGAAAAGCTGTTTGTAAAAAATCAATAGCATCACCCTATCGCGACAAGAACGCCGGGCTGGGGTGGACGTTCTTTTTATGCAGGATACGGCCCGTCCTGCAGTTTTGGCAGCCAGCAGCTCAAACCTCCGACACCGGCACGTGGAAGGAGGAAGACCGTGCAGATCAGGCCGCTGCGATCCGCGCTCTTGACACGGGCGCTCGGCTGTCCGAAGTGGAGCTGAATGCTGCGTCGACGGCATTGGGGGCGGTTTGTTTTGCTAACTTGGAGAAAATGGAGGTTTTTGCGAGTGATCGGGAGAACATTTTTTTTTCGCTCCGGTGGAAGCCTCCATTTGTCTTCGGCAAGGTGGGACTCACTATCGAACAAGCAGAAAAACTCGCAGCGGACAAGCAAGCAACAATCCACGCACTCCGCCTGGCAAACATCGAGCAGGAAAAAAAAGTGCAGGAAGCGAAGAAAAGCCAGGAGGCGGCTGAAGCAGCGGGCATCACTGGCAGCACTGCGGCTCAGCGCGCGAGGGAACAAGCGCGCCAAGCAATCAGCGCAAAAGAGGCCGCGGGGCGTCGCGTTCAAGCTACCCCCTTGGAAACATCTCTGGCGCTCTAATTCCCGTCCTCTGTCCTAGAACAGTGATATAAGTAATTACTTGAGTGGTAGAGGTAGTCGTAGTACTGTGCCGCCCGGACAGGAGGAGTGTGGGCTACACACTTTGTACTTTTAAGATGAATGAGAAGGGGTATGATTTTTCTGTATTTGTTTCCACCATCTTGCTGGACTAGCACTAGTACTAGGAACCGTTTTTCATTGCGAATGGGCGTTCTGGTTCTTGCTTCGAACTGCAGTTTTTGTAAACACAGAAAAGGCAAACATGATCCGAGGTCTTATTTACTTAATATTTATAGTTGCTCTTAATGTACTAGCACGATGCCTTTTTGGTCTCCAGGAATACATTCATCTTCATCAACAAATGAAAATAAATGAGGACTTGCATTGTCATCATGCAAATTCTGAAGTACTTATTGCAACTCATCATAGCAGAGAGGACCACGACCGCGAATGAAACTGCGATGAAGAGCAATTGGCTCTTTATATTTAGCCTGGGACAGAGAAGCCTAAGCGCGGAGACTCGTTTCCTCTGGATGGAAGCGCTCGAAAGGAAAGTGGACGCGGGACAAGACAAAATCCAGCAATTGCAGACCGTTGTGGAGAGAGCACGATACGAGCAAGCGGCAGCAGAAGAAGCCGCAAGAGCCGCGCGCACAGCAGCTGCGGGCCCTCGTCCTCCACCAGGAGCTGGAGCAGGTACGAATCGCTTTGTCTGTGTTTCCAAATGCCGAGCTAGCTAGAACAGTTAGCAACTTCGGCGGTAAGCATTATTTACGTATCTCTACTAAGTAACAATTGTCAATCTTTGCGGCGTGTGCCGGTTAGGGTTTATGATTATGCTCTTGTACTACTATCAGTCTATTTATTAGCCATCATTCTCGGCGGTTGTAAATCGACGACGAGTTTTAGTTAATGCCTGAGACTACACTTACTCCTACGACGTCCGCGCTTCAGTCCATGTTTTCTATTTTCATCTCATCATCTCGAGGTCGAGGATGAGGAAATGAGAAGTTTAATAAACTCTTGTAGCTGCGCTCGGGCGCTGCAAGTCTGATGATCGCGGCCCTGGTGCTGTTGGTCTACTTACTACTTCATCGTGGCAACACCAACACAAGTGAATGTGAAATTCAAATTTCAAACGCACTTCCACTTCCAGGACAACCTCTTGCTGGTGCTCGTGGCCAACGTTCACCGCCTGTTGGCGACCCAAGAACTTCATTTTCTCCTCCTCCTCGTCCTCGCGCACAAGAACCTTCGTGGACGGCAGGTCGTCGACCACCACCTCGCACTTCTCTTGGTCTTGCTGCAATCACAGCTTCCCCTCCCCCTGTGCCTCGTCTTGGTGGAGGTGGCCGAGGCGCTGCTCCTTTTGCGGCGGGTCCTTCTGGTGGAGCAAGAAGTACTTACAAAATTTTTACACGATCACGACCGACCAGCAGCTAGCACTATTCTTCTCTGATCGGCTACGTTCTTCGTTGGCGAGGGCAGGGCTTCTCGTCCTTTGGATTTCTTTCTACTACCGCCCCGGCCATGCCGGAGGTTTCGATTGTATGAATTACCGGGCTTGTAGAATTGAAATTGTATTTCTCGGGAACAGGTGTTAATTTTGCGAGGGTCAACGACTAGTCTCTCCCCCTAACGGTTTTGATGGGTCGTGTTCGGGTCCCCGATTCCCCCCAGAGGTCCTATTCCTCTCTCTGATACTTGGGGTCTTCGCTTATTTCATCGACGTCAGGATGGCCAAGTAGTCGGCGTTTTTGGAACAGGCTGTGGCTTCTCCGATTGGTAGCTAGAAGCGCGGCCCGTCCGGAAATTATCCACATGCCGGCGAGGGCTCGCGAGCTGGGGTTTCCCAGACAAGCCGCGGCTAGGTGGCGTTATCCTGAGTAAAAACGTCCCCACACCAGAGTTGTCATGCAGATTTGCAATGACAGGAGCATTTGTAATGCGCATCGCCAGGAGAGGCATTTTTAGTCGTGTTTTGGAATTTGTAATTCTGTAAACAGGATGAGCAGATGGGTTTCTGATGCAGCTGGCGTTGCGAAGAACCTGCACTACGCTACGGACTGCAACTTGTGATGCGTGACCCCCAAAAGTTCTAGGCTTGTGTTGCAAAATCCCCTTTCTCGACTCTGGTGCGGGGATGTTTTTACTCAGGATAGGCGTCGGCGCTTTTTCAGTTGGGCGTAGCTTTCGGTCGGATTTCCCGTAGGCGGGGTCCGTCTCTTTCTTGGCGGATATACTTAGCGTGGCAGCGGGGTCGTGGTCTACAGGCCGATTCCCGCCGGATATCAGGGCGCCGCGGTCGTGTTGTTTCGTAAGGGTACGAGCACACCGCGCAGGTCCCGATGATGCGCTCGAGTTTGATGGCCGCGGGTTTGGGGTTTGAAGTGGAGGCTTTCCGCCCGTATGTCAAGGTCAGAGGGCGAGTGCTACTCCTACTCTGGGAGCCGTTGTAACAGGTGGGTAGTATGGTCGAAACGGTATTCCTTCTGGTAGATGGGTATAAGAGTCCTTCCGGTGGAATAATTTACACCGCTTTGGCTTTTCTAGGCATCAGAACTGAAAAATAATAAAATAACGCGTCGCCCTTGGTGTCCTTCTCCTTGTTCATTCTGGGCAGCTCGGATGAGCTGGTGGAATCGGTCGTGTCTTCGCTTCTTGGTGAAGCGAAGCAGGAGCACCGTCGACGTACTTATTAGTGAGGCTTTTACGTACAACACCACCTGGCACTGCTTCTAGCTTCTTAGGCAAGCAAAAACTGCCATGCTCGCTGAAACTGATGGCGGTGGCCCTTCGACGACGTCTCCAAGAATAGCGAGCAACTTTATTCTGCGACATGAGTTTCCTAGAAGGCTGCAACAACAAAAAAATCATCGCGCAAGAACTCGTCGCGCACGAGTTAGATGCACAAAATTTTCTATGAAAATGAATATGAAACTTTCAATCACCAAACTCCAGCGGTGGCTCGGTCACCAGTGCTGCAGGCCCTTTATGACCAAGCAAAGGCGTTTGCTGCAGGGGCGTACGATGAGGCGCTGGAGGAGATGGTGAAGATGTTTCGTACTGCACAAGGGGTTTATTTGCCTAACCTGCTCAATTTTCTCCGCGAGCCGGACACCAGGGAAGTCTTTGGAATTTTTCAAATGCTGAACTGGATGAACGGGGTCCATGTGCGGTCGGACGCGCCGACGTGGAAGATGGCATGGGCTTTTGACATGACGCAACACAGCAAGTTGCAAGGGGCTTTCGTGTTTATGGGTCAGGAAATTCTGAAGGCTCTGAACAATGACCCCTCCGCGGGGCTGTACCTCTCCCGCGCACTTTTTGCGAGTAGTGGCACCGGAGCGGACAACGGGAACTTCAAAAACACGATCCTCGACGGGGACGGCTTCCTCGGAGCAGAAGAGTACACCCAAAACGACCGGCAGAGCGATGGATTGACGGAGGGAACAAAAAACCTGATCGCGATCGCGCAAGGAGACACGCCCCGAACATCAACAACAGCGCTAACACTCCGACAGCCGTACCCGCGGGTCTTTGGGTTGTTTCGTTCAGTGCACGAGGGGGCAAGCATGTTGTTCGGCGATGACGTGGCGAAAGGCAATGCCTTTAAAGATGCCGATTTCGAACGCACTTGGAATTTTTTTGTGCGTGATTTTGATACGAAATTTCGCACCAAAATGGGTGAAGGTCGGAAGCCGAACGAGATTGAACGTCTCGAGGTCCTCTGCGAGGGGGACCTTACCAAGTTCCTTTACAATGCAGGGCGAAGAAGTGCAACAATGGCGCATCGTGGCGGTATTTGCAGCTAATGCTTCCTGGCGTATAATTCCTTACGGTTCATCTACCAATGCGCTTTTGTGTTGCGGACTTCCAAGTATTGGCGCCTTTAGTATCAAAAAAACGGAGCACAAATAAATAAAAAGTGCTCAACTCGTCCCAGAAAGGCGAACTCCTTGTCGTGCAAAGAAGATGATGATCCCCCCAATCAATGCTACGACGGAAATCTCGTGTTGCATCGCATCAAGCGACGAGTGCTTTTTTACTGAGTTTGCTTCAAACTCTAGTGCGCTCTGCAGCTCTACTACGTGGGCGATCACCCGTGCAGTGCCACTGCGCAGCGCAGATCGAAGCAAACTTGTGTTGCTGCTACATAAAACCACATTTCTCACCGTCAGAAGGCTTGGGGACTAAGGCTTTCTGGGGGTCATATCAATAGTTGAAGGGCAAGGGATCATTGTGGGGAGGCGGCATGTGTCTTAAGTTGTTCAGATTGGATCGCTTGCCTCTTCTCTCGGACAGGAACTGCAGCAGGAAGGGGCTGCTTGTTCCCCCGCGCGAGCACCACGACGGTGAAGGTTTGCCAGGCTTCAACCACTATGCACTGCAAAAGTAGCGTGCTCGTAGTCATACTAAAAATTGCAGTTACGCATCACAAATTTCTTTTCCAAGCTAAATCTAATCAGCATGACAAATTCCATTTGTCACGCTGAGCTAATTTGTATTGCTATTGCAATACTACGAGAAGTGCGGAGATACTTTCGCAGTGCATAACCACGACGGTGAAGATTTGTCCCTCGCGCGTGTTGTCGCACACGCGCTGCGTGACAGGGCGAGGCGGTGGAACGGGCCGTTGCATGTCGACACGCGCTGCGTGACACGGCGAGGCGGTCGCTGGCCGGGGATGGGGGCGACGTTCCGTCGCATATACTTTGGATTCCAGATTGATATATAAAGCAATCTACTATAATCCCGAGGGGTAGGTTGTTTTTATGTGTGGAGAGATTTAGAATCATGGCTACAGTGCAAGATCCTGAATTTCGTCGCACATAAAAGCGACGTATGCCCCGGCACCATAGGTTGATCTTTTGCAAATCTAGAATCCAGGGTATGCGATCCAACGTCGGGCGATCAGAGGTCGATTTTATTTATGGCCGCGAAATTTTCGCGACAACCGACTCAACCTTTTGCAAGCAGAGGTTGATTTTATCGTCGCGAAATTTCCGGAGCCATCGAACCGACCTCCTGGAACAAGCAGAGGTCGATTTATTTTATGGCCGGGAAGTTTTATTTTCTGCAGCCATTGATGGCTGGAGGTGGACGGAGAAGACGCGGCCGAAAATGAGCCTGTAGCTTTGCCCATTTTATTAGGTCAGGGCCTATGCCAGATAAAGGTGGGAGGGGCAATGGACGGCGTGCGGATTTCCGCAAGGAAAGCAGGACTGCCGCTTATTTCTGTAAAGAGAGTACTTGTAGTTCCGTCGCGCGAGCACCACGACGGTGAAGGTTTGCCAGGCTTGAACCTGATCGCGTGATAGATATGGATGACATACATGTCGAAGAGATACTAGAAACTGGCGAAGCAATCAAGATCGTGTTGAAGTTTTTGATGTTGTACAAGCCCACTTCTACATCTACTGCCGTTGTACCTGTAAAACTCGCACTACTTCTTCTACTACATTCTCCAGTTGCACGAGTATTAAGTACGCTCATGATGTGCGACCATGAGGTACTTATTTATTAGCAAGACGAGGCTAAGAACGCGAGACGAAGTAGTTCTTGTAGGCTACAAATGATGCGAGACGAGGACTTTGCGGAGAAGCAGAAGTCGAATCAATACCGCAAACGCAAATAGTACGTGATAAGACATCAAAAAGAAAAACTCATATTTATCAGGCCCACCCGCAGCAGCAACAGCTGCAGCAGGACCTGTCTCTGCAACAGGAGCTGAACAGTCCGGAATCACCGCGCAGCAGCCGCAACAAGATTATATGCACAAAAAAATCCCCCAAGCCAACAGCAAGATCGTAACGGATCTTGCAAGTACTGCTTCTTCAGCATCAAACCTGGTGGCATCTTCAATTGTGCTTCATTAGTAAAAAGCGCCACACATTATCCATGCGAAACGAAATGAGTCGCCTTCGAAGTGCCGCTTGCTAGCGGCGTAGTGCTTCGTATCGCGGCCGTGCTTCCTTTTTCTGACTAAGGCGGGCTCAGCAACCAAGAGAGCTTTTTTTTTCGTAGATGTGATCCGTGATTGCTTTCGCTGGCTGAGGATGAGGGCTTTTGTGTGCATAGCGTTTGTTCGCTCGCTGATGGAGAAGCGTGAAGCTCTGATGGGCCTGGTGGATGGACCAGCTGTACGTGGATCATTCGATTTATCAAAGGAGGAAAAGGCGAAGCTTGAGGAGCAAGTCAAGCAGATCGATGCGAATATGCATTGCAAAAGTACCGTACTCGCAGAAATGCATTACAAATTTCCTCACCATGAGAAATAAAATTTGTAGTGCGAGTTTACCTTAAGAAAAAGATTTGCAATGCATGATTTTTGCAATTACTACGAATGCGATACTTTTGCACAGGATAGCGAAGCTGTATGAGCAATTGGGCGATGGTTGGTACGAAAAGCTCAAAGCATTCCGGCGCGCGTCATCTTTTCGTCCGCCAGGAGCTGGAGCAGGTACCAGTCGCTTTGTCTGTGTTTCCAAATGCCGAGCTAGCTAGAACAATTAGCAACTTCGGCGGTAAGCATTATTTACGTATCTCTACTAATAATTGTCAATCTTTGCGGCGTGTGCCGGGTAGGGAGGGTTTATGATTATGCTCTTGTTGTATCAGTCTACTCACGCGACAGATTCTGCGAAAACGCTACTTCTTCTACTACATTCTCCAGCTGCGCGAGTATTAAGTACGCTCATGATGTGCGACCATGAGGTACTTATTAGCAAGACGAGGCTAAGAACGCGAGACGAAGCAGTTCTTGTAGGCTAAAGATTATGCGAGACGAGGACTTTGCGAAGAAGCAGAAGTGGAATCAATACCGCAAACGCAAATAGAACGTGATAAGACAAAAAAAAAACTCATCTTTATTTATCAGGCACATCGACATCCCCAGTAACAACAGCTGCCAGTCGTGCTGCAGCAACAGCTGCCGCTTCTCTTGCAGCAACAGCTGACGCTCGTCTTGCAGCAGGAACTGCTCGAGCTACACCTACACTCCCCGGGCCGACCACCGCGCAACTACCGCAATGGCGAGATATGCACACAAAAATCCCGCCCCAAGCCAACATCAAGGTCGTGGCGGATCTTGTAAGTAGAAGGTCAGCTTCTACTTCTTCAGCATCAAACCTGGTGGCATCTTCAATTGTGCTTAATTAGTAAAAACAAAAAGCGCCAAACGCGATCCATGCGAAACGAAATGAGTCGCCTTCGAAGTGCTGCTTGTTACTAGAGGTGTAGAGCTTCGTATCGCGGCCGTGCTTCGTTTTTCTGACTAAGGCGCGCTCAGCAACCAACAAGAGGTTTTTTTTTTTTTCGTATATGTGACGATCCGTTGTACATAAACTTCTATTTTGGTTTCGCATATGTACATAAATTTCTATTTTGATTTTACATGTCAATATATGTGATCCGTGATTGCTTTCGCTGGCTCAGGAGGGCCTTTGTGTGCATAGCGTTTCCTCAACAACATGCCCGCGCCGAAGCCGAAGCCAGAGCCAGAGCCGGTAAGTTTTGATTATAAGCTATTGTAGCTAATATTATATATAAGTTTGAGTATCTCTCTCTCGAAATTAAGCTAAAGACGCTCCTTCAGCAGTGGAGTTCCGTGACGGCGGAGAAGTAAAATGTATACGAAGGAAGCTGTTCTTTTAGCTCTTGACGACGAGGATCAGATGTTGGCGCGCCCCTCCCTTGTTGTGCAAGTGCGCCTCGTCCTCGGCACATACAGATACAAATCTCGAAGTGCTGTGCCCCCCCGACAAGAAAACCGCGGGTCAATCACGTGGCTGTTGCCGGGCATAAAGAAAAGTTTAGATTTTTCTTTTCGGCATGGCTTGCGCCGCCAGTGCTAACTTACAACGAACAGCAGCGGGACCTCCCCGTCCAAGGGAGGCGTGAAATTTAAATTGCTGCACTTATTGCCTTCTTGCCCAAGATGAAAGCTCCTGCCCTTCTGCGATGGTAAAGAAAAGGACGACCGCGGCCTTTGCGACACAATGTGGGCTCAGCGGTCACAATTTCGCACTAGATGACCCGAGCGGCAGCTCAGGACAGGCATTTTTAGATTCTATTTTTGTAAAGTCCACTCGCCCCCCCTTCGCCCCCCCTCGGGTTCTGTGCCTGTAGTGCGCGGCGCTGCCTAGGCAGTGCGTTTCGTCAGTGTGATGCTTTTTTAAGTGGAAGCTCGCCTAGGAAAAGTGCGGGCCCCGTTGTATGTGGGGTCCGTGTAGTTACTTATGTCAGGCTTTGCTTACGTATTTTTCAAAAAAGTGAGCCGCAGGAGCATCGCGCCGGGCAGGAAGGTTGGAAATGCGGAAGCCTGCTGCCCACCATACTGAAGCGAGCGCTTTTTTTAATTGAGCCTTCGGCGCCACCTGTCGCGCGACGGGCATCGCTGTACACGAGACAAGATTTCTGGCAGAAGATTCCCGCAGGCCCGGACTTCTCTGTTTTGTCCATTCAGAGGGGTCGAAAGAATGAGTAAAAGCATATACGGCCCTCCCATCGCCCCAGAAATGTCGGCCCCCTTTTCGTTCGCTCCAAGGTGTCGCTGTCCCCGGTCTAGTTGTTTGTGCCCCGTTCGCTTTAGGCTCGGTGCCTTCTGGGACCGCTAGCGCGGCAAAAGATAACTTCTGAACAAGCTATGCTCCCCCCCAGTGCGGTGCATAGCATTACGCATGGGCTGGACGCCAGCACCCGTTTACACTTGCTCCCATCGACTGAAATCCGCAGGGTATCGGGCTGCAGTGGAAAAGGCGGGGCTGGCATTTGAGAGGAGTGTGATCCGCAACCGTTTGATGAGTGGGGACATGTGCGGGTTCGTGGGCATGTCTAATATTGCCTTCAGGAGGAAAGCCTGCGACGTCGCGGTAAGGCAACTCGACAAAGAGATACGAGAAGCCAACGAAGCTGCCCAGAGCCCTGAAACTGCCATCAGCAAAGCCAATATCGTCGCGTGGAGCGCAATGGGCCTGGATGTTGATGGGCCGGTGGTAAAATTTATGCCTGGGACAAAAATTCTAGACGGGACCATTCTTGGCGGGGAATCTCTTGCAGTTACGATCCCTGAGACGCGGGCGCCGCAGAGTCTCAAGCAGTGCAGCGAGCATTATTTTGGAACGGGACGAGCTGCGGAGCTCGTCGGATACCGTACTTATACTTATAGCGTAGCTAGCTACGACGCCGGCCTTCGAGCATTGATTTTTGGCGACACTGGTCGCCAACTACAACTACTTACACTCAGCAACGTAGATGGTACGGCAAACAGTTACTCGCCCGCCTGAAGAGGCGAGCACGCAATTGATTTTTGATCCGCGCTGCACAGTTACTTGCCCGCCCGAACAAGTCGGGGGCGCCCGACTGATTTTTGAGCCGCTCTGGGGGGCTTTCCCTGTGCAGGGGTGGCTGCGTATTTTAGTGCGCCGCGCGCACCTGGCCCTCTTCACGCGCAAGCGCGCTCTTACATGTGGGCCGCCCCCCTTCCGGTCTTTGTGGGCGCTTGGGGCGCGTGGACCTTCCTCGTGGCCGTTTGGTCCGCGGGGCCGCCTCTTCATTCACAGGCGCGCGCCCGATCTGGGCGGGGGAGGGTGGGCGCCAACGGAGACGGGAAAAGCAAGTAAGTCTGTCGCCTTTTTGCTGTGTCTGTTCTGGTCGCAGGCCCCATTCTTGGTTCTTGGCCAGCCTCGGTGGGGGGCAGGCATCGCTATGAATGACACATATGCCGATCACTGCCCGGCGCGCATTGCCGGGCGGCAGCGACGAGTAAGCTTTCTTGCCCGCGCCGACCGCTCGTTCGTATGTTTTTTCGCTCTGAGGGACTGAGAGATCGCGTATGGGCGAGGCCTTTGAAGGAGGGCCCCCTCGGCGGAACGGTGTCCGGGCCGGCCGGGCTCCTCGGCGCGGCAGCTTGTTGGCCTGGTGGCTCTTACCCCCTCGCGACTCGAAGAGCCCCACTAGCGGTCGCGCCGCGAGCGGCCGGCACACAGGCAGTGTGTGGCCTTGGGGGGGGGCGCGTTAGTTTGGGCGCCGTTTTGTGTCGTTGGCCGGCGCGGGGAACTTGGCCTGTTTAGCTGAGTAGGTCGGAGTTTGACGCATGCAGGCGGCGGCCGCCGTGCGTGGGCCCCTACTTGATTTTGGCTGCGGACCTCTGCTCGCACACCAGAGCGAAGGGGGCCTGGCGTTTCCGCTTTGATATGATTGCTTCCAAGCCATGGAAGCCGGCCCCCGCCCGCCTTCGCGCGTGGCTTTTCGTGTTTGTGGTCCTTCGCCCGTCGCAAGGTAGCCCAGGCCGTTTGCATTTTGTTAGCCCGGCCCCGTGGGCCCTTGATAAGTGCCCCCCTCGGCCCGTGATAAGTGCCGCACATATGTCATCCCACCCACTGCAAATAAAACAGGCGAAATTGTGCTGTTGCGGCAGAAGTACCTGCACCGGCTCCGCACCGAGCCCCCCCCCAACGCACCCCACTCGGACGTTGAACAATTCGGAGAGCATATCAAATGGGCGCAGGACGCCCAGGAGTTGCGGACAAACTGGAAGAGGGCGGGCCTCAGAGGCCTGATAAGTCGTGGCGACGGAACCTACCAATGGATGTTGGACCCTCGCGAACAAGCGGCCAGCTCCGCCGCAGCAGTTGCGCCGCAGCCTCCAATGGCCGCGCAACAACAGCCGCAGCAACCTCTACAGCCGCAGCAACAACACCCGCAGCAACAACAGCCGCAGCAACCTCTACAGCCGCAGCAACGACACCCGCAGCAACAACAGCCGCAGCAACCTCTACAGCCGCAGCAACGACACCCGCAGCAACAACAGCCGCCGCAACCTCTACAGCCGCAGCAACGACACCAGCCGCAGCAAAATGGACTTGCTCCTCCGCCTGGACTTGTTCGCCCGCGTCTCCTGCCGCTTGCGGCTCTCACGCCTGCGCCACAGCCACAGCCGCAGCTACAGCTGCCGCAACCTCCGCAAGGACCGCAAGCCCCTTTCCAGTTCCCGCTACCGCAGGGTAATCCCGCTTTCCAAAGAGGCAACAATGCGTGGCCTCAAGGGCTGCCGCTGGACTTCACTCAACAACAACAACAACAGCCGCCTGCCGGTGCTGGCCAGAGTGTCTGGCGGCACGAGGCTCTTTCGGCGAGCAGCTTCCTGGTGGAGGAAGAGACTTCGAATTATCCAACAGAACAAAGGCGCACCCACATCAGAAAAAGAAAAGCGAGTTTGCGTTTTTGCATTCGTATGAAGACGGAAAACGTTGTGACGCAGAGCGCACTTTGGCGTGACGCGTTTTGGTGAATGTGAGGGGCATCTCCAGGCACCCTCGACAAAGCGCGCCACCCTGGTGAATAGTCAAAAAGAACAGCAGCGCATTTTTGTTTTTTTTTTTTGCTGGTAAAAATATGGTTATGGGCGCCCTTTTACTTTTCTGCAGAATAAGGAGCCGGGCGAACAAGGGGGCGCCGCGCAGCTGCAGGACGGGCGGGGAAAAACGGTATTAGGGTGCACACCCCCCCCTCTTCTTTCATGCAAAATGCCTATTATTAATTTAAAATTAAAATTTACGCCACCTTGCCTGTGCGCTGGGTGCGGGTGTCCACTACATGGCGATACACGATGATGACCTTGCCCTTTGGCACTGTGGCGCTGGGTGTAGGTGTCAACTACATGATGATGACGGTGATGATGGCACTGTTTGCGTGACATGTTCTGGCAGTCCAATTAACACGACACTCCTGTCCAGATTTGTCATTGCAAAACCTGTAGTCTTTTTCTTGACCACCATCCCGAGCCCGACGTTTGTGTTGTTGCTCATGCACTACAACAAATGAGGGGGAGCGGGAGTTGTGCACTTTCATACGTGGGGGACCCGCAACGGGAAGAAGTTGCAGGGACGGCCAGCAACTTCCACGATTATCAAATGCAAAAATGTAGCCTGGGTCTGGGGGGGTCAAACTTGTGATGCTGCTTCTCCAAAAAAATCATGATATTGCCTGAGCAGCAAGAGAAGACGTCGAGTTTTTGCTACACGGGAGGCGCGGCAGTTCTCATACGGGCGTGTAAGGAGGCATCAAGAAGCACTCAGAAAATCTGTGAGGCTACTTTTAGGGAATATATACATTCCGGACGTCAACAACAGCAAAATCTGCATGACAAGTTGCAACCTCCCAGACCCAGACGCAAACATGGTTGCAATGCATATTAACGATGTTGCTCCGGACGCGGCGCCCGCGGCCGCGGTTATTTCGTCTTTCGTCGAAACCATCGCTGAACCTGAAACCAACCACCTTGACGAGTATCAAATGCAAAATTGTCTGGGTCTGGAAAGGTGTGACTTGTGATGCTGCTTTAGGATTCCGAAAGAAATTGTATTTTGCGTGAGTAGCAAGTGGAGACGTCTAGTTTTTGTTACGCGGGAACGGCATTTCTCATTACGTGGGTAGTCATCAAAAAGAAGAAGAACTCAAAAAATCTGTGATGCTGGTCAGTACATCACGGACGTCACGGGCATATATGTAAAATCTGCATGACAGGTAGAAGTTGCAACTACCTTCCAGATCAGCCGGAAATATTTGCAATGCATAGCGAAGCTGTTGCTCCGGGTCCGGACGCGACGCCCGCTGGCGCAGTTTCGTCCTTCGTTGAAACCATCGCTGGCGCAGACGGAAATCCCGCGGCAGAAAAGTTGCCCTCGTCATTGCAGACGATATGAAGTGCAAATATCCCTGGATGTCTGGAGGAATGCAGCTTGTGATGCTGCATTTGGATTTCAAAAAAATCTGTATTGCATGAGCAGCAAAGGGAGCGCATTTTTTGCTACTTACGCGGTAGTAGGGGTATTTGTCATGCGGAATAGGCATCAAGAAGCCGTCAAAAAATGTGTGATGCTATCGCATGCATCACAGATCGATCATGGCTCATGCAACACGTGCGTGACAAGTCTCAGAATCTTCCAGTGACCCAGAGGACATTTTTACAGTTGATAGACGACCGAAGAAAGCAAGTTCCTGGCGCCGCGCAAGGAGGCCGTGGCGAGTCATCTGTGGTCCTTCTTCTTGGACGACTCGGCGAAAGCGGGCGCAGACCACGCGCTATCCTGTGCAAAAGTGTCTGGGTCTGGAAGATTGGAACTTGTGATGCGAACTTTGGACTCTAGAAAAATCTGTATTGCATGACCAGCAAGAGGAGGCTAGTTTGTGCTACGCGGGGAGGGCGTTTGTTATGCGGAGTAGGCATCAGGAAGCCCTCTCAAAATCGGAGATGCGCGGTCGTGCATTACAGACATCCTGGGTCATGCAAAACATGCATGACAAATCTCAGAATCTTCCAGACCCAGACACTTTTACATTTGATATTACGTGCCTTCAGCGGACGACGAAAACGACGAACCGCACGACAGTACGGCGTGAGGAAGATGGAACTGGACGTATGAATTGCAAGACAAAGCATCGTATTAGTATAACCAGCCATGCTCCGGCTACCGCCGGAGCGCAAGGCTGTTTGGCCGGGTCTGAACTGCTTGCGGACCGGACCACAGCGACATACATACTCATGCCCCCACAGAACTCTCTGCGCGCTTCTCGCGCCTAAGGGCGCTCTGCGCAGGGAGGAGCTACCGCGAGCACTGGGGCAGAACAGGACGCACCTAGGTGCCACACCAATCCGCTACGCATGCCTTTCGTTAATCAAGATGAACCACGAACCCCGCCCCATTCCCCGGCTTCGCTACTTTTTCAATG